TCGAGCGGACGAGAGAGAGAGAGCGAGTGAGAGAGAGGGAGCGTGGGAGCGAGAGAGAAAGCAAGGGATCGAGCGATCGAGAGAGAAAGAGCGAGTGAGAGAGAGAGGGAGCGTGGGAGCGAGAGAGAAAACGAGGGATCGAGCGAGCGAGAGAGAGAAGTCGGAATAGATCGAGGAGGATGCTTAGTAGGATCACTGTCTCCCCTCCTTTCTCACTCGAAACGATGCGATCCGACAAACGGGATCAAGGTAACACGCCTTTCTTCCTAGATATTAGCCGCCGATTGCCGAAGCAGCATCATCAAGATTCTCAGCAAACCAACGACGCGTCAAACCCTGTCAAAGCACCTCCCGCTCGTCGTGAATCTTGATGATGCTGCGCCCGCAAACACCGGCTGTTCGGAGTTTCTTCACCCCATGCACAACGGCGGTAAGACGCAGCCTGAAAGAGAGCGAAGGTAGAAACAGAAGAGACGAGGGGTGGAAAAGGTCGTCTCTAGCCGCTTAATTTGAACGGGAAGAAAGATACAGAAGCGACGAAGGAGAGAAACGGTGGGAATGGACGATGCATGCACACTTGCACGCCACTCGACAACAAGCGTGCGGTGACGTGTACGGATCACACTGGCCAAAACGTAAAAAGAAGGCACTGCCACTGCTGTGCCGCAGGCTGGGGGAATCTGTACTCCCCCTATCTGTGCACACTATTCTCTTCTCTCCATCTCCCTCACTCAATCAAACCCTAGTCTGCCTCAACCGAACAAAATTACGAATATGAAGAACAAGGAAGAAGGGATCTCCGCCTCTCGCAACTCTGAACAGAATACTCAAAATCTCCCTGTATTCGGGGAGACATCGGCATCGAATTCAGCTCCTAACGGAAGAACACGATCGTCGTTCCAAATCAGTTCCAGCGAGAGAGCAGACGACGAGGGACAGATTGCTACAAAAACAAGGCGGACCGGACCGATCGGAGAAAAGGCGAAGGGGACGCTGCCCGCTGATTTCCGGCGTAAAACCTCGCTGAAACTGGACAGATCTCCGGCCAGCATCTGCAGTTCTCCGCCTCGGCCTCCGTGACTGCATCAATGGGGCGGCGGACGGGAGGGAAGGAGATAAGAGAACACGGCGAGAGGCAGCGCGGATGGGAGGAGATGAACAGATGATGGTGGTGGGGGGGCGGCCTTTATAGCGGGCAGAGCGGAAGGGAATTTCTGGATCTGGGAGCTCGTGCTGTACAATGTTTCCTCCGTCCCCTAACTCTTCGCCCCGCCCCCCCCCCCGGGGCCGTCAACGCCAGTAACTACCCAGCCCGGCCCGTTGGCTCCCTAGTGCCACTAGGCCACGACCGGACCTCGATTCAGGCCGGGCCCAGCCTGGACTCAATTCCGGACGGCCCTCCCCGCCCGTTGACGCCCGTTCTGGTAACTTCACAATAACCCAATTAATACATACACTGTGGGCCATATCTGAGGCGTCCTCTCTCTCTCTCTTCTTGGCGATTTAAATAATTAAACCTAGTACAGCGAACTCGCTTTGAGAGGTGGCCTCCACGTTCTACACACTTCTCGAGGTCGGGAACGCTGTTATTTTTACGTCCATGGCGGTGCGACTCCACGTCCATCCGATGTCATCAGGATCTCCTTCGGACGGTTAGGATCGACCTTTCGGCCGCCGCGTTGTTGGCATGGCGTTGACTGGGTCAGCCAACAGATTCCAGATATTCTTTTGGGGTAATGGGCCGCCGATAATAGACCCAGGTGGGCCCGTATTTACGAGCATTCCACTGTGCTGTGTTCGCTGGGCCCACTGGGGCAGCCCTAGCGGATGGGTAGGTCTAATTAATGCCAACCTTGGCCCATAGACCAGAACCTAGAGAACGCACGATTGAGGGGGGATACTCAAAATGTAGAAAAATAAAGGGCCAAATCATAAAATTCCGGCGGTCCAAATCAAGACGCATATAATCCTTGGACCGAACGTCTTGTACCAATGGTCCGCGAATTGGGCTTGGCCGACGCCACCGACTGTCCACTGTAAAGAGTAAGTTTTGAAGGATTTTAGAGGCATAAGTATAAATAGATGTACAATTAAATGTGTAACAAATAGTTGGATTTGATGGGTACATAAAGATAAATATTCTTTCAAAGGAACTCCCACGCCGAAGCTGGGGCTGTGCCCTCGAGGAAAAAGAAAAGGGCGGGGGGAGGGGGGAGGGGGGAAGGGGCAGTGGTGTCGCCGTCGCCGTCGAGACACCGTCGCCAGGGGACAAGCGGCGGCATCCTACTGGTCACGCGCGCCACCTCTGTGGGGTTAATCTCGCGGGCAATCGTCTCTCAGGCCGATAAAGGGGAGGAGATAGAAAGGAGGTGGGGGATTCTTCTTCGTTACCTGCAACGATTGGGTTTTTTACGTACATGTAATCTTCACTCTCGGATTCCAGAGAAGGTGAAAGGGTTTTGACGGAGACGGGAGCTTGGAGAAGTGGTTCCTGTTTCCTACATCTCCTTAAACGATTGCGATTCTCTCTTCATCTGTTCTCAGTCAGGTATTTCCTCACTCTCCTCCCCCTCTCTCTTTATATATCTAGAATTTTATTCGTTTTGCTTATAATCTTCCGCCGATCTGTGGGTTTATACTTGCTTCCCCGTTAGGCTCTCGTTTTTTTATTTTTTTCCGGTCCGTTCCCTTTAATCTGATCCGGTGATTACCATATTATTGGAATTTGGGGTGCCGGTTTCTTATGAATGGGCGATTCAAGCTGTCAGCAGTGACGTCTGGTGGAGAGCTGTTGTCTTGTGCTCCCTTTTTGGTTCCGATTAAGGGAGAAAGGAGGTGTCCCTTCTTTTACCTGGGGCTATCTCTTCGAATTTTCCAATTTTTTTGGGATTTATTCCCACCTTGCTGGAAACGCTACGTGCATAGACATGCATAAAACCTCATCAGTATGAAATATTATCTCATGGATAGAGCACCCAGAGTCGTCCTTCGTTATCCAATGATGAATTTCTTAATCAGCAAGTTTGTGCCTTCGGAAAAAATATCGCAGGATGCTTCAAAACTCGCGTCTGTTGGACACTGTGTATGATATAAACGCTGCGTGAGAGCTATTTATGGCAAAAGGGAGTGAAGTTTCAAATGTGATAGCGCCTCTCGTACGTTAACCCCTGGAATTATACTAAACTTGGCCTCCTGACGTGATGGAGTTGATTTTCGCTGGCATGTGGGGGTTATTAACTAGGAGGAGGTCTCAAACAATGACAAGCAAGTTAACATTATCTGATGCACTAGTCATGCTTTGAACTGGACCTTGTGGCTATAACGGAGTAGGATGCTAATATTGATGTGTACTCTGTCGATAAACATGATCCTGTGAACAAAAGGATACTATTTCATATTCTTTTTTTATGTTTGAGAATGCCGTCATCTTATCCTTCTGTTCTGCGGTATATTTTTTGTGTTTATATATCTGCCCATGGAAATAGTCAACTGTAATGTTCCTCCGGTTCCAATTAATTTGCTCCCGCTGCCCATGATGACTTCCACTCCCTGGCTCTCTCCTGAAATTGCGTAATCCCTTCTCTTTTTAATTTTTTTAAAGGCACATCCTGCATGCATTGACTGGTAATTTCCTGGATAAAGTCACCAAAGAAAAATGGCAGGTTAAGTGGCCTTACTCTTAAATCGCGAATTATGTATGAAATGAAAGCGTCAAGAAGAAAAGAAAAGTGTCTGAAATGAGCAGGAATTTTTTTCTCGGGGAAAAAAATTATAGTCACCAGTTCTATTTAATGAACGTTGGGTTATTATTCGTTGACTATAATTATTTTTTTTAATTAGTTGAAGATCTTATCCTTTCTTTGTCATCTGATTCTGAACATTTGGTGTTAAAGTAATTATTTAATATGTATTTTATTTATTTTGTGCTCTGATCACTGATCTACCTACCCGACTGACACTCCAGAATTTATAATTCTGTAGAATGACGGATCATGTATTTTATGATTCAACTTCATAAAGATTTTTTTATAGATAGACCTCATATATTGCAAGGAACATTTCTTTCTCTTGCGCTTAGGTGGACCTAGACCTGGTTGTCGACAAATAAAATTGTCCTTGTCTTGGAACCATATGATTCACCAATTTTCATCATTTTAGATGGGTGGATGCTGGTTAATGTATGGAAATCGATGCAGTATTCTTCAGAATGGCCAAATTTTTCTATTTCTGGAAACCGTCTTCTTGTGGAAAATGTTTTGCCGAAAATTTCCTATTAAATACACATCTATCCTTAAATTGTAATTTTTTAAATATATATATAAAATGATTTTTACATCGGATCAGCATTAAACGCCCTTGTGTTATCGATAAACAATGAAAACAACGTAGGACAAGGAAGGAACCAAACGGAACGTTTTGTCTTTCAGATACTCATTATCTTGCATCATCATTTGCCGCTGGTCCTTTTGGTTTATAAGGTTTCCCACGATGGGTCTCCTGGGAATGCTACACTTGAGTGGTCAGTAGTCAACCAGATTGCCATCACGACTACTGTTCCTGAAATCCTAACCTTTGGAGCATCCCACCCCACTTCTAGGCTGCTGATTTCAAATGTTTTTGTATGCAGTGTATCGGACATAGATCCTCATATCTGATGGATTACCCATCATAGGCCCGTGCTTGGTGTATCCTCTTTGAGCCCTCATTTCTGTCCAGAATTCATCTCAAGACTTAGATTATGAGCCTTGATCTCTAATCGCATTGTTGTTTTCTCTTTGGTCGTCCAAGTCTTGCCTTCTTTGTCATCATCTGCAGCCACCTTACATTGAATTTGCGCTAGCCCTGTTCTTCCCCAATTTTGTTTTTCCGTCTCATCACACCTGCATGTGGGGTTCCTGTACCTTGACCTCCCTTTCTTAAAGAAGTAATCTGTTAACAGAGCTTTTGGCTTTCAGGCATCGCCATTAGATCAAGTCTGTGGATGATTCAGCGGCGGCATCATGGATAACCATTACGGACAGGATAATGTGAGCATCCACTAAATCTGGTTCTTCCGTTCTTGATTCATCCTCATCCTGGGCAGGAATGTCTTGCAGGAGGAAGTAAGTGTGGTGGGGTTCGAGGTCCCCCGGTCACCGGACTCGAGCTACACGAACCCCTTCCCAGGGAACGAAGACGAGGCTCGGGACCCGCCGCTCGTCCCGCCCCATCTTCAGCACCCTCTGTTGAGCTACTCACCGAGCAGGGACTGCTCGGGAGGCATACCCTCGCCCCAGAATGTGATCCTCAATCACCTCTACATTGAGAACAGGGAAGCCCCGAGGTCCGTGGTGGCTCTGGGGATCACCCACCGATTCCGTTCCAAATATGTGACCGTCGTTCTGTATAAACCCATTCCCAGAAGGGGGACTTGAGGCCTTGGGCTCCTGTGGCAGAATCCATGGGTAACAGTTGTTACTATTTGTTAAGAAGATGAAGAAGAAGGAGAAGAAGAAGAGGAAGAAGAAGAAGAAGGAGAAGAAGAAGGAGAAGGGGGTGCAGTTGGAAGGGAGATATTTATTTTTTTTCCTCTTTTGACGAGACGATTGTACCAATTTCTCGGAATCATTGTGGCCAGTCTGGTTTCGTTCTCTTCAGGTTTTGGGTTTTTTTCCTGGGTGTGATTTGGGGTCGAATGGCGGTGTGAATCCAGGTTTCTTGCGGGGCTCCGCCGTGTCCGTTTCTCATAATTATCGAAATGTTAGGGTATTCTTTAATATGTTAATTATTTTTGGGTTTTCCGTAAAAGCGTACTCTGGGCTCTCCTGAGTCGCCTGATATGTCCTATCGATCGGACGGCCTTGGTGGAAAGAATCGGTGATCTTCCAGATCTAAGAAGAAATGTGCGTACTTGATTTGCGTGTAAAAATGTGGAGGTTGCAGGTATATAAACGGATGAATATTTATCCCTCTTCTTCCGCAGCTGGGGCGCGTTTTCTTCGTCATCGTTTTGGTTGGGAAGGGGATTTTACTAGAACCCTAACCCTAGCCTGTGCGGTTGTTGCTTTGGATCCAGCTCGGGAAGGGGAAGCTATGGTGGGGTTGTCGCCGATTTTGCAACTCCCCGCGCCTCCGTTGGATGGGAACCTAGGCCCGGTGCCTCTGTCTCAGGTCGTCGGCGACGGCGATTCGGACCTGGTTGAGGGAAAGCTAAAGGAGCAGAGCGGCGGAGCGGAGCAGAAGCCGGGGTCAGTGACGACGCACACCCGGACCATTGGGATCATCCACCCCCCGCCTGATATCCGTACGATCATCGACAAGACCTCCAGCTTCGTCAGTAAGAACGGCCCCGAGTTCGAGAGGCGGATCCTCGCCCACAACGCGGGCAACGCCAAGTTCAACTTTCTCATCCCTACCGACCCCTATCACGCTTACTATCAGCACCGCCTCTCCGAATTCCGATCGCAGCTCCAGAGTTCCGCCGGCCAACCGGAGGCGCCGGCGGATGATTCCTCGAAGCCCTCTGAGTCCGCCCCTGCGGCCGATGCTTCTCTGGCGCCGAGCGAGTCTGCTGTTGCGGCCAAGGTTGACATCGGCGCCCAGTTCAAGATCCCTTTACGCAAAGTTCTCGAGCCACCGGAAGCCGAACAGTACACCGTAAGACTTCCCGAGGGAATTACTGGGGAAGAGCTTGACATCATTAAGCTTACCGCCCAGTTTGTGGCAAGGAACGGCAAATCCTTCCTTGCAGGTCTCACCAGCCGGGAGATCAACAATCCGCAGTTCCACTTCTTGAAGCCAACCCACAGTTTGTTCACCTTTTTCACCGCTCTTGCCGATGCTTACTCTAAGGTATTGATGCCTCCCAAGGGACTGACTGAGAAACTGCGGGGAAGTGCGCGAGACATGACGATCGTTCTCGAGCGGTGCTTGCACCGCCTAGAGTGGGAGCGATCGCAAGAGCAGGCTCGGCAGAAGGCCGAAGATGAGATCGAGCAGGAACGGGTACAGATGGCGATGATTGACTGGCACGACTTTGTTGTGGTGGAGACAATTGAATTTGCCGACGATGAGGATATGGATCTGCCAGAGCCCCTGACATTGGAGGAGGTGATTAGGAATAGCAAGGCGACAACATTAGAGGAGCAACAAGTGTTGGAGATGGCAGAGCCTGGGAAGGAGGTGGAGATGGAGATGGATGAGGAGGAGATCCAGCTTGTGCAGGAAGGCATGATGGCTGCACGGCTTGATGAAAGCAAGGATGAGGAGAAGCTCGAACCAAGGGCTGCTCCTGAACATGAGCCTCCGATGAGGATTGTGAAAAACTGGAGGAAGCCAGAGGAGAGGCATACGGCTGAAAGAGACCCAACTAAGTTTGTTGTCTCTCCCATTACTGGTGAGCTGATCCCCATAAGTGAAATGGCTGAGCATATGCGTATATCTCTCATAGATCCCAAGTACAAGGAACAGAAGGAGAGGATGATGGCTAAGATTAGGGAGACGACACTTGCGCAGGATGATGAAATTTCGAGGAATATAGTTGGGCTAGCAAGAACTCGACCAGATATTTTTGGAACTACAGAGGAGGAAGTGTCAAATGCAGTGAAGGCGGAGATTGAGAAAAAGAAAGAGGAGCAGCCAAAGCAAGTTATATGGGACGGTCACGCCGGAAGCATTGGACGGACTGCTAACCAGGCTATGACGCAAACACCTGGTGAGGAGCAAACTCAGACCAGCACCAGTGATTCCAGGATGCTTCCTGGTCCTGCTCCGCCACCAAAACCTGGCATGCCTATGGTTCGCCCATTGCCTCCACCACCTGGACTAGCGCTGAATATTCCATGGAATGCTCCCAATGCCCCATATTCTATCCCAGGCAGTGGTGGGCTTCCTGTGCATCCAATGTCGAGGCCTCCTGTCATGCCCGTACCCTCATCAGTGAGGCCACCGCCGCCCATGTCTATGTCTTCACAACAGCATCTTATGCAGCCTATGCATCTGGCTCATCAAGTCACCATGAACCCTCCAAGCATGCCAATACCTCCGCCTCCGGGATCCCAATTTACACCTCTGGTTCCGCGGCCTTTTGTTCAGATGACGCCACCACCCCCTCCTATGCAGATGGTTGCGCCACCTTTGCCACAGGGAATGCCACCACCACCCCCTCCTGAGGAAGCTCCTCCACTTCCTGATGAACCAGAACCCAAGAGGCAGAGAATTGATGAAGTGACACTCATTCCTGAGGACAAGTTCCTTGCTCAACACCTGGTACTACTTGGCCTCTGCTACTTATTTTCCAACTCATTTTCGGCCTATGTTATACTTGATATTTTTCCATGTTTTATTATTTTAGCTAACCCAATAACTTCTTAGACTCTAACATTGTGCCTGGCATTTTACTTATTTATTAATTCTTTTAAATTGAAGGGTCCTGCCCGTGTGTCCATATCTGTTCCAAATGTTGACGAGGGAAATCTGAAGGGGCAAGTTTTGGAGATCACAGTCCAGTCTTTGTCTGAGACTATCGGCAGTCTCAAGGAGAAGATCGCTGGAGAAGTCCAGCTTCCTGCAAACAAACAGAAACTTAGTGGCAGAGCGGGTTTCCTTAAAGACAATCTCACTCTTGCCTACTACAATGTTGGTCCGGGAGAAACCCTAACACTCGCTTTAAGGGAACGTGGAGGTCGAAAGAGATGATCGCTCAATCCTGGAAGTGTTTGAAAGGGTAATTAATCTTTTCCAATGTGAGTAACTAATGCGAGAGATAAGAGAAAATACTGGAGATATTGCATGTACGTCACGCCCTGACTAAGTGTGCTCTGTGTCTTCTGCAGACATTACAGAACTGATCATCACATTGCGGAGTACCATATTGGCAAAAGCCGTTTTCGGTGACCATATTGTGAACCTTGTGATTTGTCTACGTCTGTCAGACTCTGAAATTATGTTGTTTCTTCTGCAGACATTCCTCTTTTTGGATGATCATGTTGTCAAGTGCTATCTTAACGAATGGAGCAACCCAACAGTGGCTTCTCGTAGCCCACCTATATAGACTCTCTCTTCTCTCTCTCTCTCTCTCTCTCTCTCTCTCTCTCACGCCTCTTTTCCTGCTGACGACTCCCTGTAGAAAGCTCTTCTTATTGCTGTTCTAGAACTGCCCTAATAATTTTCTAGTCAATGAATGTCGGCTCTGTCTCATTTAGCTTAATGGCGTGCAGGTTGCTTTCCGAACGTATTTCCAGGTCTTATGCTCTCTAAGCAGCTGGCTCATGGTGCTTTTTGACCATTGATTCCTTTTGCAGCATCCTATTGCGATGTTCTCACCCCACGCCTAAGCGAATGGCGGCCGGTGCTCCACGTGGGCAGCCCATTTCTACTACTTTTCTTTACAATGCTTGTCCGAAAATGTTTTCCTGAATTAGTTTTGATGATGTAAATTAATGACCTTTTTTCCTCTTTCAAGACTCTCAAATCCTGGTAAGCTCACCGCTAGTTCCCGGAAGTGCGGGTGCTGGTAGCCATTTATTCAGCGTGATGGTCCTCTTGCGGAGTCAACGTGTAGGATTCTGACCATGAAGAACAGTTTTCTGGTCGGGAGGCCCTGGGATGAACGGATCAGGTGTTGTCTGAACAGTCGCTGGGTCAAGGCCGCAGGTTGGCCAGAAGTAGATTTCTTGCTAGATAAGAGTTTTTTTCTCAGTCTCGTTGACTTCTCCTAAATGGTGAAGTTACCCCCTAGTCCAGCTACTATCGTTGACTTCTGAGTCGCTTTCTTATGGTCCGTGTGAGTGGCAAGTAATTATGGGGTGGGCGCGCCTCATCAAAACCAATTAAGGCTATTCCAAATCTGACGGCATCTAAGCGTGGGGTGGGTCTACCCCTTTGAGAGAGAGAGAGAGAGGGAGGACTAAATGTGGGGCCAGCTGACGTGTCTCTGCTGGGTGGGTCAAAAGAAGGACGCTGCGTGATTACGCCGCCAATCAACGACAGCGGGAGTTATGGTGTTCCGCAAGAGCAGGGTGTGGGGCAGTGCCCCACCACGGAGGGCACGTCCAGTTTCTTTGTCTTTTCTAGTAGGTAGACTAACCAAAACTGATCCGGGGTATCTCTGGTGGAGGAAGAATCCCACTGGTCAGTCTAAACGGCAGGTTCCGGTGCGGAGGCTGCATTCCCTCATCACACTCTCCTCCGCCTGGTTCGAGGTTTCTTTCTCGCCTTCTGGATTTGCTTTTCGCTTTTTTTCTTTCTTCCCTGTTCTCTGCTTTCTCTTGTCGGGTTCTTGCCCATTTGCTAATGCACTGGTTTCCTGCACGTGCAGCCTTCAGTAATCACCGAATCGGCTTGTTCTGGTGCCGGCGGCGGAGTTCTTCGCGCTGTTCGGTGGCGAATTCCGACAGGTTTCGGAGGGGTGGGCGGTGGGGAGTTCCTTCTTCTTCTTCCTCCGGTCTCGATCAGTTGAAGTGAGTTCTACTCCTCGTGGTGGCAACGGAGGGCGCCCAGAGCTGTCGTTCACCGTTTGGAAGGCGCTAGGGCTCAGGGTTTTGGATTCTCGTTGGCGAAGGCAACGCGAGGAAGTGATAATCTTCCAATGCCGGGCTATTTCTGGTAAGGAATAGCTTCCTTTCCTCCTGTTTCAGTGGACAAAGGTGCTTCTATATCTTCACGAGCAGTGAGAACTGTTACGGTGGTAATTTTTCGCCCTCAGGTGCAAATGTGGCTGCTGGGAACGTACGGTGAAGCAGTTATCGTAATCTAACGTGCGAGAGGGAGAGCTCTTCGTTCTCTTTGTTTGGCGCGAAATTCTTCCCCGTTACCGACGGCGGCTCGAGTTTGATGGAGGAAATCCAGTCTTATTCGGATAATTATAGGTCTTCGTCATCCTCAGCGAGTAGTCCTGCAGGCAGAGCACCGTCCGGCAACTTCTTCTATTTGCGCAAACCAGGATCCCAAAGACGGCCTATCTCATTTGAGGACTCACCCGAGTGGGATGACGCAGAAATTGATGCCCAGCTCGAGGAAGGTGTCGACGCCATCAATGTAGGAACGGCGGCTACTTCCCCATATCTGTCGAACGTCAACAGTCTGTCAATAGCATCACCATCATTGCCGGAGGTTTCTGCGCCGGTGACAGAGAGAAAGATTGCTGGGGCGTCAGTTGTCTGGAAAGATCTGACCGTCACGGTGAAGGGGAAAAGGCACTACTCTGACAAAATCGTGAAGAGTTCCAATGGTTATGCATTGCCTGGAACTCTTACGGTAATTATGGGTCCTGCTAGGTCAGGAAAGTCAACACTACTGAGGGCAATGGCAGGTTAGACCAAGATGATTGTGATTATTCCATGTTATGTTTCAAGTTCTCTTCAAATGATTCTATGCATTACTATTTATCTACTCGGTGAAGGAGAAGCAAAAAAGAACTGCTTAATAATAGTAGGACAATGTTCATTCTCAGGAGTTGGTTTTAGGCAGCATCTTCACCTCTACGGTCCTGATCAGCCACCCTGAGACTGGCGTTGGATTAGCCCCTACCTGGTAAAAGCCACTAAAAGAATACACAAATTCCCATTGCTGCATCAGTGCAAATTAAGGGCCTTGGAGATAAATATTTACTTTGTCTATCATTGGAACATAGAGATTTGTTTGGACCGAAGATTTGAACTAGTCAAAAAAATAAAATGTATTATGAGTTGGGGGTTTATATTTTTTGAGTCCTGTATGTCTTAGCATGTAAATGATATTTATATTTCATCCACAAATATCTCTTGTGGGTCATGCCGTGAATTTGCCTATCTCTCAGTCCTCTCTTTGTTTGATCTTTCTAAGGTAAATTGCCGAGTCCTGCGAGAATGTATGGCGAAGTGTTTATAAATGGCTCAAAGGAGAGTATGCCATATGGTACATACGTAAGTGATTCCAATTGTCACGGTGTCCAGTGCCATTGCTCGTTTTAGAACTGGATTAATCTTTACTTTACTTCCCATTCTTGTCCTACAGGGATATGTTGAGAGGGAAGACACATTGATCGACTCTCTTACAGTCAGAGAGATGTTATACTACTCGGCACTTCTTCAGCTTCCTGGCTTCTTCTCACAGAAGAAAAGTGCAGTAGAGGATGCCATTCAAGCCATGTCCCTGGCGGACTACTCTGACAAGGTCATTGGTGGACAGTGCTATGTGAAGGGTCTTCCATCTGGAGAGAGGAGACGCATTAGCATTGCCAGAGAACTTGTGACTAGACCTCATGTTTTATTTGTCGATGAACCTCTCTATCACCTTGACAGGTTTCTTCAAAGTCCCCACTTTAGATTTCAATTTATTGGACGCCTTTTTCTCCAAGGCATTTTTTCTTACCCCTGATTTTATTTATGCCTTCAGCGTCTCTGCGCTTTTGATGATGGTTACATTGAAGAAACTTGCGGGCACAGGTTGCACACTCATTTTCACAATGTACCAAAGCAGCACAGAAGTTTTTGGCCTCTTTGATCGGATATGCTTGCTTTCCAATGGAAACACACTATTTTTTGGGGAGACATTGGCCTGCTTACAGGTAGATGCTTCATTTGTTTTCGCATCCTGAACTGTGCTTCGAGATTTGTGGCTTAACGTCTACAGCCTGAATCGTTTGATTGTATTCTGCATATCAATGGGTACCTTTTGTAAGATATAAAAAATTTACAAGGTTACGATTTCTCTCATGTAACATATTTGGAAGTGACTAATCTAGCAATGTCTTTGATTTTTATGCAGCATTTCTCAAATGCAGGATTTCCTTGCCCAATTATGCAGAGTCCCTCTGATCACTTTCTACGTGCTATAAATACGGATTTCGATAGAATCATAGCCATGTGCAAGAGTTTGCAGGTACATGTGCCCTCATTTGCCCCCATTTATCTGTAATTTTTGTGTTGGGAAGGTTTTATACACAACCGTACACATGATCCTTTGCAGGATGACAATGGGGATTTTACATCGGTGAACATGGACACAGCAGTTGCCATCCGGACTTTGGAGGCCACTTACAAACTATCTTCTGAATCAGCTGCTGTCGAATCAATGATAGAAAAGCTTACCAAGAAGGTAAAGTTTTTTAAACTAAACTTTTCATTAAACTGAGACTATAATGCACCTTTCTTCAGATCACTTCTTCTTCAGTGTTTCTTTACAAGTTTGGAACTTTTTTTTTAATTTGTCCGGATACTTAGTAGCTTATCAGCATGTCTGTGCACCAGGATGGGCCTCTTATTAAGAGCAAGGGCAAGGTTAGTAGTACCACAAGGGTTGCGGTTTTGACATGGAGGTCTTTGTTGATTTTGTCAAGGGAATGGAGATACTTCTGGCTCCGTATTGTTCTTAGTTTGCTTCTGGCAGTCTGTGTTGGCACAATGTTCTTCAACATGGGCCATTCCTTGTCTTCTGTAATGGTAAGTTCTTCCTGTATCTCAGAAGCTTCAAGTGACCAGATGGGATGAAAACCCTGTGAACCCATTGCAGCTATAATAATCTCCCACTCCTAAACTTTCAGGTCAGAGTCTCATCCATCTTTGTGTTCGTATCATTCGTCTCCTTGCTATCTATTGCTGGATTACCTGCGTATATCAAGGAAATCAAGGTAATCTCATTTTATCCCGACTATCTTCCTCGGATTCTCCTGTAATGGAAAACCTTCTTACTCTACAGGTTTACGCTAGTGAAGAATCTAACGGGCACACGGGAGCCCTGGTATTCCTGCTCGGGCACGTCTTGGCCAGCATCCCGTTCCTGTTCCTCCTCTCCATTTCCACCAGCATCGTCTTCTATTTTCTGGTTGGGCTGAGGAGCGAGTTCAGCCTGCTGATGTACTTCGTCCTGAACGTCTTCACCTGCCTCCTGGCCAACGACGGCCTGATGATGGTCGTCGCCTACGTCTGGCTGGAACCCTTTCAATCCATTCTGAACCTGGTCTTCATTCACGTGAGTCCCCATTAGATCCCATCACCATCATCATCCCCGGATGAGCGAAAAACGTTTCCTTTCCTTGTTTTCAGGTGATCATGATGCTGGCGGCGGGCTACTTCCGCATCCACAGCAACTTGCCGCGACCCATTTGGATGTACCCGCTGTCGTACGCCGCTTTCCATACCTACTCTATCCAGGCAAGTTCCCGCCGCCGCCCGCCGGCGTTGGTTCGCCCCTGCTAATCTTCCCCGGCCGGCGTTGCTCTCGCAGGGGCTTTTGGAGAACGAGTACCTCGGCACGGCGTTCGCCGTCGGGCAAGTGAGGAGCATCTCCGGCACCCAGGCCCTGCACGGCCTCTACACCATCTCCTCTTCGAGCAGCGCCAAGTGGGCCAACCTGCTCGTCCTGCTCCTCATGGCAGTCGCCTATCGGGCCGTCCTGCTCGTCCTCCTCGGCTGCTCCGCAAGGACGGTCGTCTCCCGTTGCCGGCGGCGCGTGGCCGGCGTGTGTGCAGGGGCGCGGCGGAGGAATTAGTAAGTGCACCACCGGGCCATTAGTTCCTTTTTATTCTGTAAATAAAGCTACCGTCTTTGCAGCAGAGTTATTCACGGGAGAGTAGTAGCCATTCTCGGGGTAGTTATTATTCACCGAGCCTTGAGGTCGAGGATGAACTGGTCGAGGTTCCTGCGGGAAGATCCGCCGGCGCTGGCAAGGGCACCCCTCGCCTCCTTCATCGCCGCGTCGAGGCTGTCGCGGGCGGCGCCGCCGCCCATCAGCAGGCCGATCTTACGCGCCACCTCCTCCCTCCGCGCCGCGCTCCCTCGGCCGCTTACCTCGAGCCCGATCCTCCATTCGTCGACGACCAGCTTCCTGTTGGTGAACTGGTCCGTCAGCAGGGGGAAGCACAGCAGCGGCACGCCGCACCAGATGCTCTCCAGCACGGAGTTCCATCCGCAGTGGCTCAGGAACCCTCCCACGGCGTCGTTGGATAGGACCGCCGCCTGGTTACACCACGGCACCACCAGCCCCCTCCCTCCGCCTCCGCCCTCCGCCAAAGCTAGCGGCAGCGGCTCCCCCTCGCCGGCGCCGGCAATACCCGGCCGTAGCGCCCACAGGAAGCTGACCCCGCTCTGCAGGACTCCCATCGCGATCTCCTCCAGGTCCCCTCGCCGGAGCTGGGCATAGCTGCCAAAGGAGACGTACAGGACGGTTCCCCGGGGCCTGGTGGCGAGCCACTGCGCGCAGTTTGCTTCAGGCCACATGCTGGTCTTCACGGGGCTGGTGGGGAAGCCGGCGGGGAAGAGGGGACCGACGGTGTAGAAGGGCTTCTCCCGGCGGAGCGCCGCCACGGTCGCCGGTTCGAGCTCCTCCGCCGTGTTGCAGAGCACCAGGTCCGCCGCCTTCGCCCCCTCGAACGCCCTGAAGATGATCTGGTGCACGACGGAGGACGTATCCTTCTCCTGCAGGTACGACATCAGGTCCCCCGGATCCATCGCCCCCACCCCGGGGACGTAATCTATGGCATCCTCCCTGTTGTTCTCTGCCCACGAGAAGACGGTGAGGAAGAAGGGAGAGAGAAAGAGATAGAGATAGAGGGTGACAGAGAGATCGTCGTGTTACCGGAGGAGGCGAAGTGGCCGTAGTATCTGAGGAGGTCGAGGTGGTAGTAGAGAGAGAAAACCAGAGCGGGCTCGGTCCAGAAGGAGGCGTGAAGGAGGCCGAACTTGCTGGATAGGGCGGCGGGCCAGACGAAGAAGGTATCGGCAATGAGGCAGGTCGGCGGCGGGTGACGGCAGGAGATCCTGCGGAGGAGGGATTCGACGTGGGCGGAGGACACGTGGAGGAGGGCCAGCATGAACTGGTCGTGGTTCGAGGACCTGTCGAAGTCCGCCGGGAGGCCATCGCTGACGAGCTCGTAGCGGATGTCCAGGCCGGCGGCGCTGCGGACCCCCTCGAAGATGTCGTCATCGTCGCCGCTGCCGGCGGCGGCGGTGTGGCGGGCTGTGGAGGTGCGCCGGTGGACGGCCTCCGTGTTAACGAAGGTGACGGTGAGGCCCTCGGTGGCCAGCTTGATGGCGAGATGGACGGCGGGGATAACGTGCCCTTGCAGAGGGTACGGGATGACGACGGCGTGCCCCTTCTTCTCCCCCTCTCCCTGCATCTGCACTGTGAGATGGAGAGAGAGAGAGAGAGAGAGAGAGAGAGAGAGAGAGAGCGAGCGAGAGAGAGAGCGAGAGGCCGAGTTTTGAAACAAACTGATCGGGCCGAGAGATTCGGGTGGGGATGCAGGAAGGAGTCATCGGTTCCTGGGCCTGCTCCCTGCATAGCCACTAATAGGCCATTGAACTATGTAGCCCAATATCATAACAAATCACTAATGGACCACCTGAGAGCTCATAATGGCCCAACAGCATTATGATCGGTAATTACATTAGGCCTGGTACGACGGAGTGGGCCATACAATGGATCTCACAATGGCCCGTTATGGTGGAGGTGGAAGCCTCACGTTGACCAGGAGAGGACGCGGGGTTTGACCGACTCCCGGCCGCGCTGAACGAACCGGACGCCCCTTGTTCTTTCTTTTCCGCCTGTTTTGTCAAATCAAATTTGAGGGCCGGGAATTCCTTCTACGTTGATTCTTCCGCCTCCGTTTTCTTCTGGTAACCTCCCGCCATCTCGCGCTGCCGCGGCATGGCAGCGGCCGATCTCTGCAATGGGGAGAGGTTCGTCGTTCTCATGTTCCTCTCGCGCGTCCTCTTCTCCGTTCCAATGTCGCTGTCCTACGAAGCAATCGGACTCGGCGTTCTCGCGGTAGCAGGACTCATCGTCGAGATCTCTGTGGAGAGATCTGGCGATGCAGCGAGACGTTTCAGAACCAGGTGCGTTGGTCAATTTCCTGTGGCCCGTCCTAATGTGGAAATTTGGTTGCGTGCGTGTTGAGTTGGTTGTTCGGCCTTTGTCGTACGATTTGCATCAATATATTTAATTTTAAACCACTGTGATCTCCCTCCTAAAATTAGTAAAATGCCAAAAGCTGAAGGGCGCAAGCCTTGTGATATAAATCACTGTGCTGTTTAGCCTCTCGTCATCAATTGAAGCCATATCTTATCTCATATTCACCGATGTAAAAATTATAACTCCTCATGTCCTTCGGATTAGCGGATATTACAGCACATAGTAGAATTTTACGGTACGTACAAAGTTACAAACATAAGGTATGGGGAATGATCAGTTATTGATTTTTTTAACGCATAATTTACTTTCAGGCGTGGTGCTTCATCTGGAATCCTACTTGGTGCAATTACATTGCCTGCTGTTATGCTTTCAAGATTGATTCAACTATCTAGATCGCTTGGAATACATAATGCTAGAGTTGACGGTAAATGATGCTTTACCTCCAGAGGGACTCAGAAATAGGATTTTTTTTTTTATAAAAGAATTGAGGTTGTGACGAAGTTGAACTATTGTATAATTGATTTGATGCAATTTTTATTGGATACTTTTTTTCTTTTGACTATTTTCTTGTCGTTTAAACGAACATTTTCTTAGCTCACCGATGATAATTCGCCTACCACCTAGTAGATAAGCATGATTTAAACTCACTGGCTGCTAATTTTAAATTCTTTAATTTTTTTCGGTAAGATGTAACTCTCTATTAGCTGATGGTACCAAAATTAACAACTCTGGACGAATCCCACTGAACTATATTCCCATAACTGTTAGGAATGTTTTGCGTTGAACATTATCTGGTTTCTCTTACCAGATTATCTTTTTATGGGCCTCTATTTAGTTTTTGAAAGTTGTCGCAGGCTTGGAGTACCTGGAAGAGTAATCACCGTGAATAATTGTTAGCTTTCCTGGCTGATTGCCTCCATGCAGTGAAATATATGGATGGCTTCAAACCGTTTATCTCGTAAATTTTCCAAGTATGCAGCTCCCGGCTCTCTGGCAAGGAGACTGTGCTGCTACACTTTGGCCGTCTGGCAAGGACAATTGTTAGCTTTCCTGGTTGATTCTACATGAGAAAGCCTCAATGCAGCTAACTACTTGACGGCTTCAATACCTCTTATCTCTGAGATTTTGTAAGTTGTACACAGATCTTGGCTTTGTGGCAAGGACACTGTGCTGCTACACTTTGGAACCCTCAATGAATGAAGATTTTCGAGATTTCTTAACTTTAAGGCCTAGTATATTAAGACACTATTCAAGTGATAGGATTGATCTATTGCCACACTTCTGTGGACCGCGGGTTCTCTCTTGGGTGTATAAGCCTTTCCTTGTCCTGGCATGGGGGTTGGCCAAATTGGCATCAGAGAAACAATCGGAAGAAAAAAATGACTAGGATCAAACTGATTCAGGTGTTGTGATATACACTGCTATGCCAGCAACAATCAAAGATACTGGACCTCGTTTAAAAAGCCTTACCCGTGCAACTTGATCTTATGCCTCGGGCCAGTTAATGCAATCTCTTTTACTAGTCTTTACGTATCAAAAGAGTCGATGAAAGGAAGTAATTAATGTACCAGAATGGTTTTTGAACAGATTCGTATCTTATGAACAAGATGGTGCATTTTTCGTGAAGGTGAATCGTTGATTATATTCCTCTAGTTATGTAGGATAATATCAAGAATAAGATGGTGCATCTTACTTGTAGGTATTTATGATCGTGATAGAACTCTGAATAATTTTTATTTGTTTCGTTGAATCTTGATATTTCATCCTGACAAACTTCTGAGCTTTGACCTTAGTTTTATATTTTTATTTTTCTTCCTTCGACAGAGTCCAGTAAATATCTGATTATTTTTTTGTTGCATACATTTGAATCATTTCACTTTCCACATCTATGGGCTGCAGTACTTGCATAGAAAACATCTATTTCTTATTTTGTCTTTTCAAAAACTATTATTTGTCTTCATGTTCATATTTTTATTTCTGACATTGATTTCTTCTTTTGAAAAGAGATTGAATGCATGCTACTGCAATATTGGGCTGCTAGTGTGAGCTGCTTTGGCGTACTTATCTTTTTTTTCCTATTCCTGCGGCATTCATCCAGCTCCCCAAAGCTCGGTATATGGTTTGTGGTTGCTTATGTGATCACTTGTTGCTTGTCTCTTGGAGTCAAGTCCAATGATGGTTAGTTACAATTTATGCACCCAACGGTTCAACTAGGGGACAAATGCTTTTGTATGCAGTATTCAATGTTTTTCTGTTCTTGTGTCTACAGGTCTGCTTGTGGCAGTGAAGATGTTGTGGTTACTTTGTCATGGACTCGCCTGTTCAACACTTGTTCAGCATATCCTTCATGCCTTTCCGTCATGTGCTTCGATAGGTAGATATTTTCATTCATTGATCTTCAACTTAGGTCAAGTTAAGCTTTCATTTGACCATGAAATAATGTTTAAGATGATTAGCCAGCGCTGGAGTATCTAAATTATGACCCTCAAATGATAGGCTGGGAAACCATTTTCGTTAAACCTCACAGTATAGGGAAGTGGGAAACCATCTTCAAATTAAGACAACATACTCTGCTTATGGATGCTAGCAGTCGATTGAAGAATTCTATATCCAACCTTGAAACCTCCAGGAAGAAATGAATTCTAAGATTGGATATTCTCCTAGAGAGGAGTCAATCTCTTGCATAGTCCAGTTGTGAATCCAGGACATGGATCTCTCAAGCCATAAACACCATTGACATCCACCACCTGTTTTATGAGTTAACTTACGACCTGAAATGGGGGTGGTATTTGGTGTTTGGGATAAGTTGCTTGTGTGTAAGGATATTATTTGGCATTCCAACGAACCAATGTGTACAGATGAGCATTTTTGGAGTATTATCTGAAAAAAATTCAGGACAATTAATCTAGAATACCCTCTGCACGATCAGAACCCATAAAGAAAGGGTTTATTGACTTTGATGACGTAAAACGTCATTTAAAGATATGTATAAACCCACAGGCCTTGAAAAAAATTTGTTAATCAGCTTTCACATTTTGTCCCAACAGTCGCATCTTTGATTCACATCCTGTCAAATGATGTTTCATCAAATCCCTAGCCCAAATCGGTCCATATCCTGTTTCTGGAAACAGTCAAAAACCCTCTTAAAGGAAAAAAAATAGAAATAAATCAACGTTCTTATTTAATAACGTTTTAACTGGCACAAATAGGTAGATCTGTTGTTAACTGGCCTCGCTGCTAGTCATATTATTATCCAGCCTGCATAGATTGTGTCCTGAGGTAGCAGTGGATGGATTCCTGGCAGAAAGGATCGTATCTGAGATTAGGATCCTTGTTATTTTTCTTTTCAACTTCCTTTCATCGTTGACTCATTATGAGCTTATGATGCTTTTCTTTCTCCACGTGCCAAGAAAATGCCTTCTGGATATATTTGATCTCTATGAAGCCAATTCAGATTATTTGGGTCCCATCCTCGTATTTCATTTCGCTCTAACTCCACCCTTTCTGATTTTCAGGGGAAGCTCTTCTGGTGTCTAGTGGTCTTGTTATATACTTTGGTGATATGTTGGCTTACACTCTCTCAAAGGTCTGTCTGCTATCCCATTCTAGAGACTCTATATATTTTTTTCTGCGGAATAAACTCTATATTTAGAAATTTTTACCTACATTTCCCAGAATGAGATCTTCTCACAATTCTTCAACTTCATCCACGGAAAACAAACCCGGATAAGCACTTTCATTCAGGTAAGGCCCTTGAAGGGATCAAAGCTAGATGTATCTTCCTTTTTCTAATTTGCCATTTATTGAAAGTTATGTTAAATGTAGGGTATTCTGCTCGGCCTTCTGCTCTTGCCTCTGCTCTACAAATGTCTTCTCCACATCTGTGATCAATTATCAGCTCTAAGCGAGCCCAAGCCTCCTGTGGGTGGTGGGAGCCCTTGCAGAGGAGTTGGAAGATCTATATTGTTTTATGCTTCTTCGGCAGTCCTTTTGGCTGTGGTTGCCCCGTTGTGGATGGAATATGTTCACGATTTTCCTCTGCATCCTGTGCTATGGTACGCATTTTCTATATACATATATATTGATTTATTTATTGGCCTCTGTCATTAAATTTAACCCGGAAAACTTTCTATTTTCGCTCGCTCCTGTTACTCGAGCAGCATGAATGATCTAGCTAGTTCACCCAAAGACATAGATTTTTGGTATAAACGCAAATCATGGATCAACAGAACGTATAAATTCAACAAAGAGAAGCCTATTCGTGCTTAAGATGGCATATAATTCCTGATTTAGTCCCCATCAGATAAACTATAGTTTATGCGATTCGAATTATCATCTGTTTCCTTCTGTCCTAGAACCATCGAATCATATGATGCATTGTCTCACCATAGGTGCAGAAAGTGCGCTTTTTGAGAGATGGGCATGATTTTGGTCTGATTCCGACGATTTCCATGAACAAAAACCTTTCGTTCTTTTCTATTAGATATGGAGGGTTAGTGGACGGAGTCAGATATCTTCATCTGATGATGTTATCGAGGCTTCCGAAGCCGGGCTTCTTTTAGCCTAAATGCTTCAAGCATTCTCAAACTCTTAAGGATTTTTTTCCCATATTTAGAGGGCATTCTTTTGCAGGATCTTCGATTTTGTCATCGCGGAGCCGCTCGAACGCCTACTGCTGTGTTCTTACTGGATCGCCATAATCTGCGCGTCTGTCGTAAGATTCTACAACATCTCAAAGCACAGCAAGATTGAGCGGATTCTTCTCAGAAAGTACTACCATCTGGTGGCAGTCTTGATGTTCCTGCCGGCGCTTCTCTTCCAGGTAAGCTTGCCCATCAGAGGAGGTGTGACTGTGTTTCACATATTTTGGGTTCTTCTTACCTCTTTCGATCTTCTCCTCTTGGCGACTCGCAGCCGAAGTTCCTGGACCTGGCATTTGGAGCCGCGTTGGCCGTCTTCCTGACGCTGGAAATTATCAGAGTAAGTAGATCCCCCGTGTGCAGAATCAGGGCCCTCTATTGCATCCTCACCTCATATTGCTGCTATTTCCGTCTGACCTTGGTGCTAGTTTCCCAAATGAATGAGAGATTTCCATGTCCCATTCGACCATAGTTTTATTTTCCAGAACGTACTAGAGATTTATATGCATCCCCGGCTGATCTGATGTTGTGTTTCAAAAAAATATAAATCTTTTTACACTGCCCACTGACCTTGGTGCCACCTAACCTTATTAACGAAAGCATCTTCATGCCAACTCAGATTCCCACTGTTGTGCTTATTTTAAAAACACATACACAGGTTTGGGGAATCTGGCCTCTGGGACAGTTCGTGCATGAGTTCATGAATGCCTTCACTGACCATCGTGACTCGGATCTTCTCGTCGTCAGGTACCCTCTCTCTCTCTCTCTCTCTCTCGCTCTCTCTCTCTCGCTATATATATGTATATATATATATATGTAAGTTGTTAATGGTATGGTCACTTGTTGCAGTCATTTCTCCCTCCTGCTGGGCTGTGCACTCCCCAAATGGTTGTCGCTAGAGGTCAACGACCGGCCACTCGCCCCTTTCGCCGGAATCCTTAGCCTGGGAATCGGAGACACCATGGTAAACCCGGTCTCCTTCCTCCTCTCGTCTCTCCCATTCCAGACAGAGTCAGGCTTTGAAGGCTTTCCTTCACAACTGAATATTTTCATCACCAAACCTGCTTTATTAATATGATCATTACTTTTATTTTTATTAACCGCATGTCACCACGTGTCTCAGGCGTCGGTGGTCGGGCATAAGTACGGTGTCCTCAGGTGGAGCAAGACGGGGAGTAAGCATAGTACCATCTCCTTCATCTCTGAGGAATTTTTTTTCGCTAGCCCTTGTGTGGTTGACGAGGGGTTGGTGCTGCCGTGGCCAGAGAAAACCGTCGAGGGCACCGCCGCCGGCATAACTTCCGTGCTCCTCACGTCCTCGGCTCTTCTCCCTCTTCTAGCTTCCACCGGCTATATGCTCTCTCAGGTACCCCTCCTCCCTTACCATCTCCAATTATTCGGGGGCCTTTGTTCTCTCTTCTATCTGCCTGACTGTGAAGAAGATAGATAGAGAGAGAGAGAGAGAAAGAAACTGGGCTCCGGGCTTGGGTGGCCCATTAGCACCGAGAGAGAGAGAGAGCACTGACCTGTGCTCCGATTTTGCCCAGCATTGGTGGTCCCTGCTCTCGGCCGTGACCGTGAGTGGGTTGTTGGAGGCGTACACCACTCAGCTGGACAACGCCTTCATCCCCCTCATCTTCTACAGCCTCCTCTGCTTGTGAAGCAGGTACGCACCATCTCCTCAACACCCTGCAATGGCATTTTTGTAAATTTCCTGTACGATGAGGCCACTCGCGCTATATAAATATCTTTCGTTGACCGGCATCCACTTTTGTCGCCACGTGGTCTCACATGCCCCGTCCCCCAGACCATGGAAAGGTCAACTTCTCTCCTTACCACAATAGCGGTGGGCTCCCTGGTCAAACCGGAACCGCGCGCCCCCCCCCACATCCTCCCTCACTAACCTGTTCCCATTCTGCCGACTTATCACCCGCCGCCTCTCTCTCTCTATCACTAGAGTTGACTCGCCACCCGACACAATCATCCAGCCAAGGGGCGCCCATCGATCCCCATCTGCATTGATCAGAGATGTATACTTCCAGAATAATCGACAACGGTGATGACGCCGCCAGCTCACAGTTACGTCAACCTTTCTCGCTTCCGACGGCAACCCACGCCGTCGCCGCCGCCGCGGGCTGGGAGAGCGTGGGGCCTGCTCCCCTATGGTTGACCAGCGGGCGCCACACGTCCACGATGGCTTTCTTGCACGGAAAACGACCTCCCCCGACCGGGACTCACCGATGGCGCTTCAGGCCGCGCGAAAGCCCAGTGATTGTGTGGTCCAGATTGCACGATCACCCAAAAATCATGATCATTCGCCATCCCAGAGGCCGTCTCTTCGCCCCTTATATTAAATGTCATCTAGAAATCTCTGGAGGACATTAGTTTCACAGCAATGTCTTCTTCTCCGAGACAACGACCGCGCCACGGCAGCGGTCACTATGCCGGCGGCGTGTCCTCCTGAAGCGGATGCTGCTGACCGCATCCGCCTGCGTGAGCGGCGTAAGAAGTCTCTCTCTGCACGTGTGCTTTCTGTGGTTGAATTACCTCGAGATTTCTCCTCTATTTGCCGCGCAGACTGAATCGTTTCCGCCTCTCCCTCGATCTGAATTAATTTACTATTATTCCGAGATTTTCAACGGTGCGTTTCTACATGATGAAGGATTAGATAGATGAATTGATTCTCTCTCTCTCTCTCTCTCTCTCTCTCTCTCTCTCGATTATTTGCTCTTGCTTCATTATTCCTTCTCATTTATCCCCCTTCGACGAGTATAGAAGGATTAGACTGATGGATCCTCTCTCTCTCTCTCTCCAAGATGTGTTTACTGTTATTTCGATATTTCTCCAGAACCGCTAGTCTAGAAAGGAATATAGGAGAGCTAGAGGGGCCGTCTCCGCAGGGGAGGTAGGCTCCACCGCCTCGATGATCGGAGAGTGGGGAAACGGGAATCTCACTCCGTCCTCAATGCGAACAAAGGGAAAACAATCCGCTACGGAGATTAAAAAAATAAAGAGATACCCTCAGGCGGGCTCCATGCGCCGGCAGATACGTCCCATAATCGCCGATTTAATTAGTATCCCCGCCGCCCTGCCTGATAGCTCTTCTCTTGGAAAGGAAGTCATCCACCGCGGTGAAGAAAACAGTCACTCGGGTCGCATTCGATTAATAGATTTCCGAAATAAATTATAGCATCAGATCAGCTAATTCGGCTTCACCGGAGGCGGGCAGGGGCAGCCGGAGCGAGGGAGGAGGTGACATGTCGCCCACCTTTCCTTTTGATGGCGGCGGCTGCTTGCCCGTGAGGGATGAGACGGATCGACCGGGGGCCGTACGAGGGCTGCATCATTTCCTGCTGATGGCGGGGGGAAATGTTTGCAGAAAGCCTACAGTGAGCCGCAGGAAAGACGGTGGAAGCCCATCATATCGGAGAAGAGAAAGGATGGAACCCGCCATTAGTGAGTTGAGGTGAGGGTATTCATTGAAGAGGGAGATCCCTCCCCCAGCGGACGTGCGTGGAGGGCAAGGCGCCTCGCCGCCGTCGTGCTGATGAGAGCGACCGGACGGCGGAAACTTCCGTTCATAGCGGGAAAAGAGAGAGAGAGAGGAAGGGAGAAACAAAATTGAATAAACCAACTAACCAACAAACAAAGGTGGAGCTGGAGACAGGGCCCCACAGCCGAGAGACGCTAATGACTTGTCGCCACCTGTCCCATTCTAGCGCGTCAGATATTCCCTATAATATTCTTTTATTTACATCTCTCTCTCACTCTCTCTCTTCCTCCTCTCTACCCCGACTCTTTCACATGACGGAGCAGGCGTTAGGGTTCTCGTCGCTGAAGTACTGCGGGGCGTGGAACGTGTTGACGTTGTAACCGTACTGAGGAGGAGCGTAAACCCCGAAGCCGCCGAGGCCGTGGAACTCCATCTTGTTGGCCTCCGCCACCGCCTTGGCGGCGCCGCCGCCCTCCTCCTTCTTCTTCTCCCCGCCGCCACCCTCTTCCTTCTTCTTCTCCCCTCCTCCCTCCTTCTTCTTCTCGCCGCCGCCGTCGTCCTTCTTCGGCCCGACCACCGACACGCTCCGCTTCAGCTTCTGCTTCAGGTACTCCGGCAGGGCCTTCGCGTCCATCGTGCCCTTCACCGTCACCTCCTCCTTCTTCCGGTCGATGACCACCGCCTCCACTCCTGCAGCAGAAACCAACCAGCCAGACGCATTCAACGTTAAGCCTCCCCCTGAACGCCGCCGTACCACGAAATTGCGATGCTCAGAAGTAGCAGTGGCGGTAATCAGAGGCGGGGGCAATAAAGGGAGATCGACGGCGGGAAAGGGCGACTGCAGGGAGGGTGATTCCTGAGATTTTGCAGGCGGCAGCAGCAGTCACCAGCGCGCCTCACAGAGTAAGATCCACGAAGATCGCCCACCGTGGACCACCCGGAGGAGAAAGAGCAGGACGGTAGAGAAGGTGGGGCTGCCTGGTAATCAATGGCACACGCCCATTTGTTCCTCCAGACCTCAAAGCTGATCATCGATCAGCTTTCCCGTTCGTGTCCCAGCACTTCGGGATTCCCGAGCGGGAGAATGTTAATGCCGGCGGATAAGGCGACAAATCAATCCATCGGGGAAGATATCGATCACCGCGGATAACCAGATTGCTTACCATTCACTTTGGCAATGATCCTCTCGATGCGCTGCACGCAGCCTTCGCAGTGAAAGCGGACATGCAGGGTGACCGTCGACACCACCGGCTGCATTTTCGAAGCCCAAAAGTCAAAAAATCGGAACGAAAACACGGACAGGACGAACGAGTAATCGAGGATCTCGCGCCGATTGGAATCTCAATTGAGCTGGTGAGAATGAATGAATTTATGTGGAGAGAAGAATGATTGATACCTCCTTAGATTTCTTGTCGTCGGCCTTCTTCTCGCCCTTCTCGTTGCCCCCCTTCTTCTCTTCCTTCGGCTTCTCCTCCTTCTTGGGGACGTTGGGGGAGATAAGGGCGACCGTCTTGTGCGTCTTGCTTTCCACCCGGTCCCGGACCTTCCATGGATCGACCTTCCCTACCACGGTCAGCTTGCTGCTGGGGCAGTCCGTCAACACCGACTCGACCCCTGCTTCGGGAGATGCTCTAATCAGCAAAAACATCGTCCATGGAATCTAGTCATCGGTGTGACGGCAACAGCGGAAAAGTAGGACGATGAGGATCCATCCTCCGGTCAAGTTCGAGGAAAAGCGATCGCCGGAGGAATCAACCGGTCGTCGGAGGCAGCCCCGCTTGTCTCCTCATTTGAAAAGTTTCAGAAGACGATGAAAACAGCAACCGCCGAGATCTCCGAGCCAAAACGCAGACGCAGAGGGATCAGACGATCCGACCGTCAGAGACGATCAAAACCAGGCGAAAATCGGAAACAGACCGGACGGAATGAGAGAGACCGACAGGAAGAGGTAATCAGATCACGGCACCTTCGAATCCCTTGATTGCGTGCCTCACTTTCCTGGCGCACCCCTCGCAGTGCATATCAACCTTAAGAACGACGGTGATAGGTCCGTCGTCCTTCTTCCCCTTCCCTCCTTCGTCCTTCTTCTTCTCCCCTCCGGCCTCGACCTTCTTCTTCTCCCCGTCGTCGCCCTTGCCTCCTTGCTTCTGCAACCACAACAAAACATCGACTCAGGCCACCACATCAAGATCACACCCACCGCTGTGGGGCGGTGCCGCGGCTGGAGACCTGTGCGACGAGGCGGCGCTCACCTCTCCCATTCTCCTTCCTCGCCTCAGTCCGACGAATCCCTCTCTGGTATTTCCCTCAGACCTCCCAAAGCCTTCAACACAAGAGAAGAAGAGGATGGTGCAAGGGAGGATGAACGGATTATTAATAGACCCCCACCCTGGCGCAAAGGGTCCACCGTATGGATGGCGTGGATGTCGCGATCAATGATGTAGGACGACTGGGCCCCACATTTGCTCCCCCCGCGGGCGACGTCGTCGGGCAGCCGATGCCGCTGCCACCTGGTGAGACGGCGGCCCACCAACGTGGAGCCCTCCCTCGACTCGAATCACTGAGAGTAGCCGCCAGAGCTGGACATACATGAACCGCGTTCTTTTATGGATAACCCCTCGTTTCCTCTAGAAGCGTCGGCCCGACAACACCGAGGACATTTATGCAAAAATAACTTGCCCCTCCGCTACCCCCCCCTCCCGCACGTGTCTCCCCTGGACCGGTCTTTGTGGACCGTGGAACCGTGGACCGCCCATCGCTTTTGAACGAAATAAAGGAAGCTTCCTCCCCCCTCCCTATGTAGCCTTCTCTCTGAGGGGTTTCGGAGAATTTGACCTCGGGGGGCTGAAACATGTGCTTGCCCACATAGAAATCCCTGTTGGCAACCTCCTCGGTGGGCCAGAACAGAGGCAGAGACCCTCCTCTCACCTATTCCTCTCTCTCTCTCTCTGGAGACGATGACTGGACAGTCACCAGCCCATTGAACCCAATGTCTGGTGTGCATCCATCCTTATTGGGCCAGAACAGTAGTTGACGCGTCCCATCCCCTCTCTTTCTCTCTCTCCCACCGGCTAGAGGCCCCCCTATTGGGTTTAAGGCTTCTTTGCCGAGGCCCAGTCGAGATCCTATTTTCCTGGCTTTTCTACGAGGACGATGGCTTGAGAATGGGCCTCAAAGTCTCGAACTGGGCTTCACGCATCCCCCCCGCCCCGGCCCGCTCTTCGGGAACATGAGTTATTTATTTATTTATTAGTGTTTTACAACTTTCACGTGTGATTTTTGATAAAAAAGAATAGCGCAAGGCGTCGGCGCGCGGGGTTGTGGGGAGCACACGTGCTAGTATGCGGTTTTAGATCGTCTTTTGATCGCGCGTTGGTCAAAATCGACGGTCATCGTGTGACTGGTCCCCACGGTCTTCGTTGACCGATCCATGGGCCTCCACTCCCTATTACACCGAGACCTTCGTAGAAGGTTGGCTAGCCGTCTCCACTCCCCCTCTCTCTCTCTCTCTTTCTCCATTTATCTCTCTCTCTCCCCCCCTCTCTCTACACATATATATGCCTCCGTGGGCGAACCCAACTCGGACAAAGCGGGCCTTCACATTTCTGGCCCAATAATGGGCCGTAACTGGGCCAGTTAGCACGAGCCACCACATTCACCGCCCTGATTTCCTAAACAGGCCGATTCTCAATGGGCCAGCTCGAGAACTTTCCATTAAACGGGCTCAAAGGCTTAGAAAAAAATAGCCCAGCAATGTTCTCAGCCCAGTCAGCTCAGTCCATGGGCCTCGACCTATTCTGCCCAATTTTCTGTTTTAATGGAGACTGTATTCAATTAAAACAATATTTCAGGGATTTTGCATAAATATCGAAATCAAGCATCGGAAAACCTTCAAAAGACAGGAGCCGTAAATGAGACGTACGGAGACCCGGATTGCCGTCCCGTCTCCCGTCGCTTGCCGCCGGCCCAGATTTTCAGGACGGCGGCAGGGACGGCGGTGGAGGATACGGCGGCAGAAGCCGCCGCGGACGAGCGGAGGGGGATCAACCCTCCGTTTCTCTCCCCTCTGCGACTGTGGTCAATCGTGTTTACGAAGACGATTGCGGAAGATACTCCGTCTTTTCTGTCACTTATTTCATGCATATATTTCCCGGGTCCTGCTCCCTGCGTGTGGATCTATTGAGGGACGTGCTGGTCGTCATCGCCGCTTCTTCTGGGATCCTCTTCTCCTCCGCGATACACCACACTGACCTTTCTCGTCACATGCGTTGACCATCTCATCAGGACATCCAACTGCTGACCGTATGTATGCTCATCGTAAGATACTCTCTCTCTCTCTCCCGGTAGCGTAAGCTTCGGGGTTTAATTATCCTGATTATGTCAGGGTCTTGATTTGAAGATTCAGGAGCGGAGCGGGGGGCTGAACGGGAAGAATCATCTGGTCGCCTGTGCATCGCTTTCTACGAAGCTGTCAGATTGGAGTTCCTCATGTGGTTCTCTGATTTTGCTCGAGAATCGCCCGTTTAAGTAATTTATTATTCAGAGGGCGGGGGGCTGAGACGGGAAGAATCATCTGGTCGCCTGCGCATCGCTTTCTACGAAGCTGTCAGATTGGAGTTCCTCATGTGGTTCTCTGATTTTGCTCGAGAATCGCCCGTTTAAGTAATTTATTATTCAGTCAATCACGCGTCCGTAGAGAAAGAGAGAGAGATGTAACGTTTTAATGTCTACGCTCAGTTTTAGAGTTAGCTCGTATCTGCCACGGACGTTGTAGCTCGCACGTGCCACGTGTGCGTGCATGCGTACACCAGCTCGAGCTTCCGCTCTAGATCGTCGCTGACTGATCATCTCCCCCTCTCTCTCTCTCCACTCGTGGTATTTTTCCCATTTATGGTAGGAATCGGTCACCCGACATGGAAAACTTCTCATCAAAAAAGGCAATTTAAGCATGGGGAAGTAGACAACCGGGGATCGACGATTAGCTCCCTTTGATGTTATGTCTGTACGAACCTCATCGTTATCCAAAAAGAGGCCTTTCCCCGTCCCCATGGCTCTTCTCGTCCAACGCACGTCAACCATCAGACGGTATCAAAGATGGGCCTGGCCCGATAAAAAGCCAGCCACAACCCCCGTCCCCGACTGCAACCAGAAACAGTCGATCTCTTAGCTTTTGGCCAATCCGGGCCTTCCCGCGGGCCTGGGCCCCCGGGGGTGGCCACACCCGACCAGTTGACAGTGCTAGCTGGACATAAATTCCCACAGTGTTTGGCCGCCGTGACAGTGATAGTTTGAACGGACAGCTCGGCGGCGCGATGCCACGTCATCTGCCTCAAGGGGGGGAATATATTCTACCGAAGCACGACAGGGAAAGTACAACGTCGAAGACAACTGTCGATTCACAACTAAAGTAGTAAGTAGTACACCTCTGCGATGAGAGAGAGGGCGGGTCGGTGATTAGTGAAATTATCCGGCCCGGCCCGGGCAGTAGAAGGCCAAAAATAAGGGTTACTAAACGTTGACTGAGGTAATGGATGGAGGAGAGAGAGGGAGAGAGAGAGAGTCCTGGAGACACGACGTGAATCTCTCTCTCTCATTCCTTGGTGGCTCGGTCTTTCTGACAGATTTACTGCGGCGACCGGCTCGGACTTCATGGGGCCGACAAAAGTCATAGGGCCCTTTCAAACCCCCTCTCCCCCGGGCCCCACAACATTGCAACCTTGTCTTTCTATATAGGTCGTCACGTCGAGTTGACCTCCATGTCCCAACGCGCCCACACGTGCGCGAGCTCTCGGAGCGTGCGCTATCGACGGCTGTGATTAGGCGGCGTTGTTGCAGCGCCGCCGGCAATAGCTGTGGGCTCTGGTAGCTTGTCCGAAGAGACAGAAGGGGATAATGGGGAATTAAATAGGAGGGAGGATGAAGCCCACATGAAGGGGAGCCTTCCTAGCTAGCACACTCTGAGGGCTGTGACCGATGCTGGCGAGAGGACAATGCGGACGATGAACATGCCCACGCCGGCGCCCGTGGAGTACGCATCATGGTGCCGCCTGTGGAAGTCAAGGCCCAGGGGAATGGAGGAAAGGAGAAACCTTAGAGCGCCGCCTTACTGTTTGTAAACTCCCGTGGAAGCCGTAGAAGGCGGTGGGTTATTGCTTCACTTGCAGGGGAGAGACTCGTGTGGGAGGAGAGAAGACTCGGTCTGAAGCCATTATCGGAGCGAAGAGAGGAGACCAGAGGAATGGCTCTCGGGGGAAGAAGACTCGGTCCACGGCGCTACCTAGGGGGAGGGAACTGAGTGAGCGAAGAGATGGATGAGCATGGAGATGTCGGAGGGGCGGCGGCAGAGATTTTCTTCTGCGGCGAGGGAGGGCGGGGGGGCCCATCCCGTCATATTAAATGCTCCTGTAGGAACAGGGAGCCATCGCCGTTGTGCACGATAGCAGAGCAGAAAAGAAGGAAGAGATCCTGGAGAGTTCCTAGAGAGAGAGAGAGGGATGAACGCCGAGTAAACTAAAACCCTTTTAAAACCAAACCCTGACACCTTGTTTTCTTCTCATTTTGCGATTCTGAAAACGGAGAAAGATGTCAGACGTTTTCAGTTGCTTCTGATTCTGAGAAAGATGACAGAGAGAGAAAGATTTCCTGAAAAAGCTTTGAGGGGGAGGGAGACATTGGGGTGTCACTACTCTATCGAAGAGTTGCTTTCTCCCTCCGAGATGGCGGCCAACCCTCACTCGTCTCCTCTTAAAAAAAAAAGAGTCATGAGAGGCCCAGGACTAGCCCGGGGGCCAAGAGGTTGGAACTGATTGATATGGGACAGCCTATCCTTTGACTTCTCATCTCTCATACCACCCTCGACCCTACTTTACTTGACTAATGGCCCCCCACCTCCCCTGCTCTCTCTATCTCTCTTCTCTTTCTTCTCTCTCATCTCTCTCATCTCTCTCATCTCTCTTCTCTCTCCTCTCTCTCTTCTCTCGCTCCGTGCGTTAAGTTACAGGCTCTCCTCCTCCCCCCACCCCATTGTGAACGTTTATCAAACTATTCCTGCAGACCAAAACTCAGCGGATGCTGGGAACCCACCACAGACAGGCAGAGAGAGAGAGAGAGAAGGCGCGTTCGTCGTGCGGGGAGCCTGAGACATGGGAAGGGCTCCATGCTGCGACAAGGCGAATGTGAAGAAGGGACCCTGGTCTCCGGAAGAGGACAAGAAGCTCAAAGACTTCATTGAGAAGTATGGCACTGGAGGCAACTGGATTGCTCTCCCACAAAAGGCCGGTAAGCGAGCGCGGAGGAACCAGTCTCCGATGCTCTCCTTCTTCCCCTCTTTCCATTCCTCCTCGCTCCTCTGATATGCTATGATTTCTCAAGCTTGATAACTCCTCAATTCCAACCTACTGCTCACATTCTCGGTTTTCTTTGTAATCTCTTAGCCTTCTTCGATTTCCCCTGGGCATTGCTGCAGGCCTCAGAAGATGCGGCAAGAGTTGCAGGCTGCGGTGGCTCAACTACCTGAGGCCCAACATAAAACACGGAGCCTTCTCCGACGAGGAAGACAGGATAATCTGTAGCCTCTTTGCCAGAATTGGAAGCAGGTCCTCGGCTCCCATTCACCCCTCGTCTCTCTCTCTCTCTCTCTCTCTCCCTTCGTGCATGCCAACCAAATAGCTTCTCTTCTCGCCGTTGTTTTCTGCAGATGGTCTATCATAGCCACCCAGCTGCCTGGGAGGACGGACAACGATATCAAGAACCACTGGAACACAAAGCTGAAAAAGAAGCTCCTGGGAGTTGCTGCATGCCAAATAAAACTGCCTCCGCAACAGCAAGCTCGGGAACAGCAGCACCAGCAACCGGCCTTCCCACCTTTTCTCGCCGGAGTTGCACCGGCGACGCCCCAACTGAGCTCCTGTACCCTCCCGCAGAACCCTCTTCTCCACGGGCTTGGGGAGTTCTCCGCCGACCCTGATATCTTCGGCTCTCTTCTCCACGCACAACAAACCCATTACCATCCAATGAAGGACGGCGTTGTTCTAACTTTTGAAGGCGATCAGTGCTGCAGTAGCGCTTCAGATGGGAGCCTCAACCAGATCACTTACGGACGAGACGAAGGGTTAGGGTTCGCCGGCGGCGCTCGGCAAATGGGTCTGGAGAGCCTTCTCTACAGCAGCGGCATCGGAGACAATCGCTGGAAGGAGAGCGCCTCGTGGGAGAAGCAGCCCTCGGCCGATTTGGAACAGCTCATCTCCACCGGGGGCAGCTTCTTCTCCGGCGAGTCATCTCTCGCTACTTGGAGCAGCTCCAAGACCCTGGGGTTGGGCTCTCTCAAGTCCCTCCCGACCCTTGGAAGGGAAGCCGATCGATTTAGGGAGTGGTAAATCGGCCGTCAACTACGAACCAGACCCTGGTTTCTCCCTCTCTCTCTCTGCCCATCTCTCTCTCTCCCTCTCTCTCTCTCTCTCTCTCAGTCGTTCTCTCATCTTTGCTCTTCATATGCGACCAAGGTGGGGGATGTTCTCATGTAGTGAGAAGGAAGACACCGGAAATTCGAATACACGTGGTATTTCTGTGCAGAGCTCCATGGAACTCTTGTAGAAAGAAGGGCCTCGCGTTAACAGTCTCACCATCCTTAAATCACGCGAATCAGAGGGCAACTGACGGCCACAATCGCGAAGAAACCGTGAGGATGATGGAGCAGGTTTAGGGTAGACAAACCCTCAGACACAACGGACTTGCCCCACCCCCTCTGAAAGCTCATCCCTGCCCACCAGGACGTCGACTTTCCTCGTCCTAAAGAATATATATATATATGTAAATCCGTCTTCGTAAATTATAGAATTAGGTAAGGGAAGACAACGACCGTTCGAATACCACTGTCGATGTCCCAGTGGGCCGCGAAAAAATTGGCCATTTTAAATCAGGCGACCGTTGCGGCGAACAGTGGTCGTCGGATCGGGCGACTCGCCCCCCTCTCCTCCGAGTTGCCGACAGTCAAACTCGGTCCGCGTGTAACGGACGGCGCCCCGAGTAACCGAGTGAAATCGCCGGCGGCATTGAATACAGGTTGTTTTACCGGGAACCGGCGCACTTGAAGGCCTCTCTGACAGTAAAGATTAACTAATAATTCCACGAATTATGGAAGGCCCGGTCAACGGTACCCACCCCGGTCGCTTATTGGCTTTCATTGTCCAATTATCCGCGTCCGGAATCTTTTTGTATATTAGCACAGAATCTTTTTGTCAATTGCAGTTGAACCTCACTAAACCCCAAACATTCGGAAAACGTCCCGGCCCTCTATTGGGCTAGGCCCAATACGTAGGCCCGGCCCCTCTGGGGATTACAAACACCCAGATATTTTCCCTACGGTTTTTATTCCCATTTTATTCACATTTAAATTTATTTACTATATTTATGCGTTTTTAGCTACAGACTATTAGCGCCATATGAGGAGAGGCAGGGAACTGTTATCTTTCGGGATTTATGTGTAAATTCTCTCGAAAAATGGTTTATATGTGAAAAAGTTAATTTAGAGGGATGCAGAAGTGATTCAATGTTTTTAATGATAGATTTGGGCACCGGCACACGTACATATCCAGGGAGGGGTCTTGATGTAATTTATGACATTTCGGATACATAGCGGATACGGTTGAAGGATACTGGGATGGCGGCAGTGGCCCCCACTTATAGGGGGATTAGCCCTTCGTTTTTTTTCGTTAATTTTATTTTTTCTGTCCGTCGTCTCTCATCTGCCCCCGCGAGCTCTCGCTCGCAGCTGTATCTGTGGAAACGACAAAATACGTACAGGACGGACTGCAGGAGAAAATGGCAGGCCCTTGGCTGCCGCGCGTTTCTGTAGTCTCACTCTCCTCCTCCGGCCGACGGCCGGGTGGACAACCACATACATTGCTCTCTGCTCTGTTTGGAGGCGAGGAGGAAAGCCCTAGGGCAAGCCGATTTTTCCGCTTCGTCCTCCTCATGATCCTCCGATCCCGGGGATTTTCCGTCGGCGGATTACGGTAGGCCTCCGATGGCCCTCTGCCGTCTCCCGAATCCGGCGTTGTTCGCTTCTAGGGAATGGCCGTCATTCCCTTGTGCCTCCAAGTCATCGGGGGAGAGTCTCAGATGGGGCGCCCAACAGAGTCCCTCGTGCAGAGCCCTTCTACTTGTCTGTTCGGCGAAGAATTCCAGGTTGCTCGGCTCACGTTCTGTCGAAGTGCTTGCGGTTCTCATTTCCCAGTGCCTCACGTTTCTTTTCTTATCTCTTCGATGTGTTGTTCGTATCTGAGTGATGCAGGGCTAGTCGAAAGTCGAGGGCTACGAAAAGCAACGCCGAACTCTGCGATGAGCTACGGGAGTTTATACTGGTCGTGGGTCTTCCCGAGCACCACGTCCCTTCAACCAAAGAACTGTTGGAACATGGAAGGTTGGGTTCTTGCATATTTCACTGACACCCCCGTCACCTTGTCACAGTACTGGTTTTGCTTCGCTTTCAACGTTATCCTCTGTCAACCAGAACTGGATATATGATTACTGTGCGTAGTGAAGCAATGATAATCACATGCTTCTTCTGTTCGTCTGATAATAACCTAATAATAAAAAATGTCTCGATATATATACCTTTTCGCCTTCAAAGTCTTCTCAGGACAACTGCCAAGTCTTCCCCTCCTCTGTGAGCCACATGGTTCGAAAGCTCTCAATACCAGGTGTCCTGTGGGAAAGGGAGTGCTAGTCTAAAATGCTGCAGTTCGGAGGGAAACCAGGGCTGCAAGTGTGGATTTCGCCGATCAGGAACTGGACACTTCCATTTTCGGTGTACCTTCCTTCAGTGAGAGTACCTAGGCGAAATAGTTGGTCATTTCATCCTTCAGTAAAAGGTTATATACACTGACCCCAACGGAACTTCAAGGAGAACGATCCAGACGGTCCTTTGGTGGACTATCTATCACAATAAACTCATCAAAATGGGTGAGCCCTGGAATCAACACTGTAGGATCACCATGATCTAAAACTTGGTTAGTCTCTTTTCCAACAAAGTTTAGATTACACTTAAGAGTCCTCTGAACAGCTAGTAATTCTTTCTTATTTATGGCCTCCAAGCGGAGGCATGCAATCAGTCCACAACCCCTGAAATCGTCACCAAATGACGCCATCATTGCCATCGTTTCTTATTATGCAAGATTTTGTTCACCTTAACGTCCATGTTTCTTAACTGCGTTATGATCATTGGGTTGGGTTTTCACTTTGTGACGATCTCCAGTTTCGCAACTCGGTGCTTGTGAATTTCAATCATTAAGATTTTACTCAGTCAGGATTGTGTTTTCTCGTAATTATTTATAGGAAGGATCTGGCAAATATTGTGAGACGAAGAGGACACAGAGTAATTGCGAATCTTCTAACAAACCCAACAAATGGAGACATCGCCCCTGAAATAGGTTCAACTGATAGCAAGATTTCTAGCAAGGCTTCTGAGGAGCATTTTGTAGGTTTGTGATTTTCTCTCTTTTTCATTTTGCAACTATCTGTTTTTGTATGATTCTGATGATCTTTTTGATAGCTGTATACTATTACAGAAGATCAAGGGGATCAAGTCATTCAGTATGATATGCCAGGAGGTGTTTGTCTCTTTTCAAGTTGCTATCTTACGATCGAAATTCACAAATATATTTGCAGCGGTGTTTTAGACATTAAGTCTGGCATATGAACTTATTAACCCTTGGAATCTTCTGCAGAGTCTCTGCACGAGTTGAGGGCAGGCTCTGACCATAATGGCGCATTGGAAAAAAATCGAGGTTTAGAGACTAAGTTTTTCTTTACTTATGCTTCATTATATTTTTTGGTTTTTTATTTTTTATAATTAAGGTTTTTAAGGTTACCTAGGAGGGATTGACTGGCCTACGTTGAGATGACAAGCCGTGCCAATAATTGTTTTCTTTTTAATTATGTCTAGAGATCATTTTAAATGTTGATGTTGAACATGTAGTGCACCAGAGAAAGGTGGGCTTGTATTCAAATAATCTTAAAAGTGAAATCTTGGAAAAAAACTCAGAACTATTGAGAAATGTCTTAGTTTATCACAAAGCTAAGAACGATATCAAAAGTACCCCAGTTATGTCTACAGCATGAATACGGACAATTAAGTCCAAGAATAAAAATTGTGAAGGCTCTAGGTTTTGGAGTTTCAGCACCACAGTGTCGCCACCAGTTAACCAGATGTTTATATGCGTAAGAAAAATGTACGATATTTAATAATGTAATTGATGAGTATTTTGAAAATATTAGACATTTGCCTGGTTGTCTTCCATGGTTTCTGATTGCAACACGACTCGCAAATAAACCTCTTGACCTAATTTAAAAATTCATTTCTTCACTACTATGGTCTTAAGTGTCTTCATTTCGAGTCACCCTTTGCAAGCAAGCGAGAAATACAGATTCAAAATTGATGGCATATTCACACTTCTCATGGCAGCACTTCACTGGAGTCAGAAAAAGGCCCGTTCTCAAAGTTCACATCTTGTTTGAAACTTTTATCGTATGCCTCTTTTGAGTATTTTTAATTATAACTCGGTGCGCTATATAATTTTTGCTCACTACTATGTTCGGAATTATACATGCTACATTGTATCCTAACTTTCCTGCACATAGTTCTCTTATTTTGCTTCAAGCACGGTTAGAGGAGGAATCTACAGTCAATTTGTCATTTGAATCTACATTATAACTTTAAAAAAAATAAAATAATTGTGCACTTCCGAAATTGCAGATACTCTGGAAGGGGAAGAGACGCCCATTTATAAGTATGAACCCTTGTCTGGGATAAGCTACGTAAATGATGCGGAAGGTAAGAATTTTCTTTTTTGAGTTTATTTTCTTTGCTAACTTCTTCTTTTTGAGAGTGTTGTGATATATATGCCCATTATGTTTTGCATGTGACACAGGTGCTGATTCCCAGCTATCTTTTCCATATCTGAAGGAACAATATACCGTCAGGTTCATCAATGGCATCTTTTCTATTGTCGATGACTTAGAACTTTTCTTTACAAGAAAAAAGTGAAGTTAATGTGTTTTTTATTTAAGTTGCTTTAGTCCTCATGGAAGATCATCTAATTAAGGAAGACCATTAATGAACAGTTAAAAAAATATAGGAAATAGATTTGCATGTTTTAATCTTCATGGGATTCATTCGTTGTCCTAGTCTCTTTAATATTTCAAGATTAATTTTATGCACATTAAAATAACATTTTTTTAGCATGTTTTAAGGTTAATTGATTTTAGGCCCATGATAGGTTAGTTTGTCAATTTTTTACCATTGACTTTTTGTCACTGGAAACTTTCTTGATGGTTTGCACTTAGTGTGCCTAGTGTGGCTGGTGTTGGAAGGAGTACATCTTCTGTGTCGTGAAGTTTCTGGGGACAAAAGGTAGAAAGGAAAAGGGGTCACTTGTGAATCATGAGTCGAGCCTACAAATAACCCTATCTTCATGCCTTTTGCTTTATTATTTTATATTTTTTGTATTTTTATGCGTAATTGATCGTTTCATATTAAAAACCGCAACATTTGCAGTACACATTGATTCTAGCATCAAATCTACAGGAATTTTCCTTTTTATCCGTTGGGAAGGATTTCTGTTTTTCAAGGTGAAACAAGCTCATTAGCCTGTAACAGTAGGAGTACAATTTATCGAGAGTGTAATTCTGTCTCATTTGTGTAATAATGCATCATTTTATGGTTGGGAAATCCATATACCAGTATTGTTTGTCCTTGGAGCTCTAAAATTAACTTATATAGAAGTTGCTGACAGATTTTGGTGCATGGACCATATATAAGGTGGCATCTATTTAACAACCCTTCTTGTGTAGGTTCCTTGTTAGAGATTTTCTCATTTATTATTTGTCCTTTGGTAGTTTATTCCCTTTGTTTAAATGCATATTAATCATAATTCTGTACTTTGCCCAGTTGTGGTTTCATCCTAGATAAATCGATCAAAATAGTTCGAGCCAACAGAACAAGGTTTTCCTTGTCTGTGCGCAACTCCTCTCCAGAGGGCTCAACTATGCAAAGGCTTTCAAGTTTAGGTTTTCATCTATCTGTCCATCTGAACCAAAAAGTTTTCATAATATTGAAGCCTACGGTTTATTGACATTATTGTCAATGTGAAGGAGCCTAAAAAGTTAGATTGACCATGAAAGTTGGAGTAAGAGTAGTAAATATCTTCAAGTTTAAATGCATTGGCACATTATACTCATTAACGATTGTTCTTATATTGAATTTCTTGATAAATTTATATGATATCATAATATGGAGAATGACCATCCACTATATAGATGCTCTGACGAAAACAAAATTAGGTGTAGCAAGTTATCTCTAATGTGGCCGACGTTAAATGAGGTTGGGCAACTAGATGACTGAGGGCAATGTTCAGACTAGCAATATATGGACGCAGACTAGCAAGAAATAAACTATATATCAAGTGCCAAACAGGATGCTAAGCTGTAGTACAGGATGAACATACTTCCTGTTCAAAATTCTCCATTAAGCCATCCGCCACATGCATTGATCTTTGAAATTGTGACTTCAAGACCGCTATGAATCATCTAAATAACTCTTGTAGTTTGTAATGACAAAATCGCATGCGGGTTGATTGTCCTTTGATCCTAATACAGAAGACACGCATTGTAGAACTATGCATTTCCCATGTTTGATCTGGAGGTAAGGTGACAGACATCTTGAGGAAAGACTCAATTTTTTCTCACGTTCTTGAAGCATGGCACTAAAAAACATATAGACATTAAAAGTACCTTCTGCAGATAGAAGTTAGATCGTGGAAAGTCGTGCATATGCTGCAGGAGCTTAGGAAGCAGATATCTTCAGTAAAGATGTTTAAGAAATCTTTTCACATCACCGGTAAACAGGATATACCAGTGCTTGGCTTGAGGTGGAGGGTTGAGAGATATGTGCTGTTGGGTATCGGATCCAATGTTGCACAGATCTGATTTTTTTATTTTTTTTTATTTTTTTTATTGCGCTGCTGCTTGTTAAAGCTCTTCTTATTCGGTTTTTTTTTCCTTTGGTAACTACTGCTCCTAATCAGGGTTCTGCTCCATATAAACTCAGAAGTTTATGGAGGCTTGAATGTGGAAAGAGCTTTTTATAGTCCGTCCTTCTTCTGTTTCTCAATAAACTCCACCAATATTGATAACCTATTCATAGGAAACGTCGTAGTCAAAAAGAGAAGGTGTTAGCATAGAAGTTTTAGAGGCTCGCACAGGCTGTTCATTATATTTTCTCTGTTATTCGAACTAATCTTTTTTTTTTTTTGGTAGACTACAGTTCTTATGATGCACTGTCATATTTAAGTTATCACCATCATTTTCAATTGCATGGTGCTACTTGTCAGATTTTATTTTTTTCGTATGTTTTAATGGCACATGCATCGTGTCTGATTTTGGAGTTTCTAATACAGATTATTACCTTTACTTACAGAGAGGATGCGGCATCTGAAGAAATTCTGGACAACTCTGACTTCGATGAAAATACTTCCTCTGACCTGGTTGATGGATGTCTTCTGTGGATTACGTACTATTTGATTACCACGTGATTTGTGCTTTTTTAAAATCCTTTTTTTCTTATATGAAGGCCGAGGAAGTAGAAAACCAAGCGGAAATCGATCACCTAAGAGAACTACTGGTATAACGATTTCTTGTCCTTTTTTAGTTTCGTAGTATTCATTACTGCGCAATTCGTTTTTTTCCATATGATCAGTACTTCACACGCATTTGGACTATAAATGAATCCAGCGCAAAAAAGAATTGGAGCTGTCACTCTTAAAGCAACAGTTGGAAGAAGAAAAGGTATATTTTTCCTTGTTTTACATCTGCCATTGTAGAACGTATCTTTTTCCATAAAAAGAGTTGTAGCTCCTCAAGACAATGAGGATTATTTTTCTGAGGTCTGCTTGAGGCGGGCACCATGATCTCTTTGCTGTGAATGCACATTCTTTCTTATATTTTACCCTAAACTTTGGTGCCAACCTTCTTTTGTTGTGCCAGGATTGTGCAATCCTGATATGCCCACAACGCCGTAGGGTGATGACTCACTAGAAAGGCTGAAAGACTTGTGTCTGAGCATTCAAAATAGAGTTTAACGTAATATATAAATTGAAAATCAGCGTTGTGGTTAAACTGTGCATATAAAAAATGAAGCTATCTTAAAAATTATTTAGCTAATCACAAAAATCGTGTGGAATAGCAACTATATCCAGTAAAGGAACCCATATCAGTTGTTATTTATCAGGAAATCCAGTGGAACTGTATGGCCGTATATGGACGACTGAAAAAATGGATTACCATCATTTTGCTTAGCTCGCTTCAATGATGCCAAAAAAATCAAATTGGGCTGAAGATTTTTGCTTGGGCCCTACCTCATTGTGCCTAAAAACTGTTGGCTTAACTGTTTTCTCTGCAGTTTTCGTTGTCCGTCATGCAGAATAAGGCCCACTCAGAGCTCAGCAAAGTACAGGATATTATCTCAACTAAAAATGAAGAACTACAGGCGGCCGAGGAAAGCCTTTCCGGGTTAAAAGAGGTATCTCATTCATCCTTCAACCGGATGTAAATGGGTCATTTTTCCCGTTATCGTATTTTCCCTTCACAAGTCTGTTCTATTGCTAGTATTCGCTTGTAGTTATTGATATTTGATGCTTTATGTTTCTGTATTGCCGTAGGTCACACTCGAATACTGGGGAAATGGCGAAACTGTAGAGGTTACTGGTAGCTTTAATGGGTGGCAGCACAGGCTCAAGATGGATCAACAGATGCCGTCTAAAACTGTAAATCCACCTGGACCAAGGTATTGATTTCACAGTTTCTCATCAGTTCATAAGTGGAAAAGCCCCAAATGGTTCTGGCCTTAGGGTTCATAAGGATACCTGAAATAAAAATGGGCATGACATGGGTCAAGCCCCAGTGTAGACTGGGTCCAATGTTCAACCATGTTTTCTGAAAGCTTGTGGTCTTTCTTTCCTGACAGTTGTCTGCCTCACAATTATATACCTGGTAACCCACACTCTCCTCTCCCTTACTCTCTCTCTCTCTCTCTCTCTCCCCTACTTTACCAAGGCTGAGTCTGGGCTTGGGCCCTGACATTACTGGAATCTCCTATTTGTTTCTTCTGTCGGCAATCGTTAGGTGATTTTGAGCCAAAGTAAAATGACTTTAATCGGATCATAATAGCTCTGCAAAATCGTAGTTTCATTAGTCCAAAAATATTTTATAAAATCAAGGACTTCTTTGGATTTAGTCCCTCGGTTAGCTTTTATGAGAGATGAACCCAGTTAGCTATAGTTGAGTTTGGTTAATATTTAAGCTAATTTGAGAACAATATTTTATGCTATTGCACCTTTTTTATACCGGCATCTTCCATTTTTACTTCTTTGGCACTGTATTTTTATTTTTTATTCAATATGGAAAATTCTCATCAGGATGACAGTGGAAAGCACATGTATGAAGCAGGATACGCTAAATGGAAAAAAGATTAAATGAACGTGTTTTGGATAGCCTCAGATTGGAAATAAAACAAGATCGTGTGGTATTAATGCATGAATATTATTATCTGAGCCGCCATGCTGCTGGGGATCTTTTCACTTTGGAGCGACAAGATTAAATATTTTCTAGTATTTCTATTGAAAACCGGGATTTGCTCACTAGCGTTTCTTCTCCTTCTGTAGGGAAGCTACGCTGTGGTCGACAGTCTTGTGGCTTTACCCTGGTGTTTATGAGGTATGTAGCTCCGGACCTGGCCTGGTAGAGAGAGAGAGAGAGAGAGCCAAGCCAAGCACATTGACACCTAGCCTAGTGAGAGAAACTGCTTTATTATCCCAGAAACCAAGGTCTATTTGAATCCAAGTATCTCTAAAAGAAATGATTTATTTTGATTTACATTGGGCAGATAAAGTTTATTGTCGACGGGCATTGGAAGATCGATCCACAGCGGGAGTTCGTTTCCAAGGACAACATTGTGAACAACATTCTCAGGGTCGACAGAGATGATGATCCTGCCCACAGACAGACTCTTTAGCCCATCAATCTCCTCCGAACTGGAGAACCCGTTATCAACTGCTTCTACTGAAATAAATGGACTGATATTCCCTCACAATTCCTGTCCTCATCGTTGTCACTCTCCTGTGTCGAGAGAGAGAGAGAGAGAGAGAGAGTGGTAATCAGTTCATGCTTCTATCATTCTGGGCACATTAACACCCTCAACTAGAATAATTGCAATACCTAATTCCTCCTATTTTCTTTTATTATTATTATTTTATTTACTCTTGTAAACGATCCGATGATCCTCCTTGCTCAGATAGTGAGTGAAAGGCTAAATTTGGCTTTACAATGGGGAGAAAAGGATTTTTTTTTTTTTTTCATGCATGGTACAGAAAGTCTATTCGGGGGTGTATCTCTAAAATAGGTGAATATAAGGCTATTTCGTCAAAGTGTAATTTCGCAGGGGGATAAACATACTTCCTAGCCAATCAGGGTAGACCCACGTAAAGGCCAATAGCGGGCTCGGCCCGTTCAGAGGATAGGTCATTTGATTAATTCGATATTTTCGAGAAATAGTGTGGAGGGGCTCAAGCTAATACCGATAAATCTAGGTCTAAAATATGATTATAAAATTTAAGTAGGGATTCAGTGATAAGAAGACGCAAAAACCTTCCAGCTAGTTGACTATAACTTTCTCTCACTTGATGAAGGTTGTCCGTCAATCGAGCATCGGACGGTCAGGATTTATTCCGTTTTTGCACCTCAAGCGGCCCATGTCGTCGAGCTATCGACACATGTGGCCCGATATGTCGACATAAGTCGGGTTCTCTCTCTATCCCTCTCGCCGGCGGCCCACCTGCGTAGTCTCTCTCTAGAACCTCACATCGGACGGCCAGTGCTTCTTGGATCTAACCGTCCGATCGTTGCGATGCAGAAACAGCAGAGCATGTCGTTGCTCCATCGACATCGTGGACTTCTATCCACGACACTCTCAGGCGGGAAGGCGGGGAGGAGAGGAGGTAGCAGGCTAGAAGAAGGCGAGCTATGGCGGTCGTCTCCGCATTTCTCGCGCCCCGTTGTCCGTTCTTCTGGCTACCGTCTTCTCCATATCTGAGCTTTCGCTTCGTGCCCAATGGACTGTCCTCTCGTCCTCTGAGGTCACGTTTGTCGGCGACTGCGTCGGGCAAGGGACGCCGTCGTCGCGTACTTGGCGCGTCGTCAGGAGGTAACGTTGATGTGATTTTCTGCCCTGATATGATTGATGTTAATCTCCGTGCTGAAGAAGGCGTCGGTCTGTACACCTGTTTAGGAATCGTATGATGTATAGATTGATTCAGCTCCTCAAAAAAACATACATCTCCGAAATTGGATAAATCTCAGCTGATGTCTGTGAATTATTCCCTCCTGTTCGGGTGGGTGCTCTTCGTTCCCCATCGAACGCACACTCGTTGGTCACTGATATAATGAGTCGGAATTTTGCGTACAAAGTGGGAAGTTAACGTCAGGATGCCACCTGGGGAGCGTAAGAAAACAAAGTATCTGGCGGAAGAGGTGGGCGGTTGAGCTTCCGAGATTCTCTCCGAGGTTTTTCCAAATTGTATGTGAAAGAGCTAATCTTGTTTAGGATATTGAGGAGCGACGAATAAGAATTTGTCTGGCACGCGAGTCGATGAACGTTTTATTTGCCAACTATTCGCTTAGCCACAAATGCTCACAGAAGGGATGACGATGGGGAAAAACTTATTCAGCTCCCGGATTTTTCATGGACATAGCAAGTTCAGTCCTATACAAATTGAGCCTGAGATATCAGTTGTCGCAACCGTTTAACAAATTACCTTTCACTGAAGATTTGTGCTATGACTGAATTTTTTAAACGAATTCAGTTCGAATATCTGCAGAAAGCCATATAATCATGTTATCGTGCGACTATAATCCCATTTTTGTCGTGATTTTTCCCTTTGCTCTCGTACGAAATGGGAACAAGGTAGAACGTTGATAGATGTGATGGTAAGGGTATTGCGCAAGTCATAGAGAAAATAACTGAATGGATATTTTACTCTGCATTTCCGTGACTGCGACGCGACTGCAATCTGTTTTACTGAAAAAACGGGCTTCATGCGTTTGCATGGGCTCCTTCATGACGACCCAGGAAGCCGGTTCCAACATGCTAATGCCTTAAACCCTGGGAAAGGTTCTACATGCTAATTATTTAGCCTGATTGGTTGCTACGATGTCTTAGAAAAAAGTGCTTGTGTTGATCGTGCAGTTCTCGGGATTTGTTTGGTTGCTTCTGACTTATAATTTTCATAATTTCGGGACGTATGTATAATGACTGTTGTCTTAGTTATGCTTCTGTTTTGAAATTAATTATGGCAAACTGGCATGTTGCGTGCAGACGTTCCCAGTGAGATTGTCGAAGATTCGAAGTTTGTTCCATTGAACGAGGATGATCCTATATATGGCCCACCTGTATGTTTCTTGTTCTCTTTTAAATTCTAGAAAAACCTTTCTATTGAGTGCTTCTTCCATAACTTAATTCTGGCCAAAAATAGAGCTCTGTATTATTTTACAGCATGCAAAGCGACAAGAGATGGGATATAAAACCTTCAATGACACAAGGGGCTTCTGCCCAAATATATTCATCCTAACCTGCACCCACACCTCCTCCTTCTCCACTGCCGCAACCATTCCATTAACAGAATGTTTTCATCCTTCAGGCATTACTATTGGCTGGTTTTGAAATGAATGAAGCAGCCAAGGTACTTCCTCTCATTCTCAAACTTTGCCTTTTAACTGATGGGCGCTCTGATTGCGTTTAAATATAATCGTTGTGTTTTCATTCTTCTTTCTTTAGCTCCTATTGGGCGTTTCCTTTTATAGCATTTTCGATATTGTATGCCTAAAAACTTGAGACTAGCATCAACTTCCTTCTGCTTATCTCATAATACGCTTTATTTCATTGACCTTATCAAAACTCATGACTAGCTGTCAGGTTAATGAAGTAAATTATCGATGCAGATAAAGCAGCTTCTAAAAGATCTGGATGGTGATTTTCTCCAGGTAATTTCCCGGCTGCTTCTTTTGATTATCCTTTCGATATTTCTTTTCTTTTCTGCATTCATCATGAATTATAGAGAGTTAATCTTTCCACTTCACCTGCGAATCAGTCTGTGGATATCTCGTGTATTGAATTCACGCAGATTAGGGGAACTACTTTTGAATTTATGTTCTTCCTGGTTCCATGGTTTATATCACCCAAATAAATATCTTAGTGGAAAAATTGTTCATATAGCTTCTTGTTCCTTTTAAGCGCCACTCTGGAAATTCTCATAAAGTTTTTCGATTTTTTTAGCAGATCATCTACTGCACCGAAGATATGATTTCACTTACTGTCTGGGACGCAATGCACGCACAACCACAGAATCTAGAAGCTTTGGAGGTGCAATTTTTTTTATCTACCTTTTATGGTGAATCCGCATTCTATTAGCATTCCCCTCTGGCGATATGGCCAACTAAATATAATGGTCAAAATCACAAAGCCTATGTATCTGCAGCGTATTTAGACACCAACTTGAGATTCACAATGATTTTCAAATACCTGAGCCTATGTTCATATTTCTGGCTACCATGTCTGAATGGCCTTGTGATGCTAGACTACGTCCTATACTACATTGGATCATGTCCTTTCTACTGCTGGGCAAAGTAGCCTTTTACCCTTTGCTCCTCTTCCTGAATCGCCAACTTTTTGCTCAGGAAGGAAGTTCACTGCCTAGAATATGCATTTTCTCTGGCTTAAGTGGCGAGGAGATGATGATGTTTATCAACGCATTCCCAGAAACAGGTATGCGCCTTTACCGTAATAATTATTCTCACTTTCTAAGGTTTCAGACCGCATATACACCAGAAAAACCCTTGCTTATTTAGGATGTGTGCCTAAATATCAAGATCTCATGCATAAGTGGACAGTAAGGAGCTGGGCTCTCCTACTCTGGTTGCTTAGGCGATTCTCAAAATTCCACCAATTTTCCAGGGTAGGAGTCTCTAGAGGGATAAATGTACACACAAACAAACAGTGGCTACTAGATCAGTACCTATGTTGTTCCCGGGTATTCTTCCATGCAGAGGTCAAATTCGAACGTTGGGCTAGCAGTGTTTAGTGCACAACTAGGAGAGGGGGGAGACGGCTGAGTTTCTGGGGTGCTAGAATAGGGCAAAGTATCTCCGAAACAGAGGAGGTGAGGTTTTTCATTGCTGCCCGTTAAGGGAATTTCTTACTGCTCTGAACTGGAAAGAGGAGGGATGATGCCATTCCAAGCAGAGTTCGTTCTCTTCTACCTCGGCAGTAGCGAATCAAGGAAAGTAGTTTCTTGAGTAGCTCCCACTGATAGCCTCATCTGGTTGGATGCCACTAAGCTTACATTTTTAGCATGCTCGAGTTATTCCCAATTGGCATTTGAGGAATGAGTGAGCTGAGATAGAGATAGAGAGAGAGAGAGAGAGAGAGAGAGAGAGAGAGAGGCCAGGAGTGATCGTAAGTAAGGTCACTTGCTCCATGCAGGCTTGGCACCGGCTGTCTTTGCGGCCCTGGTCCCTAACAGTGCGAGCAAAGCCCTTGGTGAGGTTATAGACGAGATAATGGGCGACCATGAGATGCTGGTAAGTCTGAGAACCTCCTCCAATCCATGGCCGCCCTGCGCGCCCGGTCGCTCATCTCCTAGGACACTCTTTGTGCAGTCCTCTAGGCGGCCGTCGGATTGATCACCCGGGAAGAGGAAGGAAGCACTGTGGAGTCCTGCTGCCCCCAACCGGACCGAGAACCTCTCCCTCTTGTCCCTGTTACATGGCAGACCTTTGGAAGACTGGGAGGCACAATTGATCCTTGCTTGGTGGTGGCCTAGTAGTGATTCCTCCAGAGTAAGAGAGAGACAGAGAGATAGAGAGAGAAAACTGGCATTGTCAAGTTTTTATTGTATGACGATTCAAAGCTGAGACAAGCGTAGGACGACAGTATGGGAAGATGGGTGGGCTCTCCATTGGACCTCCAGAAAAAGCAAAAGCTTCTGCGCCGTGCGTTTTCGGTGTGTGCCGCCGCGTCAGTACCTTCGGAGGACCCGGTCGAGGAAGCGGCCGGAGGGGCACTCATAGGCCAGGTGGCCGCGCCCGCCGCAGTTGTGGCAGATCATCATCGGCGGGGCCATGAAGTCCCCCCTGCCGCCGGCGCCGCCGAGGCCCACCTGCGGGAATCCCCGCGCAGCGGCGGGGAAGGCGCCGCCGCTGCGGTAGACGGGGGCGGCGGCGGTGGTGGTGAAGGCGTCGGCTTTGGGACAGTGCCGCGCGAGGTGGCCGGAGACGTTGCAGAGGTTGCAGACGGGTTCGTTCTGGCAGTCCCTGGCGAGGTGGCCCGTCTGGCGGCAGTTGTTGCAGGCCTTGTCGTTGGTGCAGTCTGCCGCGAGGTGGCCCTGCTTGTAGCAGTTGTTGCAGAGCCGCAGGTCCCCTGGCGGGCGCTCACGCGCCGTGCAGTCCCTGGCGAGGTGCCCGGCCTTGCCGCAGGTGTGGCAGATGCCCTCGTTCGGGCACCCGCTCGCCATATGCCCCGGTTCCTTGCAGTTCCAGCATAGCGCCTTCGCGGTGCACTCCGCCGCTATGTGACTGCCCACACACACAAAAGTTCAACGTGGGTTCATTCATTTCATTTCTCCCTCTCAAGAAAGAAGCCAATGAAGTCAATAAATAGTAAGGTCCAGGATGAACTATGATTTCTCTCTCTATGATTCTCTACGGATTGAGGAAGAGAATCGAGGGTTATCGTCATAAATGCTTGCTTACCCTGGAAGGCCACAGTTGTTGCACACACCGACATTGGCGCACTCTCTTGCGAAGTGTCCTGGCCGCTTGCAGTTGTTGCACAAATCGGGCCGCCTGGTTGCAGAAAGCACTCCAGTTAACGGGAACCAAGAAATAGCCTTTCATTTACAGAAAGTGAGGATTTTAAACGCGCAGCAGGTCTCTTTCGGGGATGGTCTGTTCCTTTAAAGAAAACCCATATAAAAGAATAGACAAAAAGGAAGGATCCGATGGTTGCTGAAGAAACACGACTTCCCGTTTTTGCATATGCAGATATATGGGAGCAGAGAGCAGCAGGCACATGCATCTCATATGGAAACTGGTCGAGATAGATGACAGCACCTTTTTTTCCTCTTCTTTACCAGGAAGGCTATCTTATCTTTGGAAACAGAGCTCTTTTATCGCGGAATTAGACCAGCTATTAACGGCCCTAAGTTAATGGAACACCAATCTGGATTCGAGAACGATGGATATGAGATCTATAAACGTGACATAAACTAAACTGGTGGGCCAGGGACTGCCCGTGGGATATGAATTCATGCTAAATCTAGCAACTACGGTGGAAGGTCGGGAAAGTACAGTTTTGGTGGAAAGATCTCATGTTACATACTAGCTAGCGAGAGAGAGAGAGAGAGAGAGAGATGGAAAGCCGAAACCTGTCGTAAATAAGGGGGAACTTTCTGTGAAAAAACAGAGAATTTGATAGGAAGAATCTATGCTGAGCATTCTCACCATGTAAATGAAGAGTTTTTTTGGCAATAAGTGAGTGGGCCAAGACAAGTAGATAACTCAATGACACTACAGGAGGACTGTCTCTAGTTGGAACGAAAACAGGGGAAGCGTCCAATAAAAATAAGCACACTTAAAGATAATATGTTCACATTAGCTAGCATATCAGAGCAGGATCTCATCAGCTGTGAACATTAGTATCTCGGTAGTGCTTTCTCCAGAGACCATGAGAAATCATAAGACCAACATGGCCCATTCAACATAGCTGATATTTACACAACATACACCAGATAGAAATTTCTTTACGCTTTTCAAGTTGATAGAAAGTAGAACCTTAATGACCTATCTATGCATAAAATTACATATTAGGTCACAACCATGATTCGGGAGTAAGTATTAGACACTAGTGTGCATGTTTTAGCCTCCAGATGTTCGCCATATAAGGGATGGTTTACAAATCAAAATTTTCCCGAATACCAGGCCTTCCCTTCTTCGTGTTAATATGGCCTATTCTCGAATTCAATTTTTCCCGCAAAAAGTATGATGCTTTACACTGTTGTTATGTGAAACAAAGTGGCATTGAACTCGCTACGTAAAAAAGGGAAACTATATTCTGACGACAATGGATGAGTCGTAGGCACATTGATTGATCTGCAGCAAGGTGTACAAAACCCACCAAGAGGGCTAATGAAGTCAGAAGAAACAATGTGTGAAGGAAAAACCACAGCAAACCCAAACATCAATAAAAATTACAGCAGATAAAGTCACAATTTAATTCTGAGTAAATGTGTCGGAGAATTATTTAAAAAGAAAAAACAGTATAAGTAGCAAAAGATATGAATGTTCGGAAGAGTACCTCGAACCACGGAAATCCCTCCTGTATGGGGCATCACGGTAGGAGAAACGCTCGGTTCGGATTTTGCGAGACCTTGGAGGACTACGGCTGCCTTGGCTCATCTTTCAGTCTCCCTTCCACCAAACACCAGTGATCTGGAATTAGTGATACTGCAATCACCACTTCAATTATAACCACAACTTCCTGTCAACTGTACAACCATCCAAAACCATCTCCGTATAAGTCCGATGTCAACAGACCACTGCGTGCCCCCCAAAAAATAAAGAGACCAAATGGTGCAGCAGCAGCAGCAACAACAACAACAACAACAACAACAACACAGCATCCGACCCACAGCTGCACCCTCCATCTCACATCACCGACGACCTCCTGAAAATCTCGTCGACTTCAAAGCGTAGTCTCTACTAAAAGACCTTCGACTATCCATTGTTAAAATTAAGAAGAGAACATTGACCACAAGATCACGATTCTCACTCATCGATACCTGGTGCCAGCCCTCTAAATCGATAACGGTAAATCTCAAGGAAAAGTTATACGAAAAAAACCTCAGACACTAGAGATAAGCAACAGGCGCGAAAACAGTACCGGCGCATGCATCAGCCCCGCTGAAACAAAGATGTATGGAAAGATGTAGCATAAGCACAGCACCACCCAAAGCCAATCGTTAAATCCATCCCAAAATTCCTAGGAGGAGGGGAAACCAAAAGGGAACCCCAAGTGAAAAGTAACAGAGATAACAGGCAGATCATGGTAGCACAAAAACGCACAAGGACGATTAAAAAATTACCCCGCTTCTACGATCGCGCTCATCGCGCTTAAAGTGGAACTAACAGGTGGACGGATACCTTAAACCACCCTGAAAAAAGGCCATCCTGTAGTATGTGGAACAAAGAGAAACCTAATCCCATGAAAACCCCCAACGACCAGCAAGCACCCACGGCAGTTCTCCAACCGATCCTCCGATTTAATTACATCTCCTCCCCGTCATAACTACGAACAACAATCGATCTGAAAACCAAGGCCAGAACAACGCCGGCACCAACAAACACAAACAAGAACGTCGAAGCTCTCTGGAGCATTCTCCCAATCTCAGCAAATACATCTCAACTGATATCGTTCCCTCTCGATCTGACCGAGAAAATTGTTCCAAGCTACGAGAATACCGACCTTTACTTCTTCTTTCTCCTCCTCCTCCTCCTCCTCCTCCTCCCGCTTCTCCTTCTTCTTCACGAAACCCTCGACAGGGAGGCCCCTCCTCCCCCGCCACCTCTCCCTCCTCGCCCCGCCCTTCTTCCTCTCCGCTCCGATTCACCCCCGCCAAGCAACTGGGCGGATCGTAGCTAGGGTTGTGGGGGAATTTTATATATGGGAAAACTAAAACACGGGCCCACCGATGCCAAGCGGTAGTTGCCTTCCCTGCACGATCACCGCCACAGCGGCGGGGATTAGATCCACGGGCCGCCGGTGGGCCGGATTCAAGCCGTCTCACCGCCGGCCTTGTGGGCCCACTGTTATTGGGGCAAATTGGACCGGCGTGCAAGGGCATTTGACCCGTCTGTCCGTCGGCACCTCCCGGATTATCTGATAATATTTAAATACTCCCTTTTGCCAGGTAGAAAACAGGCGCCAGCTTTTAAAAATAATATATATTTTAAAATTTTATCATATAAAATCAGATATATCTGATGAAGCGAAAATGATTTTTTTTTCGAAATAAAAGGGATGCAAAGTGCATTTCCAAGATCGACAGCCCATTTTCCATAAATAATACCAAAAAAAATCATAGTTTAAGGGAATTGTGCGAATCGACTTAAAAAAAGAAACTAAATGGGCTGACAGGCTCATAAAATAATGCCTCTTTTAACCACGAAGAAAAACCCTAACTTTTCCCAAAATCTTTCCTTCCAAATCGACTTCAAACGGCATCCCAAACTTCTCACCAAGTTGCCGGTTCCGGAAATTCATCTCGAAACCCGAAAATCTTCCAGGATTGTAAGTAATCATGGACACCAACTGAACACAGCAAAGAGAAGACGAAGAAGAAGAAGAAGAAGAAGAAGAGCCGAGCCCGTCTATCCCCACCTCAGAATCGCCGAGCCCCAAGTAAGGCCGGCTCCGAAGCCGGCGGTGGCGATGAAGCTCCCGGCGGCGACCTTGCCGCCTCTCACAGCCTCGTCCAAGGCCAGGGGAATGGAAGCGGCGCTCGTGTTCCCATAGTCAGCCAGATTCGACAGCACCTTGCCGGGAGGGATCTGCAAGCGACTGGCCACCGCGTCGATGATCCTCTGGTTCGCCTGCAGCAGAGCGAGCAGCCTCCTCATCAGATGGGAGAGAGTTGTCAGTATTTATCAAATCTGAGAGATTTCGTCACCTGATGGAGTAGCAGCCAGTCGATGCTGGAAGGCGCGAGGCCGGCTTCGTCCAGCGCCGACAGTATGGACTCCGGCACGCAGCGGACGGCGAAGCGGAAGACCTCCTTGCCGTTCATCTGCAGGCAAGAGTAAGAGGGCTTTCCCGGGGGAGAGAACGGGGCCCCATTGGCGCTTGAGCGGAAATCGACCGCCTTCTCATCCTTGATGATGGCGTTCAGGTGCCTGCGAGGAGTTTTTCTCTCCGGGGTGACTTGGAAGTGACGGTGGAGAGAAGCGGAGATCGCCAAAGTGAGTCGACCTCACCTTTCCCCATTCCCGTCACTCTGCAGGTTGAATCCGAGCAGCCCGTCCTCATCTCCGCTGCAAGCCTGTAGATCATCTCCGCTTCAGCTTTTTTTCTTTTTTCCAATCTATATCTTCTGAAAATCTGGTAAAAATGCATCATGGTATCTGCCGGCGGGGCAGATCAGAAGCTCTCCCTTGCACAGTTCAGTTCCATGGGCGGAGCGAGAGAGAAGAAATACCTGCACCAAAACGGCGCCAGCAGCATCACCAAAGAGAATGCAGGTGCCTCTATCAGTCCAATCCACGTACTGTGAAAGAGCGTCTGCTCCAATGACTAGAACATTCTGATAACCACCGCCTGGCATTTTAAATTGTATGAAACACAGAAGAACACGGAAGCACGGAAATCGTATGAGAATTTTCGTTACCCTTGATGAAACGGGAGGCAGTGACCAGTCCGACGACGAACCCACTGCATGCAGCCGTCACATCAAAGGCCCAAGCGCCTGTGCAACCCAGTTCTCTCTGGACCTGAATGACGAGCCAAGAAGGAAGAAAATGTTTGCTCGTGAATGGTGTGTTCGATCAAAAGGGAGGAGAGATCCTCCGCGCAATTGAAAAAGTTTCCCCTTGGTGAATGTAAATGACCCATTGGAAAAGAAGAGAAAATTCCACAGTAGAGGGAAGAAGGGCAAAGGGCCGTGCTTGTTTGAGAACATGCAGTTCATCATAAAGGGGAAGAAATCATCCACGTGAAAAGGAGAAATAATGGCTCAGAAACCCCCACTTTACTAGATCATTTCTCCTTGAACTTGCCCATTGAAGGGGAAAAAAGCACAGGAAAAGGGCTTTTTCTTGGTCTATTGGAAGTACCACAACACCTCTGTAAGTAATCAAGAGCTATAGGACAACTATACCGGCAGTCGAAGCAATGCTGGATCCACACAAGCAGTCTTGCAAGAGAAGCATCACCATTATGCCCATATATAGAACAACGTTTCCATTTACATCCGACATTCTTGTGGGAGATATCTTCCAAAGAGTGGAATATCCTAACACGACCTCGGAAAAAATAGGTAAATTGGGATCCAGAAAAGCTATCTTCTTCCATGTTACGCTCCTGGGTTGTGTACCTCGGTTGTATTGCCTACATAGGAGAGGGAGAGTACAAAAGCTGGTCTACAAGTCATGAAGCCTGTAAAACTATGATGAAAGGGGGCAAATTAAACCGTAAGATTAAGTATATGAACCTATTTCACTCATTGTGCCACAATGCATTCATCTTTAATAATAATGTAGGCTTGCTAGGTCTGCTACAGCCTGTCTGCCTGACGGCCGATTTTGAGTTGGATGACCCAATTCTTTGGCAATCATATCATAATGTTTCCGCCTTATTTTAAGAAGAATCTCGACACTGGGATAAATAAGTTGGGAGAACCCTCTTCACTCGATTGAAACTTCAAAGCACTGGCTAGACGTGAGAATGTCTAGGCAAATTACAGCATATTTTTTTTCCTTGATGAAGGCTTCTATGGACTACAGAATTCGCGGACCACACAACCTAAAGTCCATTGTTTGTAAATATTAATCAAGTTTCCACGGTGAATGCGATTCAATTGGTTCAACATGTAATCTAATTCCCCTTCGTTCTCAGTTACAGACAGTGACGTTTAACAGGTGTCCAAAAAAAAATGTATCCAGTAAAATGTGATGCATCCTCAAAGGTCGCAGAAACAAAAGAAAGAAAATTATTGCATCATCTACTATTTTTTTCCTCAGAATGAATTCTTCAAGGAACGAAACCAACCATGTGCAATGGGTTCAGTTGAATGGATAGAAAACACTGGTTCTCAGAACCAGCCAGAAGTCGATGATCCCTCCAATTAGAGAAAAACTCATCATCCATTTATTCGTTAAAACCCTAGAATGCTCGAGGATCACACGCCAACGTAAAAAACTGATGAAATAAGGAACGTAATTTTTCTATCGAGTAGAAATGCAGCCCATACGAGTTACTACGACGAATATAGAGCTGTCCGGGGAGACCTGCAGAGTAAAGGATAGTAAAATGCCTTTATCTCCCTTAATAATAAGAAAAATGAGTAGCCATGAGCATAGATTTCTGTAGAAGGGATATATCGTCAGTGGACAGCGTGTAGAGTAACGAATTAGAGATGAAACGTAAAGGTTTTCCTTTGAAGTTCATGCATTAAGATCCAGAAGACAGCATTCAGATCTGAAATTCTGAGAGCATACCCTAGCAGCATCGCCGAAAAGATTCTCTGGAGTAGATGTACACATTATTACTATGTCGACATCCTCTGGTGTCACTTGAGCCATCTGAAGTGCCCTCTTCGCGGCGTCAGTGGCCAGCCCAGTCAATGTTTCGTCTCCTGTTAAAATAAGGCTGAGTAAATATGAAACATAGGGTCTTAAGTCATCACTGAGAGAAGTACCTGAGAGAACTCGACGATTACGGATCCCTGTCCGAACAGAAATCCATTCATCAGACGTTTCGACAATCTTCTCGAGGTCATTGTTCGAAATTTGGAGCTTTGGCACCGCAGAACCACAGCCAACCAGCTTGGATCCCATTCCAACAAGTCTACGGACAAACGAATCCTTTTATAAAAAGGTTGAAGAAAGAGCTAGTTTAACTATCAAACTGCAAAAGTGGGAACCAAAATGTTCTGGATAAGAATCTACAAAAGCGGTACAAGCATGGATATATGCAGTCTTGATTCCAAAAATCTATTAATCATAGGTACAGCTAAAATCAAAACACATGGTGATTCTAACTGACGGAATGAGCAGATAATTTCTTAAAAGTGTGTGGGCTGCATTATTAGCCATATTCCAAGCAGCAACCTAGAAAACTATAAAATGCAAGACAACAATCCTGGCCGTTCCATTCTTTGCGTTTGAGATGGTACAGCTAAACCCAAAGAACGCGGGACGCAAACACACCCTTGGATAGGTAATAAGTAAAAATGGCCACTTCTCGTCGATGTTGCGCAGACAAATTCAAAGTCTCCCCCAGAAGGTGCCCAATTACTCCAATTGAAAATAATTGGACACATTGGCGATTGGTGTTCTTTCCGATCTCTACGCATTTCACCGCTCCACCGGGGGCCAGATTTATCCCGATGGCAGCAAGAGCAACAATACTGTCTATCAGAAAGGGAAAGGGATTGCGCGTCTACACGCTTGCAACGCACCGCCATCCCTTCCTCCGGCTATCGATCCGCGTCATACAATGATGATAAGGAAATAGAGAGAGATGATAGATAGACAGATGCGGAAAGGAAGAGGGAGGTAGAGAGAGAGAGAGCACCTGGGAATTCGTGGATTGGGTTTACATGCACCCAGCTCTGTCACCCCCAGGCCACCTTCCTCCGCCGCGATGCAACGGAGCCAGACCTCCCTCTGCGGATTCCCAGGAAACGAGCAATTCCCAAAGACCCCCAAACGACCCACATTTCTCACTCGGCCGCAGTGGGAGATTGGGGAGATTAGAGACGAAGCACTGGCCATGAGATCCCCCGCGTTGTCGATGAACGATGAGAAATTGCTGTCGGTAGTATCGAACAGGACCTCTTCACTTGAGCATTAGCAGAGAAATGCCACTTCAGGAGATTCAACCTCCAAGATTCCAAAAACCAGAGGGTTGACAATAGACAGGGCGATGATACCGAGAGGAGGAAACTCCAAAACACTCTATCCCTATCCCCTCCTTTACCTGCCGTGACAGAAGAAAATAACCATTTACGCTTCCCGGCTCACCTTCGAGTTGACCAAACCTTCGAACCGCGACCGGTTGCAATCAGATCTCGAGACGGCGACCTGCCTGAGCGGCGAATGTGCGGCAGGAGAATCGTCCCCCCCCTGATCTCTACCAGTAGAAGTCAGTTGGGATTACCTTCTCCCTCGAACTGATTGAGGCCTTCTCCCAGTTCTCGACTCACCCTCTAACCATTCCACGTGCGGGCCATCTAGACTCTTCGATCCACATCATCATAATCAGGAAAACGTTTCGGGCTTTTCCAATTCCAGACGAAGCCCGATAAAAGTTTCAACGGCCCGGGCCCGCCAATCGCCGCAAACTGACTAGGTTAGACGTCAACGCCGGCGGGACACGCGTCCGCTTCGTGGCCATAGTAAAAGCGTATCCTCCTCTCTGGTTCTGCCCTCCGCCGGAGAAGAGTTGGCGGCGAGGTGTGGGAGCAAGGCGAGAGAGGTTGCAGTGATGCGAAGGCTCCAGATCTTCGGGCTTCCTGATCTTCTCCGGGGGAGGGGAGTCGCTAGGGCAAGGTTCGGTTCCTCTTGGGCGGATCCCGAGCTCGCCGTCGCCGCCACCGTCGCCACTTGCCCTTCCTCGCCGTCCAAGGCTCAGCAGAAGAAGCTCGCCTATCGTCTTTCGTCCGTCGTCGACGCGGTCAATGAGCGGAAACTTCCGGCCGAGCTCCGAGGGCGAGAGAACGCGATCAGGTAATTTCTCTGGAGATCACTTCTGTTTCTCCTCGAGGTTTGGGTCGGAAATTTGATTCAATCATCTGAAATCTGATCGTCTATTAGATATTTTGATTCATCTTCTAGAAAGAAAAATCAGAAACATGAAATACGAATCTGCATACCAACTGCGTTGAGAGATGCTGCAGCGAGTTGAGAGATGCTGTTCTGATTCCGATCATTTTTTTGTCGACGAGTACTTATCGACTGTGCCTCGTTTAATTTCTGTAGAACTTCCGATTCAGATAATCTTTGTTGGACGATCGGACCAGGTAGAATGAGTTCGTTCTCTCATTATTGCAGTAAAATTGAAAATTATGTGTTCGATGCGAGCGCAGCATCAGTCTAAGTCCAATATGGCACCACTGTGCAGAAGCTCAATCGTAGAAAAATGGATTGCGGGGAAGAACCGAATAGTCTTTCCAGTCCATAAAATTAGCATATTAAAAAAAAGTCAACCTCCAGAGTCAAGATTTTCAGTAATAATAACTTGAATCCTAAGGGAACCACTCCTTGAAACTGTTCCTCCATTCATAGGTGGAACATCAGATGGTTTCATCGGCAACCATCATGATTGGAGCTAGGGGGATGATTTCGTCGCTGGTGTGGAACTAAGCTCGACAACTTACCCCGTCTTCATCGTCTCCCGCTGGATCTTCGTTTCGCCGGCAGGTCGGAGACCGACATAGCCAACGTGGTTGAGCAGAGGATCTGGCGCTCCATGGAGGAAGGCCAGTTCGAGAACCTTCCCGGGAAGGGCAAGCCCCTCGACCTCGCCGACAACCCCCACGCCGACCCTGCCGAGGACACGCTGTACAGGATCCTCTCCAGGAACGGCTGCGCACCGGAGTGGATCGAACTGAACAAGGAGATCCGCCGGAGCATCGGAGAATGGCGGGTGGCCCTGAGGAAGGCCCTCCCCCCCCCTCCGCCCGACGGCGACGATGATCCCCTCTGCTTCGAGCACTCGCAGCCCCTCAAATCTCTGATGGCCAACATCAACTCCAAGGCAATGCCCCAGCTCCCTCCTCATGTATATCACTAAATAATAATTTTCAATTTAATTTTAATTTTTGTTTTGGTTTGTGGGGTTGGTTGCAGATTCTGAGGTACAATCTGATGGTGCCGTTCGGGCGGCAGATGTTCGGGCTGAAGTGGGAGAGGGAGATAGAGAGACTGAGGGAGGAGAGATCATGCTCAGATGTAGGGGGTGAAGGGTCCACGGATTGAACGGCTCTGATTGATTTCTACGGTGAGACCCCCCATGGCTTTGATGATGAAACGGAAACGGTTGGGGGTTGTAACTAAATTTCAAGAGAGTTCCCAAACCTTCCCGCCGCCTGTCTCTATCTCTCTCGTGGTGCCTCAGTGAACTATTACAGCTCACTGTCCATGGCGAAGTGAGGTGGGAGCAGGGAGGAGAGAGGAAGCCTTGCAGGAGGCGATGGCGAGGAGCCATGCGAGCGATGGAAGTGAACGGTCCCGCCACCGGGGTGCTGACGGAGTCGTCAAGAGGAGTCAGCCGCGCCATTCCGTGGACGCGGGAGGGCGGCCGCCGGATCCACAGCAGCTGATTCAATGTGGCATCCTCCGTGGGGGGGAGAGGAGGAAGGGGGCATTGGTACGGATGTGCCTGTACGTTCTGATCGTTTTTGCCATAGGTGGGAACGTATTTATGGCCAGATGGCTATTCAGATCCACGGAGGATAATGAAACGGAGATTAGGAGAGTTGGAGGGAGGGGATCGCGCCCCGTCTTGAGGTTCGTGCCAGGTGATCTATTTCGGAGGTTCGAGGTGCAGGGCGGTCTTGATAGGATCCGATCAAGACGGGCATTCGGCATCAGACCTCCGAGGCTGGCTGTTGTGAGTATTCTCCTCGCTCTCTTCAGAGAGTCATGCATTTTTTAGGAAAGAGTCCCCTCCATAGTTCGGTTTGGATGTCTTGCAAGGTTACAAAGTAATGTGTACAAAATTGCAAGCGTTCTTTACGGACGTGATCTCAAACTAAAATATTATTCCTAATGATCTTTAGACATTCTATTGAAATCAAAGCACGACGCTCTTTGAAAACAGTTAACCTTGGGACACGCCTATAAAATAAAGACATTGAACAGTCTGGACGGCTAGATGTTCTACGGAGAAACATAGTACCAGAGTGCCTTGAATGGTTTTAGACCTGTAAACCATCGCGATTCTGTGTCATTCTATCTGGATATAACCTAAGTTTACATCGATTGTCAAAATTCAGAGAAATTTCGTTCCAATAATCAGTTAATACGGTTTTCATGACCGCTGCAAGCCCAGGTATAATTGAACTCCCAAGACTCGACTCAGGCACATGGTCCAATAAAATTTTCATTTATATGTCTTAAGGAAAAACTGTATAACTCTTTGTCGAGGACCTCATTTGACTAAAAAGAAATGCGTGAGTTTCTGGGTTTAGCATCTAGAAAGAGCTTTATATCAGCCATTTACAGTCCAGTTATACCAACCAACCCATACACAGCAAACAAGGCTACCCTCAGCATAGCCATTTTCGACAAATACTCTTTTAACTTTTGAGTGTTGAAATTGGAAAACATAACGTGCATGCTAGAGCTCCTTAGCCCATGGTCTTGCCAACTGAATCGACGACATAGTTTGAATGCTCGAAAATATTCTTCATCAATTAGGTGATGAATGATATGGTTGTCACATTTGAGTATCATATAGATCATTTTTTCAATGATGTTTTGGCATTAATTTATGGACGTTATCGTATTGTTCCAGGATTATCTTTTGCACTAGATATTCGTCGAGTGCTCCTTATCCTTGCTATGAGGCTTCTTTAATTTGTATTAGGTGGACGTATGTTTACCTTTATTTTCCTAAATACTGCTCGTTTTCAGGTCTTAGGGCGAACACAGAAAGATCCAACATCTGTATTGCTGTTTACTGTGTCCAAAGGTCTTCAAGAGATTGGCTACCACTTGACAGTAAGTTAATCAGTCTATATAATGAAGATAGTATCTCGCGGTAGATTTTTCGTACATCCGAATCCCTTCTCATCCATATCAAAATGTTCTACCACATGCACAAAGCCCCCCCCCCTCCCTTTCTGGGTCTTACCTTGTGCTGCTCGTAATACCGCTCCTTTCGCTCACTCCGACATTGCAGTTTTCCAGGTTGAATAGTTTCGCAACTATTCATTGTACCTAGCATCTTTAATATCCATGAATTAAAATTAAATATCCTCGTGTGAAACTTGCCATGTGTTTTTCTTTATTTACTTGTTAGAGGTCTACTATCAAATAGTTTTATCTTAGTGATTTTCTTGGGTCAGCATGCATACCACAACTTTGAGTCCCCATCAATTAGGAGTAAATTCTTGGGTGTCAGAGCTTTTAATGATCCCCACCCAGGGTCCAGAAATTATCTCCATTTTTTTCCCCTCCGAAAATAGACTTCGTCACAAGTTTCCTTCTGGCATTTGACCTCTGGGTTCATGCTCTAGACCCAACTGTTATTCCAGAATGCCTATCCATCAGAGTTACGTTCCCACGTACAGATGATGGATTCATCCACTGTACCGTAACTCATGTGGTCCCGGTTAAGGTTCTTAACACTCCATTATGAATTTACGATGTGAGAGTATATGAGAACCACAAACATAAGTATATGGAGTGCGGTGCACACAATTAATTGAAGCGAAAAGATATGGAAAACATACAGCACCTTAATTTTGGAAAAATAATTATAGATTTTCCCAGATGAGAAACTCAAATTTCTTTCTGAAAACATCTGTGGACAAAATTTCCTTCAAGGAGAGCCGGAATCCTATGTGGCTAGTGCTGACCTTCCGATCGTGATCTTTTTTGGATTAACTGTACTTTTTTTCTCATTGTTTGAGATTATTTTTGAATAATTATGTGATGAATTTTTAAAACAGATTTTTGCATTTGAAGATGGGGATGCTCTCCCATGCTGGGAAGAAATTGGAGGAAATATTTCTATGTTAGGCAGCGACTACATTACTGACTGGTCAATGTATGCTCTACGATGCCATTCCGTTCTCTAGCTTCTAGTGATCTCACTACTGGAACAGAAGAATCCCCTTATATCTGTTGTTCCATTTTGGTGTTTATGTCTCGTACAATAATATTCACGTGGTGTATCTTCCTATAGTTTTGAAGGTGTCATTCTATGCTCTGCTGAAGCTGGCGTAGCCATTCCGAGGTACTCTCGTACTCTTGTCGTAATGTGTATCCAGTTATTTTGTGAACGCAGACAACTAAATTGCCTCACCTTCTCTTTGCTCTCAGAGGATGATTTCTTGTGGTACCTGTTCAAAGTTAATGTGATGCAAGAAGAACATTGAATTTTAGAAATGGAAATTATTTTTTTGAAATTTTTGAAATGGTAAAATACAATTTTTAAACAATAATTTAATTTAGGTCAATTTTAATTACTGAAAGTTCTTAAACTGAACTCCGCTTTCAATATAAAACTCGAATCATGAAATTTTGATTTATTTCAAGTTTTTTTGTTATAACTCTAGTTCAAATTTTTAGAGATTTTATTTCATCTTTGAGCGTGTGATTCTAGGATTATGGGGACACTCAAAATTTTATTGTTCATTTTTAAAAATATTTAAAATTAGGTTTACGGGGACTGCCTCACATTTCTTGCTCCTGTATTAAGGTTTCTACTTTTCTATCAGGCTTTAACATTTTTTCTGTAAACCAGGGATTAATGTTTTTGGAAAAAGTGATATGGAATCCACTTCTTTGTGGATTATTTTTCAAGGAAAAGTATATTTTCTGCTGCGTAACATTTATTCAAAAGTTAAGCCGTTGAATTTTTCTTATTGGGTGCATTCTCATGCATGAACCTTTTCATTCTGTGCCGGTGATATGAATTATTGAACTTGTCTTATTGAGTGCAGGCTCATTCATGTACATCGTCATTATGTGCTGGTGATATGAATTATTGAACTTGTCTTATTGAGTGCAGGCTCATTCATGTACATCGTCATTATGTGCTGGTGATCCTCCGGAATATTGAATTTGTCTTATTGAGTTCAGTCTCATTGCATGAACCTTTTCATTCTGTGCCGGTGATCTGGAATATTGAATCTGTCGTATAATCTGCAGTCTCATGCATGAACCTTTTCATTCTGTGCCGGTGATTTGGATTATTGAATTTGTCTTATTGGTTGCAGTCTCATGCATGAACCTTTTCATTCTGTGCCGGTGATTTGGATTATTCAAGAAGACACACTTGGAGAACGTCTTTCAATGTATTCAGATCTGTCCTGGGAGAATATTATTTCTGCGTGGAGAAGAGCTTTCAGCAGGGGTTATGTTGTGGTGTTTCCGGATTTTTCTCTTCCCGTTAGTGCGCTGTGCCCATTTTGTCATATTTACTGATGCAAAGAATTTACCTCACGACGAGAAGCTTACAGTGACCTTTTATCTGTACGGGTTTTTTGTCCATACCAGCTCTTGTACTCGACACTTGACACGGGTAACTTCTTCGTGGTGCCTGGTTCTCCTGTTGACGTCTGGGCTGCAGAAAGTTATGGCAGATCACACTCCAAGAACCAGTTAAGAAAAAATAAAGGAATCCAGGAAGATCACGTGGTTATTGTAGTCGTTGGAAGCTATTTCATGTATGATGATGCCCCGTGGGATTATGTAGCTATTGCACAACTAATCGGATCACAGTTGATGGAACTTTCAAGAACACTGGATTTGGAGGAATCGTTCCAAGTTATATTTTTGTCTGGAAATTCCACAGCAGAGGGGGGATATTCTTTACAGGTACTGGCTCGTGCACCAGCTATTCACATTTACTTCAAACAAAGATCCAGCCATTTCCGTACCATACACGAATGCAGATTTCTCGATTAACTTTTCGGATGACTAAATCTATAGAGATTTCGTCTTCTTTTGTCTTTTCTCTGTTTTTGAACTGCTAGGGCTTCCTGTTGATCACTTTTTTTTACGAAGAATGATAAATAAAAAAATCCCGCTGATGAAAGAGAAACTAACATTTAAATGTCTATTTATATGGAAATTCATGCTGCCATCTGTCAGATGACTAGTTCGTCATGTTGCCTTGCCGGCTGGTGATCTCCCCACTTGATTCTTTACTTTCGAATTGATTTTTCACTTCTTTTTTTTTAACCTAGGTAAGATGTCTTTCCATACGATGATTCGTTTTATGTTCTTAATTATCCGTTGCATTCATGCTCCCTGAATGATTTTCACGCTCACTCTAAGAATTTTAGTGGCCAGTAGACGTTCTTGGAGTTCTTGTTTTAGACCATTCCTTCAAACCCTTATTATCCCTTACTTCGCAAAGGTAGCGTCACACTTATATTTGTTATAAGCTATCATTAAATCTGTGAAATGTTTTGTTTCCTGTTTTGCATGTTAAATAGTTAAGCTATTATGGAAGGAACGGAGTACAATGAGAACATGATCCAAACATATCAACAACATGAAACACATTCCCTGCATTCTTTTCTAGCCCTCAAACAAGATGCTGAACCTTTCCAAATATAGTAGGGTAGCCGGCTTTGTCAATGTGCGTGCTTTTAGACCATTCTTTCACATGCATTATTGCTTAATTGATGATATTTTGTTAGAGGGTTATTCCAATATCGTTGGAATACTGTGTACATCTTCACCCGGAGTTGTTTGAGTTTTTCTCCGACGTCACAAGCTCTCACTGTATCTCTTAGCTTCTCCGTGTTTTTTGGTGACCTGTGAGGAATCTGTCCCCCGTGAGACCCTTCTTTCTTGTCTATGTTGCCCTTTCTTTTTTTCAATCAGGACGGTGTTAGTGATCCACATATCGTTCATTTAACGACCTTCGGTCAGCATGAGATCCCTACGAGTTCCGTGATGCTGTTATCTGAGTGAAACACATGAGCTGCTTGATAATTATGTCAACTTGCTATTTTGAGCAGGACGTGGCATCACGCTGGGGATTTCCTGATGGTTTTGTCAAACACTACGGTTTCGACGGGGATGCCGATGGAGTGTTGTTAATGGCCGACGTTGTCATTTACGGGTCCATGCACGATGAGCAGAGTTTTCCTCCGCTGTTGGTCCGCGCCATGTCCCTCGGAATCCCTATAATTGCCCCAGATTTGCCAATAATAGATAAATACGTAAGCTCATCGCCATTTTTTGATCATCGGATGACGGCATCACAGTCTTCTGTCTGACAAACGTTTACCCGCTTCTGCAGATCACCAACGGTGTCGACGGCCTTATTTTCCACGCTCGCGATCCTCAGTCGCTTAAGGATGCTCTCCGGCGAGCGATAAATGGTTTGAGTTTCTACGAGATGGAGCGCAATACTGCCATTTCTGGGAAGAAACTCTCGAAGAACATGCTGGCCTGGGATTGCATCGCTGGTTATGCCAAGGTTCTTGAGAATGTGATTCAGTTTCCATCAGACGCACTTCTCCCCAGCCCTGCCACCGAAGCCCGACAGCGAGTCTGGGAGTGGAGATTATTAGGGGAGCGGCACGAGTCCCTCGCTGACGATGGTTATGGGTCGAGGTGGACATCCAGCATCTTGGACGACATTGGGGCCGACATCGATGATCCGACCTTCGAAGAGAATCCTCCCTCTGGGAACAGCGAGCTTAGTGACTCAGACTGGGCTGACGTCAGGGAAATGGAGCTCTCTGAAGATGCCGAGAGGCGAGAAGCGGAGGAGGTATGATGATCCCACTTTCTCTCTCTTTCTTCCTTCACAAGTGCCTCTGGGTGAGTGACCTCTGTATCGTTGTCTCAGCTCGCCGAGAGGACTGAGAGACCTTCAGAATCATGGGGAGACGCATACGTCATAGCCCAAGGAGTTGCCAAAACCAGGTTTGAGGTTAATGAGAGAGATGAAGGAGAATTGGAACGAGTAGGGAGGCATCTTTGCATTTACGAAACTTACGGCGGAGCTGGTGCGTGGCCATTTCTACACCGCGGTGCTCTGTACCGGGGTTTAAGCCTCGTAAGTTTAATACCAACCTTGTCATTTACTAGCACGGATAAAGTTTCACGGCATAAAATATCTCTCTCTCTCTTTCTCTGTTTCTCTCTTTTGGATCCATTTATGGAATATCCTTTTGTATAGTCTGAAGAGGGGAGTGAGTTCAGATTCGACGATGTCCCGGCGATGCACCGTCTTCCCCTCCTGAACGACGCACGCTACAAGGATCTTCTCTGCGAATTTGGCGGCATGCTGGCCATTGCCAACAAAGTGGACAGCATCCACAAGACGCCGTGGATTGGGTTCCAGTCATGGCGTGCCGCAGGGCGGAAGGTGAGTGATGATGACCCCGCCCTCCAGGTTGAGATGTACGAAGAAATCACCGGAAGAAGATCATCTCCTTTTAGTTCGCTGTCTTCACCTGTGGGAGAATAATGGCGTCGTCCTCTCTCTCTCTCTCGCTAAGCAGGTGTCCTTATCTGCTGGGGCCGAGGAGGCACTGACTGATGCCATGCGAACGGATACCAGAGGAGACGTTTTCTACTTCTGGGCCAAGCTAGATTTGGAGGCCCCGGGGACCAGGCATCTCGATTTCTGGTCGACATGTGACATCTTGAACAACGGGCACTGCAGGTCTCTATCTCTACCTCTTCCTGTCCCATTTCATGACCATATATAGACATATATTTACATATATATATGCCCACTGTGGTGCAGGGATGTTTTTCAAGACTCCTTTAGGCGAATGTACGACTTACCCAGTGGGGTACCCGCCCTCCCGCCGATGCCCCCCACCGGCGAGTGGTCTGGGCTCCACAGCTGGGTGATGCCCACCCCTTCCTTCATGGAGTTCGTCCTCTTCTCCAGGTGAGTCTCTACGATCGACAGACATCCTGCAACTAGCTAGCCTCTCGATTGACGACTATTCCCTCTCCAGAATGTTCTTGGACTCGTTGGACGCCTCCATTGCCAACTTCTCCGGCGGCGTCGACCCCTGCCTTCTCGGATCGTCAACGCCAGAGGTATTAAAAAAGACGGTCCCTTTGACTACTTTTTTAAAGTCGGTCTTCACATCCCACCCGTCAACCATCCGCGTCTTGTGCTCAATGCTGCTCCAGAAGGAGCACTGCTTCTGCCGCGTGCTGGAGCTACTGGTCAACGTCTGGGCTTACCACAGCGCGAGGACGATGATCCACCTTGATCCGTTGACCGGAGAACTCCGGGAGCAGCACCCGGTGCGGCTGCGGCGGCGGGGTCTGATGTGGGTGCGGTTCTTCAACTCGTCTCTGCTAAAGGATATGGACGAGGACTGGGCGGAGTCAGCGGCGGACGGGGAGCCGCCACGTAGGGGGTGGCTGTGGCCGCTGACGGGGGAGGTGTACGGCCCCCTCGTCCGGGACAGGGAGAGGGAGGCCGCCTACAGGCAGGAGAAGAGAAGGCTTCGTAAGGACAAGCAGGAGCTTCTCCGCAGGCGCACGCACGGCCGCTATCAGAGACCTCTCGGCCAGTGAGAGAGAGATAGAGAGAGAGAGAGAGAGAGAAACTAGCTTACGAGAAGCGTATGAGAGACGGGAGAAGGGAGAGAGAGAGAGAGAGAGTTTCCGTTCCTGCTATCATCATACTAGGCTCTCTCTCTCTTTCTTTCTCGCCTAACCTCTAGCGAGAGGGAAATGGAACGTCTGCCGATGTCCAATGGGATTATTGGGCCTTGATTGCTGTGCGCGGTCACTCGTTTCTCGAAGGCTTTCCAACCCGGAAACCCCTATTAATGGGCCAAAAACGGGGCCCCATTTTATTTAAATAATAGCCCATATTAACCATCCGTCAAGCCCGTCGAACTTCGGCCTGTTCGATATGGGTCCACTCTCATTCAGTAACAGAAGATGCGGAACGATCGGAGATTTCTCTGTCTCTCTCTCTCGCCTGATTTGACGGATCTGTCGTGTGGGCCAAAAGCGATCCTAGTGGAGCCGAGGCCGATCGCCTCGTCGTCCGCCCGACAACTTCCGGCCCATTCACGTGGCCTTTTCGGGAAAAGGCGAGGCCCCGGAAAGTGACGGGACGGGTTAAACTAATGATTGTCGACATCCCAGACAGGCCCAGGCCCAACGGGCCTACAAGGGGACAAACGCGTCCGCAGCAGAGGGTGCGCTCTTTCTCCGGCAGTGATTCGGGCCCAGCCCGACATGGCATTTCTTACCCATTTTTTTTAGTGGGCCCTTCTCCATTTGGGCCCATGGGCTCCACGTCGCGACGCGGTATCTGTAAAAATGGATTGGCCCTCTGGGCTGTCGATGCCTCCTCCGTTCACGATACGACACGAGTGTGGCGGCGCCTTGGGATACCTTGTTTAAAATACGAGCAAATGCACAATGTTTTCTCTCTCTTTCTAACCGTGTGTGTATTTTTTAAATGGCTAAGAATATTTTATTAATCAATGACCTAAAAAAAAGTGAGATCGACAAGTTAACACTTTTGTATACGATGTATACTAAAATGAGCTATATTTTGGTAGACGACACTGACTATTATTATTTGGCGCCTTTATGTCCTAAAAAAATATCCAAATAAATTAAATTAACATGTCATCTGATGTATGTTCATATAAAAGACACATTAATTGTTTTTTTTATTAAAAAAAATTAAGACCCTTGATTTTTCATTCAATCGGCATAAACATTTGATTTTGTACCTTGATTGATAATTAAGATTAAAAGAAATAAATGAACCCCTTTAGATTCGATGAATGTTTGTTCAAGGTACTTCTCGTAAAATGGCACCATTTTTTTTTACTACTTAGCACCTACCTTCACACGGAAAGAAAAAAATAAAATAACGCGTGATATTTTATTAAGTGACACCCCTCTGCACCATGCGAGTAAAATAACACGTCGATTAGTTACCTTCTTGTATCGTTCCGCCCTATACAAAAACGAGGTAATCACCGTCACGTGCCGCCGAATAATTTGCAATGATAAAATAAAGTGTAAAATGACGCGCCCCCCGATGCCGATGGAAGGTAATTTCTACTCAACGACACCAGTTTTTTTATTATATATATATATCCATTTGTACCCTTCGAAACACGGAAAAAATGCACCTAAAAGAAAAAGAAAACGGACGAACCAACGCGTTCCGACCGATGAGGAGCGCCACTCCGGCAGAGCATATTTTCCAAAGTATAATAATTTACAGAATATTCACATTTAATGTAGTTATTGCACGAGGAGGTGGTACGGGCCCGTGTGAATGCGTCTGTCGATAATGTCCAGGACAGTGGTGGAGGATACGTGGATATCTATGGCTATCCTCCTAGTCTATGCCGCAGTCCAATTTTTGGTAAATGAAGGGCATCTCCCTTTGGCGGCGGCGGCGGACGGTGACGGCCGTGCTGTAGCGTAGCGGGCGAGGGACTAGGGAAGACGCATCGTCATCGCCGTCGCCGTCGCCGTCGCCCCTCCCACCCCCCCGTGTCGTCATGCGGGGGCGTAGCCTGCGAGCGAAGGTGACGGTGCCCATAGCGTCCCGACGGACGGGGGTCTCGCAGGTCCCAGAAGAGCTAGAGAGAGCTAGAGAGAGAGAGAGAGATGATTGTCGGGGGATTACGTTGAGAGGTAGGCTAAACCCCAGAGGCTGTAAGATATCCTCTCTCACGATCTCTTGGTTTGTCTCTCTTCAGGGAAATCAGGGGGACGGGGCCGGGGATCAGTTGGATTTTACAAAGCCCGAAATACACTGCGTTAGTCGTTGATGCGAGAAACTTGTGGGAGGAACACCCCCGTTCGATCCTTTCCATTTCTCACACCTTTTACATCACGTCGGCAGTCACCCAGTAGACCGAAAGATTGTGATAGCGTGAGAGAGAGAGAGAGATGAGATCATTGGGGCTTCAGATGTTGTGGTCTGACTTTGGCCACAAGTCAACGAAGGAAAGCCTCACAAGGAGATGATTCCAACGCTCGCCGACGTTTCCCCCGACGTCGCGGCACTCTGGTTCACTTAAATTGCTCCGCTGGGTCGCCTATATATACTCCCCCCTCCCCTCTCTCCCATTCCGACTCGCCCCCATCCATATCTCCTCCCTTCTCCAATCCCCTCCTCCCAAGAATTATCTTCCATCCTCAGATTTCTCTCTCCTTCCTTTTTTTATATCACTTATCGTCGTCACCGCCTCTCTCTCTCTCTCTCTCTCTCTCTCCCCCTCTAGCTTTCCGGGCCTGTGGCGATGGAGCTGGAAGAGTCTGCGGAAGCCGACTATATGAAAGGAGTGAAACATCTCTGCGAGTGTGAAGTCAAGAGGGTCCCCACCAAGTACATACTACCCGTCCCTGATCGCACGCAGGCCGAGCCCGACCTTCTCGAGCTCCCCATCGTCGACATCTCCGACCTCCACCCCGGCTCCGCCGGCCGAGAACGAGCTCTCTCTTCCCTCGCCGACGCCTGCCGGAAATACGGCCTCTTTCAGGTTCCTGACCATCTCCTCTCTCTGTCTCTCTCTTTCTCACTCTATCTTTCTCCCTCTAAAGTGGAGGAGGGTAACGCTGGGTTTTAGGTGGTGAACCATGGGCTGCCGGGGGAGGTGCTCCGGAGCATGATCGAGGTGAGCAGGAGTTTCTTCAAGCTGCCGTTGAAGGAGAGAGAGAGGTTCATGTCGTCGGAGGTACTCTCTCCGGTGAGATACGGCACCAGCTTCAACCAGACCATGGACGGCGTCTTCTGCTGGAGGGACTTCCTCAAGCTCACCTCCCATCCCCTCCCCGAGGTTCTCTCCCTTTGGCCCGCCTCTCCCCCAGACCTCAGGTAAGCCCCCCTTCCCTTCCACCTCTGGTTCGGAGAACTGAAGAAGAAGAAGAAGAAGAAGCAACTAACCAACCGTTCGAGAGGTGGCCTGTCTCAGGGAGGTGGCGGTCTCCTACGCTCGGGAGACGAGGAACCTCTTCCTGGACCTCATGGCAGCGATCATGGAGACGCTCGGCGTGGAGGACGCGAAGATGATGGAGAAGTTCAGGGAGGGGAGCCAGCTGATGGTGCTCAACTTCTTCCCGCCATGCCCGCAGCCGGAGCTGACTCTGGGAATGCCCCCTCACTCCGACTACGGCTTCCTCACCGTCCTCCTCCAGGATGGAGTCAACGGGCTCCAAATGCAGCACCAGGGCCGCTGGGCCACCGTCAACGCCGCCGCTGGCTCCCTCCTCGTCAACGTCGGCGACCACCTCGAGGCACCGCCCTCTTAAACCCTAAACCCTTATTATCTCTCATCTCCTCCCTCCCTCCCTCAGTCCTCCTCAAGCGGGTGAATACCATTTGACTTTCTCCTTCTCTCTCAGATATTCAGCAACGGCAAGTACAAGAGCGTGCTGCACCGGGTCTTCGTCAACGCCACCTCCCCGCGGGTTTCGGTAGCGTCGCTCCACAGCCTCTCCCCCGCCGCCGTGGTCAGCCCTTCGCCGCAGCTCGTCACCGCCAGCGAGCCACGGCGGTATATGGACACCGGCTTCGCCGCCTTCCTCCACCACCTCTCCTCGCGGGGCACCACAGCCAAGAGCTTCCTCGAGTCGCGGAAGCTCGCCCACTAGGCCACCGCCACCAGCTGCCGACTGAGTCCACCCTCCAGATCTTTTTGTCCGGCAATGACGTGGCAGACCGAGATAGGCTCAGTCATTCTAAGACCCATTTGTCCCTCAAGCGCAAGCGAGAGAGAGAGAGAGATAGAGAGAGAGAGAGAGAGAGAGAGAGAGAGAGAGAGAGAGAGAGAGAGAGAGAGAGAGAGAGAGAGAGAGAGAGAGAGAGAAGAGGGTGGTGCGGCTTGTCGGTCATTGATGGATGTAGTGAGAGAAAAAATAGAACTATATGATCCTTGAGTTGGATGTATCAAAAGAGGCCCAGCAGTAAGATTCCGGGTTTTCACGAGGTGGAAGCTTCTATCCTCTTCCTCCTCCTGGTTCAAATCTCGGAGGAGCGAGCTTCGCAATCTTCTTTTCGGCGGCCGACTCAGTCGAGAATCTTCTCCCCAGTTGAGAACAGGTTCCAAACCAGAGTTCCCACGAGGTACAGGGCCACGGCCACCTTAAAGACGTCGTTCCAGGAACCTGGGAGGGCGAAAACGCATTCAGCCCCAAATCGGGAAACAATTATATGAGAAGAGGGGCAGAGAGGGAGAAGCTCGTCGGCGTGCCTCGTTGGAGGATGTATCCGGTGGCGGCGGTGCCGAAGACGCCGGCCAACACTCCGGCCGTGTTGGACAGCCCCAGCAGCACTCCCTACAGGGAGGAGCAACCGATATGAAGCCATTCCATCTAAACTTGCATTAAATCACAGTAAAGATGCGCTCTTACGGCGTAGCGGGGCCCGATGTCCTGGTGGTTCGAATACAGACCAGACTGCGAGAAGGCGTCGCTGCCCTGCAGGTCGAAAGGGCCGGTGAAGGTAAGAAGCAAACCCGGGCTTCGGTGACTCGGCCCATCGCAGCGTAAAGAGATGAGAATTGAGGGTTCATAGCCGGAGGAGGAGGAGGAGGAGGAGGAGGAGGAGGAGGAGCACCTGGCTGCAGGCCATGCAGAGCACCGCCATGGCCGGAGTACGGACACGGCCCAGCTGGGTGAGGAAGAACGCCGGCCCAAGAAACCCAATCGACTGCATAATCTGCGACAAGTGAAGCCCAGCCAGAGTAAGAATTTATGTACAGCTGAAAATAAACCCGTGGAGCGTTGTTTGGGAGAGTCTTCATCAGTCAACGGGAAAGTCAAGAAGAAGATTCTTCATAGAGGCCATGTTGAGCACCGAGTCAACGGGAAGAGTTGTAAGCAGCCTTGAAGAGGGGGGGGGGGGGGGGGGTGTTTACCTTCCGAACCGTGGTTATGGACAACCCTTTCTGGACAAGAGTATCTGCAATCCAACCCCCTATGTTTGCAAACACAGCCATGGTCAACCATGGTAGAACACAGAATAGTCCAGACTCAGTCAGATTAAACTTCAATACCTGCGCAAATTCACCGAGATGAGCGTCTGTGCATGCAGACGGATAATGAAGAAAAAAGCATTAAGAGTCACAGAAAGCTCTAATAATAACAATGCTGCGTCAGAAACCTATGATTCGAGGGCTCTATTTATATCAATGCTTAACATCATATAAAGATGAACAAGTTCATAGAGGGATTGAGCACAAGTTCGAGTATGGATCACAGGTAGGAGCTTCATCCAGCTCGACTCTGCCGTCCATAAATTTCGCCTGTACCCAAACTATTGAGCCTAAGCCTAACCAAGCACTTGAACTGTACCCATATTATGAACCAAGGTTGCCGTGGAGGGATCATGCAGATGAAGCTTAAGCAATAGCGAGCTTGGTCAATGGTAATCTTGTATACAAATCTAGATATCATACGGAGCACTGTGAATTTTGATTCAATCAGGAAAACCACGAGGGGGATGTGCAGGGATATATGACGAGGAGCCCTCTTTTAGGAGTTCCCATTGAAATCTAATGGTTACCATTGACCAGGTGTTCTCCACTCCTCAAGGACCACAAAAGCTTTCAGACACTTTGGACTTCGAAATCATTTAAAATCCTAGAAACATGGACATGCAAACACTCGAAAGAGGAGAGTTTTTTGCATCACTGCGAAGAATGAAGTTTCTTTATTACTCTGTTTTGAGAATCTAAAAAATAATAATGATATGTATATCAATAGCTTTTCTAAAACCACTAAAATTCACAGAAATCTCGGCCGTCTGAGAGATATACATGGAACCATTCACAGAGGGAAGCTGAGAAGTGGCAGGGGCAGGCAAAGTGCCACCCTCGGACAGGTGGCTAACAAAGGTGAAACTGATGAAGGTATCCAAGAAAAAAGATGAACGCTAGTAGAACAGAGGATTTGAATACAGTTCAGATTGATACCACGACACTTGCCTGCTGTCCTAGAATGAGAAACAGGAATCCAGGATGAAGGCAGAAGATCTCTGAGACGACTGCTTTTTGACGATATATTATAAATAATTTATAGAAAAAACATGCAAAGAACAATTTCATTTTCATTTCAAAAGAAAAGCAAAGCTGATGGGAAACTCTTAAGCAATCAGACTGACGTGAAAACGGACTATGATTGTTTCTTTTTATAACTTCTCCATATTAAAGTGAATGGGAGACTATATGTTTTTCTATAAATTATACATAATTTTTAGATAAACATGCAAATAAAAATTTCCATTTTCATTTCAGCAGAAAAGAAAAGATGATGGGAAACACTTGAGAATCAGACTGAAGTCAAAACGGATTATAATTGTTTCCCTTTATAAATTATGTCTTCCCGAGTGACCTCAGGAACCCCTTTCCCGCCACCGAACCCAACCTTATGTTGATTTGGGACGCTGGATCGTCAACCAGCCGAAAAAAAACCTATTTAATAAGCCTTCCTGGATCTCCTCAGATTCGTTCAGTGGACCCCCGCGATGGGAGCATGACAGTGGACACCGTCCACGCATAGGCATAGCAACAGACAGTACTTTACCTGGTTGTAATATGTGGGCATCCATGTAAGGAGAATGAATGTGCCCCAATTATGGCAGAAGTGAGAGATGATAAGAGCCCAGACAGGAGCTTTTGATAGAATTAATCTCCACGGAATATCTGAAGCAGGATCCTTCGACAGATTAGCACCTAAAATAAGCTTCTTCTCGTTTTCGGAAATTTCTGGGTCCTCTCGAGGAGAGCTGTACGCCTAATAGACAACAGGGACAGGTTAGAAATGCACGGAGACACGCTGATATAACAAAATGCCGTGAACATCATAAAAAGTGCTTTACAATGTGTTAGTCTCATGAGAGGAGACGTGTCATTGAGGAAGATTCAGTTGTGGACAGACATCCTATGAGTCTCTCGAGGTAAAAATGGAGATATCATATGCAGTGATATACTTTCTGGTCTATGGAAAGAAATCGAATATGACATGCACAAATATGAGCTACAAACTGAACATTGAGGAATCACTGTCCGTTTCACACCAAAAAAAGAAAAGAAAAGAAAAGGGAAATAGAAAGTTGAGCAGTAAGGATTAAAAGTCAAGAACACTGATGGATTTTACCTTACTCTGCCACAATGCAAACCAGAGGCTTCCCAGAGAGCCAAAAGAGTAGAAGACAGAAGGCCATCCGAACTTATCAATGAGAATGGGAGAGAAAGCCAACCCAGTGACAGAACCAAGGTACATGCCACTGTACACCAGAGCAAGTGATCGACTTCTCTCAGATACAGGGATCCATTTTGAGAGTAAATTATTCATGGCAGGCATAGCAACGCCCTGTAATTCAGAGAACCAGGTTTAAAGAAGTGAAATAAGCTAATGTCCACAATGATAAAGCATATTTTGCATAATTTTAAAGTAAATTGGAGATGTATAATACCACATTAAATTGGAAATGCATTCGAAGACAACCAGTAAGTGAGAAACGAAGCAATGAGAATTGTGCCCATATATGAGGTTGAATTTCACAAATACCATCTCTTTCATAAACGAATAAAACAGAGCACCGTGATACTAATGTCAACGCTCAAAATACAATAACAAGGCTACAAGAATGCGACAATATTTGGTTGGACTTTTGAAACATGAATCAAACTTATCGTAAAATTTTTCTTCAAGGTATCATGAACAGAGTCGCTGTCAAGAAGATGAAAAGAAACATTGTGGCCAAGTAAGAAGAGACATTACACAGGTCCAGAACTCCCAGAAAAAAACCAAACGGAAAATTTTGGAACATCAGTTGTGAAAGCACAATGTATGGAACACTATCAGCAGATCAATAGCCATTCAATGGAAAATACATTTATCATTTTTTTATTAATAACCTATTTACTGCGCGGTAAAGTAGAAACAGTTATCAATTATAGTCGAGAAAGAAAAAACCTATAAGAAAATGAGCTCGAAGGCCAGCATCATTATGACTACGAGAGAATAAGAAGCTAACCTCACCAATGCCCATCAAAGCTCGAGCAAAGAGCAAGAAAGGGAGCCCAAACCGAGCAGCAATAGGTGTAAGAACCGTAGCTACTGACCACCAAACAACCCCAAAACCTAGAACAAGCTTACCACCAAGCTTATCTGCCCATATTCCTCCGACGATCTGCACTATATAAAGACATTCGGTATTAAAACACAATACTTGAACAAAAAAAATCATAATTTATAGGGTTAGTGCTGCCATAAAAATGACATGAAAATAATTCAATATAGACTGGCCATCAAATCTAGAGAGAACTTTCCTAAATGTCAACGAATTAAATATAAGCTCGCACGGAGACAAAAAAATGCCACAAATGAGACGATTTTGCTATTATTCTGTTCATAAATCTGAGTAGAATTTATTCTCATCTGTTCGTTATTCCTGAAAATAGTTTCACTACATCTTTGTCAAGCATGGAATTAAATTGCTTTCAGTCTAATCTAAAGTTGCAGAAGCCTGTAGTAGAGAGAAGATAACTAGAATCATCGGCCCAAGTTGAGGCACAAATGAACAAACACACAGCTTCATAGGCACAATTGATGACACAGAGAAAAAATGATGAAGGGTACTATGTCAACACCAAAGAGTGAGTAGAGGGCGAGAAAAAGGACTAAGGAGTGCCATCAAAGAAAACGGATTATGCCCGAATTTGATATAGCCCCACAGTGATAACCCTTGATGATAAGGGTGAAACTCGAGCTGAAGCGCCACAGTGATAACCCTTGATGACTATGCCATCGAGATATAGAAGAAGAAGAAGAATGACACACCATGAAGACAACATAGTCCTTGGCATTCCCACAGAAATTGGAATAAGGAACGGCCTTACTGGAACCGCTCAAACCATCAGCGGTGAGAATATTTAAGTCTTTATATGGCCTTGTGAAGATGACAAATATGCAGGGTTAACAGAAGACCATAGAAGAGGCTAGGGGAGGCTTCCTCGAAAAGGTTACCATGAAGAAAGTGCTTCACGTCAAGATGATAGAGAGAGGGGATTAACAAATGGCTACAACAATAATAAGAGCACAAATGGTCCTTTTTGACACGAGCGAAATTCCCCTCTGTTAAAAGTAACTTGCTTTCTCAAGTATAAGCCTAAAAGTAAAATAAAAGTGCTCAAAACGAGACAATATTTCAATTACAGATGGTCACGAAAGATTCAAACCTGAGTAAGCAGATAACCCCAGAAAAAAGACGATTGGATTAGTCCCACGGTTGCAGGATTCCAGTTAAATTCTGCTGACATCGGAAGGATGGCAATACTCATGTTTACCTGAATAAAAAATAAATCTTAGATACTCCGTAGCACTTAAAAAGCTTGAAGACAAGAAAATTAAAAACCTACACGATCCATGTTGCAGAGGAGAAATGCTGCAAAACATAGAAGAACTATCACCCAGCGTTTTGGAAACTGTGCTGATGAGGGTGCTTTCTCTGAATCCCTTTCAGATAAGGCAGCTTCATTTGGTTCATCTGGAGATATAGACGAATCTACTTCCGAAATTGTTAGTTCATCATCGCTTGGTTGGAAGCTAGAATGCGTTCTCAGTAATGGCTGACGCTCATACGTTTTGCACTTGTTGCCTGAGAATCCAAGGTTGTCGAGGTTTCTTGGGTGAAGCAAGTTGCTACTGGAAAGAAATGATGAAAATAAAGAGTGTGGCCTTCCCAATGTTCTCTGTCTGAGATTCTCATTATAAAAGTTTCTGCTGGAATGGATTCCCTGGAAACTTTGAAGGGGATCTATCTTTTCATAAAAAGAAACTCCTCCCTGGAAAATTGTTATATTGTCCAACGGACGACTAAAACGAACTGGCCGGTAGAAATGTCTGGAAGAATGACAACAATAGCCATTATGGAAAGGCGACTTGTTGACCATTCTACCCCACATGGTTCTATCTTGTTCTCTTCTGTCATGATAATCAGCTCTTTCTGCTTGTTTCTGTTTTCCTGCAGTAACAATTGAAATTGGCGATGAGATGCAGCAACAAGAATCATCTAATCATCAAATTTCCTATTTCACAGACGGAACATGAAAACACCATTCCGCATACTAGTCCCCAGTCTGATAAGCTCATACCATGACAAAAGATAGGTCATTTTTTGACAGGCTGCTTAAGGAGAAAACTTACGGAGGTGACTTACGTCTAAGGCGTGAAAGAGAAGGCTGTAACATACGTTAGCAATTTTCCATATCGGAGAACTAGAGGGTCCTAAAATAAATATAAAAACGAACGAATGAACCTGACACCTTGGCCTTCCATTTCAATTTTTCTGCAGGAAACTGACACGGTAACCATCGTGCGAGATTACTTCAAATAAATATAAAAAAACTGTAAAGCCGGCAACGAAATGAACACTTTCCTCTGTTTAATTTACGCAAGTAAATTCGTAGTCATGGGAGGATCCATTCTTAGTCATACCGGCGACAAATTTCCCAGGGAAAACAGACAGGAAAATGAAAGTCAACGAGCCGTGACGAAATACCCCTCTTGTATCAAATGGGCGCGTATTACAAGTGCAAAACCAATCCGTTTTCTACAGAACGGGGCCCCTCGCAACACGACTTTTGCTCTATTAACTCGTCAGCTTAAAGGACTCAGGTCTCACTCAGGTCAAATGGGTGAAATGTGCATGGAGTGCGAATCCCACGAGAATGAAGAAGTCGATATTTAAATGCACGCAGAGGCATCGGATCGCATGCGGAGAAACATAAATGCCTGAAAAGGAAAGATCTGTGAAGAACATTAAGAAACTGTAGAGACGAAAAAAAATGCTTAGACAACCTGGTGCGAGAAGCGAACTTAAGTCTCTGCCGGATATCACAGCTCCGACTGCCATTGGAGACCTCTGCCGACCTTGTCTGCTGTCCGAGTGACAATGCCGGAGGAACGATGAAATTCTCGAATTCGGCACTAGAGGCGCATTTCGGTTGAGAAAGGGATAAAATCGACGCGAAGATGGAAGGGATTCCGAGCCGCTGAGGGCGACCCTTTTCTCTCTGGCTCTCCTCGGCGATGTCGCCCCCTGCGGCTCAGGAGAGGATAAAGCCGTACTGCTTCTTGAGCACACATGGACTGAGGGGGGCTGCCACGGCCAATCTGGCCGTCTTGGGGGCGGGAAAAGACGACGTGGCTACTCCACACCTTAAATAGACTCGTCGCCAAGGAGGGGCTCACGTCTCGACACGCGGCCTCATCATCTTCCCCGCCGTCTTCTTTAACGGCGATCGGAAGTCGCCGCCAAGTTCAGATCGACGGCGTCGCACCGGCCAGTCGCTGTCCTGGCCTTTTAGGGATATTCCCCTCCATTGTACCTTTGGTTCCGTCCAAATGGACGGTTAGTTCACAGCCGCTTTACTAACGGTCATAAAAGATGGATTTTTGCCGTTTTTGTTGCAGTTAGTTATCTTGTGTCCGTGTCAACAAATGGGCCCGGGCCCGGGCCCGGTCTGGACCCCATAAGTGGGTTCGGGCTGCCGTTGGAAAGATAACTGAGTTAGGTCTTAGATTATTTTTGCGGATATATACGGCCCATTTTGCAAAAACATTTGGGCCGAGTTGGGCTAAACTCATCCCGCCCATTGATATCCTCTGTTACAGCTGCTTCGGTCATCGTCACTGCCACTGCAAAGCCCTAGGTTCCACTGATCACCAGTCTGCTTGCTCATCCATGGCGTCTCGCCTCGGCAGGGCCTTCCAAGCTGCCGTTGACCGGCGGTCGCAGGGAAGATCCCTCGTTAACGTTCGTAACGCAACGACCGAGGCCGCGCCGCCGCCGGCACGCCGCCGGCACGACTCGTCTCTGGATTGTCCCCATGAATATGCAAAACAGTCAGGGTTTCTGGGGAGTTGGAAGAGTCCGCCGCCGTCGAGCGATCCTGTGGAGGCGCAGAAAAAGTTGGCGCTCCTGCGGAGAGAGTATGCGAAGCAGGTGAAGGAGGTGCGGAGGCAGTATGCGTATGAGATGGAGATGCAGCGTCAGGAGAAGCTGCGCAAGGACGAGGCCCGTCGTGAGGCCGTGCGGGTTGCCAAGGAAGAGAGAGAAGCTGCCAAGGCTGCAGCGGCTAAAGTCGCTGCTGCGGAACGGAAAGCCATCGAGGAAGAGTTCCGGCAAACTCTGGTATTTTGTATTTCTGTCGCCGCCCGATCAGAAATTAACTCGACCTGCAAAAGTAATGTCCATAAAACTTTTGCAATCTGCATTGACGTCTGAGATCACTTCTCCTTAGATTGGCTGGGCGGTTTTCTGCCCGGATGGCCTGTTGTCTAACTTCATCAGACGAAAAGAGTAGATCACTCTTTTCTTCACACTGTGTACAGAGTCAGCGGTAGTGTGTCACGCCATGATACGCCTAAACACCATGCACCATGCATCCAGAATTTGATTGTACTAAGAAGGGAAAGCCATCGTACGCCATGTACAGAGGATTTCTTCGCCGGAAATTTCTGTCACCCACTTGTCAGTATAGTAGAAATATCTTGATGCCCATTTGCCGGTATTCACACTGGAAAAAATTAGTACTGGCATTGCCAGCGACCAATCTGGAACTGTATGGTTAACAATCCCATCCGTTCTAGTTGCAGACTTAGATTGGTTTTAGTTGGCTCTGTGTGTAGGGGACCTTTTTTGAAATCTTGATTACCACTGTAGGGGATATAGATGTACATCCTGTTGTCAAAAGGTCAGCCTTCCAACATCTATTTTGCTGCAAATTTGTCCAAGATCTTTTCACAGTTGCCGATGTTCTTTTCTGTAGTGCGACTTCAATGAGAGAAAATTCAAACTGCTGGCTAAGTCAGCGATATCCACAATTATTCAGAGATGTTGGCCATTAGCCCTGCCAACCTTTCATTATTCAAGAGTCTTCAATTCATGAATTTCTGATGTGATGGGTCGTAGTAGGTCAACAAAAAAAATAAAAATAAATCTGTATACTGTCCATTTTATCCTATCTGGACGTCTCTAACTCTTCTCTTTTGCCTTGTCTTGTGCCATATTGAGAAACGTTTCTGATCTGTAATCATATACGGAAGTGGGAATGTGATGAATCTTCCTCCCTCTCCCAATTCTATCACTCTTCTGACCATCCAGATTTCATAATCACTTTATTTTAAATAAACGATCCTCGCGGTTTACCGGACATTATAGGTCAGCATCCTTGTGAAAGGAATACAGAGCGTGGACAATCCAAACGATCCTCCATTGTATCTCTTTTTGGAATTGCTGTAAAGCTTTAATTTGCTGCTGTGCATTCCAATTTGAGAAGAATCTTCCTTTGCTTGTCATTTTTTTGGGAAATGGAAACATTCATGAGCTGCTATAAAACCACTTGACGTTCTATAACTAAAGTTAGGTTGCTCCTTGTCTCTGCGGTATTTCTATAATATTTTCTTGCTATAATATTTTTTCCCGAAGTTTAATACTATCACAGAAGAAGAATGCACAACCTTTTGAATCGAGCACGGGTAAAAGAACAATTATGTGCTTTATTGACATTGTAAGGCGATGCGATCCTAACATGTTCTTTACTCACCTTGGTAAGAGAGGTTGCCCGTGACATTTTTGGGCATGAATGAGCCATATGCCTGTACTCACACTGCATGTAGAACAACGATAAAAGCAAAAGAAGATGCCGGTTTTGATGAATGGTTTTATGAATCACACTTATCTCTCGTATATTAGTTACCTATTTTTTTTCTTTCCGTATGATATGAGTTAGTGTATAAATCTGTGCTTATCACGGTCTTATAACTGCAGCTGAAGGAAAGAACGGAAAAGCTGGAAAGTTGGAGGGCTAAGGAGCAGCTGCACGAGAAGAAAAAAGATGAAAGGAGCGAATTATTGCGCCGTCAGAGTTCTATGTGGATTGATGAAAGTGAGCTGGATAAGAGAATAACTGAGGCTCTCGTTGACACAACACAACTCTAGGTTTCTCCGAAGGTCTGTTGCTGAACCTAAGCTTCTATGTCCGGGAAAAAGGAGCTATAAACGAATTTATGGAGAAAAACTTTATCAGTTCCAATAATCTAGTGAGTTAGATAGCGTTTCTTTGACATAAATAGAAGATTGCGTCTTAACTTCCTCTTTCATCAGTAATACCAGCTTGTTGAAGGCGAATTTAATGAATATGTGTCGATTGAATGGTTTTACAGCGAATTCATAACCTGTTTATGCTGGGTTTGCCTTTCTAAAAGGCTTATGGCCCTCTTTCAGGGTTTTAACCTGGTAATGGTGAGATTTTGGAGGAGGAGAGTATGGAGGAAGAGCAGTGAGAAAATACGAAGAAAATACTGTCTACTATTATCACTTCTGAAATCACCACCATCACTATCACAGTGGTTGCCTCTATTGCTACTTACTCTCTGAGGTTGTTGTCTGTTTCTGCTGTAGAATTTCTTCCCCATTTGTTCTTGGTTTCTTGCGGATGGGTGAAAGACGCAGAAAATTTGCCTAGCTAGGGCTCACACAACTAGTTCTTGGATCAGATGGACTTCATTTCCATGGCATCGGTGTTCCACCGCACTGTATGTTGCCACAGATTAGGGATTTTACTGTGGCGGAATCTCATGCAGACATTCATTTTTATTTCCATTGTGCAGTATTTAGTCATCAGGGTTCAATCCATTTGGCGAAATTAATTGGTTTTGTTATGGTTGATAAGTGATTAAGTGATCAGATCACATTTTTAATTATCTCGTAAAATTAAAAATATTTTTAATAAATAGCTTGTGAATTATGTAAGCGCAGTTTCTGAAATTCTGCCATTCATTTTTATTTCCGTTGTGCAGTATTTAGTCATCAGGGTTCAATCCATTTGGCGAAATTAATTGGTAAAGGCTGTTCTTGATCCGCTTCCACTGTTTTCCTTTTTCAGAGAGGTTCAGTGAAGCAAGAGAGCTCAGTGGGAGAAGTTCAACCTACATGGGTTGACTTTTTCTTTTTCTTTTTTTGGGTTTCGAACTGGATCGCGCATGTATGAAAAAAATGGCAGGAATAATAAATTAGAAGGGCCCTTAGTGGGCCCGATTAACCAGACCTCGGTTTTCTTCCGGGCATGAGCCTCTTTAAAGCTGTCACTAGTGGGCCCCATTTTCAACGTGGCACCCCGCGAACCACCAGCAAGCTAGGTGGGGCCGGGGTTGTACGGTTCGGGGCTTTGGAAATGCAGTCGGGCCCAGCCCGGGAAAAGCCCATTTTGGCTGGGCAGTAAACCTCCGATTATCATAATAATGAAGGCCGAAACGTAAAAGTGGAAAGATTTTCAGTCTTCCTCTTTACTTCGACACTCACTGATGCACCTTCGAGGATGGAGTTGCAGAAGGAACTTGCATGAGAAAGAGGAAGAGGTGCGGCAGACGTGGAACAACCCCCGGGTAGGGTGGCGGTGGTTTGCGGCGGCAGGGTTCTGTTGTCGTGATTAGGTGCTGATCCCTCGCAGGGTGGGCCAGCGGCCTCACCGGGAAGGGCGAGATCGAGCGAGATAGGAGACGCCAAAGAGGAAAGAACCAAACGGGAACAATGAAACCCTAGATGCCCATCACCTTTCTTCTTCTTTTTTCTTTGTCCCCGTTCCCTCTCTCTCGGTTGCTACTACTTTCGCCTGCTCTCACTCTTCGGCCCCGTTGCCGTGGACATCAGTGCACGGGGAGTCGCCAAGCGAGATTCCAATAGCAGTCGAGCTCTACCTCAGTCTCAGGTATCGGTTGTCTTGTTATCTGATTCTAGTTTGATTGCGGAGCCTTCGTTTCATCGTGTTGCCCATCGTGCTGGGGGAGAGTAGCGGCGGTGGTTATCGTATCTCGGGGATAGGATTCGAAAGATGGGTGCTTGGCAATGCGACGATGTCTTGCTTTCTTATCGTTGATCGTCTATCGTGCGAATTCACCGTGAAAGCCCGGTTTCTCTCGATCTCTCTGCATCTTTAATGTAGCATGAGAATCGTTTTCCTCTTACATGTTGCTCTTCTAGCATATTCTCAACCGCTGTTTGATGTCTGCCATGTCTAACCTATTGCAGTTCTTCTTCAATCTCTTTTTGTCATCACTGTTGGGTCCGTCAATCATCCTTGCTATCTCTTTCCTCTTTGTTTGGGTATTACTGAATGGGTAGTTCTCTCTTGTAATGCCGTCTTTCTTTCGCAAGGATATTGAGGTTTCCAGTCTGTCTCGGAACACACTTGTTATCTTTCTGATTTTTGAACTGTATTTTTCATTCCACGGCCATTTCTCAGAGCCAAAAATGCATTTCTGCCGGGTGTATATGTGAATGTTGCAGGTGTGTTTAGTTTTACATTTTCGAGTGGAACTATTTTTTTATATCTTTTTTTATCGCAGCTCCGGTTATATCACCACACGGTGCTTTGTTCTAAGTACTGTTAGGACGCTCCCTGTGAACTTATCAATAATGCTTGTTGGCCACTTTATGCGTCTGCTTTCACTATCTTAGTTATGCATATTTGCCTGTTGAGTAAACTTGTCCTTTTCAAAATTGGTTTCCTCTGAGAAGGGGAAAAGTGAACGTCCTAGCATTACAAAAAAATTATATTTTTAGAGTCTACCTTACATACGAATGCTTACTGTTCCAATTGGCTTACCGGAGAATATGGTTTTCTTCTTCTTCTAGTGACGTCATTATTAAAAATCGGTGTCTTTAGCGTCATGCTGATAGTAAGCCAGTTTCAGTGGTATTAATCGGGGAGCCACACATATTAGCAAAGGTGATTTCTGTGGAACTAGCAGCGAATGCTTTTATTTATCTCATTTTCATCAACTCATGTTGATAGACATTTGGGGGTGCTATTTATTTCTCCTGCGTTTATAACGTGTGTAATTAAAAATATGGAAAATGGCAGGCACATATTGATCAGGCAACCTTTTAAATTCCTTCCCTGGTGAATTAGCCTAAAATGCAGACTCTTCTATAGGAATGTAACCGCAGTAGGATTTCTCTGAATGTATCTGTTAAATGTTCTCGTGAGATAACTATGGACGCACAGCAACGGTTTTAAAATGCGTATTTGGCTTTTGTAATTTATTGGAAAGCTCTTGCTGTGGCTGTTGTGTAACATCCAATCAATACTCGTATCAATTTTCGTGTTCATCCCTTATAGATTATATAAAAAATAATAGAATAATGTCAATGTCATCAGTGTCACCTAAAAAATGATCCAAGATGGTGCTTTATTCTTGATTAATGAAGATGCGTGAATGGAAACTCCGGACAACATGTGTGTCACACAGTTCTTGCTAGATCAGTTAGCTGGTGGAATGGTATCTTCTGATTGCGTAGTTTGAGCTTTTATATTTTGTAAATTGATCAGCTGAGAGTGTGACCTGATCAAATGGAGGTGTCTATTCTCCTTGTTAACTCGTGAAACTCCATTGTAAGATTTTCATTCATATTTGTTAATGCAACCACTAAAATATAGATAAACTTCTGGTCCGTGTCATTCAACAAGAAGTGTGTTCACATTGATGTTCCTAGTATGCATTTATGGTGTGTTAGTATTCAGCGGAGGACATCACGATTCCCATTGGCATTCACTGCTGTATTTGCATCTGGATTTATTAATATTTACTTACGAGATGTTGAGAGGAATCTGCCTGTCCTTTGTTGATCTTAATCCGTTCCATTGAGTTGTAGCCACCTTCTTTTCTTTCTTTATCTTCAGCTGCCTTCTCAATCTGATCTTTTTTTTTTTTGGATTACTTGTTTCTGAACATAATAACTCATAGCTCAGATCCTAATCCGCTTCGATGAACTAGGTATAAACCCAAGTAATTACTAGTATCCATGACTGAACCTCAACCATCTCCGCACTTGATAGTAGGGGGTGTACTTCAGCAAAGTCTCAGTTTTGCTCCCTTTTCCCCCTTTTTCATTTTTTTTCTGCATTATATGCACCTCACGTAACGTTCCTAGTCTGAGAGAATGCTTTTTAGGATCTTGCATACATTTTTTCTGTTAATTTAATCATTCAGCTTTTTTCTATTTTTTGCGGAGGGAAATTTTAAATATTTTATAAATTACATCTTTTTGGGCGCAAAATTTGTTGTGGTATGTATTATTTATTTTTTATCTTTCTCGTTATTGATGTAGGTAGTCTGCCTTTATTTTATCTCCATTGGCAAATAGAAATTGGAATGGGCAATAAGTATGTAATGTTCGTTTAGAATTTCTTTCTTTAAGTTTTTTGAAAGTGGGTAGTACCAAATGATCCCTCAATAAAATAACGAGATTATGCCCTGATGTGTTTTGTAGGGACTCAAAACGCCCATATAAGTCAGCTATGCCCTTTGCCTTATTTCCACTTCTCCATCATGACAGATGTGTGTATGGTGTGGACTATTCTTTTCCCTTGTTAACTTTTCGTGAGTTTTATGGGAATGATACGTTATCATGAATTTGGTTTATTCTTATATAGAATTTTTTTTCTTCATTGGGTTTTAGGATTTTTTTTTTGGACGTGATGAGTTAAACTGTGATTTTTTTGTCTCCTTTTGTTTTCTGTTTTTGTGGTTTGACAGTACTTGGAGAACCACCTGAGGATGAAATGACAACACCAATATTATCGCGGGAAAACATCTACCTGTGGTGGATAATTACTATCCAATCAATGTTAACCAATGACTTCTCTGCATCTTCGCTGTTATATTGAATATTTAATTTGGTAAAGCCGCCTTGTAGCAATTTAATCTTCCAAAAACATTCTTACGTGCCATCATCAAATGCTACAACGAGATGGAAGTCAACAATCCTGAGGTTTGTAGCTCTGTGTGTGCGTGCGTTTGTCATATAGGTATATACATATATGATGCATATATGTCCAAATATTTTGGCACATGTTTGATCCATCTTTCCGGGACCATCTTTTTTGGAGGTGAATGTTTATTTGAGATTCTTGTAACTCTCTGACAACCAAATTCTCTAGGATTGATTACTCGATACTTTGCTTGTATAATAAACGGATGTGCTCTTTTCCTCTGATATTTTCCCTAGGCCATGAAATCCTATATTTGGCTTCAGACGTCTGATGGATCAATCCAGCAAGTTGAAGAGGAGGTTGCCAAGTTCTGCCCTATGTTATACCATGAGATGCATCAAATGGGAACGGGAATTTCAAAAAATCATGCTATTTCACTACCAGAGCGTGTTACTCCGGCGATCCTTAGCCTTATCCTTGATTATTGCCGGTTTCATCAGGTCCCTGGACGCTCTAACAAGGTCTATAATACTCTACTTCTGCCTTTTTCATTTTCTCTCGAGTATTTGTGCTTTATGGATGACATACCATTTTAGTGCTCATGAACGAGTTTGTACTTTGGATTGACTTCTATTATGGCGTTTTTATAAACTCTAAAATCAATTTCGAGAAAAACTGGATGTTGTTTGTTTTTATAGATTTACGTTTATATTGTTTTAAGTTCTTTTTGTTGTTCCATTGTCTGATATATTTGAAATTTTCTCCACATTAAAGGATAATTTTACATTCCTTTAGGAGAGGAAAGCCTTTGATGAGAAGTTCATCCGGATGGACACAAAGCGGTTATGTGAGTTGACGTCGGCTGCGGACAGTCTTCAATTGAAGACCTTGGTTGATCTGACAAGCCGAGCACTGGCTCGCATGATTGAAGGAAAGACTCCTGAGGAGATTAGGGAAACCTTTCACTTGCCTGATGATCTTACTGAGGTAATTATTCCTCTCGACCATCTTTTTTCTAGTCCTTGCTAAAAAGTTTCGCTCTCATACTATCTGTTAACTTTAGGAGGAAAAGTTGGGACCCCTGAGAAATGCAACTGATGATCCAAGGATACGGTTACTTAATCGACTTTATGCTAAAAAAAGGAAGGAATTACAAGAGAGACAGAAGTTAAAGGTATTCACAGTGAGTTGTTGATCATGTTGGCGAAGATGAAAGTCGTATTATTCAGTTTCAATGATTTTTGAATTGTTTACTTCTACACCGATTGTTTTTGCATGTATTGTATTGTATTGAAGTATGTGTTGTATGTATTTTGTTAGCTGACGTTTCTTTGCATAGAAAAGTGTTATTTTGAGTTTCAATTTTTTCCCTATATGATTGGAGGTTTCCTTTGGTTTATCCTTTGTCTGCACATAATACAAGCTACGTAAAAAACTGTATTCCACTCAGGATGCTGAAACTAATGAGCAACGAATAGAGGACCAGGGGGATGATCGTTCAGTTGATGATCTTCTTTCTTTTATAAATGGGGGCAGTGGAGGTAATGCTCTGTCAAAAGTCCTTTACCATTTCACATTCAATGGATCTCAGTGATCTGCAATAATTTGTCTTGTATTTCCCCTTTTTCCAGATAATTGCTAAACCTTAGAAAGGGCGCTTGAATATTGGAAAAGGGAAAAACATTGAAAAACACGTGCTTTTATTGTTTCGTTCATGAGAAATATATATTTTTTTTGCGTTCAATGCTCCCCCATTTATGATTCCATGGCAGCTTATTTTCCAATAATTTATTCCTAGTCTCTTCAGCATAATGCAAAATTGATTTTTTCGAGATGTCGTCTGCTGTCTTTCATCTTTTTAAACAATTTTGTTAGAAAGAGAGAATCTTCGTTTGATAATACAAATAAGTAAAGACTTTATGTCGCTGGTGTGCTTGTGGTGTTTTTGGTGTGAGTTTTTTATTATTTTCTTTTATTTAGTCCCCTTTCTTTCCAAAAAAGGGGAAGAGTGTTTTTCTCCTCTGAAGGGTCCATTGTTATTTTGAAATATCTTTTTTTTCCTAGCCTAAGATTCCAAGTGACAGTTTGAAACTAGAGATCTTGAACCAGTTGCTACTGGAAAATGCTATGTGAATCTGGAAGCTGTTTATAAAGTTTATAAGCATTCCGGGGGACCATAGCTTCTATCCTAGTTCTTATTCTACTTTCTGTATTATTTGCTAACGATCACTCTTTCTTTTTCGTATGTTATTTTTCTCCATGGCACTCCCTTGAGCATTGTCTTTCATATAGCTTGACATTTAAAATATGGTCTTTGTGTTTCAAATGCTGAAACCTGTTAACTCTTTTGGTGCAGACGTCGCTGTCTGTTCTTGTTGTAGCCTGTTCATTATAACAGTTTGGCCATTATCATTCATGATCGACATAGAAATGCCTTACATGCATGCTATATCTTCCAGATTCTAAATCAACCAGAGTGGCTAAGCACAAAAAGAAGAATCGGAGGAGAAAAGATCAGCCAAAAAACTCCCTAAGTGAATCGAGCATGAACAGCAATCAGGTTCATACATAACTTGGAATTATTGTCTTAGATGCTGATCCTCTCTCTATTCGTAGCTGCTGATGGCTTGGCTGCTGCTGTGGTCTTAGGAGGAAGCCAGCATTTCTACCATCTCTTGTGAAGTCAGAAGCAATCATTCCCCTAGCCCTAGCAGAACTTTAAGGCTGCAGGATCTTGGCGATGGGAAATTTGCACCAAAAGATGTATTCGAGGATGCTGATATTGACGACGAACTCGATCCCGCGATGAAGGAAGAGCTTGACAAGTTAGTTTCATGTCCCTCTTTGCCTCACTTCCTACCAAAAATGCATGGCTTCGTTATGACTATATTCTTTTGTCCGGGGATGACTCTTCTGTGGTTGTGGAATTTGTTAATTTGTTTCCCCGGGAATGAACTTTGCTCCTTATGAAATTTGATTAACATAGCGGAGAAATATTTCCTTGCTATTGTTTGAGGTTACCGTGCTCAACTAGACTAACGTTCTTGTTAGTCCTATTTGGCTGCCGTCCGGCTTTCCTTTCTCCTTCCATTAGAGGCTGAAAGTGCTTTCCCGCGCTTGATATTTTGGTTCACAGGATATTTTGGCCGGATCTCTGTTCTCTTTTTGATGTTTTCCATGAAAGAAGACCAGGCAAATGGAAACGGGTCATTTAGGATTGGAATCAACCATAAATTATTCAGACCCACCTGAAAATTGCTCGAAGGAAGTGCTGTTGGAAGAGGGAATTGCCAGCGTGCATTCGCCAGCATCTGGTGGAAGAACTGGGAGAGTAAGAATTCTAGGATCGGCTATTTTCTGAAAAAAATAGTTTTCAGGCCTCGACTAGAAAAAATAAAACAAAAATATAGCACTGTGCAATCTTCATTGATTCTTTTGAAGGCCATGGAGGATCCTCAGTGCCTCCCTGGTTCTCTTGCCATTCGATTTAATGTGGTTTCTTTTTGCCATTAATGGCTTCTTTTATACGATTATACTGTACACTACCCATAGTTGTACAATCAATCGGAGAATCCTCGTGTGGGATGACTAGCATATGAACTAAATTATGCTTGTGTGAGAGACGTCAATGGAACCCCACCATAAATGCTTGTTCTTGATTTAAGTTCCTACGGTTTATATCTGTTCCACTGTGGCAACTGCAGGGAAGTGGAGGATTTCGCCCGGAGACTGAATTCAGACTGGCCAGAGAGAATGCAGGAGATCCTGTCCCTGAGTCAGGAGAGGGGCCCGACCATCCCTTTCTCTTCCAATGGCTCATTAAGGAGATACACAGGTATACTGAACCATATTCCATGTGAGACTCCCAGTAAAGCAGGGTTTTTTTTTCTTCTAAGCCCCCCTTGGATGCATCAAATTTATTAAAAAGTCCCTGTGGGCTTGGTGGGGCGTGGTGAGGAGGAGAAGATATTCAAAAGAAAATCAGAGGGGGGGGGGGGGGGCATGCCAGATGGCTGCAGTCGATTGCAAGTTGCTTGACTTGGGACCCACCCACTGCCATTTGAGTGATGGAATCTTCTCTATTTTTGCAGGGTTGACTCGAAGATAGCTCAGAATCTTCTCCTGACAGCGTGACGTGTCTCATGAACCGACTGCCCACTTAGTCAGCTTTTTGCACCCGTTGATTGCCATTCATGCCTGGAGAGGTTTTAGCATAGGGTTTGAGTGAGTGAGTGAGTGAATGCTTCCCATTTTACTAGTCCTCACAGTTCTCGTCCTGCTCAAAATTCTTAGCTTCAACTCTGACACCCGGATTTTGTCGATCCCCGGAAGCTGCGCTGTGAATTTTGTAAATCATTTGTCACTCGGAACAAATAAATTGGAAATGGGTCCTTCGTTCTCTCCCCTGTTGTTGAGAAAAACAGGAGCTTTTGATGAGTGAGAAGCTCCTCCCCTCTGGGAGATGATGGGGTGTGGTGCTCTTCCCATTAGTATCATTCACATCCCAATTACAGGGGTTTCTATGAATGGAAGCAGCAAGAACGGGGCATAGTTTCCTTGTAGTAGCCATGAATAGCCACGGGGTAACCTTCGTTTCATCCGAGAGAGAGAGAGAGAGAGAGAGAGAGCGAGAGAGGGCTGTTGGCATTATAAGATGAGCTTTAACTACATACAGAAGAATTTTCCAAGAATATAAGCTGGGCCAATTAATCCTGGCTAAGTTACAAGTGGATCCAGGTCAGTGAGGTCGGTCCGTAGGCCGGTTTGTTAAGCCCATTTGCTAATGGGCCGGCTTGGTGGCCCGCAGAAAGGGAAAGAGCAAGATTGTAACGGTAAATCGAAATGAAATAATGGGGTTCTGCCTATAAATCTGGGCTACGGGGCTTTTCCCGCCTAAATGAGATCCCGTTCGGTAACTTCGAAACATAAGTGGGGCTTAGGGCGAGCCTTCCTCTCTCTCTCTCTCTCTGCAAATTCTTTCAGTAGAGTAAGGTATCTGATTTGGCCATTTTCAGATTTGATTATCACCGGGAGATCTACGCAGAAGTGTACGATCGAATTGTTCTTGTGTTGGCGAATAAATGAAGCTAAACATCAACAAAGCCTGCGATCTGAGTTCGATCTCCGTTCTCCCTCCTCACACCAGGTGTGGAGCTTCGAATGTGCTGGGATGCATGAATGAGGAAATTTCTTTTGGTTAGTGATCAATTGCTCTGCTTTCTGACTATTTTTTAATCTGAAATTCTGATGCAGGAGGTCGAATCTGACATCTTCCGGGATGGACTCTTCTGGTTCGGGAAAGATCCAGGCGTCTCAGCTGCGATCCCAGTCTCAGCAGCAGTTTTCACAGGGACCGTCTCTCTCGCAGCTCTCTCAGAGTTCCCTTGACGACGTTTTGACATGTGACCAGGTGTGCAACTCTTACACTCAGTCTTCGTCTAGCCTTTGCATTCCCGTAGGTCTGCCAAGAATAATTATCAATGTTTTAGGTCTATTTCATTATTTTTTATTATAATGTCTTCCAGCTTCCTGACGAAAAAAATGAACAACGGAGAAACAGATGCTGCCTCATTTTTTCCCGATATTCAAATTTTTTATTCCTCTGATTTCATGATGTGATCAATAGTATGCCCTATGATCTTCTGTGAATATTTTTTCCTGATGAACGCTGTCACTTATATGGAGGAATTCAAAGTTCTTTCCGCAATCCTTGGAAATATATGGCAGATCAATCCCCGATGTGTGCTCATCTAAGTATGAATCTCCTCTTGCGTTCCTAGTTTTTAATTACTTGTGCATTAGTTTGAAGGATTTTGACTACGTAGATAATTGCATTCTATCGCCATGTAGAGCGAAGTTGATGACTTAAGAGTTCCATCAGCATATCCCTGTGTGACGATGAGAAAATGAGATACTGCCGAATCCGATGCATCATTATGATGAAGAAATCAGTTTCATCTGAAGGCTGTATGGTATTTGATGAAATTTGTTGATTTTATCAGAGACTTGGCTCTCAAGAAAGAGAGAACACGGCAAAGAGGTTCACTTGCCTGGCACCGATTACAAGCTCAAGGGATGAATCTCAAATGCAGTTATCGAGGACATCTAACAATTTTATGCGGAGATCTAACTCGGCTTCAACAGCTGATCAAAGATGTAAGTCTTTGTAATTGAACTTGAAATTTATTCTTTCAATTCTCGATGCCTGTTGTGATTTCTGAGGTAACAGTGCTACTGTCTGAATAAAAAATATGATCACATCACTGTGCCTGCTAAAAGTAAATGATATATCCTGGAAATACTTGAAAAGCTTAATTTTCTCAAGCAGGTCATGTTAGTGAAGAACTTGAGCTCAGGGTCGGATTGATGGAGAGTTCTTTGACCAGACTGGGAAGGATACTGGATAGCATACAGAGTGATGTGATGCAAGTAAACAAGGCTGTGAAAGAGGTACTATTAGAAGGTAATTTTGAATGTCAGTGTTTAGTCTCCAAAAGCCAATACGCTATGATGACCATCCATCTAAATCTGTCCAGCACTTGCATATTCTCCCTATGAAAAATTAATAATCTCGCTGTTTGATATCTGGTGCTGATATCCAGTGGAAGGTATGCGGCAGAAAACAGTCATTCAGGATAGCAACGTCCAACTGATGGTAAGAATACCAAGCCACCATACGCAAACCTAGTTTCCGAGCTTTTGCGTGCTCTTCCATGAAATTGTCTTAAGCGTTACAACGAATTATGAGGAATAGCTGAAGGGAGAAGAGGAGGTCAAAGCCAGCCTTGCGGGAATTCTCAAGTCAATTCCTGATCAGTTGAGAAAGCAAGCTGAGTTAACCGATCAACACAAGTTCCACGCCATTTCTACAGCAATTTCATCCATTCCAGCAAGGATCGAGGGACGCTTGCTGAGACTTCAGCATGAAATATGTGGGACCTTCAGCAAAGAATTAGAGGTACTATGATTTCTGATGATATTTTCTGTAGAAGTCCCAACCTCTAATCCTTGCCTAGCGTTACTCTTGAGTGGTCGTAATTGACGTTCTTGACTGGAACCTCAGCTATTTTTGGTGAATCTGAGAATTTAATAAAAACAATATTTTACCAAAGAAGAAACATTTCCTGCGAAGAACATGAAAAGACTCGGGTTCTCATGTTTCAGTCCATCGAATAAAATCACCACATGCTTTAACTACGCAGAACCTCCTCCCTTCAAGCATGAAATTTCTCACTTTACTGTTGTCAATCTGAAGCCCTGCCTGATTTTTCCTGAATCTGATCTCCCTTTATCTCCATTCATGCTGGAATTCTTAATTTCCTTATTTTTGTTTCTCCAACCGCAGAAGAGATGCTTCGTCGCCGCTGGGTCTCAAAAGAATCATGTGCCGATAACTGGAGTGTGCGTATACTCTGATTTCCTCCCACATTTGAACTCAGTGCGATTCGCTGTTGGCCTTGTGGCTCCTGGCGCAACTGAACTTCGATTTGTTCCACCACGCACTTCTGTGTCTCCCCTTGTTCTTTGCCGCAAGTGACCGGGGGCGTCAGCTACAGAGCAGCGGGGCATAGTGGTGCTCTCGCCTGGTGTCCTTAATATATTTCTTCTGATTGCAGTCCCAGCGAGCAGGCAGCGGCTCATTTCGCACCGGTTCCAGCGCGGAAGGCTGGGGCAAAGCTGGCTAAACTCCTTGAACCGGAACCGTTATCGTTGTATGGTGTGAAGCGCTTGGAACCCAAGCAGGAAGAGATTCTCCCTTCAGTGCAGGTAGTCTTTCACGACGTACTTGCTGCTAATCGAACTATATGCGCTTTGTCGTCCTCATATGTCTAAGTGCATATTACACCACCCCATCATGGGCATCTGAAGTTTTAAATACCACATCACATTCTGGTCATGATGTGAAAAAATATTAGTAAAAGATCACTGACAAGAATTTGCATTAGGCGCCGTTTATGGAGGTAACGTCTCTCTCTCTCTCTCTCTCTCTCCATCTATCTATCTCATCTGTCTCTATAAAATCTCCTCAATTTTGGATGATTTTGATAAGAAATGATAATTTCTAGTTGAATTAGTCAACGGTCGGCCAAATTCACTATCACAGGATAGTAAGTTAATTTTTCATCCACTTTAAGTAGGACAAACCTGATTCAGCCGAGGTTCGAGCAATATTTGAATCTGTGGACTGTGTTAGTAAACTATGTATAAGTAGGTTCTTCACTGTGTTCGATGACAATCCCAGGGGGCTAATTCGAAACATTTTCCCGCACTGCTGATAATTCTAGAATATGCCTCTTTGACATCATTGGTTGCTCTTATGACCTTTTTCTTTGCCCAGGTCAACGACTACAGGGTGATCATTGAATCGGACGAGGAGATGGATGGAGCTTTTTCCTGCTTGCTCGAGAAACATGTGACAGGTAGTTCCTTAACAACTTCTTTCATAAATACAGATGCCTCCCAAGCAGCTTCCATCATTGTAAAAGATGCTTCCCTCCCTCCCTCCCTCCCTCTCTCTCGATCACATTCGTTTCTCTCTCCATGTCAGGACGGAAGAGCTGTTCATCGGCGGAAGCGAGGGCGGAGAGCATGCGAATTCTAAGGAGAGCAAGAAGGAAGAGAAGACTCATCGTGTTGGACTGAAGTGACAAACGGCGACCCATGTCATCCGAGAACAACGAGGTCGCCATATGGAGAGGGGACGGGGGACTAGGAATCCAGAAGACCATGCCACCCCCACAAGGTAATATAATACATATACACATATCTGAAAACCCCGCATTTACTAGATCGGCGCACTCAACCCTCCACCCTTAAAGGAGAAGGAAAACCTCCCGGCCCTTCACTAGCCATCTAATTCACCAACACAGGGGTCACTGAACGGAATGCCCATTGATCTCCTTCATCTGAGACCAGCTGCTCGTCAGAATTCAAGCCAACAAATAGGAATAGATGGAAAGTCAAAACATGCTCCCATTCCTAGCTCATCAGTGCATCCTTTAGAATTAGCAACAGGGAGGGAGAAAGAGAGAGGGAGAGAGAGAGAGAGAGAGGGAATTAGCTCATCAGTGATGACCTTTCCTCAAGTGGCATAGTTTGCCTTCTTCGAGTGCTTCCCCTTTCCCTTCTTCCCTCGCTTCTTCTCCTCGGATCCCTTGCCCCCCTTGGTCTCCTTCTTCTCTATGTCCCTGATGTTGAGCTTGGACAGCACCATGCAGTACGATTCCCAGTCTGTCCTCCGGAGATACTTAAGCAGCCTGTTCCTCTTCTTCACCATCGCTATCAGCCCCTTGATCGAATGCTTGTCCGGTCCCTTCAGGCCCTTCCCCTGTATCACCAACAACGTCACATACTTTCCTTTTTGCCCTATGAAGAATTGGACCATGCAGTCTTCGGTGACGACGGGCCAACCGACGGGTGCGTTAGAAAGTTCAATGAATACCTTCTTTTTCGTGTACAAAATGGGCTCCAAATATCTGATCCTGGTTGTCAGCTGGGCCACTGCAAAACGAGGGCAGACCTTGAACGTTAGGAAGAGCAGCAGGCGTTGACTTGCAGAAGGATACCAAAGTAATCGAATCCGGGGCAGGATTCAACTTCGGTGGACAAGAAAGAAGATGGGTGATGAAAGAAAGCTAATATACCTTGGACACGTGTGGATCCACAGTCCGACTCCGACATCTTGAACTCGTCTCTGACCTTGTTGAGCTCCAGTTTAAGCTTCTCCGCTGCAGACAGGTGATCTGGATGGAAATACTGCGGGGTTGACAAATCCGAGAACGTTAGGGTAATGATCAAAAGAGGGAGCTCGAAGCTGTGAATCAATGCCTACTGAATCGCCTGCTGCCTTCAACTGAGAATGAAACTAGGAAAGGGGTTTAGAAATCTTGCCTTCTCTACAAGATTTTCCTTTGGGGGGTTGAGCATGTATAGTGGAGTGACTTGCCCCCCCAAGTTGGCGAGAATGGAGAACTTGTTCACTGTTCCACGCGAGACCAGATTGGCGATCATCAGAAATTTTCAACACAGAAAATGATGGCACGAAGGGTAGTAGTAGTAGTAAAAGAAGAAGAAAGAAAAAGATATGTGAAGAGAGGCGTAACTCGAAGTCTTCTTGTTATCTGCATCGCGCAGCTTCACCAAGCTCTCTCTCAGATCTTTGAAGGACACCCCACCGATGCTGTACTCCGTCTCCTTCTCCTCCAGCTCCCGCAGCTTAGCGAGCCTCTCGTTCAGTTCTTCCAGCGAGAACCAGCCACCCTTCTTCTTCCCCGAGCCGACCTCCTCCGGACGGAGCCTCCGCAGTTTCTCCCCGAGCTCCTCGAAGTCATACATCTTCAAGAACTCCGTCTTCCGCGCAGCAGGTCCCCTCCCTCCCTCCTCCTCCCCCTTCTTCTCCAGCAGCTCCCGCCCGAAGATCGAGTCCGGGAGCGACTCCGCCGCTCCCACGCGCGCTTCTCCGGGGCGCAGGTTCAGCCTGTCCGTGAGGGACTTGAGATCCAGAGGATGGCTCAATCCTCCCTGATTCGCTCCCCTAATCCGGCCGCCGAAACCCACCTGCGAGCTCGAAGACGGCTGCGACGCGCGGAGCTGTCGCAGGCTCTCACGAATGGACTCGAAGGACGGCCGCTCCGGCGCCCCCGCCGGTGCGTTCTCCGCCTTGTCCAGAACATTGTTCCTGTAGAGGTCCTGAAACGAGAAGGGAGAGGACGACGACGAAGTAGGAGGAGGCTTCTTCTCTAGACGGAAATCGGAGAGGTTCTTCCGAATCTCCTCGAGCGAGGCGGCCGCCGGGGGAGGTGCTACTGCTCCGAGCGGCGGCGGAGGATCTGCAGGTGACAGAGGGATCCGTCGAGGAGGCGACGGCTGCTTGAGGCGAGCTTTGATCTCGCTGAACAAGGAAGAGTACGACGGCGGCGCTCCGTCCTCCTTGTCCCCGCCGCCGTCCCCATCGCCGTCGGAGGCCGCCGGAGGCGGCGGAGGAAATGTAGACGAAGTGTAGGAGGAGCGGCGGAGCGTCTGTATGCTCCGCAGGGCTGCGAGTTTCGGCCTGAGACACGGCGCCATAGCCGGCGGCGATCGTCGCCGACCCGCAGCAGGATCATCGCTGGGAATCGAGTGATGCAATAAGAGGAGGGGAGAGGGAACGGTTGTGTCACCCTTGCAGCCGTTGGATTTATCTGACGGCTGTGAAACCCCCTTACTTACAATTCCTTGGTACCGCGATGAATTTTCCGATTCGTACTCCCTCTCTCTCTCTAATGGTTAGTTCTATGGCAACCATCACAGGGCCTGGGTTTGGGCATCGTCGGAGTTCAGGCCCACAAGCCCATTTTGGAGTTTCTTTTAAAAATGGACAGGAATGTTATATGATATTATTTCATTTGGTCATTTATATATCATTGTCGCCACTTTTTTAAAATTTATCCTCGTAAAAAGCATCATTATAGAAAACTCCCATATATTCTCACTCAATGATCCAGAGTCAGATCGCTGGGTCAACTGGAAGCATAGATAATAATTAAGGCACTTTTCATATAATAATAAAATATTTTCATCGATTTAGCTAAACATTTTTGTTGACTTTACGTCAACACCATCCGCCCGATTTTTTTTCCTGACGTGGCTTCGAGATAAAATCCCGATCTTCGACTGGCCTGGGGAGGTGCGGCCTCCCCAAACCCTAAAGCCCTAAACCCCCCCCCCCCCCCAATCCTCCCGCTTCCTCTCCCTCTCTCTCTCTCATCGGCTTCCTCCCCCACATCATCTTCGACCTCCGCGGCAGCAATCGAAGGCCTGAGATCGCTTTCTGCCGGAGTGGAAGGTGTGTGCGGGTTGCCTCCTGTCCGCGCCGGTGAAGATGGGCGGCATTGAAGCGGCGAAGCCTGCGAGCAGCAACCTGGTCCTCATACTGGACTATGGCTCGCAGTACACCCACCTCATCACCCGCCGCATCCGTCAGCTCTCCGTCCTCTCCCTCTGCATCTCCGGGACGTCGCCTCTTCAATCCATCGTCGAGCACAAGCCCCGCGTGGTGATTCTCTCCGGCGGCCCCCACTCCGTCCACGCCGACGGCGCCCCCACCTTCCCCGACGGCTTCCTCGAGTACGTCGAGGAAAACGGCGTGTTCGTCCTGGGGATATGCTACGGGATGCAGTTGATTGTGCAGAAGTTCGGGGGAGAGGTTACGGTCGGGGAGAAGCAGGAGTACGGGAAGATGGAGATCACCGTCGAGAGGAAGGGAGGGATATTCCGCGCGAACGAGGTCGGCGAGCATCAGATCGTGTGGATGAGCCACGGCGACGAGGCCGTGAGGCTACCGGACGGATTCTCAGTTGTTGCGAGGAGTGGACAAGGTTCCGTGGCCGCAATTGAGAACCGTTCGAAGAGATTGTTCGGTCTCCAGTACCATCCAGAGGTGCGCGCATCCTTCTCACTCCCCAATCGCTTCACGGATCCCATCGCGTCGAGCTTCAAATTCCTTGTTCTCTCTTCTAATCCGCCCCCCCCGCCGCATTGAAATCCCCATCTCCACGAAGCATGATAGAGTTTCCATTCATCCATGGCCTCAGGCGGGGTTCCTCTTTGGGAAATCAATCGTGATATGATCCGATCCTTACCGGATTCAACCATCTGTTCCTCAGAAAAGGAAATCACCAACGGTTTCCGTTTCCTTCGCCTTCCATCAGGTCCATCCATGGGATGAATTCTCACGCAGTTTCTTCAAGCCATCTTCGTTCGAGTAGACTTCCTGGAGAAGAGAAGGTTGATCATGCCGCCCTAGCTGTAGTTACATTGGGTTTCCTCTTTGGCGCGTGCTGCGTAGGTGACGCATTCGGCGAGGGGAATGGACACTCTGCGCTACTTCCTCTTCGAAGTTTGTGGGCTGGCGCCGGATTGGAAGATGCGAGACGTTCTTGACGAAGAGATCGAAGTCATCAAGAAAACGGTGGGACCCGACGACCACGTCATTTGTGCGTTATCCGGAGGCGTGGACTCCACAGTCGCCGCCACCCTCGTCCACAGAGCCATCGGAGACAGGCTTCACTGCGTGTTCGTGGATAATGGCTTGCTGAGGTGAGCTCTCTTCATAGAACCTCCGACATGAGATCGAAGTTCCTTGCTAAGAATGTAAACTGTGGTCTGCCCCTGCGCAGATACAAGGAGAGGGAGCGGGTGATGGCCACATTCGAGAGCGACCTCCATCTTCCTGTCACCTGCGTGGACGCTGCTGATCGCTTCCTCAGCAAGCTGAAAGGCGTCAAAGATCCCGAGTGCAAGAGGAAGATCATCGGCAAGGAGTTCATATCCATCTTTGATGACTTCGCTCAGGAACTGGAGCATAAACTGGGCAGGAGGCCCGAGTACTTGGTTCAAGGGACTCTGTACCCGGATGTGATAGAGTCCTGCCCTCCCCCTGGGAGCGGGAGGACCCATTCTCACACCATAAAGAGCCATCATAACGTCGGTGGGCTGCCAAAGGACATGAGGTTGAAGCTCATTGAACCGCTGAAGCTTCTCTTCAAGGACGAGGTCCCCCCTGAAACCTCCACCCCTCCTCCCCCTTCTTCTTCCTTACAACAGGATGACATTTTCTGATTGGTTTTCTTCAAACTCACCCCGTTGACTTTTGTCCTAAAGGTGCGGAAATTGGGTGGCATCTTGGACGTCCCTGAAGCATTTCTCAAGAGACACCCTTTCCCGGGGCCTGGTCTTGCCGTCCGAGTGCTGGGTGATGTTACCGAAGGGAACGCATTGGAAGTCTTAAGACAGGTCAAACGGCTATTACGGCTCTGATTTGGGATTTTTTATTTTTTATTTTTTACCCATTATGGAGTTTATCTTCCTGAACCCAAATTTATTGCCAGGTGGACGAAATATTCATCCAATCGATAAAGGATGCCGGGCTGTACGACTCCATTTGGCAAGCGTTTGCTGTGTTCTTGCCGGTCCAGACTGTTGGGGTTCAAGGAGACCAGAGAACTCATTCCCATGTGGTTGCCCTTCGAGCCGTCACCAGCGAGGACGGAATGACTGCGGACTGGTGGGTTTAGTTGCTTCTAAACCCTCTATAGTTAGAAATGAAAATTTTACCCCCACAGAAAATTATTAATTTTTTTAAATTAATTTTCTGTATTGGGTCTGTTTTGTCATAATCTTTTGTGCTCTTGAAAACTGTCGGCAGGTTCTACTTCGATCACAAGTTCCTGGACAACGTCGTACGCAAGATCTGCAACAGCGTCAGGGGTGTAAACCGGGTCTGTCTAGATATCACCTCCAAGCCTCCTGCTACCGTCGAGTGGGAATAACTTTGACCAGCTCTCTCTCTCTCTCTCTCTCTCTCTCTCTCTCTCTCTCTCTATAGAAAGATTGCGTAAGTAAACGCCATTCAGGGATTATATAATGTAATTGTGCTTTATTGCTGGAAAAAAGTATCATCTGGTGTGATGCATTTTACTTTGATGGCTCCCGATCAAGTTGGGACTATCAAGGAAGGGAAAAAGTTATCCGGGGTTTAATTGTGAATGCTTGTTTTTCTAGGGTCTTTCTTGTAAAGTGATTTTCTGTTAACCCCCGCTTTTGAATGGTACGGTTCTTCATGGGTTTAAGCCCCCGTGGGGGTTTCTCTTGAAGTGAAGGAAACAGTCCCTTGAAATGGAACAGAACGTTAGCAGGTCGCCTCCCTGGGCCCCCTACAAATCTCCAAGACCCCCTCTCCTCTCTCTTCTATCCCTCGGTGGCTACGGCGATGAAAGGCGGCGTTCTTGAAGTCCTTCTAGTCAACGCCGACGGCCTGGGACATTCCCACCTGATGGGTCTCTCTCTCTCTCTCTATCTATCTATCTTTCTCTCTCTCTGACTCTCTCTCTCTCTCTCTCTCTCTCTATGTATGCTTCCGCAGGATGCCCGGGGCTGTACGTCATACTGAAATGCGGCAACCAGACTCACAGAGGCAAGGTCTCTTCAGGTCCGACCCCTACATTAAAATCTCGGCGGGTCGGTATTATTGGGCTCAATCTAGGGAATGGGCTGAGTCAATGGGCTCACTAGAGCCCATATAGCTCGGACAAACAGTTTTATTTATTTATTTTTGAAAAAGATAAATGGAGTTATTACGTCCTATCCAGGAAAAGACAAGAGAGTCTGGTGGAACGAGAAGTTCTCCTTCGCGTTCGCGACGCGGAAGTGGAACAGCCTGACCCGACTGAGAATGACGATCATGAAGAGCCATGCCTTACAGGAGGACTCTCCCATCGGCGAAGCCACGTACAGATCCCCAAAATCGGAACCCTAACTCTGCATCACACCTCTCTCTCTCTCTCTCTCTCTCGGCAGATCCGTTGATGGATGGAGATTTTCTGATTGTAGGGTTCACCTGGTAGGAGTCCTCGAAGAAGGAAGCCGGAGAGGATGCGTAGATCTGCAGCCCGCCCCGTACAACCTGGTCTTGCCGGACGGCACCTACGAAGGGCAAATCCGGATCGGCCTCAAGTTCATCGCCGAAGTGCGCGATCCTCCCAGCGATTCTTGGCGTTTGACGAAGACAGATGATAAACCGTATGAACTCCCTACCTGTTCTCGCAGGCGGAGGTGCAGCCGACGACGCCGATGACGACGGAGAGAAGAGAAGAAGCGGCAGCGGCCAGCGAAGGGAAACCCCAGTTGATCTACAGAGCTCTGTTCAGATTTGCCTTTTGGCGGCTCTCGTGGCCGAGGATGCAGCAGCTCTTCCGGGGATGTGGGGATTCAAAAGAAGATGATGCGATAAGAGGCCATTAATAAAGCCAGACAGAAGACAACTGGACGGAATCGTTATCGGGCATGATGGGTCGGGCGGGGCCCTTTATGGCCATGCTGGAGGATTACGCTCGAAGAGAAATAAACGGCCTCACGTTGTTATAATACCACTGGGACATTTTAATTATAATATTTATGGAGGCTTTAAATATTATTTGAGATTTACAGGGACCGCAAGCGAAAAATTGATGTCAATTTCGATTAGGGGGAGAGAGAAAGAGGGGTAAGAATTGAGATTAAAACAAAAAATCTTATTGGGCCATGGACGGCAGGAGTTTAGTGGGCCAGCTCACGTAGAAAGAAAGGTGGGCCATATGACGGAGAAGCAGCGATCTGACGGGATCCGTCTCTCCCGAGCGAACAAACATATTCGGATATATTCCGCCGGCCGAAACGGAGGTCCGCTCTCGATTATCGAACGACGGTTAGTCCTGGAGCCCTTCCCGCCACAACTCCTAATTAAATCCCCTCCCTCGTCCACTCCATGGCGGGGGCCTTCGACCGTCTGACGTAGTCCGCCAGAGTGTCTCTCAACGGTTAGTCCTGGAGCCCTTCCCGCCACGCTCCTATTTAAAATCAAGAGCTCTGGAGCTCTAGCTCTAGAGAGAGAGAGAGAGAGAGGAAGATGGCGGGGGTTCGACCGTCTGAAGCAGTCCCCCAGATTATCGCACAGCCGTTAGTCCTGGAGCCCTTCCCGCCACGCTCCTATTTAAAATCAAGAGCTCTGGAGCTCTAGAGAGAGAGAGAGAGGAAGATGGCGGGGGTTCGACCGTCTGAAGCAGTCCCCCAGACTATCGCACAGCCGTTAGTCCTGGAGCCCTTCCCGCCACGCTCCTATTTAAAATCAAGAGCTCTGGAGCTCTAGAGAGAGAGAGAGAGAGAGGAAGATGGCGGGGGTTCGACCGTCTGAAGCAGTCCCCCAGATTATCGCACAGCCGTTAGTCCTGGAGCCCTTCCCGCCACGCTCCTATTTAAAATCAAGAGCTCTGTAGCTCTAGAGAGAGAGAGAGAGAGGAAGATGGCGGGGGTTCGACCGTCTGAAGCAGTCCCCCAGATTATCGCACAGCCGTTAGTCCTGGAGCCCTTCCCGCCACGCTCCTATTTAAATCAAGAGCTCTGGAGCTCTAGAGAGAGAGAGAGAGAGGAAGATGGCGGGGGTTCGACCGTCTGAAGCAGTCCCCCAGATTATCGCACAGCCGTTAGTCCTGGAGCCCTTCCCGCCCTCGTCCTCTCCCACACGCTCCTATTTAACTCCCTCCCTCCTCCCCTCCGTCGCTTACAGATCCAGAACTCTGGAACTCTGGAGCTCTAGAGAGAGAGAGAGAGGAGGAAGATGGCAGGGACCTTCGACCGTCTGACGCAGTCACCGACCTTCCGAGCGTACCAGGGCCGGCTTCCTACCATCAAGACCGGCGCCGCCGCCGGCTACGATCTGTCGGGGGGACAGTCCGTTCCGACGGAGTATCTAGGAGGGGGCCATTGCGGGGCTCCGCTGGAGCAGGCCGGCGAAACCTGGTGTGAGGCCCTCCCTGAGCGCGGGCTCCTCCCGCCTTTCGAGGACCGCTTCGCCGACTTCCCAGAGCCGCTGCGCTGGAGGCTGATCGACTGCTGCAGGGCGGCCGTGGAGCAGTGCCTCCGCGACGTCACCGCCGAGATCCGTGGCCTCACTCCCGACGCCGCCGTCCCGGAGGACATCTTTCTTTACGACTCCATCCTCGCCGCCGCCCACATCACCGGCGTCGACGCCGAGGAAACCCGGTGGCGCCTCTACGCCTACCTTACCGCCGCCGAGGAGCAGGCCACCGCGGCAGCTGCGGCGGCGCGCCGCGCATGAAGACCTTCGTGCATTCCTCCACCTCCCTCCCTTCTCCGTCTTCTTCAGCCATGGCGAGATGGAACCGGTAAATTCCCTACGGGGCCCACTTGCTTCTTCTTCACTCCGCCTCTCTACTAACACTTCTCTCCATCGTACTAAGCTCTCCGGGGAATCGATCTCCAGGTGCTTGAGTATGGCCGGCCATTAGGGGAGTTCTCCTCTAAGTGCGTCTTCCTCTTGGCGAGGACCTGGTCGTGAATTAAGATCTGCATCGCCGGCGCTCCCCACATGGTTCCGAGGACCTGCTCGCACAGTTCGTCGAGGGTGAGCATGGAGAAGGGCTCCTCGATCAGAACGCCCACCTGTTCACCTGTTCATTCACAGGCATAAGTCAATGGAACAAGTATTCAGCAGAAGAGGGAGGGAGGCTAATAGTTTTCTTTTCCATGGACTTGACTTTTTCATTTCCCCATCTGTTGTACACATTTATTGGCTGATATTTTGCACGCCGTCTATTTCACCAACTTCGGTCCATATTTCCATACTATGAGAACGCACTCAACAGGTCAACGCTCAGGGCTATTTTTGTAAAACTCGAACTTTAAATGCAGAAACGGCATTTCGATAAGAATGTGTAGGGAATTTCAATTATACATCTCTAGTTCATCAACGCAACTCTAAAAATCATTGAAAACTCATCAGCGACAAAGAAAAAAGTTCACTTCCTCAATGAATGGTTTTTGCTATAAAGACCCTGCAAAATTATCGAATGATTAAAGACCCCGTGATGATTGGGGTTATTTCTTATAAATCTTGACAAGATTAGAGGGATCAGGTCATTCGTGATTATAGAGTTTGGGAGCCGCAAGAAAATTGTGATTTTTAATAATAGAAGACTGGGTAACTTCCTCTGAGGGTTAAGTTATACTCCCAGAGCCCCACACCAACCGACCAACCAATCATCTCGCCCTCTCCCCTCCTCGCTCTCCTCCTCTCCCAACAGGCTTCCTCCACCCATCCTGTACCTTCTCCGCCTTGCTCTTCCCCGGCGCTCTGCTCCTTCCGCCTACCCATCCATGCTGGGCGGTAGTTCGAGATAGAGCCATCGCCGTCGCCGTTTCTTCCGGCAAATGCCAAAACCTGCAATCATTGCATACGTCTGAAACAATTGAGATGTCTTTTGTATCTACAATAATTTATTGAAGTGAGTTTATTGAAGTGGTCCTAAAAGGACGGGGAAAATTAGATCATTCTCTTGAATTAGGGCTATCACATATAGATCAATAATTTAAACTATGGAAGAAGAGGATGCGATCATAAAAATATGATTGGGAAGTACAATGACACCGGAAGTAAATGTTTTAAACCTATTTCTATCCACATAAGGATATTTGGGAGCAAATGACTCAATCATGCTCAAAAAGGGGGGATGAAACTGAAATATACAGAGTTATCATCCAAACCTCTACTGTGACGTTGAGTAGTAAAATAATCTGAGAATATATAAATGAGTTGAGAATCTATGCCAAGAGGTTGAAATGCTGGAAGGATGAGATATTTTTAAAAAAATATGTAGAGAAATATATGATTTATCAATTTTTAAAAGGACTGAATTATGTGTATGATCAAGTTATGTCTCAAATTTTAGGAAAATATAAAGTTGTAAATTTAATATAAGTTATTGCTATCACTAGAAACGATTAGAGCTGTAGAAACCATATGCTAGAACAACAAAATTCAAAAAATTCAACATTTGTGGTTCAACCTAAATGACATAAATCCATAAATGTGGTCCAACCTAAATATGATAAAGGACAAGGGGAAAAAGTAATTATCCATATAATTTATGATGCACTTATTGTAGGCGAACAATGCATACTAGAGACCACTACTACAAGTTCCATGGGAAACCTCAAGTTGGTAGTTAGACCCACCTGATCACCTCCCCAATGAAAGGTCAAGTTCACCTAATTTACCTTTGAGTAGAGGGTTAGATGAGCTCGACCAACCCTCAACCTCAAGAGGCATCTATGTCCTTGGAGGTTAGCACTAACCAAGAGATGAAGACTAGTTGAACTTGAGAGGCTAAGATCAGCTGTGGCATTCAACTCTAACATCTCCTTGGCTTGCTCTAGTGAGAAATCTCACTCAATAATATTACATGTTACACCTAATGGTTTTCTTACATATTGGTTACTAGATATGGTGCCATCAACCATTATGACCAATTCTTAGAACTCTTCGTTATGATATAACCCACATCAACTTATTAGAAAAGTAGTCACAATCGATTGATTATTAATTACTATTATAGGAATTAGAGAAGTGACATTAGATCCTATTAACATTATTAAAAATGTCATACATGTTCTTAAGCTCTCAACTAAGTTTATATCTATTAGAAGGTTAGAGATATGTCTTGTAGAGTGATAATTAATTATAATGTTTGTGATGTCTATGATAAGGTAACATGTAAAAAGATTAGACATAGTGAAGATCAAGATAGACTCTATTATATTAGATCATCAGATCATGATTATCTTGTAGAGTTAAATGATCATTTAGGACAGAAAACTTTTGTGTTAGCTAAGAATGATGTTTTTTGATTATGTCATTGGCATTTGGGACAACTCTCCTTTAAAAATGATAAAGTTTATATTTCTAAATTTAATTTTGAATGCAAACATATGACAATTAAAGTGTGATGTGTGTGAGATTAAAAAATACTAGAGAACTACATATTTATTATTTAGGGAGAGAAGAACCTCTCCCTTATCTTTGATTCACAATGATTTTTAGGGACCATCACCAATTGCTCGCATATTAAGAGCTAGATGGTTCATCTTTTGTTAACAAGAGGAATAGAAAATCTTAAAATTAATATATTAAAGAAGAGGAGTACATGAGGTTATATAAAAGAAAGGAAGAAAGAGAGAGAAAGAAAGAAGTGAAAGTAATAGATGAAGAATAAAGACATAGAGAGAATACATCCAAAATAGGCATGATGAGCACATTGAGCCTATTCTAACTCTCATTCTTAAGCTAGAGCATACAAGTCAAATATTCATAACTTCATAAATGTCATGTCGTGAGAGATCCCTATAAGACTCTTGTTGAAGATGTCCACGAGATAATGAGACAAGATAACATGCAGAGTAGAGATAACACCTGACGTTACTTTATCTTAGATGTAATGACAATTAATCTCAATGTACTTCATCTATTCATGAAATGTAGAATTCTCAACAATAAAGATGATGACTTGATTATCACAATGCATAAATATTAGCGTAAGAAATGAGATGCTAAGGTCTTTGAGGAGTGAACTAAACCACACCATATCTTGTACTATCTCAGTCATTGCGACATACTTAGACTCAGCACTAGAGCAAGATGCCACCTTCTACTTCCTAAAGCACCACGTGACAAGATTACTACCCACATGTGTACAATAACTAATAGTAGATTTATGATATCTCTTGTCACCAACATATCCAACATCTAAGTAGACTTCAATCTGAAGATGCCCATGTCTTTGATAGATAAGCCCTCTCCCAAGAAAACTTTTGATATATGTCAAAACCTATAAAGCTTTCTCCTAGTAAACTTGTCGATGTTCTTACATGAATTGACTAAAGATACTAATTGTGTACATGATGTCGGGGCGAATGATAGTGAGATAGATTAGCTTCTCTAACAATCATTTGTATTAATTAACATCTTCTAGTAGTGAAAATAATATATCCTAAAAGTGCGGATATGCCCTCATAAGTGACAACTTTGACTTGCACCCAAGTAGCTTAGTCTCCTAAAGTATATCAAAAATATACTTTTACTGAAAGAGAGTAAACTTGTCATCCTGATAGAGCCACTCAATCTTAAGAAAGTATCATGAAATCCTCAAATCTCATATGCAAAAGTACTGTTGTAGGTATGATTTGATAGCTTAAATACATGTTTCATCACTTCTAGTCATAAGAATGTCGTCCACATAAATAACTAAGATGATAATATCAACTTCAATAGTTTTTATAAGTACTATGGGATCTGTAAAATATGGTGAGAACTCAAATTACACTAGAAGATCATTTAACTTAGCAAACTAAATACGTGGACTTTGTTGAAGTTCGTAAATAGCACGTTGTGAAAGACATCATTGATGACTCTCCTTGAGTATGTTTTCAAGAGGTTGCTCCATAAACACTTACTCTTCAAGGTCACTATAGAGAAAGACATTAGAAATATCTAATTGATGTAAAGATCATGCTTGATTCACTATTAGAGAGAGTATCATTCGAATGGAGTTGAGTCAAACCAACAAGAGAGAATGTCTCGATGTAGTCAATGTCATAGACTTATGTGAATCTACAAGTAATCAAGCGAGCCTTATGACGTGTAATAGATCCATCTGAATTATACTCGAGTGTGAAAACCCACTTGCACATGACAATATTGACATTGTGTGGATGAGATACAAGTGTCTAAGTTCTCTGATATACCAAAGCATCTACCTTCAAATCCATGACTACTTTCTATTCAGGTACTTGTGCAGCCTCAACATATGATTGTAGAATTGACTTGAAGATCACAAAAAAAACAAAGGTATGAAAGAAAAGAAAAAAGTGGTCGGAGGAAATAAAATAGGAAATTGAGTATTTGGTATATGCATGTGTATCTTTGCGGAGAGCAATATATAGATGAAGGTCATTCACCTGAAATAGAAGAGATAACCAGATGAGGCTCATTCGTAATGAGTGAAGACGAATCTGATCCTAGAGTAGAGGAGTCGAATGTCAATAAAGCCAAAGGTTTTAGAGGATGAGCTAATGAGAGAGAAACTAGATAAGTAAGAAGACTAAGAAAAGAATTTGTAATGATCACAATAGGAGATAAACTAGGTAGTGAAGATGTAACAGATCAAGGAGGAGTTGAGGTTGAAGAAAAAAAAAAGTATCGTCATAAAAAGTAACGTTAGTTGATGTCACATAGCGACGGTATTAAAAAAATAGACCTAATAACTTTTTTATATATGTGAGTAGTCAATAAAGATCCATTTGAGAGATAAAGTGGTCAATTTAGAAAAAAAAGAAAAGTAGTATTAGACAAAAGTAATGCATCCGAAGACACGAGGGGGTATAAAAAAAGAAAAGAAAAGAATCGAATGAAAGGCAATGAAGTAGAATGACCTCACCAAGTGGAGCCGAAGGCAGCTAATTCTAGAGATATGTGATTATTAGGAGAGTGTCAAATCATAGATAATGAGGAACATTCATCTCAATGAGTAATATTTGAACAATGTCAAGTAGTTGACAATGTTTTCATTCAATAATCTCATTTTATTAGGATGTGTGTGAACACGTGATTTGATGAAGAATACTACGATCGTCACAAAATATGCGAAGTGAGTTTTGAACCAACTCCAAGATATTATCACTACAAAGAATCTTAGGCATAGTAGAATACTGGGTGATGACTTCAGTAATGAAATGAATAATTATGGTGTGAACTTTAGTATGATCTTAGAGAAGATAGACTCAACTTACCTAAGTATAGTCATTAACAAAGATAATGTAGTAATGATTGTCCGAAACAGATAGAGTACAAAAGAGGCCCAAACATCACAATGAATGAAGTCAAAGGGTGTTGTAAATAAAATCTCGTCTTAACTCGAGTATGAACCATGATGGTTCATACCTAATTGTCATGACTTGCACATAAACTTATTAAGCGAAAGCGAAGGTAAGGGTTTTTGAATTTTTTAAAACAATGATGTCCTAAAGGACGATACCACAAAAGAGATGAGGTGACTATAGAGGAAATAAAAGAGCTCGAAGGTTAGAAAAAAGTTTATCAAAAATTAGCTCATAGACACCTCATCTATTCTCATGCCCCAAACTAATCCTTTGCCTAATACATAGATCTTAGGAGTTACAATGAAAAGAAAAAAATGTAATAGAAAAAAGGATGGCTCAGGTAATAGCACTGATAGATAAGAGGTTAGTAAGAAATTTAAGAACATAGAGAATTTGGATGAGAAGAATATTTAACATATCAACGATATTGCCATGTCCATTGACCGAACAAGTCTAACTATCGACAATGGTAATTAGTAGTATGATGATAAAATAGTAGGTGTGTCGGTCATGTGGATAGAGGCCCTTGAGTCAATAATCTATGGTGAAGATGAAGATGTAGGAAGAACATGTGTATTTGATGTCGAAGGATTTAGAAGTGAGGTTAGATTGACCAAGAAATGAGTCATGATACCACTAGAGTGATGTAGTACTTCATATTCAGCAGAGGTCAATGTCACTTAAAAAGTTAGAGAAGGGACACTAAATGGCGCCTACGCGCTAGTGAAGGAGGCAAGAAAGGTGATTGGGCAAAGTTAGGCTTCTTAAATTATTTCTAACATTTGTTAGACAAGTGATTCTGCTTGTCATAGTAGATGCATGGAAGAAAAAAATTATTATCCTTCTCTTGTGGTAGATGACCACTATTTGGTCTCAAAGTAGGAGGGTTGATAAGTCTTCATTATCATAAGTTAATAATTAGTAAATAATATAGTTTTAGCCTTAACTCATGATAAATAAACTTATATTTGTGTTAAAATGTGAAATGTGATTTTCAATTGATTAATGTGATTTTTTGGGTAATTATGTGATTTTATACGAATTTATATAATTTTTACAATCTTACTTTTGAGATAAATAAAGAAAAAGAAATAAAAATAAAAATATAACAAAATGAGGGGGACCCACTGACTAGTCAGGCCCGTAAGTAGGTCGGAAGCACAGTCGAGGAGGAGCCGCGAGCAGGGGCTCAAGCAGCTATGACCGATAGGGGCACGTGTGCGCCACTCCCCTTCCATGTCACCGGTGGCTAGCCGGCTGTGGGACAAGGAGTGGTCGTACACGCGAGAGAAGGGACTTGCTTCCAAAATGTAATATTACTATATATTCACCCGAAACTTCAGCGCACAAGTGATGTAGGACTAAACCCGCGTCACACCTTCCCTAGAAAGGGTTCGAAGATTTTAATACCTAAAGGACCCCTTATTTATAATAGAGATATACCATGATGACGTCATTTTATAAGGGCATTAGAGTACTTATGTCATCTCTCTCATGCAGACGGGCAACCGACGTAGTTCGAATCCTCTCAGAACCAAAACTCATATTTTTTAACTAATTATCGCAACTTTCCTACAGATCGCTTGTGAAGGATTAAGCAACTAGAATCGTTGGATCATCAACAAAAATCTTATTAACACGATTCGTAGAGAATTGTTACTAAAATTACTGAACGATTCGCGATAAAAGGATCATAAATCCATTGAGTAAAGCATCTCCGATTGATCGACAAATAAGTCATCGTCGATAAGAAAACGATCCACTGGGAGACAAGTTGCCACCTCCTAAGAGAGTACCAGATGTGATGAAGAGCCTCCCAAAGTTTTCTCTTGTGATATGAGTTACGACCCCTTGATCACTTACAATACCCCAAACATCCGTCCTCTTGTTGCGCGGACTTGAGGATGAAGCTCCCTGACATGCGCCCCACCTCCATCCAGCTCTTCTCTATCAGGTGACAGCCGCCAGAGAGCTGCAAAGTCGCCGTTTTTCTGCTTCACTAGGTCACAGCCGTCGAAGACGATTCGACAACCCATTTCATTGATCTCTAAACTTTGCAAGAAGATCTAGAGATTACCCACATCGTCCTTGTCCAATGAGAGCCTTTGAGGCCGTGGACACTGCACAACGATCCTCTTAAACGCTCAGGATTTCGGTGTATCGTCGACGCATCGCCGCTGCGACACCAAAACTCTATTTTCTTGCTTTCAACTTACTTTCCGCTTCATTTAGTGATAAGTTATGTGATTTAAATTTACCAAGATATACTTCATTCAATTACGATTCTTCCGACTTTTATAAATCTTAATTTGATCAAGTAAATCGTCTGTAATCGCTTACGTAAGAATCACCGGGCAGAACTCTATTTCCATCCGATTCACATTCGCCAAGAGTTGACGTCATCTTGACGTCCGCACCTTTATTTCTCTTTTTCGTGAATTTTAAATATATATTCTTTTTATTTCCTAGTATAAAATTCATAGAAAATAGTATTCTTTGAGAAAAATTCTGAATAATTATCAGATATTATATTACATCCCTATGATCGACCTGAAAAATTACTGCTATTTTTGGAAGTTTTATTAAAGTATAATTGATATATTTTTTTCAAAAATACTTCTAAATATCTAAAAATACGTATTTTCTAGTTTTATACATTTTAAATTTGTGTGATTTAATATACGATGACTAAGTCACGTCAAGGGTCATGTGACACTCGAGGAGTGGAGACAGCCATCACCGACGGAGTAGATGTGCCACTGGTAATAGTAGGAGTGTATGTACTCACACAAAGTGCAGTGGAGAAAATGTGAGAGATATCAAATATCTAGTCTTTAGAGAGGATCATCTTACGAATCTAAGAGGTAATTGATGGGTAAAGTCCACTCAGATAGACTCTAACAAGAAACTTCTGATAGTAGCACTTAGATGTCTAGAGGTCAGTGATCAGAGGCTAATAGATGGTAAGCTCTTATATCAGGGCTTGGAGACGACCGAAATGAACTTGAAGAGAAGAGTCACCCTACTTGCAAACAAAAAATAACTCGAAGATTTTGACCATGCAATTGATATTCATCTGATTGACATACATGTTTTCCAATGTCATCCAAAGTTGTTACATAGGGCATATCCAAGTGAAATGCTCGGCTCAATACTTTGAAACATCCAGGTAAGGATGGTTGAATCAAGTTAAGACCATGAAGTAAAGGACGGATTAGTGAAGCCTGGTGGATCAATTGATAAGTGGTGGAGAAGGTTGTGCGACATCAATAAGTGCTCGAATAGAGGCCCACAATGCATAATTATGTCAATTGAAGACATCTGCTGGCTAAAGAACTAATAGAGAAGGTGCCTAAGACATCGAGGATTTGCCCACTAGATCTATAGATGAGGATTTGCGGGAGATGAGATAACATCATGAGGTGATGCATGGGCCACCAAGGCAACACTAAAGATAAGGCACAGGGCACCAGTGGGGAGCACCAAGAGGTAGTGTGTGCGGCACCTATAGTCAGTGCATGGGGCACCAGTGGGAGATGGTGCTGCCAAGCGTGCAGGTGCAGCGGCATGCCAAGCGGGCATGCAAGATGGTGTTGGGTAAGCACCGGATGGGCACGCAGGTGCGCGTTGCAAAAGGTGTGGCAAGCATGTAGAGCTATGTAGACTGGGCACCGCGTAGACATGCAAGGCAATGTTATAAAAGATTGCATTAGGAGAGGATAGGTGACATCGAGATAAGAGAGGAGGCAAAGCGCAGCGGCAGATAAACCCTAGGGTTCTGATACCATGTTGACAAGAGGAAAAGAAAACCCTATAATTGATATATTGAAAAAGAGGAATACATGAGGTTATATGAAAAAGACGACAGAAAGAGAGAGAATAAGAAGTGGAGATAGTGGAGGAAGAATAAGGACATAGAGAGAATAACTCTAAAATAGCCCTGGTGGGCTTAGTGGGCATATTTTCACATCTTTTTAATTGATATTTTTTTATAAATACATAGGTTTTTATATTAAATTATAAATTATAAGTGATTAATATTTTTTAAAAATACTCACTTATTAAAAATTAATTTAAAATATAAATAAAATAATTTATATCAGATAATACAAGTAATTTCTTTAATCATACTATCAAATGATACTTCTTAATGAAGGAATTATTTATGAGTCATCATGTGTTAATACTCCACAACAAAACAATATTGGATATGGAAAGTTTCAACATATATTATAAGTGACTAGATCACTTCTCTTCCAAATAGAAATAACAAAAACTTTTGAGATGTTCTCGCGATGATACACCTTATTAATAGGTTACCACTTAACTTCTAGCTTTTAAGAGCCCATTAGAGGTTCTATCTAGATTCTACCCATAAATCTCACTAAACAATAGCTTAGTTACTAGAGTATTGGTTGCACTTACTTTATCTATAACTATGGACCCACTAAGACTAAACTTGATCCACATATAATTGTGTGTTTATTAGATACTTAAATATAAAAAATAGGTATAAATACTATTGCCTTTCATTGAAAATATTTTTTTATTTCTAATGATGTAACTTTTCATGAGCATGAAACTTATTTTGATAGAATTGTTCTTAAGGAAGCAATCACTTATAGTATTATGTAGGAAAAAAATGTTGATGGTAGCAACTTTGTATTACCATATATACTTCTAGATATACCGATGTCATCAAAAGAAATAGCAATGAGACCACAATATAATAATGATCAACCTGATGTTATAGATCATTGTGAACATGATGAACTTAATGATCGTATAGAAGAGATTCAAAATAATGAGAATGAAGAACCACTAATACCATGAGTAAATTATGAGGAGTTACCCATAGCTCTTGGGAAAGGAGAGTGAAACCATATTAAAGAACCACAATATCTAATTTCATATCATATGACACAGCCTCATATAAGATTTTTCTTAGAACCTTTGATTTTGAAAAAAAAATCAATATAATGTCTTGGAGGCATTAGGTTGAGATGAATGGAACTAACTCTGGAGGAATAACTAGGGGCCTTAGAACAAAAATTATACATGTGAATTACCAAGGTTACTACACGGAAAAGAACCATGAGGTGTAAGTGGGTTTATACAATCTAATACAATACATATGGTACAATAGAAAGATATAAAACTCGATTGATGGCTAAAAGATATATTCAAATACATGAAATAAATTATTAGAAATATTTGCTCTAATTATAAAATTAGTATAATTAAAATTCTTTTGTTAGTAGTAGATTATGAATAGAACATTCAACAATTTGAGGTGAAGAGTAAGTTTCTACATAGAGATTTAGAAGAAGACATACATATGGATGGTCCCTAAAGGATATAATAAGAATATAGAGAAGGGTATAATATTTAAGTTGAAGAAAACATTGATGGGCTTAAACAACCACTTAGGGACTAGTTTGAATTTTTTTATAAAGTAATGTGTGAGTTAAGATATAAACCATCTAATATAGATTGCATGTTGTTCATCAAACACTCGACTTTAGGGGGAATTATAATTCTCCTAGTATATGTTGATGCTATAATAATGACTAAAAATGATAAATATGAAAGGAAATATTTGAGAAGAAACCTACTAAAAGAGTTTGACATTAAAGTGCTAGGAAAATTATATTTTAGAGATTAAGGTATTTCTTAGGGATAAAAATAACTTACTCCAAATTTGACCTTTATTTTAGAGTAAAAATATATTTTAGATCTATTATGAGATATTGAAAAATTATGATGTAAACATAGAAATATACCAATACACACTAACCATAAACTTGGTGACATCAAAGAAAGTAACAAGATAGATGTACTTGGATACCAAAGACTAATAAGAAAAATTAATTTATCTTTCTCACACTAAACCTGATATATTATACATTGTTGGAGTACTTAGTCAATCATAGATACTCGATATATATCTCACTTGCTTGTTGCAGAAAGAGTTATTGAATATCTGAAGGAAACACTACAGAAATATTTTTATATAAAAAATAAAATAGCTATGGAAGTATATACTGATTTTGACTATGAAGCCACCTGCCCCTTATGTCCATCCAAGAAATACATAGGTTTTTATATTAAATTATAAATTATAAGTGAGTAATATTTTTTAAAAAGTTGAAGACAAACATAGGGGGCAGGTGACTTGCCGCATACTATCCGACGAGCACGGGGATTGGGGAGGGAAGACAAACAAGAGCGCGACAGGAACTTGGATGAAAACTCGGGAGTGAGAGTTGAGAACGACGAAGAGAGATGAGTTGCAGGTTTTGGCATTTTCCGGAAGAAACGGCGACAGCGATGACTCTATCAGGATGACAAGTTTACTCTCTTTCAGTAAAAGTATATTTTTGATATACTTTAGGAGACTAAGCTACTTGGGTGCAAGTCAAAGTTGTCACTTATGAGGGCACATCCGCACTTTTAGGATATATTATTTTCACTACTAGAAGATGTTAATTAATACAAATGATTGTTAGAGAAGCTAATCTATCTCACTATCATTCGCCCCGACATCATGTACACAATTAGTATCTTTAGTCAATTCATGTAAGAACATCGACAAGTTTACTAGGAGAAAGCTTTATAGGTTTTGACATATATCAAAAGTTTTCTTGGGAGAGGGCTTATCTATCAAAGACATGGGCATCTTCAGATTGAAGTCTACTTAGATGTTGGATATGTTGGTGACAAGAGATATCATAAATCTACTATTAGTTATTGTACACATGTGGGTAGTAATCTTGTCACGTGGTGCTTTAGGAAGTAGAAGGTGGCATCTTGCTCTAGTGCTGAGTCTAAGTATGTCGCAATGACTGAGATAGTACAAGATATGGTGTGGTTTAGTTCACTCCTCAAAGACCTTAGCATCTCATTTCTTACGCTAATATTTATGCATTGTGATAATCAAGTCATCATCTTTATTGTTGAGAATTCTACATTTCATGAATAGATGAAGTACATTGAGATTAATTGTCATTACATCTAAGATAAAGTAACGTCAGGTGTTATCTCTACTCTGCATGTTATCTTGTCTCATTATCTCGTGGACATCTTCAACAAGAGTCTTATAGGGATCTCTCACGACATGACATTTATGAAGTTATGAATATTTGACTTGTATGCTCTAGCTTAAGAATGAGAGTTAGAATAGGCTCAATGTGCTCATCATGCCTATTTTGGATGTATTCTCTCTATGTCTTTATTCTTCATCTATTACTTTCACTTCTTTCTTTCTCTCTCTTTCTTCCTTTCTTTTATATAACCTCATGTACTCCTCTTCTTTAATATATTAATTTTAAGATTTTCTATTCCTCTTGTTAACAAAAGATGAACCATCTAGCTCTTAATATGCGAGCAATTGGTGATGGTCCCTAAAAATCATTGTGAATCAAAGATAAGGGAGAGGTTCTTCTCTCCCTAAATAATAAATATGTAGTTCTCTAGTATTTTTTAATCTCACACACATCACACTTTAATTGTCATATGTTTGCATTCAAAATTAAATTTAGAAATATAAACTTTATCATTTTTAAAGGAGAGTTGTCCCAAATGCCAATGACATAATCAAAAAACATCATTCTTAGCTAACACAAAAGTTTTCTGTCCTAAATGATCATTTAACTCTACAAGATAATCATGATCTGATGATCTAATATAATAGAGTCTATCTTGATCTTCACTATGTCTAATCTTTTTACATGTTACCTTATCATAGACATCACAAACATTATAATTAATTATCACTCTACAAGACATATCTCTAACCTTCTAATAGATATAAACTTAGTTGAGAGCTTAAGAACATGTATGACATTTTTAATAATGTTAATAGGATCTAATGTCACTTCTCTAATTCCTATAATAGTAATTAATAATCAATCGATTGTGACTACTTTTCTAATAAGTTGATGTGGGTTATATCATAACGAAGAGTTCTAAGAATTGGTCATAATGGTTGATGGCACCATATCTAGTAACCAATATGTAAGAAAACCATTAGGTGTAACATGTAATATTATTGAGTGAGATTTCTCACTAGAGCAAGCCAAGGAGATGTTAGAGTTGAATGCCACAGCTGATCTTAGCCTCTCAAGTTCAACTAGTCTTCATCTCTTGGTTAGTGCTAACCTCCAAGGACATAGATGCCTCTTGAGGTTGAGGGTTGGTCGAGCTCATCTAACCCTCTACTCAAAGGTAAATTAGGTGAACTTGACCTTTCATTGGGGAGGTGATCAGGTGGGTCTAACTACCAACTTGAGGTTTCCCATGGAACTTGTAGTAGTGGTCTCTAGTATGCATTGTTCGCCTACAATAAGTGCATCATAAATTATATGGATAATTACTTTTTCCCCTTGTCCTTTATCATATTTAGGTTGGACCACATTTATGGATTTATGTCATTTAGGTTGAACCACAAATGTTGAATTTTTTGAATTTTGTTGTTCTAGCATATGGTTTCTACAGCTCTAATCGTTTCTAGTGATAGCAATAACTTATATTAAATTTACAACTTTATATTTTCCTAAAATTTGAGACATAACTTGATCATACACATAATTCAGTCCTTTTAAAAATTGATAAATCATATATTTCTCTACATATTTTTTTAAAAATATCTCATCCTTCCAGCATTTCAACCTCTTGGCATAGATTCTCAACTCATTTATATATTCTCAGATTATTTTACTACTCAACGTCACAGTAGAGGTTTGGATGATAACTCTGTATATTTCAGTTTCATCCCCCCTTTTTGAGCATGATTGAGTCATTTGCTCCCAAATATCCTTATGTGGATAGAAATAGGTTTAAAACATTTACTTCCGGTGTCATTGTACTTCCCAATCATATTTTTATGATCGCATCCTCTTCTTCCATAGTTTAAATTATTGATCTATATGTGATAGCCCTAATTCAAGAGAATGATCTAATTTTCCCCGTCCTTTTAGGACCACTTCAATAAACTCACTTCAATAAATTATTGTAGATACAAAAGACATCTCAATTGTTTCAGACGTATGCAATGATTGCAGGTTTTGGCATTTGCCGGAAGAAACGGCGACGGCGATGGCTCTATCTCGAACTACCGCCCAGCATGGATGGGTAGGCGGAAGGAGCAGAGCGCCGGGGAAGAGCAAGGCGGAGAAGGTACAGGATGGGTGGAGGAAGCCTGTTGGGAGAGGAGGAGAGCGAGGAGGGGAGAGGGCGAGATGATTGGTTGGTCGGTTGGTGTGGGGCTCTGGGAGTATAACTTAACCCTCAGAGGAAGTTACCCAGTCTTCTATTATTAAAAATCACAATTTTCTTGCGGCTCCCAAACTCTATAATCACGAATGACCTGATCCCTCTAATCTTGTCAAGATTTATAAGAAATAACCCCAATCATCACGGGGTCTTTAATCATTCGATAATTTTGCAGGGTCTTTATAGCAAAAACCATTCATTGAGGAAGTGAACTTTTTTCTTTGTCGCTGATGAGTTTTCAATGATTTTTAGAGTTGCGTTGATGAACTAGAGATGTATAATTGAAATTCCCTACACATTCTTATCGAAATGCCGTTTCTGCATTTAAAGTTCGAGTTTTACAAAAATAGCCCTGAGCGTTGACCTGTTGAGTGCGTTCTCATAGTATGGAAATATGGACCGAAGTTGGTGAAATAGACGGCGTGCAAAATATCAGCCAATAAATGTGTACAACAGATGGGGAAATGAAAAAGTCAAGTCCATGGAAAAGAAAACTATTAGCCTCCCTCCCTCTTCTGCTGAATACTTGTTCCATTGACTTATGCCTGTGAATGAACAGGTGAACAGGTGGGCGTTCTGATCGAGGAGCCCTTCTCCATGCTCACCCTCGACGAACTGTGCGAGCAGGTCCTCGGAACCATGTGGGGAGCGCCGGCGATGCAGATCTTAATTCACGACCAGGTCCTCGCCAAGAGGAAGACGCACTTAGAGGAGAACTCCCCTAATGGCCGGCCATACTCAAGCACCTGGAGATCGATTCCCCGGAGAGCTTAGTACGATGGAGAGAAGTGTTAGTAGAGAGGCGGAGTGAAGAAGAAGCAAGTGGGCCCCGTAGGGAATTTACCGGTTCCATCTCGCCATGGCTGAAGAAGACGGAGAAGGGAGGGAGGTGGAGGAATGCACGAAGGTCTTCATGCGCGGCGCGCCGCCGCAGCTGCCGCGGTGGCCTGCTCCTCGGCGGCGGTAAGGTAGGCGTAGAGGCGCCACCGGGTTTCCTCGGCGTCGACGCCGGTGATGTGGGCGGCGGCGAGGATGGAGTCGTAAAGAAAGATGTCCTCCGGGACGGCGGCGTCGGGAGTGAGGCCACGGATCTCGGCGGTGACGTCGCGGAGGCACTGCTCCACGGCCGCCCTGCAGCAGTCGATCAGCCTCCAGCGCAGCGGCTCTGGGAAGTCGGCGAAGCGGTCCTCGAAAGGCGGGAGGAGCCCGCGCTCAGGGAGGGCCTCACACCAGGTTTCGCCGGCCTGCTCCAGCGGAGCCCCGCAATGGCCCCCTCCTAGATACTCCGTCGGAACGGACTGTCCCCCCGACAGATCGTAGCCGGCGGCGGCGCCGGTCTTGATGGTAGGAAGCCGGCCCTGGTACGCTCGGAAGGTCGGTGACTGCGTCAGACGGTCGAAGGTCCCTGCCATCTTCCTCCTCTCTCTCTCTCTCTAGAGCTCCAGAGTTCCAGAGTTCTGGATCTGTAAGCGACGGAGGGGAGGAGGGAGGGAGTTAAATAGGAGCGTGTGGGAGAGGACGAGGGCGGGAAGGGCTCCAGGACTAACGGCTGTGCGATAATCTGGGGGACTGCTTCAGACGGTCGAACCCCCGCCATCTTCCTCTCTCTCTCTCTCTCTAGAGCTCCAGAGCTCTTGATTTTAAATAGGAGCGTGGCGGGAAGGGCTCCAGGACTAACGGCTGTGCGATAATCTGGGGGACTGCTTCAGACGGTCGAACCCCCGCCATCTTCCTCTCTCTCTCTCTCTCTAGAGCTACAGAGCTCTTGATTTTAAATAGGAGCGTGGCGGGAAGGGCTCCAGGACTAACGGCTGTGCGATAATCTGGGGGACTGCTTCAGACGGTCGAACCCCCGCCATCTTCCTCTCTCTCTCTCTCTCTCTAGAGTTTCAGAGCTCTTGATTTTAAATAGGAGCGTGGCGGGAAGGGCTCCAGGACTAACGGTTGTGCGATAATCTGGGGGACTGCTTCAGACGGTCGAACCCCCGCCATCTTCCTCTCTCTCTCTCTCTCTCTAGAGTTTCAGAGCTCTTGATTTTAAATAGGAGCGTGGCGGGAAGGGCTCCAGGACTAACGGCTGTGCGATAATCTGGGGGACTGCTTCAGACGGTCGAACCCCCGCCATCTTCCTCTCTCTCTCTCTCTCTCTAGAGCTAGAGCTCCAGAGCTCTTGATTTTAAATAGGAGCGTGGCGGGAAGGGCTGCAGGACTAACGGCTGTGCGATAATCTGGGGGACTGCTTCAGACGGTCGAACCCCCGCCATCTTCCTCTCTCTCTCTCTCTCTCTAGAGCTAGAGCTCCAGAGCTCTTGATTTTAAATAGGAGCGTGGCGGGAAGGGCTCCAGGACTAACCGTTGAGAGACACTCTGGCGGACTACGTCAGACGGTCGAAGGCCCCCGCCATGGAGTGGACGAGGGAGGGGATTTAATTAGGAGTTGTGGCGGGAAGGGCTCCAGGACTAACCGTCGTTCGATAATCGAGAGCGGACCTCCGTTTCGGCCGGCGGAATATATCCGAATATGTTTGTTCGCTCGGGAGAGACGGATCCCGTCAGATCGCTGCTTCTCCGTCATATGGCCCACCTTTCTTTCTACGTGAGCTGGCCCACTAAACTCCTGCCGTCCATGGCCCAATAAGATTTTTTGTTTTAATCTCAATTCTTACCCCTCTTTCTCTCTCCCCCTAATCGAAATTGACATCAATTTTTCGCTTGCGGTCCCTGTAAATCTCAAATAATATTTAAAGCCTCCATAAATATTATAATTAAAATGTCCCAGTGGTATTATAACAACGTGAGGCCGTTTATTTCTCTTCGAGCGTAATCCTCCAGCATGGCCATAAAGGGCCCCGCCCGACCCATCATGCCCGATAACGATTCCGTCCAGTTGTCTTCTTTCTGGCTTTATTAATGGCCTCTTATCGCATCATCTTCTTTTGAATCCCCACATCCCCGGAAGAGCTGCTGCATCCTCGGCCACGAGAGCCGCCAAAAGGCAAATCTGAACAGAGCTCTGTAGATCAACTGGGGTTTCCCTTCGCTGGCCGCTGCCGCTTCTTCTCTTCTCTCCGTCGTCATCGGCGTCGTCGGCTGCACCTCCGCCTGCGAGAACAGGTAGGGAGTTCATACGGTTTATCATCTGTCTTCGTCAAACGCCAAGAATCGCTGGGAGGATCGCGCACTTCGGCGATGAACTTGAGGCCGATCCGGATTTGCCCTTCGTAGGTGCCGTCCGGCAAGACCAGGTTGTACGGGGCGGGCTGCAGATCTACGCATCCTCTCCGGCTTCCTTCTTCGAGGACTCCTACCAGGTGAACCCTACAATCAGAAAATCTCCATCCATCAACGGATCTGCCGAGAGAGAGAGAGAGAGAGGTGTGACGCAGAGTTAGGGTTCCGATTTTGGGGATCTGTACGTGGCTTCGCCGATGGGAGAGTCCTCCTGTAAGGCATGGCTCTTCATGATCGTCATTCTCAGTCGGGTCAGGCTGTTCCACTTCCGCGTCGCGAACGCGAAGGAGAACTTCTCGTTCCACCAGACTCTCTTGTCTTTTCCTGGATAGGACGTAATAACTCCATTTATCTTTTTCAAAAATAAATAAATAAAACTGTTCGTCCGAGCTATATGGGCTCTAGTGAGCCCATTTACTCGGCTCATTTCCCTAGATTGATAGAGAGATAGAGATAGATAGGTAGATATATATATATATAGAGAGAGAGAGAGAGAGAAGAAAGGTAGAGGGAGTAGAGAGAGAGAGAGAGAGAGAGAGAGAGGTAGAGGGAGTAGAGGGAGTAAGAGAGAGAGAGAGAAAGGTAGAGGGAGTCAGAGAGGGAGAGAGAGAGAAAGGTAGAGGGAGTCAGAGAGGGAGAGAGAGAGAAAGGTAGAGGGAGTAAGAGAGTGAGAGAGAAAGGTGGAGGGAGTCAGAGAGGGAGAGAGAGAAAGATAGAGGGAGTCAGAGGGAGAGAGAGAGAGAGAGAAAGATAGAGGGAGTAAGAGAGAGAGAGAGAGATAGAGAGAGAGAGAGAGAGAGAGAGAGAGAGAGAGAGAGAGATAGAGAGAGAGAGAGAGAGAGAGAGAGAGAGAGAGAGAGAGAGCGAGAGAGAGAGAGAGAGAGAGAGAGAGAGAGAGAGAAAGATAAAGGAAGTCAAAGAGAGAGAGAGAGAGAAAAACAAACATAGAGGGAGTGAATGAGTGAGTGTGTGTGTGTGAGAGAGAGAGAGAGAGAAAGAAAGATAAAGGGAGTCAAAGAGAGAGAGAGAAAAACAAACATAGAGGGAGTGTGTGTGTGTGTGTGTGTGTGTGTGTGTGAGAGAGAGAGAGAGAGAGAGAGAGAGAGAGAGAGAGAGCCATCAGGTGGCAATGTCCAAGCATCGGCGTTGACTAGGACTTCAGGAATGCTGCACTTTAGCACCTGAGCCACTGGGGTCCTTGAGACAACCTTCTAACATTATATTCTATTTTAAGGAGCTGTTTCCTTCACTTCAAGAGAAACCCCTAGGAGGATATTCCTTAATGCGATCTCCATTAATAAGGCATCTCCATCTAAATGTATGATTGCTTCGTTCATCCTGTCTTCTTTGGAGACATTGTTAACCTTGAAATACAGTTCAGTCCAAGACAGCTATGAATTGGTATTTTCTCTATCGAAATTGTGAATAAAAAACTTCATCTGACCTCTATAGCAATCATTGGGGGAGAAGCACAAGTAGACTTTTGCTGGCCCTGCCAGGGAAGGAGACGGGGCCTGAGTGTTGTCTAGTTGTTGGTGAGAAGACTCCCTCTTCTCCATCATAGACATCCTATCTTCTATCTATTCAAACCACTGTTGGAGGCAGTCTAGCATGTTAGTGACATTATTCATTGCCTTCTTTTGTTCTCGGTCAGTTCCATGACTAAGTCATTCTTGACGGACTTCACCTCTGGTTCCAAGAGGTCAACTCTCTCTATAGGCCTCAGAGGCATGGTGGCTGGAACCTAGGACATGCGGCTTTGATGCTAGTGATACAAACTAGAAAAAAGTGGTGAGAAGAAGACAAGAATATGAAATACAATAACCAGAGTTTAGGAGATACAAACCAAGAGTAGGTTATGCCGGAACCCTAATCTCTCTTGACAGGAAGTAGGCCACAACCATTCCATTCCTCAGACTACTCCTTTCCCAAAAGGTATTCCCCTCCCCTTTCTTCCCAGTACTTAACCTATTCACCTTCTAAGTGTTTGAACTGGGCCTACACTCACCTTCTGCACTTGTTGGGTGTGCTTTGCTTACCAAGCTGTTGATTTGGGCCTGGCTCATTTGGTAGGTTGATCTCCTCTTTTGAGGGAAGGTGTTGAGGGTTGTAGTATAATCATAAGAAGAATAATTCAATAATAAAATGATGATTGAAGGAAGGGAGAGGGATTATCCACTAGGGAAGGGTGAGACTATTATAATGATCCACATCCAAAATTTAATTCAAACAGTGTTGATGCCTACACCAATAGATTCAACCATGTTAGACCTCAACTCCATCTATGCAAGGTTGTTTCCCTAGAACATCACCTGTATCATTAGGTTTAAGAAGGATGCTCAAATTGATGACCTAGTCATGGATGACCTCCAACATATAGGGTGATGGTGATGTCATAGAATTAGAATGACATGTTACAGAAGAGGAGAAAAAGATGAACTACGCTCAGACATAATCCTCTCAACTAATTCTACTATTATGAAAAGGTCTTCATAACCAACTTTTATGAGAGAGCAACTAACAAAAAAAGGAAAAAGAGTTTCTCACTCCCTCAAAATTCAAGTTGCCCTTAATAAGTCTTCATTATCATGAGTTAATAATTAATTAATGATATATTTTAACCCTTAGCTCATGTTAAATAAAATTATATTTGTATTAAATTAAAAAAAATAGTTGATATATATTTTTTGACTAATTGTGTAAATTTAGATAATTTTTATAAAGATGATTTCAAGATAAAATAAAAATAAAAATAAAAATAAAAATGAGAGACCCACTAACTAATTAGGCCTACACATGGATCAAAAGCACAATCGAGGGGCTTGACTAGCCAAGGGACCCACATAGAGCACATGTGGGTCATTCTCCTTCCATGTCTTGAGGGTTAGGCAGCCATGGGACAAGAAGTAGTTCTACTCTCATGTATATGTTAAGGTAGAACACCTAACTTAGTCCTCGCCCAAGCGGTCTTAGCCATTTTGGTTATGGGAAAAAGAACTTGATGGTAAATATTTATATCTCAAACAATAGGAAACAACTGATGTGGGACTAAATTGATGTCTTATATATTTTTATATCTAAAATATCTTTGATTTATAAGAAGCACCTCTATGACGTCATTAGATAGGGCTATAAGTGTAATTAATACTTTCTTAAATAGACAAATGACCAACAAGAGTTTGAATCCCACTAAACTCTTAACTCATATTTTTATTTGATTAAATTATACTTTTTATAGAGCCCCTTGGTGAATGACTAAGCCATTAGAATCACTCAATCATCAATAAACATAGTATCAACATAATTTATATAGCATTATTACCAACTTTGGATGATTACGGATAAAAAGATTGTGGATCCATCAACAAAATTATCTCCGATTGATTGACAAATGAGTCGTTATTAGAAAGAGAAAATTCTACTAAGACATAAGTTATCATATCTTCAAAGCATACATACTAAATGTGATGAAGAGCTTTATCTTATTACCTCACCTAAGGATGAAACTTTCTAGGACATGTCCCACCTTTATTTGACTTATTTCCACTAGTGATAGTTGTCATATATCATTTATCAACTTATTTCATTAATTTAAAACTTTACAAGAAGATTTAGATATTATCCCCTTTGAGGTCATAACAATACACAATAATCCTAAAATATAAAATTCTGACAATTATGACCTTTCTTGTTTTAAAACTTATTTTTTAGTTAAACTAGTAATATTTTGTATGATTTTAAGTTTCTAAAGTATTCTTTACTACATTTAAATTCTTCTTACTTTTAGATATCTTAAATTCATCAATCAAGTCCTCTATAATCACTTATGTAAGAATTACCAGGCAAAACTCTATTTCCACCCAAATTGTATTTGTCAAGGCACTAATCTCATCTTAACGTACACACTCAATTTTTTTTTGTGAATTTTAAAATATATCTTATCTTCATCAATTAATCTAAAAATCATAAAAAAATATTTTTTGAGAGAAATTTAAAATTTTAGTCGATATATTTTTATTTCCTTATGATTGACCTGAAATATTATTTTTGAAGCTTTTATCAAATTATAAATAATATATTTATGTTAAAAAAAATAAAATTTAAAAATTAAGATTTCTAGTTTTATAAATTTAATATTCACATGATTTTTTATACAATGATTAGGTCATGTTAGTCCTTCTAGGACAATAGTCCAAAGTTTATGTTTCATTAGTAGTTCATTAGTAATAAAGGATCTTGTTAGAGTGCAAGCAAGTCCACTAGCATCAAGATTTTTGGTGAGCTTTGGGGACCAAATCTAGTTGGGGCAACTTTAATTCACTTTTTTGACTCATTTTGATTGGAATGTCCTTGTCCTATGTCACATGGATATTTGATTTTGGAGTCAACTCATCATCTTTTTTTACATTTTTTGTCAAGCCAAGGGAAGCTCAAGGGTACATGTTGAATTTAATTTTACTACATTTTTATGCTTGCCATATGCCTCATGTCAAATACGGATGAACATTTATTCTAGAGTGAGACTAGATGATATGTACATAAATTAGGGAAATAGGCCACATGTTCATTAATCAACAAAACTCCCCCCTCCTAGACATGGTATGTGCCCATTCCTCTCATGCAGAGAGAGGAGCCAACCTCTTTCAGGAGATTTGGCAGCCGGAAGAAGGCCCATGAATGTGTAGAACACACAAGGTGAATATGCACACGTATGACATGGAAAACAAAAAAAATATTCTCCCTCCCTCTCTAGTGAATGCTTGTTATGTTGACTTTTGCTTGTGACTGAACTAGTGGATGTTCCATCAAGGAGCCCTTCTCCATGCTCTTCAAATTGTACCATTAAGTCTTGGCACCATTCAAGAAGCACTATACATCCAAAGTGTTGAAACCACTATGGTCAAAGCTTACTAGAGAAAACACCATTGACAATGAGAGAGTCATAGGTTTGTGAGAGAGAAGAGAGAGAAAGAAAGGGACGAAATTAAAATTAGAGTTGAAATAAATTCAAGTAAATACATTTATATTGACCCAATATGAGAGGATTATATATGGTTTTGACGAGTGAAACTGATTAGCTGAATATGATACACTCATGAATAGTAGTCTAACTATTAAGGTAATAAAGACATATATACACATAAAGTTATAGTTATGGTATAATTATAATATTTCATTTCTCGACATTCCCCCTCAAGTTGGTAAGTGTATATCACTTAATCCCAACTTAGTCATGTATCTTTGAAATATCAATCTGCTTAATCCTTTGGTGAGAATATTTGTGAGTTGTTTATGAGTGGAGACATAAGATGTGGAAATGTCACCACAATCTAATTTTTCTTTGATGAAGTGTCAACCAATCTTAATATGCTTGATTTGATCATCTTGCACTAAATTGTGAGCAATGTAAATAGTTAATTTTTTGTCCAAATAGAGCTTGATCGGGCCTTGTCTATCAATCCTAAGATCATCTAAAATGCCTTTCACTAATAATACTTTACATATGTCTTGTGGCATAACTCTAAATTTAGATTGCATGCTTGATTTTTAATAAGAATTTATTATCATGAGTTAATAATTATTTAATAATATATTTTAAGTCTTAATTCATGATAAATAAACTTACATTTAGTTGATTAATATTTTTTTATTATTAATTATATAATTTTATGTATATATATAATTTAATAATTATATTTTTGAGATAAATGACGAAAAAAGATAAAAAAAGGAGACCCACTAACCAGTTGGGACCCAACAACTAACTTAAAGGGCACCACATGTGGGTCAAAGGCATGAGCTAAAGAAGCCACAACCCATGGGGCCTCAAATAGCTAAGTATCAGTCAAAGCACATGTGCATCATTCTCCTTTCATGTCATCAAAGGTCAATCAAGCATGGGGCAAAGAGTTGTCGTACATACTTGTATTTGTGAGAAAGAGTACATTAAAGGCATGAAGAGGTAAAGACATGTGTCTCAAACATTGAGAGACAATTGATGTGGGACTAAACTCATGTTAGTAGTCACAAGTTTCACATTTTTGTCTAAAATGCCCCTATCTTATGAGAAGAAAATGTCTCTATAAACTTGGTGTGACTTAATTATTGTATAATAAATCATATAAATTTATAATTTATAAAACTAAAAAAATATTTTTTTTATTTTTAGAAGGATTTTAGTACAAACAAGTCAATTATAATTCTATACAATGTTCCAAAACTAATGAAATATTTTTAAGTTGATCATATGTAAGATAGTATTGAGTAAAATTTGATATTAATAGGAGTACTTATTCATTTACGTCATAACTTCCAAACTTCCTTAAGGACGTTGATGATGTATTTATGTTGAATATGAAGATCCTTTGTTTTGAGTGCAACTCAATGCCTAAGAAACATTTTCTTTTTTCTAACATCTTAATATAAAATTATTTTAATAAATACTTAAGTGTTCCATTTCTTTCTCATCATTTCTTGTCACTATTCTGGAGACTTCTTCAGTCTGCATAGAACATACTTGTTAGAGTTAATATTATATCAGTCGAGAACATTCATATAGAGCTCACCATCAAGTTCTTCATGAAGAAGGGTTTTTTTCATATCAAATTATTGTATGTCCCAATCATAATTAACTACTAAAGATAGTAGAATTATAGTTGTATTTATATTTACAACTAGGCCAAAAGACTAAATAATTCATACTATACATTTGGGCATATCCTTTGGGAACTAATCTAGTATTATATCTCTCTATGGTTCCATCAACCTTATATTTTATAGTATACACTCACATTTGGTTCTTTTCTAATGCTTTACGTCTCCTCATTCATTTCCTTCTTCCATTCTCTATGAGACAATGGCATTTGATGGAATAGTTATTGAATTGTGAGATGTGAGAAATGTTCTATAAGATGGAGATAGCCACCTAAATGGCATGAATTGAAAAATAGGATACTTATGATTTCAAAAATATTTTCTCTTTAATTTTCTGAAGGTTATACGTAGATCTTCTCAGTTTTCCTCCAATCACAAAGGTTCACCAATTTCCTTTTGGATATTCTCATGAGTTAGTGTAGGTATAGTCACCTCCAACATTGAAAGATGTGAAGTTTCATCAAGAAATGGTATTAATAACAATAAGTTTCTAGCTCCTTGGTCCCCACCATCATCTTACGATATATTCTCACCTCAAGAGAAACACATTTAATATTTAAAAACGAATCATGCTCAACAAAAGTTAGCTCAACTGAAATAAAAAAATTAATTGATGAAGGATGATAACATTTAATTTTATTCTTAGTGTTTGAATATTGAACAAAATACATTTCAATGCTCTAGGGTCAAACTTTCCTTTAACTTGACCTTGATTGTGGGATTTTTGCCGCCACACATCTGAAGATCTTAAGAATTAAATCCATCTTTTAGTTTAACATGTGGGTAATAAAATATGTCTCCAACATTGTTGCTCAATCTAAAGTCAGCATAGTGGCAAGGTGAACTCGACTTGACCTCTTGATTGAGGTTACCCATGACATTTGTGGCATCTTTCACAGGCATGTCCTGCCCACTTATAGTAGGTTCTCTATAGTTTGTGGTTCTACCACTTATTGAATGACTTCTTCTAGATCTTAATTTTTTTATCTTCTTATAATTTGTGTGAATTTGATCATACTGAAGAATCAGATCATTCAAAAATCTGTAAATCGGATTTCCCCCATTCATTGAAAGAGCCATCCAAAGAATGAACCTTAAAAGGGTGAAAGGAGAATGAGTTCAATTGGGGTGCTTTGATACCGTGTTGAAACCAATTTGATCCAAGCTTGCTGGAAAAGACATTGCTGGAGAGGAGAGGGCCATTGACTCGTGAGAGAGGAGAGAGATAAATAAAGGAGAAAAACTAAAATTAGGCTGAAAGAGGTTTGGGTACAAACAACCTAACACGTGAGGAATAGATCTAATTTTGGCATGTGGAACCAATTAGCCCATCCAATACACTATTCAACAATAGGCTAACGATCAAAGTAAATAAAGATATATATACACATCATACTACAATTATGGTGTAACTGTAATATTTCATTCCTTAACACAAAGCTTAGTTCATGACCAGGTCCTCGCCAAAAAGAAGACCCAATTGGAGGAGAAATTCCCTAATGTCTGGTAAAACTCAAGCTCTTAGATATCAATTCCCCATATGGGTTCTTGATCCATTCAATTGAGAAAGTCAGACCAGTCAGATCAAACGTCAATATGTCAAGTTCAAAGGAAAGAATTCCGCTCATGGGCCTTCCAAGAAAAGAGCATAAGATTTAAAGAAGGCCAAATCAAGCCTAAGGGAACCTAGAATAACATGACTTCACTCGTAATTAGCCAACGTCCTTGAGTTCCAAGGAGATTCATAAGACATCTATGTTACTCGATTGGGAACTGATGCGCCGGTGTGCTATGCTAGTTCACAATACATCTATGTTACTCTATTGGGAACTGATTGGTTCCCAAAAGGACGGTGAGAGACAAACAAGGACAGACGATTCAAAAGAGGCCTGACTTGAACCTATAACGACTTGTTTCTATGTTCTCCGAGAAAAAGTGCAGAGATAAATCGACTTCGAACCTTAACAAAAACACGAATAATCCATTATATAATTCAGGAGTGCCTTCTTTGTGTAGGCATCAACAGAAAGCCCGCTGCTACCTAAGGATATCACCATCCCAGACAACTCGCTTGTCCCTGTCATGACCTTCATCAACGCACTTCTGCCCTCCTGAAACCTGGAATACAATGCTTCAGCCCCGAACGCTAGCAGTAACGCCAAAGCGAGGGCTGTAAGCTGGTAGGGGAGTGGAGGCGCCCTCAGAAGCGGGAGGAACTCGGGGGAGCCATCCAGCGGACTGCCGAATCGTACACGGCTAGGGTTGCATCCACGGCAGTGAGCGTAAACACCGGGGGAATCAAGGAGAGGATAACGCGGGAAGATAGACTCAAAAGGAGGTGACGTAGATGACGGAGGAAGCTGCGACGCTCCACCCAGTGGTCGTGGGTATAGAGGGAACGGGGCTTCTGCATCCCTCTCTCCTTCATGTCTTCTGCCCGGTCGGGGATCCTGCGGAGATAAGGAAGCAGTGGCCAGGGGCAGGTGGCTTGCCGCATATTATCCGACGAGCACGAGGCTTGGGGAAGGAAGACGAACGAGAGCGCGGCAGCAACCTGGATGAAAACTTGGAAGTGAGAGTTGAGAACGACGAAGAGAGATGCGCCGGTGTGCTGGTGCGATGAGTTGCAGGTTTTGGCATTTGCCGGAAGAAACGGAGACGGCGATGGCTCTATTCGAACTACCGCCGAGCATGGATGGGGTGGGTGGGAGGAGCAGAGCGCCGGGGAAGAGCAAGGCGGAGAAGATACAGGGTGAGTGCAGGGACCCGTTGGGAGAGGAAGAGAGTGAGCGGAGTAAGATAGCAGTCACCCGTGAGTAAAAATTCTATACGTTTTAATCGGTAGGTGTGCAGCTCTGGGAGTAGAATATAACCCGCGGAGGATGTTACACACTCTTCCATTATTAAAATAACATTTATTTTAGGCTTCTAAACTCTATAATCACGAATGACCTGATCTTATCTTAGTAAGCTTTAGAAAAAAAACCCCATGCCATCACCACCAACTAAACCAAAGAGATGTAGAAAAACAAAAACCTTTCGTTGTGGAAGTTTTTTTCTTTATCGCTAATGAGTTTACTGTGATTCTCAGAATCGCCGTTGATGAATTAAAGATTTATAATTGAAATTCCATACACATTCTTTATCGAAGTGCCCTTTCTATATTTAGAAGTCAGAATTTCCCCAAAATAGCCCTGAGCGTTGACCTCTGTAGTGCGCCATTCACAAGACCTTGCCCCGTTGACCTCGCCCATCCAGCCGAGAAATCAGCCCATAAATCTGGACCAGAATTTCGGAAATAGACCGCATGCTCACGAGAGATCAGCCCATAAATGTGTACAACAGATGGGGAAATATGAACACCTATTCCACGGAAAAAAAGGACAATTAGCCTCCCTCCATCTTCTGGTGAATGCTTTTTCTGTTGACTTACGCTTGTGGCTGAACAGGTGGGCGTTCTCATCGAGGAGCCCTTCTCCACGCTCGCCCTCGACTGACTAGGCCAGCAGCTCCTCGGCACCATTCGAGTAGTACGCGACCAGGTCCACGCCAGGAGGAAGACTCACTTGGAGGAGACCTCCCCTAATGCTCGGTCATGCTCAAGCTCTTAGAGATCGATCTCCCCGAGAGGTTCTTGATAGATGGGAGGCCTGAATTCCAAAGGCTATTCCGACTACTATTACGATACAGAGAAGGATTAGTTGAGAGGCACAGAGGACAAGAAGCAAGTGCGTTCCTTTTACAATCTGTAAATATTCTTGTTAGGGAATTTATAATCTCGCTCGGCATATCTGAAGAAGACGGGGAAGGGAGGTAGGTGGCGGAATGTGCGGCCATCATCATGTGTGGCGCGCCACCGTAGCCCCTGCGCTGGCCTACTCCGTGGCGGCGGCGAGGAAGGCGTAGAGGCGACCCCTGGCTCCCTCAGCGTCGACGCCGGCGATGTCAGCGGCTTCGAGGACGGAGTGGTAGTAGAAGATGTCCTCCGGGACGACGGCCCCGGCGGTGAGGTCTCGGATGCACTGCTCTATGGCCTGCCTGCAGCAGCAGATCAGCCTCCAGCGCAGCGGCTCCGGGAAGTCCGCGAAGCGGTCTTCGAAGGGCGGGAGTTGCCCCCTCTGAGGGAAGGCCCCCCACCATGTCCCGCCGGCCTGTGCCAGCGGAGCACCCCAAAGACCCCCTCTTTGATACGCTGCCGGGACGGACTGCCACCCCCAGAAATCGTAGCGGGCGGCGCCGCTGGTCGTGATGGGAGGAACCCGGCCCTGGTACGATTGCATCAGACGGTACAAGGTTCCCGCCATCTTCCTACTCTCTCTCTCGCTCTCGCTCTCGCTCGCTCGCTCGCTTTAAGAGCTCCAGAGTTTTGGATTTGCGACCCATGGAGAGGACGAGGGAGGGAGTTAAATAGGAGCGTGGCGGAAAGGTTTCCAGGCCTAACCGTCCTGCGATAATCTGGGGATCGTCCCGGCCGGCGGAATATATCCGAATATCTTGCGTGGCGCGGGAGAAACGCATACCGTTAGATCGGTGTCTATCGTCACGTGGACCAGCCACTAAACTCCTGCCCTCCGTGGCCCAATGAGAATATTTGTTTTAATCTTTCACCCCTAATCGAAATTGTTATTATTTTTCTCTTGCGGACCCTGTAAAATCTCCAGTAATATTCAAAGCCTCTATATCTATCAGAATTAAAAAATCTCCTCGGTGAAAACTTGAGGCCGATCCTGATATCTCCTTCGTAGGCCAAGCTCACCTAATTTACCCTCTAGTAAATGGTTAAATGAGCTTGACTAACCCTCAACCTCAAGAGGCATCTATGTCCTTAGAGGTTAGCACTAACCAAGAGAGGAAGACTAGCTGAACTCAAGAGGCTAAGATCAGCCCTGACATTCAACTCCAACATCTCCTCAGCTTGCTCTGGTGAGAAATCTCACTCAATAGTATTACAAGTTACTTCTAATGGTTTTCTTACATATTGGTTACTAGGTATGGGTGCCACCAACCATTATGACCAATTCTTGAAACTCTTCGTTATGATATAACCCACGTCAATGTATTAGATACATCATTTATCATTTATCATTTTTTAAAGGGACTGAATTATGTGTATGATCAAGCTAGGGCTCAAATTTTCAGAAGAGAGAAAGTTCTAAATTTAATTTAAGTTATTGCTATCATTAGAAATGAGGAGAGCCATAAAAACCTTGTGGTAGAACTAGAAGATACAAAAAAATCAACATTTATGGTTCAACCCAAATGACATAAGTACATGTGATCTGACCTAAATATGATGGAGGACAAAGTGCAAAAGTAATTATCAAGATAATTTATGATGTACTTATTGCAAGCGAACAATGCATACTAGGGACCACTACTACAAGCTCCATGAGAGACCTCACATTGGTAGTCAAATCCACTTGATCACCTCCCCAATGAAAGGTCAAGCTCACCTAATTTACCCTCAAGTAGGGGTTAGATGAGCTTGGCCAACCCTCAACCTCAAGAGGCAGCTATGTGTTTGGAGGTTAGCATTAAACAAGAGATGAAGACTAGTTCAACTTGAGAGGCTAAGATCAGCCTTGGCATTCAACTCCAACATCTCCTCAACTTGCTTTGGTGAGAAATCTCACTCAATAGTATTACATGTTACATCTAATGGTTTTCTTACATGTTGGTTATTAGATTTGGGTGCCACCAACCATCATGACCCATTCTTGAAACTCTTCTTTATGATATAACCTACGTCTACATAATAGAAAAGTGGCCACAACTGATGGATTATTAATTAATATTTTAGAAATTAGAGAAGTGAAATTTGATCCTATTGACATTCTTCAATATGTTGTACATGTTATTAAGCTCTCAACTAACCTTATATTTATTACAAGGTTAGTTAGAGATATGCCTTGTAAAGTGATAATTAATTTTAATGTTTGTGATGTCTATGATAAATCGTATGAACTCCCAGCGATTCATGGGTTTTGATGAAGGCAGATGATAAACTGTATGAACTCCCTACCTGTTCTCACAGGCAGAGGTGCAGCCGACAACACCGATGATGACGGAGAGAAGAGAAGAGATGGCAGCAGCCAGTGAAGGGAAACCCCAGGCGCGATCTACAGAGCTCTGCTCAGATTTGCCTTTTGGCGGCTCTCGTGGCCGAGGATGCAGCAGCTCTTCCGGGGATGTGGGGATTCAAAAGAAGATGGTGCGATAAGAGGCCATTAATAAAGCCAGAAAGAAGACAACTGGACGGCATCGTTATCGGGCATAATGGGTCGGGCGGGGCCCATTATGGCCATGCTGCAGGATTACGCTCGAAGAGAAATAAACGGCCTCACGTTGTTATAATACCACTGGGACATTTTAATTATGATATTTATGGAGGCTTTAAATATTATTTGAGATTTACAGGGACCGCAAGCGAAAAATTGATGTCAATTTCGATTAGGGGGAGAGAGAAAGAGGGGTAAGAATTGAGATTAAAACAAGAATTCTTATTGGGCCATGGAGGGCAGGAGTTTAGTGGGCCGGCTCACGTAGAAAGAAAGGTGGGCCGTATGACGGAGCAGCAGCGATCTGACGGCATCCGTCTCTCCCGAGCGAACCAACATATTCGGATATATTCCGCCGGCCGAAACGGAGGTCCCTTCCCGATTATCGAACGACGGTTAGTCCTGGAGTCCGTCCCGCCACAACTCCTAATTAAATCCCCTCCCTCGTCCCCTCCATGGCCGGGGCCTTCGACCGTCTGACGTAGTCCGCCAGAGTGTCTCTCAACGGTTAGTCCTGGAGCCCTTCCCGCCACGCTCCTATTTAAAATAAAGAGCTCTGGAGCTCTAGAGAGAGAGAGAGAGAGAGGAAGATGGCGGGGGTTCGACCGTCTGAGGCAGTCCCCCAGATTATCGCACAGCCGTTAGTCCTGGAGCCCTTCCCGCCACGCTCCTATTTAAAATCAAGAGCTCTGAAACTCTAGAGAGAGAGAGAGAGAGAGGAAGATGGCGGGGGTTCGACCGTCTGAAGCAGTCCCCCAGATTATCGCACAGCCGTTAGTCCTGGAGCCCTTCCCGCCACGCTCCTATTTAAAATCAAGAGCTCTGGAGCTCTAGAGAGAGAGAGAGAGGAAGATGGCGGGGGTTCGACCGTCTGAAGCAGTCCCCCAGATTATCGCACAGCCGTTAGTCCTGGAGCCCTTCCCGCCACGCTCCTATTTAAAATCAAGAGCTCTGAAACTCTAGAGAGAGAGAGAGAGAGAGAGAGAGAGGAAGATGGCGGGGGTTCGACCGTCTGAAGCAGTCCCCCAGATTATCGCACAGCCGTTAGTCCTGGAGCCCTTCCCGCCACGCTCCTATTTAAATCAAGAGCTCTGGAGCTCTAGAGAGAGAGAGAGAGAGGAAGATGGCGGGGGTTCGACCGTCTGAAGCAGTCCCCCAGATTATCGCACAGCCGTTAGTCCTGGAGCCCTTCCCGCCAGTCCTGGAGCCCTTCCCGCCCTCGTCCTATTTAAAATCAAGAGTTTCCTAAAACCTGAGAGAGAGAGAGAGAGAGAGAGAGGAAGATATAGTCTGACCGTCTGTGCCAGTCCCCCGATTATCGCACAGCCGTTAGTCCCGAGCCTCCTACATTCCCATTTAAATCAGAGAATGAAGTTCTTATAGAGAGAGAGATATACATTTCAAGTGGTTTCATCTAGCGCAGTCCCCTGTGACCATCGCACAACCGTTAGTCCTGGAGCCCTTCCCGCCACGCTCCTATTTAAAATCAAGAGCTCTGAAACTCTAGAGAGAGAGAGAGAGAGAGGAAGATGGCGGGGGTTCGACCGTCTGAAGCAGTCCCCCAGATTATCGCACAGCCGTTAGTCCTGGAGCCCTTCCCGCCACGCTCCTATTTAAAATCAAGAGCTCTGGAGCTCTAGAGAGAGAGAGAGAGGAAGATGGCGGGGGTTCGACCGTCTGAAGCAGTCCCCCAGACTATCGCACAGCCGTTAGTCCTGGAGCCCTTCCCGCCACGCTCCTATTTAAAATCAAGAGCTCTGGAGCTCTAGAGAGAGAGAGAGAGAGAGGAAGATGGCGGGGGTTCGACCGTCTGAAGCAGTCCCCCAGATTATCGCACAGCCGTTAGTCCTGGAGCCCTTCCCGCCACGCTCCTATTTAAATCAAGAGCTCTGGAGCTCTAGAGAGAGAGAGAGAGAGGAAGATGGCGGGGGGTCGACCGTCTGAAGCAGTCCCCCAGATTATCGCACAGCCGTTAGTCCTGGAGCCCTTCCCGCCACGCTCCTATTTAAAATCAAGAGCTCTGAAACTCTAGAGAGAGAGAGAGAGAGAGAGAGAGAGGAAGATGGCGGGGGTTCGACCGTCTGAAGCAGTCCCCCAGACTATCGCACAACCGTTAGTCCTGGAGCCCTTCCCGCCACGCTCCTATTTAAAATCAAGAGCTCTGAAACTCTAGAGAGAGAGAGAGAGAGAGGAAGATGGCGGGGGTTCGACCGTCTGAAGCAGTCCCCCAGATTATCGCACAACCGTTAGTCCTGGAGCCCTTCCCGCCACGCTCCTATTTAAAATCAAGAGCTCTGGAGATCTAGAGAGAGAGAGAGAGGAAGATGGCGGGGGTTCGACCGTCTGAAGCAGTCCCCCAGACTATCGCACAGCCGTTAGTCCTGGAGCCCTTCCCGCCACGCTCCTATTTAAAATCAAGAGCTCTGAAACTCTAGAGAGAGAGAGAGAGAGAGGAAGATGGCGGGGGTTCGACCGTCTGAAGCAGTCCCCCAGATTATCGCACAGCCGTTAGTCCTGGAGCCCTTCCCGCCACGCTCCTATTTAAAATCAAGAGCTCTGGAGCTCTAGAGAGAGAGAGAGAGGAAGATGGCGGGGGTTCGACCGTCTGAAGCAGTCCCCCAGACTATCGCACAGCCGTTAGTCCTGGAGCCCTTCCCGCCACGCTCCTATTTAAAATCAAGAGCTCTGAAACTCTAGAGAGAGAGAGAGAGAGAGAGAGAGAGGAAGATGGCGGGGGTTCGACCGTCTGAAGCAGTCCCCCAGATTATCGCACAGCCGTTAGTCCTGGAGCCCTTCCCGCCACGCTCCTATTTAAAATCAAGAGCTCTGAAACTCTAGAGAGAGAGAGAGAGAGAGGAAGATGGCGGGGGTTCGACCGTCTGAAGCAGTCCCCCAGACTATCGCACAACCGTTAGTCCTGGAGCCCTTCCCGCCACGCTCCTATTTAAAATCAAGAGCTCTGAAACTCTAGAGAGAGAGAGAGAGAGAGAGAGAGAGGAAGATGGCGGGGGTTCGACCGTCTGAAGCAGTCCCCCAGATTATCGCACAGCCGTTAGTCCTGGAGCCCTTCCCGCCCTCGTCCTCTCCCACACGCTCCTATTTAACTCCCTCCCTCCTCCCCTCCGTCGCTTACAGATCCAGAACTCTGGAACTCTGGAGCTCTAGAGAGAGAGAGAGAGGAGGAAGATGGCAGGGACCTTCGACCGTCTGACGCAGTCACCGACCTTCCGAGCGTACCAGGGCCGGCTTCCTACCATCAAGACCGGCGCCGCCGCCGGCTACGATCTGTCGGGGGGACAGTCCGTGCCGGCGGAGTATCTAGGAGGGGGCCATTGCGGGGCTCCGCTGGAGCAGGCCGGCGAAACCTGGTGTGAGGCCCTCCCTGAGCGCGGGCTCCTCCCGCCTTTCGAGGACCGCTTCGCCGACTTCCCAGAACCGCTGCGCTGGAGGCTGATCGACTGCTGCAGGGCGGCCGTGGAGCAGTGCCTCCGCGACGTCACCGCCGAGATCCGTGGCCTCACTCTCGGCGCCGCCGTCCCGGAGGACATCTTTCTTTACGACTCCATCCTCGCCGCCGCCCACATCACCGGTGTCGACGCCGAGGAAACCAGGTGGCGCCTCTACGCCTACCTTACCGCCGCCGAGGAGCAGGCCACCGCGGCAGCTGCGGCGGCGCGCCGCGCATGAAGACCTTCGTGCATTCCTCCACTTCCCTCCCTTCCCCGTCTGCTGCAGCCATGGCGAGATGGAACCGGTAAATTCCCTACGGGGCCCACTTGCTTCTTCTTCACTCCGCCTCTCTACTAACACTTCTCTCCATCGTACTAAGCTCTCCGGGGAATCGATCTCCAGGTGCTTGAGTATGGCCGGCCATTAGGGGAGTTCTCCTCTAAGTGCGTCTTCCTCTTGGCGAGGACCTGGTCGTGAATTAAGATCTGCATCGCCGGCGCTCCCCACATGGTTCCGAGGACCTGCTCGCACAGTTCGTCGAGGGTGAGCATGGAGAAGGGCTCCTCGATCAGAACGCCCACCTGTTCACCTGTTCATTCACAGGCATAAGTCAATGGAACAAGTATTCAGCAGAAGAGGGAGGGAGGCTAATAGTTTTCTTTTCCATGGACTTGACTTTTTCATTTCCCCATCTGTTGTACACATTTATTGGCTGATATTTTGCACGCCGTCTATTTCACCAACTTCGGTCCATATTTCCATACTATGAGAACGCACTCAACAGGTCAACGCTCAGGGCTATTTTTGTAAAACTCGAACTTTAAATGCAGAAACGGCATTTCGATAAGAATGTGTAGGGAATTTCAATTATACATCTCTAGTTCATCAACGCAACTCTAAAAATCATTGAAAACTCATCAGCGACAAAGAAAAAAGTTTACTTCCTCAATGAATGGTTTTTGCTATAAAGACCCTGCAAAATTATCGAATGATTAAAGACCCCGTGATGATTGGGGTTATTTCTTATAAATCTTGACAAGATTAGAGGGATCAGGTCATTCGTGATTATAGAGTTTGGGAGCCGCAAGAAAATTGTGATTTTTAATAATAGAAGACTGGGTAACTTCCTCTGAGGGTTAAGTTATACTCCCAGAGCCCCACACCAACCGACCAACCAATCATCTCGCCCTCTCCCCTCCTCGCTCTCCTCCTCTCCCAACAGGCTTCCTCCACCCATCCTGTACCTTCTCCGCCTTGCTCTTCCCCGGCGCTCTGCTCCTTCCGCCTACCCATCCATGCTGGGCGGTAGTTCGAGATAGAGCCATCGCCGTCGCCGTTTCTTCCGGCAAATGCCAAAACCTGCAATCATTGCATACGTCTGAAACAATTGAGATGTCTTTTGTATCTACAATAATTTATTGAAGTGAGTTTATTGAAGTGGTCCTAAAAGGACGGGGAAAATTAGATCATTCTCTTGAATTAGGGCTATCACATATAGATCAATAATTTAAACTATGGAAGAAGAGGATGCGATCATAAAAATATGATTGGGAAGTACAATGACACCGGAAGTAAATGTTTTAAACCTATTTCTATCCACATAAGGATATTTGGGAGCAAATGACTCAATCATGCTCAAAAAGGGGGGATGAAACTGAAATATACAGAGTTATCATCCAAACCTCTACTGTGACGTTGAGTAGTAAAATAATCTGAGAATATATAAATGAGTTGAGAATCTATGCCAAGAGGTTGAAATGCTGGAAGGATGAAATATTTTAAAAAAATATGTAGAGAAATATATGATTTTTATCAATTTTTAAAAGGACTGAATTATGTGCATGATCAAGTTATGTCTCAAATTTTAGGAAAAATTAATTATCCATATAATTTATGATGCACTTATTGTAGGTGAACAATGCATACTAGGGACCACTACTACAAGTTTCATGGGAAACCTCAAGTTGGTAGTTAGACCCACCTGATCACCTCCCCAATGAAAAGTCAAGTTCACCTAATTTACCCTTGAGTAGAGGGTTAGATGAGCTCGACCAACCCTCAACCTCAAGAGGCATCTATGTCCTTGGAGGTTAGCACTAACCAAGAGATGAAGACTAGTTGAACTTGAGAGGCTAAGATCAGCTGTGGCATTCAACTCTAACATCTCCTTGTCTTGCTCTAGTGAGAAATCTCACTCAATAATATTACATGTTACACCTAATGGTTTTCTTACATATTGGTTACTAGATATGGTGCCACCAACCATTATGACCAATTCTTAGAACTCTTCGTTATGATATAACCCACATCAACATATTAGAAAATTAGCCACAGTCGATTGATTATTAATTACTATTATAGGAATTAGAGAAGTGACATTAGATCCTATTAACATTATTAAAAATGTCATACATGTTCTTAAGCTCTCGACTAAGCTTATATCTATTAGAAGGTTAGAGATATGTCTTGTAGAGTGATAATTAATTATAATGTTTGTGATGTCTATGATAAGGTAACATGTAAAAAGATTAGACATAGTGAAGATCAAGATAGACTCTATTATATTACATCATCTGACCATGATTATCTTGTAGAGCTAAATGATCATTTAGGATAGAAAACTTTTGTGTTAGCTAAGAATGATGGTTTTTGATTGTGTCATTGGCATTTGGGACAACTCTCCTTTAAAAAGGATAAAGTTTATATTTTCTAAATTTAATTTTGAATGCAAACATATAACAATTAAAGTGTGATGTGTGTAAGATTAAAAAATACTAGAAAACTACATATTTATTATAGGGAGAGAAGAACCTCTCCCTTTTCTTTAATTCACAATGATTTTTAGGGACCATCACCAATTACTCGCATATTAGGAGCTAGATGGTTCATCTTTTGTTAACAAGAGGAATAGAAAATCTTAAAATTAATATATTAAAGAAGAAGAGTACATGAGGTTATATAGAAGAAAGGAAGAAAGAGAGAAAGAAAGAAGTGAAAATAATAGATGAAGAATAAAGACATAGAGAGAATAAGTCTTAAATAGGCATGATGAGCACAATGAGCTTATTCTAACTCTCCTTCTTAAGCTAGAGCATACAAGTCAAATATGTATAACTTCATAAATGTCATGTCGTGAGATATCCCTATAAGACTCTTGGTGAAGATGTTCGCGAGATAATGAGACAAGATAACATGCAAAGTAGAGATAACACCTGACGTTACTTTATCTCAAATGTAATGACAATTAATCTCGATGTGCTTCATTCATTCATGAAATGTAGGATTCTCAACAATAAAGATGGTGACCTGATTATCACAATACATAAATATTAGCGTAAGAGATGAGATGCTAAAGTCTTTGAGGAGTGAACTAAACCACACCATATCTTGCACTATCTCAATCATGGCGACATACTTAGACAGCATTGAAGCAAGATGCCACCTTCTACTTCCTAAAGCACCACGTGACAAGATCACTACCCACATATGTACAATAACTAATAGTAGATTTATGATATCTCTTGTCACCAATATATCTAACATCCAAGTAGACTTTAATTTGAAGATGCCCATGTCTTTGATAGATAAGCCCTCTCCCAAGAACTCTTTTGATATATGTCAAAACTTATAAAGCTTTCTCTTAGTGAACTTGTCGATGTTCTTACATGAATTGACTAAAGATACTAATTATGTACATGATGTCGGGGCGAATGATGGTGAGGTAGATCAACTTCTCTAACAACCATTTGTATTAATTAACATCTTATAGTAGTGAAGATAATATGTCTTAAAAGTGCAGATGTGCCTTCATAAGTGACGACTTTGACTTGCACCCATGTAGCCCAGTCTCCTAAAGTATATCAAAAACATGCTTTTGTTGAAAGAAAGTAAACTTGTCATCCTGATAGGTGAACTCAATCTTAAGAAAGTATCGTAAAACCCTCAAATTTCATATACAAAAGTACGATTGTAGGTATGATTTGGTAGCTTAAATACCTGCTTCATCACTTCTAGTCATAAGAATGTCGTCCACATAAATAACTAAGATGATAATATCAACTTCAATAATTTTTATAAGTACTATGAGATATGTAAAATATGGTGTGAATTCAAATTACACTAGAAGATTATTGAACTTAGCAAACTAAGTACATGGACTTTGCTGAAGTTCCTAAATAGCACGTTGTGAAAGACACCTTTGATGACTCTCCTTGAGTAACATTTTCAAAAGGGTATTTCATAAACATTTACTCTTCAAGATCACTATAGAGAAAGACATTAGAAACATCTAATTGATGTAAAGATCATGTTTGATTCACTACTAGAGAGAGTATTATTCGAATAGAATTGAGTCAAACTAACAAGAGAGAATGTCTCGATGTAGTCAATGTCATAGACTTATGTGAATCTACGAGCAATCAAGCGAGCCTTATGATGTACAATACATTCATCTAAATTATATTTGAATGTGAAAACCCACTTGCACATGACAATGTTGACATTGTGTGGATGAGATAGAAGTGTCTAAGTTCTCTAAGATACCAAGGCATCTACCTCCAAATCCATGACTACCTTCTATTTAGGTACTTGTGCAGCCTCAACATATGATTGTGGAATTGATTTGAGGGCTATGAAAAAAATAAAGGTATGAAAGAAAAGAGAAAGGTGGTTAGAGGAAATAAAATAAAAAAATGAGTGTCTAGTGTATGCACATGTATATTTGTGTAGAGCAATATATAGATGAAGGTCATCCACCTGAAATAGAAGAGATAACCATATGAGGCTCATTTGTAGAGGGTGAAGACGAATTTAATCCTAGAGTAAAGGAGTCGAATGTCAATAAAGCTAAAGGTTTTAGAGGATGAGCTAATGAGAGAGAAACTAGATAAGTAAGAAGACTAAGAAAAGGATTTGTAATGATCACAACAGGAGAGAAACTAGGTAGTGAAGATGTAACAGATCAAGGAGGAGTCGAGGTTGAAGAAAAAAAAGGAGTATCTTCATAAAAAGTAACGTTAGCTGATGTCACATAGCGATGATATTAAAAAAATAGACCTAATAACCTTTTTATATCTGTAAGTAGTCAATAAAGGTTCATGTGAGAGATAAAGGGGTCAATTTAGAAAAAGAAGAAGAGTAGTATTAGACGAAAGTAATACATTTGAAGACACGAGGGGGTAAAAAAAAAGAAAAGAAAAGAATCGGATGAAAGACGATAAAGTAGAATGACCTCACCAAATGGAGCCGAAGGAAGCTAATTCTAGAGATATGTGACTATTAGGAGAGTGTTAGATCACAGATAATGAGGAACATTCATCTCAATGAGTAATGTGCGAACAATGTTAAGTAGTTGACAATGTTTTCATTCAACAATCCCATTTTAAATGCAGAAATGGCATTTCAATAAGAATGTGTAGGGAATTTTAATTATACATCTCTAGTTCATCAACGCAATTCTAAAAATCATTGAAAACTCATCAACGACGAAGAAAAAAGGTTACTTCCTTAATAAATGTTTTTTGTTATAAAGACCCTGCAAAATTATCAAATGATTAAAGACCCCGTGATGATTGGGGTTATTTCTTTAAATCTTGACAAGATTAGAGGGATCAAGTCATTCATGATTATAGAGTTGCCCTCACATACATCACATTTTAGTTGCCCTCTCATAAGTCATTATTTTTATCCACAAATGATTTCATAACAAAGAATTAAACGTGTACATGCATATTTATGTCTTGCTTTATGCCTATTAGGTCAAGCATGTATATTATATCCCATATCTACTAGATCAAGACATACATACTTAATAGATTTTGAGATAGAGTGTGATGTTCTCTCATGTTACTTAGTCATTGTATAATAAATCATGTAAATTTAAAATTTATAAAACTAAAAAATACTAATTTTTAGATATTTAAAAATATTTATAAACATAGATATCAATTATAATTCAATAAAAGTTCCAAAAATAATAGAAAATTTTCAAATCGATCACAAGGATGTAATATAATATTGGATAATATTTTAATTTTTTTCTCAAAAATATGATTTTTTCATAAATTTTAGACTAAAAAAATAAAATATATTTAAAATTTGCGAAAGAGGAAAACACAGGTGCGGACATCAAGATGACGTCAGCGTCTGACGAATGTTAATCTGGTGGAAATAGAGTTCCACCCAATGATTCTTACGTAAGTGATTATAGACAATTTAATTGGTCAAATCAAGATCTATAAAAGCTAGAAAAATCATAATTGAATGAAGAATAGTTTGAAAATTTTAAATCACATAAATTATCATTAAATGAAGTAAAAATAAGAAAGACAAGATTTTAGCCTCACAACTGTGGTCATTAGAATTCTGTATGTTTGGGAAGATCATCGAACGATGTTCATGATTTTAAAGGCTCTCTTTAGACATGGACAATCTAAATATTTATTAGATCTCTTTTTGAAGTCTAGAAAATGATGGTAGAAATTAAACTAATTAAAAAAGAGTAAAATAGAGTTCTGGTATTGCTGCAATGATGTGTCAATAATGTACTAAAATCCTAAGTATTCAGGAGGATTGTCATCTAGTGTCCACAATCTCGAAGACTCTCCTTAGATAAAAATGACGTGGACAATTTTTAAATCTTCTTGCAAAGTCTAAAGATCAATAAAATAGGTTGTTGAATCGTCTTTGGCGGCTGTCACTCGACAGAGTAGAAAATGATGACTTTGCAGCTCTTTGGCGGCTATTACTTGACGGAGCAAAGTTGGATGAAGGTGGGGCACATGTTAGTGCTTCATCCTCAAGTCCATGTAGTAAAAGGATGCTCTTCATTGCATCTGTTATGCTCTCAAGAGATGATAACTCATCTCCCAATGAATCGTCCTCTTCCTAACGATAGATTATTCATCGATCAATTAGAGATACTTTATTCAATAGATTTGTGATCTTTTTATCGTAAATTGATTAGCAATTTTAGTAACCATGCTCCACAAAACATGCTGACAAGATTTTTGTCAATGATTGAGAGATTATGACGACTTCATCTTTCATCGGTGATTTGTAAAAAAATCGTGATTTAATCAAATAAAAATGTGAGTTTTAGCTCTAGTAGGATTTGAACCTATGCCGGTCGCTCGACTATATGAGAGAGTGAAATAAGTAATCGAATGCCTTTATATAGTGGCATCATCATAGTATCTCATTGTTATAAAGAATGGATATTTTAAGTATTAAAATCTTCAAAAATATTCCTTTGAAGGTATAATTGTTGATTGAGTCCCACATCAATTATATGTCGAATGTTGAGACACATATATAGTAATGCAAGATTTAAGAATTAATGAGTCCCTTTCTCACGTGTGTACAACCACTCTTTGCCCATGGTCGACTAACCACCGGTGACGTGGAAAGGAAGTGACACACACATGCCCCCATTGGTCCATAGCCGCTCGAGCCCATGCTCACGACTCCACCCGACTATGCTTTTGACTTGCTTGTGAACCCAATTGACCAGCGGGTGCTCCCTTTTTTCTATCTTTTTATTTTCTTTTCTTTTTCTTCATTTATCTCATAAATAAGATTATAAAATTATATAAATTCACATAAAGTCACATAATTAACCAAAAAATCATATTAATCAAATAAAAATCACTTTTCATAATTTATCATAAATACAAGTCTATTTATCATGAGTTATGACTAAAATTATATTATTTATTAATTATTAACTCATGATAGTGAAGACTTATCATTCTCTCATGGGTTAGAATAATTATTGATAGATTAAATAAACTTGAGAATAGAATAAACATATTGGAAGTCATAAGGGAACCAAACACCTCTTTTAATAGATAAGTCTACTCCTTTTGAGCAACATAGGACTTGACACCTTCATAGAGACAATTACCATAAAAGGAATAGGTTTCATGATTATCCTCTCAATCCCAATGATTCCTATAAAAACATTAGGGTTGAAGTTCCCATAATTGAGGGTTGTCAAAATCCTAAGGTTTATTTAGAATGGGAGATGGCCATAGACGGTTATTTCAAGTGGTATGGGATGTTTGAGGCTAGGAACATGAGATTTGTTGATTTGAAGCTTATAGGATATGTCAAAATGTATTGACACAATATATATCACCTCCTAAAATATAGAGGTTAAGAGCCCATATAGACTTAGACCAAGATGAAGGCTTACCTAAGAGAGAAATATTACCATAGAGCCCATATAGTCATTGATTTAGTACAAGGCCCTCCTTAGTACAAGGTTAGACCAAGTGGCAACAAATAGTACAAGGCATATCAGCTAGTCATTGATTAGATAGTTTTCATAGGCCCTCCTTAGCACATGCCAACCCACATACATAATCTACCTAATTTCCATCATGATCTACGTACGATACTAGGCCCAATCTTTCTTGATATGAAAGCATTTGATATGGGTAAATGATAGATGGAATAATTCCAATTAAATATTACCATCATTAATTATTTAAAGTATCATGAATATAATAGCATGAAGTCCCAATACTCAACTCGCAGCCTCTATTTAGATGAGTCCAACCTTGACCAACATCTCTTGGATGATACATCTACATTAATTGATGAATTAGAGGAAGAAGGGTATATTAATGATCGAGAGGTAGCCCTGGTCTTCCTTGAGGGATTGAACCTATGAATGATGATGAGATGTATATTGACCCAGCCAACTATAGAAGAGAATCCTAGATGAATGGTTATGTATTCATATATTTATCAAAATTGGATGTATCATTTGTAAATGCATCATAAATAGAAGCAGTAGTATTAATGTCATGCTCAATGATGCCATTATTAGACTAGATTTGACTACAATCGACCACCCTAATCTATACAAGTTATCATGGGTGAATTATACCCACATTTTTGTTCAAAACAAAATACATGTCACCCTTAAGATTAATTCTTATGAGGATAACATTCAATGTAATGTATTTTCAAAAAGAAGATTGGAGTATTATTTTAGGGTGGTCATGATTATATGATTGAGATGTCACACAAATAGTTAGAATAAATGTACATTCTTTTTTATACAAGGAGAAGAAGATAATGTGGTATATTTATCTCAATATGCTAAATAACTACTAGAATCCTGTACCAGCATCTATTTTGAATATTGTTAGTACATTAACCATTTAGAAACAGTTGGAGATTAGATCCCCTATTTAACTCTTTTATATAAAGAAATCATAAATGAGACCTCACTTGAAGCACCATATGAACATTGTTATAAATACAACGACTCTTAGAAAAATAAAAGAACATCCTCTCCAATGACCTACTCTATGAGTTGCAACTCATGTGAGGCATTAGCATGCCATCGACCTAGTGCCCAATTCATTCTTACTTAATTTAGCTCACTACAAGCTTAGTCTAAAAAAATATGAAAACGTAAAATGATGGATTATGGAATTACTTGAAAATGATTTCATTTGTGAGAAACTTAACCCATGTCAATCTCTACACTTCTCACCTTAAAGAAGGTTGGGGCATGGTGATATGTTAATATGTTCACGATGTCTAATTTTTTTCCAAAGATAGACTTTAAGAGTGGTTCACATCAAATTAGGATCAGACTTAGGGATGAGTGGAAAACTACTTTTAAGACTAAGGATGTTGGATTTTAGCCCACACTGGGATCACGGAAGGGGGGGATAAATTGATCTATTCTTAAAACTCTTTTAGTAGAATCTATTTTGGTGACTCTATCTCCTCCTTGTCTTTATGATTCATCTAATCTCTCTAGTTTAATGCAAATAAGATTAAGAAATTTTATAGTGATTTTGCACATCACCTACATCTAAGAACAGTTTAGTTCTTCGATTCTATTGATTAAGATCATACGATCATACAAAATTGATTATAGGGTCAGCTCTCCTGAAATTTTACTTGGAAATTTTCTTCTATATTCACATCTCTAAAAGGTCAACAATTGTTACATAGATCTGAAACCGGCCCTGTACAGCCTGTTTTTTATGGATGGCACCGACGAAGGAGAGGTCAGGATCGGCCTCAAGTTCATCACCGAGGAGATTTTAATTCTGATAAATATAGAGGCTTTGAATATTATTGGAGACTTTACAGGGACCGCTAGAGAAAAAATTAATAACAATTTCAATTAGGGGTGAAAGATTAAAACAAATATTCTTATTGGACTACGGAGGTCAGGAGTTTAGTGGGCTGGTCCACGTGACGTGGACACCGATCTAACGGCATCCGTCTCTCCCCCGCCACGCAAGATATTCGGATATATTCCGCCGGCCGGAACGATCCCCAGATTATCTCAGGACGGTTCGCCCTGGAACTCTTCCCGCCACGCTACTATTTAACTGCCCTTCGTCCTCTCCATGGGTCGCAAATCCAAAACTCTGGAGCTCTAAAGCGAGCGAGAGAGAGAGAGAGAGTAAGAAGATGGCGGGGACCTTCAACCGTCTGATGCAATCGTACCAGGGCCGGGTTCCTCCCATCACGACCGGCGGCGCCGCCCGCTACGATCTCTCGGGGTGGGAGTACGTGCCGGCGGAGTATCAAGGAGGGGACATTTGGGGTCCTCAGCTGGAGCAGGCCGGCGGAACATGGTGGGGGGCCTTCTCTGAAAGGGGAAAACTCCCGCCCTTCGAGGACCGCTTTGCGGACTTCTCGGAGCCGCTGCGCTGGAGGCTGATCTGCTGCTGCAGGGCGGCCATGGAGCAGTGCCTTCGCGACGTCATCGCCGAGATCCGCGGCCTCACCGCCAGTGCTGCCGTCCCGGAGGACATATACCTCTACTACTCCGTCCTCAACGCCGCCCGGATCGCCGGCGTCGACGCCGAGGAAGCCAGGCGCCACCTCTACGCCTTCCTCGCCACCATCGAGTAGCAGGACATCGCAGCGGCTGCGGCGGCGCGCCGCGCATGACGACGGTCGCACATCCCGCCGCCTCCCTGACTTCCCCGTCTTCTTCAGCTATGGCGAACAAGATGCAGCCGGTAAATTCCCAACAAACAATGTTTACAGGTTGTAAAAGGAACGCACTTGCTTCTTCTCCACTCTGCCTCTCAACTAATCCTTCTCTGTATCGTACTGGTAGTCGGAATAGCCTCTGGATTTCAGGCCTCCCATGTATCAAGAACCTCCCTGAGGAATCGATCTCTAGGAGCCTGAGCATGGCCGGCCATTAGGGGAGTTCTTCTCCAAGTGGGTCTTCCTCTTGGCGAGGACCTGGTCGCGAACTACCCGAATGGTGCCGAGGACCTGCTCGCACAGTTGGTCGACGGCGAGAATGGAGAAGGGCTCCTCGATGAGAACGCCCACCTGTTAAATCACAAGCAGAAGTCAACGGAACAAGTATTCACCAGAAGAGGGAGGGAGGCTAATTGTTTTTTTTTTTCATGGAATAAATAGGGGTTCATATTTCCCCATCTGTTATACACATTAACGGGCTGATCTCTCGCGAGCATGCCGTCTATTTCGCTAACTCTTGTCCATATTTTCCGGCTGGACGGCCGAGGTCAACAGGGTTAAGGGATTATAAATCCGCACTCAACAGGTCAACGCTCAGGGCTATTTTTGCAAAATTCGGACTTTAAATATAGAAACGGCACTTCTATAAAGAATGTGGAGGGAATTTCAATTATAAATATTTAGTTCATCAACGGCAAATCTACATATCACAATCACCACTGAAGAAAAAAACTTACTTCTTCAATGAAGGGTTTTTGCTCTAAGGACCCTGTGAAATTGTCGAATGATTAAAGACCCTGTGATGTCATGGGGGTATTTCTCTAAAGCTTACTAAGATGAGAAGGGTCAGATCATTCGTGATTGTAGCGTTTGGTAGCCGCAAGAAAATTGTGATTTTAATAATAGAAGACTGAGTAATGTCCTCCGCGGGTTTAGTTATACTCCCAGAGCCCCACACCTACCAAATAAAACGTGTAAAATTCTCATTCACATGTGACTGTTATCTTACTCCGCTCACTCTCGTCCTCTCCCCTCACTGTCCTCCTCTCCCAACGGGCCTCCTCCACTCACCCTGTACCTTCTCCGCCTTGCTCTTCCCCGGCGCTCTGCTCCTCCCACCCACCCATCCATGCTCCGCGGTAGTTCGAGATAGAGCCATCGCCGTCTCCGATTCTTCCGGCAAATGCCAAAACCTGCAACTCATCGTACCAGCACACCGGCGCATCTCTCTTCGTCGTTCTCAACTCTCACTCCCAAGTTGTCATCCAAGTTGCTGCCGCGCTGTCGTTCGTCTCCCTCCCCCAAGCCCCGTGCTCGTGGGATAGTATGCTGCAAGGCCCCTGCCCCCTGGCCGCTGTTTCCTTTTCTCCGCAGGATCCCCGACTGGGCAGATGACATCAAGGAGAGAGGGATGCGGAAGTCCCGCTCCCTCTATACCCACGACCACTGGGTGGAGCATCGCAGCTCCCTCCGTCATCTACGACACCTCCTTTCGAGTCTATCTTCTCGCGTTATCCTCTCCTTGATTCCCCCGGTGTTTACGCTCACTGCCGTAGCTGCAACCCTAGCCGCGTACAATTCGGCAGTGTCGGCTGGATGGCTCCCCGAGTTCCTCCCGCTACTGAGGGCGTCTCCACTTCCCTACCAGCTTACAGCCCCAGCTCTGGCATTGCTGCTGGTGTTTCGGACGGAGGCATCGTATTCGAGGTTTCAGGAGGGCAGAAATGTGTGGATCAAGGTGATGGTAGGGACAAACGAGTTGGCTGGGATGGTGATATCCTTAGGCAGCAGTGAGCACTCTGTTGACGCCGACACAAAGAGGGCACTCCTGAGTTATATAATGGCATTTCCTGTTGCTCTTAAGGTTCGAAGTCGATTTATCTATGCACTTTTTCTCAGAGATCATAGCAACAAGTCACTACAGCTTCATGTCAGAATTTTTATGAATCGTCTGTCCTTGTTTATCTCTTAACGTCCTATTGGAAACTAATCAGTTCTCAACCCAATAACCTCGAGCTATTGTGGATTAACGTCTCATCTGACCTTCTGCATCTTCTTCGAACTCAGAGACGTTGGCCAACTACGAGCAAAGTCAAATAACTCTAGGCTCACTTAGGCTTGATTTGGGTTTTCTTCAATCTCGTGCTCTTTTCTTGGAAGGTTCGTGAGTGAATGCCTCCCCTTGGACTTGACCCACTGAGGTTCATTTTGATCTGATCCGCCCAACTTAGGTAGGGAATAATGGATTTTAAAGGCTGCTAGAAAATCCTTATTCGCCTCATTGTTTAAGTTCTTAATAGTAAGCGCAGAATTTCACAAATTGACGTAATTTGAGGAAAAATGTGTCAGCAAGCAGAGTAGGTAATACTCTAGTTAAGAAATCGCATAGGATATTATGTCAGCCTGGTGCCTGTTCTGTTTATGTTTATTTTTAGAAAAAAGATATAGATTCAATAGAGTCAACCAGGTCTATCCTATTAATGCTCTCAACTAAGGGTACAAGTGTAACCTCAGCTGTTCTCTCCTCTTTCAATGTTCGGCACTGAGCTTTCAGTTTGCAATTACTCTGTGAAGAGTATTTCGTTTTCTTGGTCCACCATAAACCATGGGTAATCATGGTAATGCCTTGGCACCCTAGACGGCTCTGTACTGAAATTACGTCACAATGATTTCAAATTTAGTTACTTGTTTTTGAATTTTATTTTGATGTGTGGGTGACGCGGATTGTTCTAAAATACCTAGAAGTTGGGGGAAAAGGGATTTTAGGAAAATGGCTCGAATCGGATTGACCCAGATTGGTTAGTACCAACCGTCAGGCTGTTTTTTGGGCTTCCTTTGGCAACTCTGTAGTTCATCAACTCATCATTGTCTGCCTGCCTGCTTTCAGACTGGATGTTTCCAAATCTCATTAGTTTCTCGGTGTGATGTGACTTAATGTCTCTACATTACCACTTTTTGAATATTTAGTAGGGTTTTTGGCCCATTACTTGTGTAGAAGGTTTGACCATCTGTTCGGTATTGCATTAGTTTTCCTTTCTACCAAACACTCAAGGGCTCATCACCTCATGCTTATCTACCTGCTGAAACGCCCAGCATTCTTTCACATACTATTTGGTCTTCTCCTTCTCTTCTGATTAAAAGTCCATGACACCATCCAAATGGGCATCACTTGTTAGTCTTCATCAGTTTTCAATGAACCATCATTCTGAGGCATTTCATTTCTTTGGTTATCTCACATGCCAATAGAGTGATGTTCACCTAGTCGACATTCTATCCATGTGAAAGGTTTTTTTTCAGAAATTAAATGATTTTTTTGTTTTAAAAAATAGAATTTTATGGCTAGAATAAATAGTTATCATGTTTGAATAAATGAGTTTCATCATTACTCAAATATAATAAACGTCACTTTTCACAGTATTAATAGACATGCATTTTTTAATGCAGTGCCATGTTATTTATAACTCAGATATCATCGCAGACCTGAAAAGTATTCTTGATGAGGATGATTTAGCGATCATTCTAAGATCAAAGCATCGACCTCGCTGTATCATTGAGTTTATTTCACGGAGCATTCAGCTGCTGCACACAGAAGAGGCAAAGAGATGCGTCATGGTAAATTCTAGCGACCTCCTGAGAACCTTTTATCCCCAATTCTGCATAGTCTTGGTCTTCAAGTTAAGTTCATGATCGTGATGAAACCCTTTTCACTCTGTCTTCAGCAAGTTGCTGAGAACCAATTGACATATTTTTATTTATATATAATGTATCTAGGTAGTTAATATTCCGTCGTTTGTATTAACAAGTTTAAGCTACTTCTTTTCGGTCTAATGAGGAAATTATGCTATCAGTAATAATTACCTCCATATATTCTCGAAATAAGTTTCTTCCATATTAATTCAATTTCCACTTTTCCCCTTAAACTTTTTATTTTGCAGACAGTTCTTGTTTGGTTTTCTTCCACTAGACAGCCTAGACACGAAAGTTTTAGAGAAAAATTTCATGGGTTTCCCTCTGTTCATATTTATATCTATAAGTTGCTTACTAAATTGAGATTTTGCCCCGACAGGTGATTTTCAGGTGCTAGATTTGTGCATATGTTCGTTAAAATCCTCACCTTCTTTCTATAGTTTATTTTCTTTCTCAGTTCCGTGTATCGGCATCTGTTTAAGTTGATAGTTTTCTTTTTGTATTATTCATCTTGCTGTTGTTGTATTTTCCATGCTATTTGTAATATTATTGCCATGAATAAAATAGTGGCCTTCAAAACCTTATAAAGAGTGATGGACATGCGAACGGGTTAAGAATTAGGAGCATGCTCCAGCAGTTTTCATAATACTTTTTCAAATTGAGACAGTTTTCCTTCTCCCTTTCAAACTGCGGTGCCGTTTTTGGCTGTAATCCTGAAAACTATCTTCTGAATGGTCGTACCATGATCATTGATGAGGGCATTCTTGTATTGACTCTACTTTTCAGTGAACAGACTTTCTGCTTCTCCTTGCAGGAGTCAAAGGTCTTCAGTTTCCATGAAGGCATCTGTGTCTGTGAACAACTCATGGGAATCCCCATCCCTCTTTCGTACACACGTTTAACATCAAGATTTCTAGTCCTATGGCACCTCACGCTTCCTGTAATACTTTGGGATGACTGCAACTGGATTGTGGTTCCTGCTACGTTCATTAGTGCGGCCTCCTTGTTCTGCATTGAGGAAGTAAGCTCTTTTTCCTCATCCGGTGATGAGTTTTCTGTGGTCTTTAAGAACTGCATTTAATTAGTTGAAGATTGATGCTTGAAACTCATATGCTTGCCTTCCGCATGAGAGCCATGGATATTCGATTTGGTAGTCGACCCTTCATCTTTTCTGGAGGGAATCTCATGGGTTCAGGACATATATGCCTCTTGCCGAATAGCCCTGAGCGTAGACCTGTAGAGTGCACCTTCATCAGCTTAGAACGAGTTGACCGCATGCTCATTAATCAATGAAACTGCCCCATCCCAGACATGGTATGTGCCGATTCCTCTCGTGAAAGATCAGCCCATGAATGTGTACAATAGAAGACACGGAAAATATGAACACCTACTCTATGGAAAACAAAATAATTAGTCTCCGTCCCTCTTTTGGTGAATGCTTGTTCCGTTGCCTTATGCTCGTGATTGAACAGGTGGGCGTTCTCATCGAGGAGCCCTTCTCCATGCTCGCCATCGACGAGCTGTGCGAGCAGCTCCTGGGCACCATTCGGGAAGCGCTGGCCATGCAGAGCTTAGTTCACGACCAGGTCCTCGCCAAGAGGAAGACCCACTTGGAGGAGAACTCCCCTAATGGCCGACCATGCTCAAGCTCCTAGAGATCGATTCCCCAGAGAGGTTATTGATAGTTAGGAGGCCTGAATTCCAGAGGCTGTTCCGACTAGTACGATACAGAGAAGGATTAGTTGAGAGGCAGAGCGGAGAAGAAGCAAGTACGTTCCTTTTACAATCTGTAAATATTCTTTGTAGGGAATTTACCAGCTGCATCTCACTCGCCATGGCTGAAGAAGACGGGGAAGGGAGGGAGGTGGAGGAATGTGCGGCCGTCATCATGCGCGGCGCGCCGCCGCAGCTGCTGCGATGGCCTGCTCCTCGGTGGCGGCGAGGAAGGCGTGGAGGGGACGCCTGGCTTCCTCAGCGTCGACGCCGGCGATCTGGGTGGCGGCGGGGACGGAGTCGTAGAGGAAGATGTCCTCCGGGACGGCGGCGCCGGCGGTGAGGCCACGGATCTCGGCGGTGACGTCGCGGAGGCACTGCTCCACGGTCTGCCTGCAGCAGCCGATCAGCCTCCAGCGCAGCGGCTCCGGGAAGTCGGCGAAGCGGTCCTTGAAGGGCGGGAGGAGCTCCCGCTCAGGGAGGGGCCCCCACCACGTTCCGCCGGCGTGCTTCAGCGGAGCCCCATAATGCCCCTCCCGCCCGCCCCCCGACAGATCGTAGCCGGCGGCAGCGCCGGTCTTAATGGGAGGAAGCTGGCCCTGGTATGCTCGGAAGGTGAGGGATTGCATCAGACGGTCGAAGGCCCCGCCATCTTCCTCTCTATCTCTCTCTCTCGTTCTCTCGCTCTGGAACTGTTTGTTCCAGGGCGAGAGCAGCGAGCAGCGAGCAGAGGGATGGTAGCAGCCATCGATGGGGGCGAGGGAGGGAGATTAAATAGGAGGGTGGCGGGAAGGGCCCGGGGTAATAACCGTCCTCCCCGATAGTCAGGGGAGCCTTGTTCCGGCTATCGGAATATCTCCGAATTTCTGGTCTGGCGCGGGAGTTGCCGATGCCATCAGATCGGTGCTTCTCCATCGCACGGCTCACCTTCCTTTTTACGTTCGAGTCTCACGCCTTTTTCTTTCTCCCCATATCAAAATTGATATTAATTTTTCTCTAGCAGTCCCTGTGAAATCTCCAATAATATCCAAATCCTCTATATTTATCAAAATTAACATGTCCAAGATGTATTATAATAATTAAGCCCTTATATTTCTCTCCTAGAGTAAACTTTTGAGTATTAGAATATATCATAATGGGCCCTGCTTGCTAAGGATACCTACATAGCCTACTATTTGATAAATTAGTCTCCTTCTACATTAATTGGACCCAAGAAACCTGAAGAACTTTGGTCTAGAAGACTAGTAACTTAGTCTAATATACATATATTTAGCTGTCTTATTAATGTTTTGTTATAAGACAACGAAGGAACCAAGTTGAAGCCTAAGTCAAAGCAATGTATTTTCTTAAGATATAAAGAAGATATCAAGGAGTTTAGTTTATAGAATCTCATAATTCAAAAAATAATATTTAGTACATATTTCATATATGATAAAACATCAGCAATATGATAAAGAAAGTTCAATATATAGTTTCTCCTGATAATGAAACTAGCAACTTAGCTAACGTGAAGTTGAATGAAGTGGGACAAGGAGTTGATAAGAATTTTCAAATTTCTCCTTGATATGATGAATGTTCGGTGCATCTAAATTAGAATGACACAAACCCTTTTTACTAATTGTGTAAGAAGAGAATTAAAAACTATTTAAGTTTTCTTTTGACAATGTATTTTATATTATTTCTTCTCATCCCCTATAATATTTCAAGAAATAATTTAGAATTAATAACGATCTCTAAGGATAAAAAAAAAATTGAATGAAATATTCTTATGGAGGAAGAGATGAATTATTTTCATATAAATAATACTTGAGAATTAATAACGATCTCTAAGGATAAAAACAAATTTGATTGTAAGTGAGTGTATAGGAAGAAAGAAACTTTGTTGACAGTACAACCACCTAAATACAAGGCTCACTACACCGGACAAGTTTCTTCAATCCGCCTCTCTCACTGCTCTCCTCACCTTCTTTGCATCCTCCCACCTCCCCGCCATAGAGTATATATTCTCTAGTAGGACATAGTTCCATGTGTTCTCCAGCTCCATCTCGAACAAGTGTCCTCCAGTCTCCTTGCCCAAGCAGATGTTCCCATGGATCACAAACATCTAGTGGGGCACCTCAAATAGTGTGGTTTGGCCGGCAAGGCATCGTTATAATGAGCCCACATGCCTCCTGCAGCTGCCTTGCAAGGCCAAGGAGGTCAATGGCGCCTACGTAGTGCTCCACCCAAGGCCTAACGTTGCCAATGCCGATGTAGAGTGTGCGCGGCTGAACAAGGAGAACCCCTTGTTGACTAGGCTGACATGGTTGGAAGAGTAGAGCAGGGAAGTGAAAGGCGACCACATTGGGCTTCACCTTGACCGCCAGCATCCACATGATGGTGTCCTTCATGGGAATGACGTAGAAGAAATGCTGTATCAGCCTCCTAGTGATGACCCTGTGGTTCAGGTCCAACCTTATGCTAACCAAGTGGATGTGGATGTGGATGTGGATGTGGATGTTTCTAACCTGATGTAGATCCATAAAAATGGAGTATGTGAAGAGGAGGCTGATCATGGTGGTCAAATCAGTCGGTGATGATGCAACGGAGAGGGACAAGATGACGACTTGAAAGATCAAGAGTGATAGAAAGAACAGATTTGAGCCCTAAGTATAGCTTTGATACCATGTATCATAGTCTGAGTTATTTGGAGTTGAAATTCAAAGTCCTTGAATCCAAAAGAAATGTGATTTCTATGAAGATTCTAAATCTTAAATCCAAAAAATGAAAAACCATCAAGCCTTTATTCCACAAAGATTTGATCTCGAGTCAGGTTTCTCTAAATATACATCTTAGAAGAGGAAAAAAAACTATATAATTGATTGAATGGCTCCTAAAACTGTAAGGGGGGCCTTTAACTAGGTTGAAATTGATTAGAATTTCATTACAAATTAGGGGTTTTATTAGAATGCTCCTAAAAAAGGAAAGGTTATGCTAAAATTGCCCCTAAGAAAAAGAGGGGTCAAGTCACACAAATATGAAATAACTAAAAGTGGAATGAAATTTAAAACAAGAAAACTAAATATTTAAGATGTGTTTTATTATAGGCCATAAAATGTCTTGTAGCAGTTCAATCTTCACAATTCCTAAGCTTCTAGTCCACCTAAATTATATCATAAATGAGCTCAAAGTCCAATTCTGTGGAAAATTAATCTCTAACATAATTGAGACGTATCTAAATATGAGTCAAAAGTGATTTGGGCCTTTAGAGTATCATGAACCTTGATTGCTTGGGCCACAAGTTTTGGCCCACAAGAATGAGAATGGGTTTGCAATATTAATAATATTTTTAACATTTTTCCTAATGGAAAATTTTAATAATGCCTAAAACTAAAATACACCCAAATAAACATAATTTGATAATAAATAATAGTATCCCGAGTAATGTGGGCTGTAAATGGGCCTGACCAAATAGTTACAGCCGACCGCCCACCACCTACCACCTTTCCTCACTGACTAACATTGATCTCTCTCTCTCTCTCTCTCTCTCTCTCTCTTTCTTCTCTCACTGACTCCAACTGGCCGACAGAACCCAATGAGATGTGGGCCCAATGGGTGTCCTAAGTCAAACAAGGACCCACGTGACAACGTCATCACAATAGGCTGACGTAATTATCGACAACTGATTTAACGTGAACCAGCTTTTAAATATAATTAATCTTAGTTCTGGGCATTACGAGAAAAGTAGCCGTTGCAGGGGAGAGCAGAGCGAGGGGAGAGCCGACTCCACGGAAACCGACGGCGCACCGGCGGGGCTGCTTTCGGTGGGGACCGGCGGGGGAAGAAGACAGCGCGCTGCGGCAAGCATCACAGGGCACCATCGTTCCCGCCATTGGATTCCATATTTTTTTTGTGTTTTGCTGTATGGAGACCGTCGGGTTCGTACTCGCGGGAGTCGATGCGACCTGTTCCTGTGTCGTCCATGGAGATCTGTCCCCCCTCGTGCTTCACCCCTCTCCCCTTCTCTCCCATACCTCCTGCAGTTACAGACAGACAGCAGAAACAAACAAAGAGAGAGAGAGAGAGAGAGAGAGAGAGGGAGAGAAGGGGGGGGAGGAGTTCGGTCGGCAGTAGGCCAGCCGTCTGTGAGGAGTTTTAGCGTCTTCATCAGCGGAAGCCATGGCGATTCGGTCGAACCTTGGCACCTGTCCGGGGGTCTCGCTCTCCTCGCGGCGTCCGCCCCCGTTCGGAACTGAATACGCTTCTTTCGGGCGTTGACGCCTGAGCCGACCGACCCTTTCCATCTCTGCGAACTTTTGATCTCCATTAGTTGCGGTTCCAGCTTTTAATCTCTCCGCCTCTCCCCTGGAAGGGAGTCCTCAGAGCTAGTCTTCAGTCTGATCGCACCTTTAATAGCCTCTCTCTCTCTCTCTTTTTGGTCTCCTTTCGAAGTGTGCTCCCCTGGGTGCCCTGTCTCCTTTGCTTTCCCCTTTCCTCAATCTTTTTACTTTTGCAGATCCTTCCCTTCTTTCTACCTCCTCCCCTCTACTGTTTCCCTTCTGGGTCTTGGTTTGCCCCTCCGTTCGTTCCTCTCGTTGGACATCTACGCCTCGCCATCTCCATGATCGCATGTTCTCTTCTTTCCCTGAACCTAGGGCTCCGAGGGGATTGAAGGGAGGCCTGTGACCCTCATCCTTCTCATGGAGGAGAGGGACGAGACGGCGATCTCCAGGGTTCCGTCGCATTACATGCGCCACCCGGTCATGGATGGGTCGGCCTCTGGATCACAGCCTGGATTCCATTCCCTGCCTGAGATGCGCTCATTCTCCAACCCTTTGATGACCCACTCCATCGACAGGGCAACAATTTGCGGCGGAGGGTCTGCCGTTTCGGCTATGCCGGTGGAGATTCCATCTCCGTCTCCGTCTCCTCTTCCCCCGCACGCCATGAATTTGGTCAGTCGAGGAGGCGGCGTGGCCCTGGGAGAGCCCATGAAGAGGAAGAGGGGAAGGCCACGGAAATACTGCCCAGATGGAACCATGTCCTTGGACCTCATTCCTTCGTCCTCACCAGACCCTGGATCAGTTGGAGGAATACCTGGAATGGGATCAGCGGGGGCAACCGGAACGCCCATGTCAACAGAGAAGCGGCGTAGAGGACGGCCGCCAGGGACAGGGAGGAAGCAGCAGCTTGCATCCTACGGTGAGCTCCAGAGACTGGTTATTTCATTTTTCCGGTGGCTGTTAACTCACTTTTGCACTCTTTTTTTTCTCATTCTTTTTTTCAAAAAAGTGCCTTACGGTGTGCCATTACAGTGTTTGTGTGATCTTAGTTTTTCTCTGGCTGAACTGGGCTCTTCACCTGCTGTTAGGTGAGTGGATATCTTCTTCAGCTGGCATGGGCTTCACTCCACACATAATAACCATATCTGACGGAGAGGTAATTAACGCATATATGGTCCTCATTTTCGGCTAATCGCGTCGTGAAGAGGGTAATCGGGCGCTTTATTTTAAACCATGTCCTGCTAAGAACAAGGTCTAGAAAATTTCACAGTATGATATTAACCAGCCTGGTAAAACCGGGCTTATTGGGATGTATTATTCCTTAATGTTTTATGGTGGGTATTCTTGATCTGTAGCAATTGCGTATGATTGAATCATGGGCAGAGCTTTTCTGAACCTAATGAGCTTCACCGACAGGTTAAATGGCCGGCCTTGGGAGGATGTTTGTGCTCAGGATGCAGTTTGAGCAGTGTATTTGTTCTATTTTCACGATTTTATCGTGTTTCTAATCGGATATTTCGTTCCCCATTTTCAGGACATTTCTTCTAAAATAATGTGGTTCTCGCAACAAGGGCCTCGAGCGATCTGCGTGGTCTCGGCGACTGGGGCCATCTCTACTGCCACTCTTCGCCAGCCTGCTTCTTCTGGTGTCACTGTCACATATGAGGTCAAACCATCTTTACTCGGCGTTTGATAAATAAAGAAGATAATCGTGGTTCATGATGCGATTTCCTTGTGATGCCTTTATCGATGTCTATTTATTTTTCAGGGCCATTTCGAGATTGTGAGCTTGTCCGGATCCTACGTACTCTCGGCAAATGGCCGCTCCTGCAGCCGGAGCGGCGGGCTCAGCGTCACTCTTCTTGGCCGTGATGGCCGCCTGCTCGGCGGCGGGGTCGGCGGGTTGCTGATTGCTTCGAGCCCAGTCCAGGTGACTCCCACGCTCCCCTGATTATTCATCCCCAAACGGCGTGAGCAGTGGGGTTGACTGGTTTTTCCGGGATTTTGGGGCCTCAAAGTCAACCTCGACGAGCGAAATTGGCCCGGCTCGGCCTGGTCAACATCTGGGCAGGACCCGGATTTCTCTAGGGTTCCCTCTCTCGCTCTCTCGCTCAGATGGCAGTGTTTTTTTTCCTGTGTTGAGGTCTTTCAGGTGTTCGTCGCAAGCTTCATCTACAGAGGGACGAAGCCGAAGAACAACCCCAATCTGGACGCAACAGCAACCAATCCTGGCAAAGAGGAGGAAGAAGGAGAAGAGCTTCCATTCAGTGATCCTAAACAGACTCCGCCATCCTCTGACGCAGAGGAGCTAGATGGCACGGATGCCCAGGTCAGCATCAACCTGGCCGGTGGATAAGCTTCCTGGGGAAGAAAATGTGGCGCTGGAGGCAGTGGTGGCCAAGTCCGGAGATCTCAGAGACTGCGCAGCCGGTTCTTGGCCGCTTCGGGGGAACTGGTTATTGTTATTTTTCTGGAGCATTCCTTCCGTCTTCAGAGAGGGTGTGAGGGTTTTGACCTGGTTTTTACCAGGGTCTCCGTAGACGCCAATGCCTTGAAGGGGAAGAGCGTGGTTTTTATGTGGGCGATGTTCTCGCGGATGACTTTCCATGGCGTGCACTTGCTCTCTACTGTGTCAGGATTCGTCCCTAAGTCAACGGTGCAGGTCGACCTTGGGGAGCTCTAAGCGAGAAAGAGTGTGATGGGGGAAGGCCCGTCGAGAGGAGAGCTCCAGTTTAGTTAAGCCCCAGTGTGTCGGCGCCTGGGTCCAGATCTTCCGCGATCGGGGGTCCCCGAGGGAGGGGGAAGCGCGTGAATGAATGGGGCTCCATCCGCCGCCTGCAGACTCGCCGGCGACACAGCTGCTGCCACGGCCGGCGATCCGCCGCTCACCCCGCCCAGGTGCGCCGCCCTCCTCCAGACGTGGGCCCGCACGAGAGCTCTCGCCAAGGGGGAGCTCCTCCACGCCCGCCTCATCACCTCCGGGCTCCTCTCGTCCCCGCCCTTTGGCGGGCGGCGGCGGCGCCTGCTGCTGCCCAAGCTTGCCTCCATGTACGCCCTCTGCGGAGAGGTCCTCCCCGCGAGGCGCCTCTTCGACGACATCCTCCCCGAGCGGAGGACCCCCTTCCTCTTCAACACGCTCATCAGGGCCTACCTCCGAGAGCGGCTCCCTCTCGACGCCCTCCACCTGTTGCGGCGAATGACGCCCGCCGGTTGCCGCCCGGACAAGTTCACCTTCACGTTCTCCCTCAAAGCCTGCGCCGACCTCTCGCGGCGGCGGGAAGGCGACCAACTCCACTGCGCCGCCCTGGTCGCGGGGCTCGCCTCCGATGGATACGTTCAGAACTCGCTCATCGCCATGTGCATGAGCTGCGGCGAGGCAGAAGAGGCGGAGAAGGTGTTCGAGGGGATGCGTGAACGGACCGTCGTCTCCTGGAACACCATGATCGGGGGGCTCCTGCAGAACGGGCGCGCGGCGGGGGCGGCGGCTCTCTACGACCTGATGGCAACCGCCGGCGTGGACCCCGACTGCGCCACGCTGGTGTCGGTGCTGCCGGCGTGCGCCGTCCTCCGGGACCTGGAGAGGGGGCGGCGAGTTCACCTTCAGGCGAGCCAGAAGGGCTTCCTGGACCACGCCGCCGTGAAGAACTCTCTGATCGACATGTACGCCAAGAGTGGCAGCTTGGCGGAGGCGCGCCGGGTCTTCGACGAGGGGCCGTGCCCAAAAGACGTCGTCTCCTGGACGGCCATGATCGGCGGCTACGCCCTCCACGAGCGTCCCCGAGAAGCCCTCGCCCTCTCCCGCGATATGCTGCTCTCCGGCACCAGACCCAACGCAGTCACCATGGTCTCCCTGCTCTCCGCCTGCACCCGCCCCTACTTCCTCCGCCATGGGAAGATCTTCCACGGCTCGTGCCTCAGGCTGGCCCTCGCGGCCGAGCTCGCCGTCGAGACGGCGCTCATAGACATGTACGGCAAATGCGGCGGCGCCCGCCTCAGCTCCTTAGCGTTCTCCACTGGGTCGAGACGAACGGCGACGTGGAACGCCATGATTTCGAGCTTTTCTCAGAACAACCTCCCGCGGGAGGCGGTGGAGCTGTTCAGGCTGATGATACGCTCGGAGGCTTCGCGGGCTGATTCGGCGACCATCGTCAGCCTCCTCCCGGCGTACTCCCTTCTGGCGGATCTCCGGCAGGCTGGGAACATCCACGGCCACGTGGTCAGGGCGGGGTTCGACCGGCGCTGCGAGGTCGCCACCGGGCTGATCGACCTCTACGCGAAGGCCGGCAACCTTGAGGTGGCGCATGAGCTCTTCGACAGCATCACCGCGAAGGACACCGTCGCCTGGAGCGCGATCATCGCCGGGTACGGCATGCACGGGCAGGCGAGGGCCGCTGCGGCGCTGTTCGAGAGGATGTTGGAAGCCGGAGCGGAGCCCAACGAGGTGACCTTCACCTCCCTGCTCTATTCCTGCAGCCACGCCGGGCTGGTCAACGAGGGGCTCTCCCTGTTCCGCCGCGCGCTCTGTGGCGTCGCCGGTGGTGTGAGGCCGCGGGCGGAGCACTACGCCGGCGCCGTGGACCTTCTGGGCCGCGCGGGGCGGCTGCAGGAGGCGCGCGAGCTCATCGCGGCGATGCCCTGTCGGGCCAACCACGCCGTATGGGGCGCCCTGCTGGGCGCCTGCGTGATCCACGGGGACGTCCTCCTGGCGGAGGAGGCCGCGGGGCACCTGTTCGAGCTGGAGCCGGAGAACACGGGCAACTACGTCCTGCTGGGGAACATCTACTCTGCGGCGGGGAGATGGGAAGATGCGGAGAAGGTGCGGAGGGCGGTGAGAGAGAGGGGGTTGAAGAAACTTGCCGGGTGCAGCTTGGTCGAGACGGCACGTGAATCCAAAGAGACAAATCTGGCGATGTAATTATTTGCTTCACATTACGTACGAACAGCTTCGGTGCCAGGGCACAGATGCGAGAGGAGTTTCTTACGAGGACGAGGATGGAAACTCAGACGTCTTGCACCATTCATTCGAAGGCGTCGTCGTCGTCGTCTGGAAGAGGCTGTGCTGCCGCGGCAGCGATCTCGGCCTCGTATCTGGAAACATCAAGATAATTAGAATAACATCGGATTTTTGCTGCCAAAGTGGCAAATCGAAAATTCAACGAGCAAACAGCTTCTGAATCTCAGTTTGAGCAAGAAAAACAGATAACAGAGGCCACATTATGAAGCTAAAGGAGAGGAGCTTGGACTAGTCGCTGCCTTCATCAGGTAAACCACCATAATGCTGAGATTCCTCTGGTTTTCTTACTTTTACGGTCATCATGTTTCCTCAGGATATGATTTTTAATTTTTATTTTATAATTTCTAGCATCCAACTCTCAATTAGCAGAATGCCTCTACTTTAAAAATACATGGAATATGCATTTAGCCGTCTCGAAATGTGAGGATGAAGATGGCTTCAAGTAATGGATTGCGGAGTGGGAGGGAACAAATGGAGCTAAAACACTTACTGTTGCTGTGCAGCCAAGTCAATCTGAACTTCAGGTGGAGCAAGAGCAGGCGACTCAACAAAATGGAGACTTGGATCCCTGAAAAATGCCCGATTCTCTAAGAGCTACTTCTCGCAGCAGGTTAGTCAAATGGGTAGCACCACAAAAACACACAATTTACCCGGCAAGCTTTCTGGCAAGATAGAGGAAAGGCTTCTCAAAATTGTAATTGCTTTTAGCAGATATCTCATAATACTGTAGGTTCTTCTTCCTGTGAAAGGTGACCATCTTCGCCTTCACTTGCCTGTTCTTGATATCAACCTTGTTTCCACAGAGCACAATGGGGATATTCTCGCACACCCTGTTTCCAACCAAAATAATGATTGATCCATCAGCAAATTACCAAAACGCATTGAAGAACTTCCCAATTGTCACAATAGTGGTAGGGTCCAAAAGATTATGACTAAGCTCACCGGCAAAGATCTCTATGCCAAGTGGGGACATTCTTGTAAGTCAGCCGCGCGGTGACATCAAACATTATAATCGCACATTGTCCATGAATGCTGCAAAAATTAAATACAATGGTAAATTTTTGACAACTAGTCAGTGATAGCATAGAAAATGATGAAAATAATATACTCAAATATTAAAGTTCATAAGCACAATTTTTCCGAGGAACAATGACTGTGGTCTCATGTCATTATTGAACATGATATGTGCATGTCTCATTTTATAAAAAAGTTACACATAATAAAGAGTAGCGTGATTATAAAGAATGATAAAAATGGCACAGTAAAACCAGCCTATAAATAGCCTCCCGGGATCTTAATTTAGGAAATTTGAAGACGCGAGTTCTTTCATATACTGAACCGAAATCATCATACGAGGGCATTCGCTTCACATTTCCACTGAATGAAAATATGGAAATTCATCACATGGGAGGATAACATTAAATTGCCCTAAAACTCACTAGTATCCATCCCTGAGGCCACCGAACTTCTCTTGGCCAGCAGTGTCCCAGCAGTAGAACCGAATTTTTCCGCAGTTGGTGAAGAAATCCAGGGGATGGACTTCAACGCCAATCGTCGCTGGCAAAATACATGCGCACATGCGTTTGAGAGATTGTTCAAAAGCATTTCAAAATTAACGAAGCCGGAAAATAGAAACTACTCTCAATTAAAATAGCTGCAAAGAGGAGAATGAGTGTCATTGAGAGCCTACGTTCATATTTCTTCTCGAATTCTCCAGTTAGATGCCGCTTGACGAACGTCGTCTTTCCTACACGAGGAACATTAAACGTTACCACATAGCCAGAACAATGCCCTCTGATGCAGGAAGAATACGCTTATTACGAACGTACGAAAATAAAGGGCATCGAGGATCCATGATAACGACGATTCAAAACCCTAAAGTCCTAAAAATCCACCAAAATTAGAACGTGGTGCGAACGCGCCAGAAAAACAATAAATCACGATGCGAAGTGGACAAGGGTCCATCAAATGCCACCAATGCACACCTGTACCACCATCACCAACGATCACAAGCTTGAAGCTAGGGTAATCGACGGTCTGCTGATTCGGAAGCGCCTGCGAATGAGAAGAGGCCAAAAAAAACGGTCAACAAACGAGACCGAGAAGCAAAAACCTAGCCGACCGCTACGCTAAAGGAAGAGGATGATCACCATATCTTCCCCCGATGTGGATAGACTTTTCCTTCCGCTGTGTATACGAAATCTTTAATGCAATGGACGGGACAGAGAAGAGAAAGCTAGAGAAGCGTCTCCGTGGAAGAGAACTCAGAACGCGACGGTATTTATAGCCATGAGCTTTCGGCTGGGGCGTTCGAGCCTCCCCTCCTCCTGTGGCGTTAGCTTTCAGCCGACGCAGAACGTTGGGCCCCACCGTCCAGCCGACCAAACCCCAGAAGCGCCGCTACCCACGTGCGTAGTCGCACCACTACTGTTTCCCTCCATTCCCGGACCGAAACCCACGTGCGAGCACGACACCTCTCCAAAGCGATTCTAAAAGTCCACAATTACGTTCCGGCAATGCATCTCCTAAGACCATAATCGCTGGGAATGCATTCCGAAAACGGGTAGGGGACGAGAAAGACTCATGAAAAAGGAGGATAATTTGAAGAGAATGACTTCTAAAAACCGTAAAAAAATCTAGGCGACCAGTGCAGATCCCAAGGAAGAGAAGAGCCCATGAAAAGTCAGAAAATATGAAGAAAAGGGTCAACGCTAGAGCCCAGATTTCCTACTTTCTGTGGTCATGCCTAGTATGCCCCTCTCATAACCCCAGTTAGTAGTCAACTCAGGTCTTCATAAGCCTCTGGCAGGAGCCTCCGATGCTGTTTCTGATGCGCTGTGGCCTTCTACCCGGGGGAGCTTCAGGTGCTGACCATGTTGAACTGGAACCGCGACAGCTGCTGTGGGATGGTGGAGATGACGGGACCGTATCTCTGCAGCCATGTTTTTCCCATATTTATTAGTCCACAATAAAGGCAAATACTGGGGGGAAGATGAAGATTATTATCTATACGCACAGAGAGAGATGAAGATAATCATTCGAATATGATACTATTATGGGATTACAGTGAGATAATCATGATCAGGGGTGAGAAATGGGCTTGTAAAGGAGGAGCAGACCCAGGCCCAGCTTCATTAAGAAAGACTCTCTCTCTCTCTCTCTCTCTCTCTCTCTCTCTCTCTCTCTCTCTCTCTCTCTCTCTCTATATATATATATATATATATATATATATATATACATATATATATATATATCTCTATCTCTCAACCGTAATCATGACTCCAACCCCAGGAAGTTGAAGGTTTTAATGAATGTGAACATAAATGGGACCCTAAAATCTAGGAAGCATACGAAGCTGCAAATGCAGCAGAGATGATGAATATAATATGGCAGCAGGGAATGGGGAAATCCAATACCTGAACGTTATCATAAAGCTCAAACAATGGAACGGCAAGCAATTTTAGGTTCTTTGGCACAGCAAAATACTCCCTCTCGGATAAATGAACGAGGAAAAGCTTCTTGCACTCCTGTGGAATTTCTCCAACCGGGGTCACAATATAAAATAATCTCACTAAAGAAAATAAAAAAAAATACAGGATAACAAGATATTTGCCTTGGGTTTGGTAATGTGAGGAGGGCAATACGGATACATTATTGTTTCAAAGTTTGGTCTCCACCAAACAGCAACGCATTCCCCTATCTGCAACGAGAGAAGACCTGGGTACATCATTTGTATATAAAATGAAGATGCTTTCATGAGAAAAGTAGCAATAATATTATCAAGGCAAATATATGAATACTAATATGGATGTATACTTAGCAAACGTGCCTGCCAATTTGGTTGAAGAGAATTAGCAGCAAGTTTGCTGGAAAGTTTTCTCTTCAAACCCTCCACCTCTGTATGAGTCCAGTAACATTAGCACATCCGGGGGCGGATTCACCACCTTCACTAAAAAAAAAAAAGGAAATAAAACAAAGATCTTGATCAAATTTTACAATTATTTACCATTTTCTCCAGGTTTCAAACGTCCACCTGGAAGTTTGCAAAAGGTATTCCCGATTTGTAGCAGTAGTATGTGAGGATGATTATGCTCCTGTACCTGCAAACACCAGGCGTTTGAAAGCGTGGGGCTTGGACGTAACACTTAGCTCCTTATAGTACGTACATCTATGTGAAACAATCAGGGAAACGACACAAACTAGAAGTGAAGAACAAAACATGGCACGATCAATAACATTCTAGGTTCGGCAACAAGTTTTTAACAGAAGAAAGGTACTGAAATATGGTTGCCACAAAACAGCCCTGTCAGGGGATTTTTTTTACTGAAATTGGGCCCTAACTGAGTCCTTTGGTGGTGAGACAGGCATCAACAAGAAGGAAGAGCTCCCTATACCAAGGTGCTCTGGCTATCCTCAAAAGACTCTTCACAGCATCACTGATGCATCCATAGACCCAAAACCACCCTGGGATGCACTTCTGTGGAAATTTGCCAGGGTACTTCCATTGAAGTCAGTGGCAGCAGACACACGTCCTCATTCATCTTTTTGTTCAACAATGCATGGGCCCCCAGATACCAACAACAATGGCAATGCCTCTAAAGGGCTATTTTTACACAAACAATTATCCGTAACACCATATTAAAACCTTCAATCCTACGACTAAAGGTATGATGAACTTTTGCTAAACGCTTTTACACAAATGAGGCCAGAAGCGAGACACTTGTGTCACTCTATGGTTAACTCTGGGGAGAAAAAAATTCCCAGTGATGTTGCTTTTATAAGTCTTACTGTGGCTCACCACGTACAGAATCCCTAAAGAGGGCTAGAAATTTTTAGCGACCCACTGCCAGAATGGGATCTCCAAGGAGACCAAGAGTGGTTTTAGTGCAAACCAGCTTTGGACCAAATGTCGATTTAGCATTAAGGTAAGTCACCTAAGCCAGACAACCAGCTGCAGCGGTCTAATAGAGAAATCAGAGCATATGATCACCTTGGAAATGTTTTCAGGTTCTTGTCCCAGTTTAAAATTTAGACATCCAGTTATTTATTTACCATTAATCTGAGTGGTTCCAGAAGCAACACTCAATATTTTCAGATTTATAAACCATCAGTCTAACTATCTCCATAAATGGCAATTGGGATTTTATTGTCAAGGAATCAGAATTCACTCATGATGAAAATGTTGATTCTGGAGGGAAACTATGAGAGTCCAGATGGTCATGCACAAGAAATATCTCAACAATGCGTCATTATTGGCACAATCTATTTAGAAGCCTACTCAGTCGTATCGTGAAAATATGAGAAAGGTTAAAGATAACAAAAAAAAGAAAAAAAAACGTGATAAAACATACGAGATTAGGATGTCAGTAGATATTAGTGTTTACCAGTAAAATTCCCTCCACACTTGTACGCATCCCTTCTTTCATATAGCTGGTGAGAGAAAATCAATTAACCATTTATCAAGTGACTGAGTAGTATTATCGAATGAAAGTGGCGAGAATGAGAGACAGTTATGAAAGTTTTACATGATGAAAACCATCACAAATGATGTGCAAGAGGCCAGGTTTTTTCAGCTACAAAGAGGAAGCATATGCAAACATCATTATTGAAGTGACCAACAACAGCTGTCACTGGTTGCATTTGAGATAATTAGTCCCATTAATATCAGCTGGCTTCAACAGTGAAAAGTCGCATATAGAAATTTAAGACCAACTCTCACCAAAGCTTGCCTTCCAAAATATATTCTCTTATGATTCGGCTCACTATCATGCAGGCGGAACACGCAACATGTCGTCCAGGCTTTTGTAGTAAGGGTCAATTGCACAGACTGTAGTTACGGTCAGTTGTGTAGACACTGTAGTTAGGGTCCCCATTCAGCAACCCTCGCGATAGTGGTGTATCGACTTTTAACACCACTGCCAACAAAAACAGCATAGAACCTTATGTCCAAAACAAAGATGCAAAGTAGTTTTCCACAACCTGACCAATAGAAAGATACAAAAAAACAAAGAAAATCCTCTATTTTCTGAAAAGAGTCTAGATGCATTTTTCCTGTCCCAGTCATGAGCTAGAAATATTTATCCATATTATGCAAACACATTTCCAAGAGACTTTATGGTAATTATACGATGGAAAAAATGAGTACCCAATTAAAAATGTGAAGCGAAATCTGCAGATGAAGCTCCCCTATCTCAAGCACACAAGTTGGCATTATCTAGATAGATGCTAAGATGGATATTTTTGCAATTTCTTCGACATAACATATCACCTAATTACGCAATAATGCATACTTTTGCACGCACGTCTCAATTAGACACGTTTTTTGGGCAGTGAACGCTTGTTATAATGTTGAATGCATGGACGTAGCGCATTCTGTTTATTATTGACTGACGAATCCTAATTATCAGTATTATTCTCCGGTCACGTTCCTCCTTCCAAATAAGTTATTCGCCCTTTATAGCTCCCTTCGTAATGCAGTTTTTTTGTTTTCATATGATTGTAAAGAATCTTAAGGGCAACGAATGATGACTAGTTTGCTATGAGAAGTTAATCTGCTAGAAGTGATATTCTGGAAAGCCAGATTGAGCCCTGCCGTCAGCTCTTTCCTCATTTTTCTTTGAACTTTCAGGATGCGAACGTAGGAAGAAATTAATTCATAAAAGTCCCCACAAGAACCGGAGACCACCAAGAATCAAGACGCACGACCGAATTTTCCACAATCGAATTTCATCCCCGTCACAATCACGATCAGGGGAAAAAAAAAGGAAAAAGGCACAGAAGATCAAACTCAAATCCATCGATACGATCCCTCGAAGTGAAACTAGGGCTTAGCCCAGGGTTTCCAACGAACGACGAGAAACAAACTCACTTGACTTTCATCCGCGCAAGCCGATCGGCGACCGACGTGTCCTTCTCCATCTTCGGCTCCTTCGTCCCGAACGTGTAGCTCGACAGAGGGTAGGTGTTCACCACTGGTGACGTCACCATTTTCTCCCTCCCCTCCGCTGGTCCCCCGGCTCCCGTTCCCGACGGCAACCGACCCCGAAGGCGGGGAGGGGTATACTTGAATGAGCTTCTCTCCGTCCTTTCACACTACAATTTTCTGACTTTAATATATTATCAACGGGCCGGGGGGTAAAGCCCGAAATCGCCGGCCGTACGGATTTCTGTTATTGGTGGGTCAGGTAAGAGCGAAGCCCGGGTCGACCCGGAGGAGTTTTCAGGCCCGAACTGAGCCCGTTCGAATCATAATTTACAATAAGTAGCTTTAATGAGGACTCGTGGGTCTCGGGCTGGTCGGGTCAACTCCCCTCCGCCTCCCCCGCCCGCCTTCCGAACGGTCATATGACGTGGAGAGTGTGGGGCCGGCCCACTTATTAACGGCCGGACCTGGGATCGCCGGTTTGGGCCGGCGACAGCCCGCACAACGGGAAATATATTTTTGTTATAAACTATTTCTGATAAAAATAAACGAATTAATCGTTGCCACAATTTATTTATTTTTATACAATTATTCCCAATATTGCAAAGGGTTTTCGGGGCTTCCTCGGTAGGCGCACTGGATCGTGCCAACTGCCGTTGAGGGATCATTTAGACCAGCCCCATTAATGTCTTTCACTCGGAGCAGTCCGATCGGAACTGAACGGCTGTGATGTTTTGGACCACGTGAGCCTTAGGCAGACTGTTGCTAGAACGACGCCATTTAATGAAATATGTAAAAATTGAGGTTTAAAAGTCAATTAGTCGGTTCTGTTTAGATAAACCGTTCAGATCTTCCCCCATCGAGTCGACCCTTCTTCGAGTCTCCGCCTCTCTCACCTCCGGGACGTTACCTCGCCCGCATCTACCCCAAGAGTGATGGAGGAGAAACCTGTGGCTGACCGATCGCCCTCTCCCGTCCGGCAAATCATCGACAGTGCTGATCTCGGTGGGGGGACGTTGGGGCACGTTGGGGCATGTGTGCTCTGGCGGCACTCGAGCGCCCTTGTATTGCTGAGAGAGGGGGAGAGGGGACTAATAAAGGCGGAGGAAGTGAAGGATGCTGGAAGAGCGGCCGGAAGAACAGATAGTTCCAGGGGGATCGCCCGATCGGGTGAGAAATCGCGGCCGGATGGGCAATGGCGGGGGAGCGTCGGCTGAGCTCCCGGAATGGCTGCCGGACGGCTGGATCATGAAGACTAAGAGTCGGAAGGACGGAAAAATTGATCGGGTAATCTATAATTTCTCGTGTCCACCCTACACCTGAAAACACTATTTCGTCCAGAATCATTGGTTCAATTCCGCTGATATCTCCATATTGACAACATGAAACATGGTTGACTAGTGAGAACTGTCCACCCAGAAGCTTCTCTTTCAAGAGTAGAATTCACAAACGAGGGTGAGAATCTGAAAAACTTCTCCTCACTCAGGAATAGTAACCTATAACCTGGACAGCCCCAGTTCCAATTATACAATTCAGTCCAGTTTGCACACTTTAGCACACCCAGGGTTTCCTGCATGGATTTCAAAGCGTTGACCAAAAGATTTAAAGTTGTATGGTGTTTTTATGTTGTAAAATGGTGACCCAAGTTTCATTTAATTTTATCAGTCTATTTCGCTGGAGTGTGCAGATTTTTATTGTCCATAGAGGTAGAAGCTGGTAACGATTTTTGAGTGAAATTCTTGGTATCTCTGATGTTTAGTTTTGTGCCATGAATTTTAAGAACAATGATGCTAAATATCATCGCTTCATTTTCAGTATTATGTCTCTCCAATGCCTAAACGCACATTCCGATCTAGAGTGGAGGTCTTGCGCTATCTTAACAGTGAATGTGCCGATCCCACTGTGGCTGTAAGAACTACCTGTGAAAAAGTTAAACGCAGTGTAAGTCTTTCGTTTCTTGATTCTGTCTTTGTTGCATGTTTATTCACATAAGTCCATGAAATTAATATACTGTTACATGAAGCTCATGTACCATAAGAGCAGAGCTTATCAATTTATGAAATTTATGGGTAAATGCATTTCTTGTTACTGTTAGTGCTTGTGGATGTATCTTACTCGTCCATGAGGACTTGCTAACCTTCTTATTAATTTACACAAATTTTATCTGCCCAGATTTAAGTATTAATGGGTAAAGTTTTAGTCATTTTTTAAAATTTTTAAGGCAGGTAGATTTCTTGCTTCATGATCATGCAGCAATCTGTCCTGCTCTTCTGTTCTTTTGGATAATGAGCTGCCCACAGCATTTCAAGCACTGCAACATAGTTGTCTGTCTGTTTGTGTTTCAGAATTACTTCTCTTATCGACCTTCTTGGCATGGGCTCAAGCTTTTGAAACGGCTTTTGCTGGACTTTTATCGCCTATTCTTGTAATCCATGCTGTTCATCTTGTAAAAGCATTCAATGTATGGCATTCTCTTTCATTTCAGTAATTTTTCACGTTGTCATATAGACTTTCAAGTGTAGAGTGCTCTTTCAAGAAACAGGAATACAATGATGTTGAAATATTCCATTAATTCATTCATACTTACTCCAGTATGTGCTAACTTTTGGGTCAAATCTACGTTCTCATCTTCCTCTGTAACCTTTGATTATCCAACTGAGTAAAATGTCCAGCAGATTGTTTTATGCTAGAACTGCTAAATTGAGTGGTGAAGCTCTAGGAGTTCTGTGACCGAAATCCAATATTCTGTGATCTCAAAAGGCTTTATTGGTCCGAAATACTCCGTATTTTCCATGGATATTCTTATTGATAACATTACCTTTTCTTTTCTCATGCAGTGCTTCATTGATCCATTGACCGGATGTAGATTCTACTCCAAGGCAAAAGTATTCCGCCACCTGAAGGCTGAAGAGAGCTGCAAGTTCACATCAAAAATGAAGAAACTCTCCCGCGCCAAGCATGAAGAGGAACCACACTGCATCTGCGCTGATTCCAAAGATGATGTATGACCTTTCAGATACCTTTTAGATCTCTTGCATCTCCTATTTTGGTCAATGATGAGTATTCTGCTCACCTGGTTGAAGCTCAACACCCTTCCACTTATGGGCAAGATCCGCATGGATCCTGCACGAGCCATGGCATTTCCTTTCATCCATCCGCATCAGAAGGATTTTGGTTCCCCCGGCCATTATCTTCTTACCCTTCCTCTCCTCCAGCCTCCTATTTCAGCAAAGAAGTGGAACGAAGGGAGCAGAGCGAGGCGATGCCTGTTTCTAGGAAAAGTGCAGAACTCAGGCAGAAGGACGGGAGAAGAGGGTGACGAATTGATGATAGCGCGCATCACCACCCCGCCTTCTGCCGAGGCCACACCTCATAGTAAAGTCTTGAACCCTATTCTATCTAGCTAGAAGGGATTCATCTTTTTTTCTTCAATAACTCCATGGACAGTGGCCCAAATTCTGATGTTATCTAGCTGCGTAGTCTGCCTATCCCTTTCAGGTGAGAAAGTCGCCGGGCTAAGTTGCAGATACCCTACAGGCCTTTTGCCTTTGGGAAACAAGAAGGGGAAGGTAATTGACCATTTCCATGGAGAGGGATTACCAGATTTGGGATTGGAGCCGGCTGAAAAGGCAGCAGCGCTAAACCATGTTCTGAAGAAGAAGCAAGATCCGACGGAACCATCTCTGGAGAATCACATAGAGTCGGAAAACGTAGAGACGCAGAAGGCTGTGGACAGCCAAGGGGCAGTGCCGGCCGGTCAGGAGCCATCAAGGATCCTCCGCAGGAGTATCCGTCTGCATGCCTCGAAGGGGGCCGCCTTCGAGATATCAGGACGAGGAGCTTGTGGATCAAAAAGAAGCGGCGAGGACGATCCAGATGGAAAACTCGATCGGCACAGCAGATCGGAGAAGCTGGCGCTCCTGACAAGCCGTGCATCGAAGCGACTCGCCGGCCTGGAACCCGATCCTACGGTCGACATTGAAGTTGGCGACAGGTCCCTAAAGAGAGGCCGCCCTTCTACTCGATCCAGAAGCCGTCTCGTCCCAAGTCCCTTCAGCGACATCCGCGATCTCGCGGCGGATCCACCGAAGTTCGAGGATGGCTCTCCGGGAGGACGAGTCGGCTCGGCAGACCACGCCGGCGCCGGTGACACGGCAGCGGAATTCGCCGTCACGTCGCCGTTCGGCGATCGCTGGCCGGACCCCTGCATCGAGTTCGCCTTCAAGACGCTGACGGGGCAGATCCCGGTGCCGGAGGCTGCCGCCATTGGGGATTACTTCTGTGAGTGGCTCTCTCCACCACCCGCCGCAGCAGACGGTGCTCCGACGCCGCCGGAGGTCCCAGAGAAGAGCCTCTTCCCTCCGTCATAGCGCCCGAATGGGTGAAGATGCTGTGCCGGAGGACGAGTCGGCCCAGTTCTTGACATACCACACAATCTCTGTTGTGCCAGGGAAGACATTCGTGGTAGAGAACGAGTCGGCCCAGTTCTTGACATACCAGCCCAATGGGCCCAGCTAGCCGGACGCCCGCCCGAATCGTGGATGGGCCTGGGTTGTAGGTTACCGGGCCAAAGCAGGCCAGGCCCGGCTCTCCGTAGTTCTTATAGACATCAGCCCGGCACACTTTAGCATTATATGCGCACGTTAGCTCTTCCAGGTCTCCAGTGACCGCACCAATTCGACCCGTTAATGATACGATTGGTTTTTCTCGACGAGCTTCGACGGTTCTCTTCTATGGCGCCACGTAGGATTCTGCGCTTTTGAGTGCCGCCGCCTGCGGAACCACAACCGTTGGCGAATTCATCAACGCGCTGAGGTCGACACGCATCGACGGACGTGATTTGAGGGGGAAAAAAGCCAGCTGTCGCTCTCTGACGCGACTATTCCTCCTACGCGTGATCTCGGTGCATAGTGATGTGCACTGAGGGGAGTATCCTCGAACGTATTCTGGAGTATTCGGTTATGGCGACCGTGATTTCCGTTGCTCCTCTCCTATGATCTTCCCGCGACTTCGCGTCGAGTTGAACGGGGGAGGAGAGGAGAGTAGTTGGAGTAGGAGCAGGAGATGAGAGAAAGAAGACTCTGAGGATCGAGAAGCTCTCACGTCGCGGAGAACGACGGTCCTCCGAGAGATCAAGTCCTGATTCTCTGGTTTGGAAATCTTCAAGCAGATGTAAACGTCAGGATGAGTAGTCGTTTCGTCGGGCCTAGCATCCCCCAGTAGGCTTTTGTTCTTGTTTTCCGCCCTCGTCAGTGATTCCTCATTCTGTTCGGGATCCCCGCAGTACAATGGAAATGAAGTGGCGCCGGGTGCAGCCGGAGGAGAGGACAGAGGTGGTGGGGAGGGTGAATAAAGAGGAGTTCGATGAGGACGTGGAGACAATGAAGAAAGAGTCTATGGAAGACGCAGAGAGTGTGAAGAAAGAAGAGTTTCATGAGGACATCAGGACAGTAGAGTATTCTTTCCCTAGTGCGAGCTCACCTGTTTCCGGTTGCAGCTGCCAATCGACTGTTACGAAGCCTACCCTTATACATGGGTATCTATTCGTAGCTCCTGCCCAGCACTTCGCTTTTTTCATTATTTAATAATTTTCGCCCAAGAAATTGTTGCAGTCATCATTTATCCTCTAACCATCGTCTTATGTTTGCATGTACCTTTTCTTATTTGAACAATAACTCTCCTTGATCTTTTGTGTTCACACACGCGAGCATTCTATGCACTGCAGGAGATGAGCTATGGCATTGGGAATGCGGAGTCGTGTTAGGGACTTTGTAACCCTCTGTTTCTTGTTGAGTGGCAAAAGCGATTATTCGCAGATCTGAGAGATTGCTTAGCTTTACATAAATCATTATTTTTACTCAAGCTCTTAGCTTCATGCTTTCCTCTCTTTTTGTGAACGTGCTCTTTCTTGTTATTATGTAATGGCCATTACAACTGTCGTCATAACGTTGTTTCTAGGAGAAAGAGTGGTCCTACGAGGAGATCATCAAAGGGAGGCTGGACAGAGGAAGAAGTAAGTTGCTTAAGTCTCTGTATGAAGGATTTTGATACGCTTGGTAGGTTCTTGATAAATTTAAACCTGAGACACGGATCTTAATACCTATCAGAATGCTGTTTCTAATAAGAAACGGCATGTTGCGTTCTAATCGGAAAGTTTCATCCATTTTTATCAATGTTTTATTTGCACTTATTTTCACGCTGAAATGTTTGTTTTTGAGAAACAGGATGAAATTTTGTCTCGAATGGTAAAGCAATTTGGAGGAAAGAACTGGAAGAAAATAGGTATTATTCATGTTATACTTATTATTTCCTTTGACTGGTTTGATGTTGAATATAATCCTGAGTTCATTAAACGCTTTTGAATTTTTTCCCTTCAACTAAAAAACTCTATTTTTTTAGTTGTAGAATTTGATTTTATTTAAATCTATAGCATAGGATTTTCTCGTTCTGACATGAACCCACGATTATCTAACAGGATTGAAGTGATTGTGTAATGTCTATGTTTTTTTATTCTTTTTCTTTGGCAGTACGGAATAGTTTTTTTAGGACGGAAACACCTATCTTATTTACGGGATCGTCCATTACTCCCTCTGACTGTTTGGTAGTCTTGCCTAAGTTCTATGTTATTTGAATCCAGCTGATGAGAAAAAATATTTGCACTCTTGAATACAGTTTACGATGTGCTTTCTGTGTTCTGTAGCTGTGTTCTTCCCAGGCCGAACAGATGTTCAGTGTCTTCATCGGTGGCAGAAAGTCCTTAACCCAGAACTTATCAAAGGAGCCTGGACCAAAGAGGTGAAATTCAGACATCCGCTACTTGTTTTTTAAATGTCTGAAGAAATAGTCCAACGTAGTTTTTAACTGGTTTACCTTCTTTGACACTCAGGAAGATAAGCGCATCATTGAGCTAATCAATAATTATGGCACTAAAAGGTGGTCGATCATCGCCAGAGAGATGCGTGGTCGCATAGGAAAGCAGTGTCGTGAGAGGTAGCTAGCTCATTGGAATGCCTTTTGCATATTGAGATAGTTTTTTTCACTCTTTCTAAGAACACATCCCTTTTGTGTTTTCTTTACCACACAGCAGTATTGGAACAGCTACCTGTCAAGTCGAATTGTGTGAATTTTCAATATGTCGTCTAAAAATTACATCTGTTTCTGAAAGTCTCATAGTTTTACTACATGATGTTTTTCTTGAAGATACTTCTGTCTATTTTTTCTGGTATATGAATTTTTACGTGTGTCTAAAGTTTCATATCTATTTGAAACTCTCACAAAACGTTTGAAGGCAAAACGGGACCCAACAACAAATGACAGGTTAGGGAAATAATGATGATGGTCATCTGTAAGTGGCGGCATAGTGGTGGTTGGTGGGTATTTAGTAAGATGTGACGAAGCATATGCTAGTAAGAAAAAAATGTAAGGTTGTCCTGAAATTTACATTTTTACTTCTAATTATAATGGGTATATTAAAAATGTAAGGTTATTCTGTAAAGGAGCACAACTATTGCAGCTGGCTTAATTTTATTTTTTTTAGTCTTTAAGTCGGATTTTGGTCCAACTAAAAGCAGATTATTTTTACCAAACATTATCTGCTTCATCTGGTCTCTGTTAACTTGCTTTAAATGCATGTGGCAATACTTTGGGATGACATTTATAATAGCTTCCTGGTTACAGAAGTATGATTTCATAAGGGTTTATTCGCAAATTATTCGGATATATTCCATGGAAAACCTTGTAAGTATGAACTCAGTTATCGAAACTGTATTTACTTATTGGTTGATACCTATGCCATGATAGTGATTCATACTTCTTTCTCATATTGCTGAGTGATTATTTTTAATTTCAAGGGTTCTTTTTTCTCGTGTTCTGCATGTTTCCTCAATAATGATAACAATTCGTATTCTCTTTTGAATAGTGAGGAAAGTTGGACTTGATCTCTGCATAAGATTTAGCGATGCAAATAACTAGAAAACAGTGTAACTTTGCTGTTGAGACTGTCAGTGGCCCAAAGGCAGTGTGATCCATCAGACTGTAGGTCATGTATATGCCCATTTAAGACTGTTGAACTAGGAGCATATTTTCATCATATTTTATCTTGAAGATGATTTCTAGATAATAAATTTCAAACTCGAATAGTTCCAGCTCTGGTCAAACTTTCCGGCCTTCATCATGATGAAATGCAATCCGCTACTACCAATATTGAGATGAAATGCGACCCGCTACTAGCAATATTGGCTTTAGGATGTTGCGGAAGCATATCTGTTTCTTATCGGCATCCCCTTTCAATCTTTCACGTACGATTTTCCCCGCATGTCATCATAGTACCGCTCTTAAGGTAAACTTTTAATTGGATTAGAATAACTGGAAAATCAATACCTGACTAAGACTGTTTCATTTGAGGATTATGTATTTACCAATGCTTTGTCTCAGGTGGCACAACCATTTAAACCCTGAAATAAAGAAAGGTCCATGGACGGCAGAGGAAGAGATTATGTTGATTCGTGCCCATCAGATATATGGAAACAAGTGGGCTGAAATATCTAAGCTTCTTCCAGGAAGGTATGTATGCTACTTTTTATCAGAAATCCCCACTCAAGATAAGTAGCACCCCTGTAATGGATGTGATGTGGGTGAATTCAATATTCTATCCAGTATTTACTGCGTTTGGTAGCATTTAAGCAGGGCGAGGGGTGAATTCCTTTTTCAAGAAATCCTAGCGGAGTCAACTTGTAGACAGAGTTATTTACCCGTAATTTCTTAGCGTCTACATTGTCCAGGATTTTCGCTTTAAATACTTCTCGTACATGCAACTCGTCAGCTTGTTCCTTTAAAACTATAAATCCGGAACCTGTTGGTGTGTACCCAGATAACCCTTGGTAGAGTATTAGATAAAAATAAATACTAGTAAAAATTTCATGTTGTAGAAAAGATGCAATGAAGTGTATATAAAGTGAAAACCTGTTTCCGGTGGTTGAGTGACATTTTTTTTATTTATAAATTTTCAGGTCTGATAATTCAATAAAGAACCATTGGAATTGCTCCGTAAAGAAAAAGCTGGATTCATATTTATCTTCTGGTCTTCTCGTCCAAGAACCCGAAACTTATAATGCTCTCAATCTGAATGGTAGTTCACTGGCAGCAGCTGAAAAAGGGGGTTGCTTTCCCATATCGAATCCCACCATGGTGCATCAAAACCCGAGTCCAGAGGCAGTTGTTGAAAGTCCCTCGGTCTTTGGTAGATCAATAATGTCAGAAGAACATCATACCTGCAACGAAACAGTAGAGACACCTGGTTGTAAGGAAATTTCCAGACATTTGGACATTGACGAACACGATTCCGGAAAACCACTTGCGCACCGGGACGACACACCGAGTAGCAGCGCGATGCTCCGTCAGAAATCAAGCTCTACAGAAGATTTTATGACTCCTGTTGATATCAGTTCAAGGTTGCCGAAAGAAGATTATAGCTTCTGTGAAACAGTAGACAGGCCCACCCCAATGGAGAGCTCGAGATCTTGGGAAGTCGAAATGCCGGGCCCTGCAGCACCGCTGACAACCGAAGAAGTTTCAACTTATTCGACACCACAGGGCGACCTAAATCCTTCTAACATCCAGAATTCATGCGATTCAGATAGATATCATCAAAGCAGAGCTTCAACTATGCCATGTGCATCAGTCATAATTGAGCATCGAGAGCCCACCGCTGCTTCAAACAAAACTTCTAGAGGTACATCACTGCTGCCACTCCCCGATCATAAAGAGACGTCCTGCTGCATATCTCCATCCGTCGACTCAGACAGTCTTGGTCGAATCTGCTATCCACCTCTTCAGACGGGTGACATATGCGAATACCTAGAAGAAGAGAAAGATTTTCGGCTGCACGAACACTTGCTCAGTTCATTCAGTTCACCTGATTCTCCTGCCCTGCCTAACCTTCTGCAAGGGATTTCATTGAACTTGAAGAGCCCCCGGTTCATCTTGGGAAATGCCGCGAAGAGTTTCAAGAATATCCCTTCCATTCTGGCAAAACGCCGCAGGTAGCTTAGAACAGTGTACATTGCCATTCTCAGAGAACGGTGCAGAGATGGCTGGGGTGGAAATGTGATAGCACAAGGCGTAGCATTTCTATATGATATCAGTTCCAGATTCACCTTTCGTGAAGAATTCCCATAATTCCGAGAGCATGTTGATATTCGAGTGAAGCACCAACATTTTGATGAGAGAGATGTGAGTATTGCATTCTATTTATTTATTTGGGCAAATGTTTGCTCCTGCGGATTTTATTTTTTTATAATCTCTCTCTCTCTCTCTTGGTTATTATGGTCGCTATTATTATTATTATTATTATTGTTATTATTGTTATTATTGTTATTATTATTATTATTATTATTAATATTATTAATATTGTGTCATTTAATTGAGATATTTACCCGCTTGTATGTCTAAAATCATATTCTTTAGCCAGGTCTAGTGGAAGGCACAGTTGTAGTTGCTTGCCAGTTCAAGGCGACCTGTCCGCTTAGAAGATTGCTTTTTGCTTGGCATTGACATAAATTAATCAGAAAAGCAGAAATATGGTCTTGGAGATCTGGTCAACCCCATTGACTGCCGAACAACCTTGGGGTAATTTCATGATATCCCAAACTTTATTCGTAGTTCATGGGGTTAATCTCTCCATTAATGGCATCATACCATTCAGCGGAATCAATTCCTCTTTAACTATTACTATCGAAAATCAGATTGTTACAGGTACACTGGGTAGTCTATTTTTATGCTAATACGCATTGAACCATTCGTAATAAATACTGTTTTGTGTTTTTATTTTTTTGTTTATTTATTTTAAAATTGATCTAATTCAACGCTGTTGTCTTCTCATTTATTCCCTTGGACTCACAGCATAAAATCAAAAGAATGGAAGACGTCTTTCTGTAGCTTAAAATGGGGGAGAGATTCATGCACTAGTTTCAATCTCTCGCCCTTTTTTTTCCCGGGAATTTAACCAGACTAAGCTTTTGATTGGTCGTTCCAAAAACTAGGTGATCGCAAAGGCCAGTCTCTTTTTCTTTTTCTTTTTCTTTTTCTTTTTCCTTTTTAGAGAGAGAACCTGTATGTTTTTGGTGAGACGGTCTCTCTCTCTCTCTCTCTCTCTCTCTCTCTCTCTCTCTCGCTCTCTCGCTCTTGCTGTAGACATTAAGGCATGGGAAACGAATGAACTGAGCTTCTCATCTCGAGGACCTCCCATAAGGCTGGCTATCCCAATAGCGTATCTGCAAAAACGGTGAAAGGGGAGGTTGGGGGGGAGGGGGGTATTCTAGAAATTACAGAGAGGCGATGTGAAAGACGTGGGGGGGTCGGGCTACTACAGCTCGTCGTGGGAGTCATCGTCGTCGTCGTCGGCGGAGGCGCCGCCAGCGCTGCCGCCGGGGGCCCCGCCGGAGCGCTGGTAGACGGCGGAGATGATGGGGTTGCAGACGGCTTCCACCTCCTTGAGCTTCTCGTCGTAGTCCTCCTTCTCGGCGTTCTGGTTGTCGTCGAGCCACTCGAGGGCCTCCTTGAGGGCGGCCTCGACCTTCTCCTTCTCCCCGGCCTCGAGCTTGTCGGCGAGCTTGTCCTTGTCCCCGATGGTGTTCTTCATGTTGTAGACGTATGTCTCCAGAGAGTTGCGGGCGTCGATCTTCTCCTTAACCTTCTTGTCCTCCTCCGCGAACTCCTCCGCCTCGCGCACCATCCGCTCGATCTCCTCCTGGCTAAGCCGCCCCTTGTCGTTCGTTATCGTTATCTTCTCCGACTTCCCCGTTCCCTTGTCCTCCGCCTTCACGTTCAATATCCCGTTCGCGTCCACCTCGAACGTCACCTCTATCTGCGGCGTCCCCCTACACAGACGGACCAACATTCCCAGACATTCATTCAGCAGCCGCCAAAGGAGGAGGAAGAGGAGGGGGAGGAGGAGGAAGGGGGGGGTTACCTGGGGGCGGGGGGAATGCCGGAGAGGTCGAATTTGCCGAGCATGCGGCAGTCCTTGGTGAGGCTGCGCTCGCCCTCGAAGACCTGGATGGAGACGGTGGTTTGCTGGTCCTGGTAGGTCGTAAAGACCTGGGACTTCTTGGTGGGGATGACCGTGTTCCTCGGGATCAGCTTCGTCATCACCCCCCCGACGGTCTCAATTCCCAGTGTCAGCGGCGCCACATCCAGCAGCAGGATATCTGAAGCAACCCCCCCATCGTAGTTGTTCATGTTAGTCACCCGACGAAGAAGAAGAAGGGGATGGAGGAGGATGGAGGATGGAACCTTTAGTTTCTTCGCCGCCCTCTCCGCTCAAGATGCTGCCCTGGACGGCTGCGCCATAGGCCACGGCTTCGTCGGGGTTGACTCCCTTGCTGGGCTCCTTTCCGTCGAAGTAGTCCTTGAGGAGCTGTTGCACCTTGGGGATCCTGGTGCTACCGCCGACGAGGACGATCTCGTCGATCTGGTGCTTCTCCAGGCCGGCGTCCTCCATGGCCTTCTTCACGGGGCCCATGGTCTTCCGGAAGAGGTCGTTGTTCAGCTCTTCAAAGCGGGCGCGGGTCAGCGGCTCGGAGAAGTCCAGGCCATCGTACAGGGACTCGATCTCCACCCGGACTTGGTGCTGGTTGCTCAGCGCCCTCTTGGCGCGCTCGGCTTCCCGCCTGAGTTTCCCAAGGGCGCGGTTGTCCTTGCTGATGTCCTTTCCGTGCTTCTTCTTGATCAGCTTGATGAAGTATTCCATGATTCTCTGATCGAAGTCCTCACCTGAGGATAGATAATCAAAAGAGCCCCCCATGAGAATGGAACGGGAACGGCAAGCTACTCAAACATTCCCATGTTGTTGTAGATCACACGATCAAAGGGTTATGAAGCACAAACTCATAAACTACAACGATCGAAGATGAGAGTTGAGAACTTATTGATGCATTACCTCCTAGATGGGTGTCGCCATTCGTGGCCAGGACCTCGAAAACTCCGTTGTCAATGGTCAAGATACTGACATCAAAGGTCCCACCTCCAAGGTCGAATACAAGGATATTCTTCTCACCCCCTTTCTTATCCAAACCGTATGCAATGGCAGCCGCGGTGGGTTCATTGATTATTCTTGCAACGTTGAGGCCAGAAATTACACCAGCATCCTTGGTGGCCTGCCTCTGAGCATCGTTGAAGTATGCTGGAAGAATAACATAATAAATAAATTAGTAAATCAATTAGAAACTCTAATCGACGAAAATGATGTAAATGAGTTCATAGCACACATGTAAATTTTAATGATTGGAGAAGTTTTGATGAAGGTTTCACTCACCAGGGACAGTGACAACAGCGTCCTTAATCTTCTTCCCAAGGAACGCTTCCGCCGTCTCCTTCATCTTGGTCAGAACCATTGCACTAATCTCCTCGGGACTGAAGACCTTTGTCTCTCCGTCCTTGATCTTCACCTGAATATAAGGCTTTCCATCCCTGTTTACTATCTTGTAGGGGACGAGCTTCATATCTCTCTGTACCTCCTTATCTTCAAATCTATGAGGTACAAAGCAACAGTTATTATAGTTCTGAAAAGAAATTTGGCCATTAAAGCTTCATACTAAGTGGAAGGTGCAACTTACTTTCTTCCAATAAGTCTCTTGACATCAAATATTGTTCTTTCGGCGTTAACAGCGGCTTGATTCTTTGCAGCCTCACCGATCAATCTTTCACTGTCAGTAAAGGCCACCCACGAAGGAGTGATACGGTTTCCTTGGTCGTTGGCTATGATCTCCACATGACCATTCTTGTATACACCAACACAGGAATATGTTGTCCCCAGGTCAATCCCAATAACAGTACCCAACTTAGAGGCCTCCTCTTTGGCAATTGAAGCTGCGAAAAAGCAAGCTGCGAGGAAAAAAAAGAAAGAATGCAAGCAGTGAGCACTAAAAGTAACATGAGCGCACAATGATTCATAATGCACCATAAGTTTCATAGAACCAAAGGCCAAACGAATGTAGCCAAATAAATGTGACCTAGCACTAGAGTATATCTACCAAAGTAGATTGCACTAAGATATGATTGACAATCAAAGTCCACAGGAGATTATAACCTATAAATGAAAAATCAGACGTCCAGAGGTACTGGCTACCCAAATTAAAAAAACACTTTTCAGCTTCTGTTAAATAAATGTCTTCGGGAACTGCTACAGGCAGATACAAACGAGGGTTTATTCTCTTAAAACTGAGACGATTTCACAACTACTACTGTAGTTTTTTGGTTAATAGAGTGCTCTGAGGGTGAGGTAGGGAGAAACATCTGGTTGCTCGATTGACTTCGAATCTAATGTCTCATGAGCCTAACAGAAGAAAGTTTGTCATGCAAGACTTAGTTAAAATTTCAGATACTTGATTAGGAAGGTCCTACAACGGAAATCTAAGCGATGATATCCAGCAATGAACATCGTAGATGTGACGAGATTAAGAACCCAAAAAACAACACAAAACAAGAAGCAAGCAGATTCAGCGAATGTTTCAAATATCCCGACAGGCCACAAGAATTGACTAAACCAATCCAGAGAAGGAGCTGTATCTTATGCCGCGAAAATATTATAGTCTATACAAGATTCGCATCTAGTCGATTCGTGTTTGTTTTGCTTTGCGGTCACATGTTTGTTTTGCGGGGCCAAAATCAGATCATTATAATTCGCATCTAGTCGATTCATTAGCATTATGCATCCATTAAAATCAAATAAACCAACGATCGATACAAAATTTACCACCTAACATTATAACTAGACTGATCGAGACAAAGTTTAGGAACCACCATCAAAAGCATAGACACACAAATCAGCGAGACGATCATCGAAGAGGGAACGAAGAAACAGAGCAGAGAACGATGCATAAGAACAGAAAACTAGTCGATCATCAACCGTATGAACCAGAGCGGGTGCCAAACCAGTCTAAATACTAGAACGATCAAATCGAAAGACAGGGAGGGAAAAGCAGAGATTACCTATGAGCAAAATCCCCAGCCAAACCAGAGAGCCGCTACCCTTGGGTGATCTCGCCATGATTCCTTACAGGAGCACCACCTCCCCTGAGAAACCTGCCGGATGCAATGCCAAACAAGATCTACTCCGACTCCCCTCCTCGCTCTCTCCCTCCCTCACTCTCCTCTCTCTCGCCTTCGCGGCCCCCCGACTGGCTTTTATAGTACCTTGGGATCCGGCGGAGTGGAGGCGATGCGGAAGGTGGGGTCGGTTCCCACCATTCGGAGGAGGCGACCATGTCATCATGATGACGTGGACCAATGGAAACACTCCGGTCTGCGTATTCTACCAATGGGAGCCCATTGCGCTGTTGGAGCATTCTCAACAGTCCAATCTTGATCCTACGGCTAAACCATACCTCATTTTAGCTCCCTATGTGAACAATTTCTATACGGTTAAGGCCCTTTAAAAATAATATTTGCTTATATATCTTAACCCATACCCCTCTGACGTCCACTCACGATAACTGCACAAAAAACATGTTTTATTCGGTCTCAGCGCTTCACAAACCATCATATATCTTATCATGTAATTAAAAGATATAATGACGTCAACTCCCTCTCTCTCTCTCTCTCTCTCTCTAATGAGGGAGAATCGGGCCTAGAGACGATTTTATGGGCTTTTTCGAGACCCGGCCCGCTGACACCCACAGAAAAGAGCTGTAGACGGGAAGGTAGAAGAACAGTTCTAACGTCTAGCTGAAGAAACAAAGAACAGTTGACCAACGGGTCCTCTTCTCGACACGAGCAAAAATGGTCCGGTGGAAGAAAACTGGGGAATAAAGGAGGCCCGCAAGAGGAAGGAGGAGGCTCAGACGGTAAGGGAGCCGGGGCCAGGGGCGGCCGCCGGGGCCTTGGGCTTGGGCTTCTCGACGACGATGGCCTGCGTGGTCAGAACCATGCCGGCGACGGAGGCGGCGTTCTGGAGGGCGCATCTGGTCACTTTAGCGGGGTCGATGACGCCACTTTCAACCAGGTTCTCGTACTTGTCGGTCATGGCGTTGTAGCCAATCTCCCACTCGCTCTCCTTCACCTTCTCCACCACCACCTCGCCTTCCACTCCGGCGTTGTGGGCAATCAGCGACGCCGGCGCCACCAGAGCCTGCTCATCCCGCCGTCAGTGCTTCCACCGGAATTCGAGGAGAAGAACGGAATTGGATAATGCACATACCTTTTGGATGATGTCGGCGCCAAGACGCTCCTCGGGGTCCTCGATCGTGTCCTTGATGGCGGGGACGCAGGTGGAGAGGTGGACGAAGGCAGCCCCACCACCGGGGACAATGCCTTCCTCTATAGCGGCGAAGGTGGCGTTCTTGGCATCCTCGATTCGCAGCTTCCGGTCTTCCAGCTCGGTCTCAGTGGCGGCGCCAACCTTGATGACGGCGACTCCGCCGGAGAGCTTGGCGATCCTCTCAGCCAGCTTCTCGGAGTCGTAGACCGAGTCCGTCTCGGAGAGCTCCTTCTTCAGCTGGGCGATTCTGGACTGGATCTCGTCCTTGCTGGCGGCATCAGCGATGATGGTGGTGGAGCTCTGAGAGATGGTCACCTTCCTGGCGATACCCAGCTGCTCAACGGAGGCGTTCTCCACCAGCAGGCCGAGATCCTTGGCCTGGAATTCAGCTCCTACGATTCAAACCAAACTCACCCATCAGATTAAAAAAAATCATTCTTTAGCGGGCAAAAAACCCAATGACATGAACCATGAGGCATGACCCACCTGTGACAATCGCAATATCTTGGAGGAGGGCTTTTCTTCTCTCTCCAAAACCAGGCGCTTTGATTGCAGCCACGTTCAGAATCCCCCTGAGTTTGTTCACAACGAGGGTCGCCAAGGCCTCGCCGGTGACATCTTCGGCAATGATGAGCAGGGGGGCCCTCAGCTGGGAGGTCTTCTCCAGCAGAGGGATGATCTCCTTTATCGTCGTGATCTTTTGGTCTGTGATCAGGACTCGCGCGTTCTCAAATTCGACGATCAGCTTCTCTGGATTTGTCACGAACTGTGGAGATATGTAGCCGCGGTCGATCTGACAGAGACAGAGTTAGAGCGAGAGAGAGAGAGAGAGAGAGAGAGAGAGAATTCATGAAGCCCATTCTGGGAAGAATGGTGGCACACACCTCCATCCCCTCCTCAACCTCCACAGTTGTCTCAAACGATGACGAAGATTCAATGGACAGGACGCCGTCTGGCCCCACTTTGTCGATGGCATCAGCAATCATGGTCCCAATGAATTCATCATTGCCAGCTGAGATTGAAGCAACAGCTGCAAAAAAAGAAATCCCACGAGTCAGCATGGGAAAATTTTAAGATGAAGGTAATTCTTTCCTGGATGAATTTCTCCTGTCAATTCTAAGGTGAGGAAATTTCCTTCCATCAGCAGAAAAAAGGCAAAATCCAAAAAGAAATATTGGGAATAGAAAAAAAACATGGAATTTCATGCAAGAAGCACATTTAACGCCCATTTAGGAAAGTCATACTCCTGGGATGATAATCATCCTTGGATTTCCAAGATTTATAGGGAAATGAGCATAAAGACATCTAATCAATGGTAAGAGAAGAGTGAATTCATGTTGAACTAGCCCACGAGCATCGGAAAAGCTAAGCAACCGCAAGTTAACCCACAAGCAAGTAACATTTTGGCTGCATTTCCAGGAGATAGTTCGGGAGAGAATACCTTTAATATCACTTCGTCCTTTGACCGGCCGAGACCTTTTTTCGAGCTCGTCCACAAGCCCCAGGACAGTCTTGTCGATACCCTTCTTGATGGAGACGGGGTTCGCACCAGACGTGACGCTCAGCAACCCAAGGTTGATAATCTCCCGAGCTAGAACAGAAGCAGTAGTCGTTCCGTCGCCGGCAGAATCATTCGTCTTGCTAGCAACCTACAACAGAGAAGAACATTCAGGAACCGAGATTCACTTCAATGATGAACAATGAAGGAGAATGGGAATTTGAAGAGTCCTCACCTCCCTAATCAGGGCGGCTCCAGCGTTCTCCATGGGGTTGGCGAGCTCGATGGCTCGAGCAATAGTGACCCCGTCGTTGACAACCTTGGGTGTCCCAAACTCGTCAAGAACCACATTCCTCCCTTCAGACAGCAAATCCAACAATCAGCATGATATTAACCAATTTCTAAAACAAATCAGAACACCAGATAGGCGCTCGCACTCTGGAATCCCAGAAAAAAGAGAGAAACACAATTTCGTCCTAAAACAGATGAAGGTGGAGTCTAAGATTTTCGTGTCATCTTTAATTTCTCTTCGGAAAACGGAAAGGAAGAAATCTACAGATACCTCTGGGGCCGAGAGTGACTCCAACGGCATCCGCGAGCTTCTCGACGCCGGCCTGGATGGAGCTCCTGGAGCTCTGGTCGAAGGCGATCTCTTTGCTGGTAGCCCGGACCACGAACCTGCTCGCAGAGGGGGCCCTGCATCCGGGCCTCTGCCCCTGACTCACCCGTCTCACGCTTCCCTGCTGTCCACCGACCGAATCAGAAACAAGAGACAGAAGAGCAGAGGACGAGAAGTCGAACAAAAGAAAAATCAAGAGGGATGGAGAACCTGGCGAGGGCTGCGGAGGATAGATGCGGTGGAGATTGCATTGGCAGCGGCCATCTATGCTGAGGAGAGGGAGGGAAGAAGGGAGGAGATGGGGTGAACGCGGAAGAGCGAAGCTCGTGTCTGCAGGCGCGTGGTGGGGGATAAGGCGGGGGGCGAGGGTTTTTGTACAAGACGATGAGAGACGATGAGAGTGGTGGGCGGCGGAGATGGCGAGCCCTTCCAGAAGATTCCGACAACAGGACAAATCTCACTGCTCCGACCCAAAAGAAAAACTCTTGGTCAGCCCATTTTAAAAAGTTGGCCCAACACAGACCATCGGCGTTGGCTTCAATAAAGTCCTTTTATGTCTCTCTCTCTCTCTCTCTCCCTGAAGATAATAGGATAATGAGGATAATTCTTAATTTTTAGATAAAAATATCTATATATTAATTAGATCCATGAACTGAAAATTTTAGTCTATAAAAATATATCATGAAATTAGGAGCACGCCATCCCATTGCATTGTTAATGAAACCTTTAATTTCATATTTTCATAAACATTATAGAAGTGATACTAAGCTAACACTTTATGTCAAGACTCAAGAAAAAGATATTTTGAATGTATAACTCTATGTTGATGATATTTTGAATGAATCATTTTTATTATTGATTTTAGAATTGAAGATTTTTATAATGGTTAAATTTGATATGATAGATTTTAGATTTTTTTTATTTTTGATTGGACTACATATTATTCACATTGGTTATGAGACATTTATTTTATAAGAGAAGTATGGAACTAATATATTGAGTTACAAGACTTATTATGAAACCTTATATAACTATGTTCTTGAATTAAAAATATATAATTTTATTGATAGTTATTTATTAGAGATTATTAATAATAAAAAATACAACTGACTTTATTTTCAATTTTGGTTCATCTGATATTTCATGGACTTCTAAAATCAAGAATTTATAACACTATTATCATTGAAAGCAGAATATATTATTATATCAATAGCTTCACAATAGATAATATGGATATGAAATATTTTTTAAGATTCCAACTTACCATTATTAACACTAATAATGAATTATCACAATAAAAAATTAACTATATTTATGACAACAAATATAGTATTTCATAGAAGAATGAAGTAAGATATAGTTGCTCATAATTTTATTATTGCATCAATTGAGGGTTTTTTTGTGCATCAAACTCATCTCTTGCTCTTATCTTCTCCCACCATTCTCTCTCTCATACTTGTCATTTTCTCTCTATCTTTGTAGTCTACTTTTACTACACTTAGTAGTTTTTCTTTTCATTCATTCTCCTCGTCTTCATTATAATTTTTAGTATTTTTTGACACATCTATACTTAAATTTATATTTGAGATAATAGGTGATACTTTTGAATTTCATGTTTTGCTATTATAATTGTTAAAAAAAATCAAATTCTAGATGATCTGATTCTTTTCTTCTCCTCTAAAGCCACCACTTAGTCTACTAGCTTTTTTGTTGAGGAAGAAACAAAATCACAACATCTTATTTCAATGAGTTTGGTCTATTTAAATACAGACTTACATACTATGGCCCATACTTCACTTAAGGATATAAAAAAAACATATGCTCTATTATGACTTAATGAATATTAAGTAGGCCCATTAAGCCTCAATGTGTACAATTATAAAAAAATAACTCCATCGATTAACACCCCCTCGTAAGTTGTGTATGAATGTTGTCAATGCCAAGCTTGTCTATCTCCCATTGAAATATAGGTCTAAGTAATCTCTGGGTGATAACATTAGTCACTTGATCTTATGAGTTCACATGTTGAATATTGAGGATCCCTCTTTCAATTTTATCTTTAAAAAAATGATAATTCATCTCAATATGTTTGATCTTCTCGTGTTGTACCAGATTATTGACAATAGCTATGGTTGAAGTATTATCACAATAAGTTGTGATTGTTCTATATTTTAGTAACCTCAATTCTTTCAATACTTGTCTAATCTAGAGACCTTCACATGTGCCTTTAACCATTGCCCTCAACTCAGATTCTGCACTAGATCTTGAAACCTCTCCTCACTTTTTGTTCTGCCAAGTAACCAAATTTCTACCAATATAAGTACAATATCTCATTGTTGATTTCTAATCTATGATGCACCACTCAACATAGTCGACATCTGTGAAAATCTCAATCCAAGCATCTCCTTCCTCTTTGAACAACAATCATTGTCTGACTATGTCTTTTAGGTGGATTAGTACTCTGTTTGTGACTTGTAGATAGACTTCTCTTAGGTCATGTATGTTTGCTCAACACTCTCATAGCAAATGCTATGTTTGGTCTAGTATGATTCAAGTAAATTAATTTGCCCATCAGTTGTTGATAAGACTCTCTATTTACAAGGCTGTTGTCTTCACCTTTCCCATGTTTTACATTTAGATCGATCAAAGTTCTTACTGATTTACATGCCAATTTTTCAATAGTAATTGACATCAAAGGTATACTTATGTTGAGAAAGAAAAGTACATTTCCTTGAATAGGCCACCTCAATCCCCAAAAAGTACCATAAGGTCCTAAGAGGTTTTATGCCAAACTCTCTTGATAATGATTGATTTAACTTTTTTCTTCTTTTGAATCATCGTTAGTGATGATAACATCATCAACATACACTAGCAAAATCATAAGTTTCTAAGATATACCATGCTTATAAAACATAGTGTGATCAGGATTACTTTGAGTGTATCTCAACAATCTCATAGTTTTAGTAAACCTCTCAAACTATGTCTGAAGAGATCATTTAAGCTCATACAGAGCTTTCTTAAGTCTACAAAGCATATTCTTTATAGTTGCAAGTTTGTATCATGCGGGGGAGGTCATATACACTTTTTCATCAATATCTCCATGTAAGAATGCATTCTTCACATTGTATTGAAGCAATTTCCACTTGAGTTGTGTTGCCAAGGCAATCAGAATTCTGACTATGTTTAGCTTTGTCACATGAGGAAATATATTGAAGTAGTCAACACCATAGGACTAAGTAATCCCTTTTGCCACCAATCTTGTCTTATACCTTTATAAGGTACCATCAGTCTTATACTTTGGAGTGTAAATTGATAATTTTCTATATTATCATGTTAAAATGATGATATGATTAATGATTAAGGCTTAAAGAATATAATAATATGATAAGTACATATTAAATACTTTATTTATATATTTTCACACTCTAATTATTGAATTATATTATTTTCCTATTTTCTACAAGAATGTGAACATCAAGATAAATGACAAAGGGGAAATCAATTATTATGATGCAAGAGTATAGTGGAATTTATAAATAATGATGCATAGCCAATGAAACATAGGTTCCCTCTAATCTTCTAATTTCATCATGGCCATTTATACAATATGTGAACATAAAAAGGTAAAATTGTAAAGAAGACTTACTTATAAATCTTGCAGGATGTAGGGGCAAAATCAGAAGACCCAATGTAGGGCACATGATCCCAAAAGAGGGGAGCCACCACCAGCCCTCTCCTTATTTACAATCAATTTTCTCTCTCTCCTTCCTCCCTTGGTGCGTCCCTCTCATACTGTGGGGACGGCCTACTCTTCCTCGCTCCCTTGGGGCCACCTACAGCACACCATAGGTGGGTCAACTCATCCCTTCCCCACCTTTTCGATGGTGACAGTGCCGGCAATGATCGTGGGCCTTCGCCCTTGGTGTAGTAAGAAGAGGATCAATTGAAAACACCCTTGCATGAGGTCATTGTTCTCTCCTCACGTCTGTCAGAACAAGAAGGAGAAATTATTTTTGTTTTATTTCTTTGACTTTTATGTAATTGAATCTCTTTTATCTTACTTAATTCAATCCAAATTTCATGAAACTTTATTTTCTTTCACCTGATTGATTTTGAATAGTCGAAATCGTTGAAGGAAGTGGAGAATCATCCTTACTGGCCATCCGTAATTTATTTACGAGGTGACTAGTTGAACCTTGAGAGAAATCTTAATCTCAACATGCATTGATTTTTTCTATTCATAATTGCTGAATTTTAAAAAGTAAACAAATTAGAATATAATTATTAATAAAATACATCAACTAATTTAAAACTCTCATTGTGTTCGACTTGGTTTTCTATTAATTCATCAAGATGCTATCCCTATGAAAATAAATTTATAAATTTAAAATTGACGATCTTAATAACAATGACTTAAGAGTGATCATAAACTCATTTATATCCCACCACTTTCTTATGAGTATGAAGCCTTCTAAGTTCACACCCTTATGCATAGCAATTGACAAGTAGAATTGTGCATCTTCATCTCTTCTAAAGGTAGAGGATATTGATTGTTCTACTTCGTTACGAGACTCTTTCTCAACTAGTGTTTCTTCATCTTGTACATTTTTCACTTGTTGATTTTGTGTGATTTCTTCTTCATCTTGAGGAATGTCATTTGTGATTTTTTCTCTTCTCTTGTAGATAATCAATTTATTGTCATTCTTCTTCAAAGATAATGATTCTTGAGTTTGATCAACTTCTTTACATATTATAGAGAAAAACTTCGATTCCTTGACTGCCCTTAATGTGGATTCTTCATCAATCTTTGAGTTTTTTTCTCAAAAATATACTTCTAATTCTTTGAAAGTTACATCGACAAAAATATAAAATTTTCAAGAGAAAGGGTCATAACATTTATAACTCTTTTGAGTACCTAAATATTCGAGGAATACATACTTGATTGCCATCAAGTCAAATTTCTTTTCCTTAAATCTTGTAAGTACACATATGCCACACATCCACATATATTTTTATATGCTTCAAATATTAAGTCAATAGAACTCTGATAAGAATTTTTTTGTAGGAATATAATTGATCAAGTGAGTTGTAATCAGGATTGCTTCTCCCCAATAAGTTTTGGTACATGAAATCAAAATAATAGAGCCCGAGAAATTTGTATGATATGTTTAATCTTCAGCTTGCTCAACTGATTTTGTTTAATATTTACACATGATGACTCATGTATAATCACTTTCTTATCAAAGAGTTCAATAGCCATAGAG